CCTTCGAGCGTGTGTTGACACTCGCCCGTCTGCACATCCCACACCCGCACCGTCCTGTCGTGTGAGCTCGATGCTACTCGCGATCCGTCGGGCGAGAACACCACGCCGGTGACCGAATTGGAATGGCCTTCAAGGGTGTAAAGGCACTGGTTCCATTGACTCAGAAGCTGTGTCCTTACTTCCACTTCTCTATATGTCGAAGAATTGAACAACTTTCGAAAAATGCTGCCAGAGGGGCTGAAGGAAAGCCCGGCACTGTAGAGCTGAAGCGGAGCTTTTGTGAGTATATAGCTAAAGCTATATATAAACCGTAGCATATCTCGAATTAGGGCATGAAGTTTGGGGGATTTCTTCTCCTGGATTTCGTGTTAGTGGACATCTCGTACCGACCAAGTCATCGTACTTACTTTGACTAAGTTTTCCAACTTTCTCATCATTCCCATTGCTTCAGGTATCTTACCAATTAGACTTATAACCTCCCACCAGTAAGGAGAATATTGTAAAAGAAAGCTGTACACTCGACCGCCATCATCTAGACTCTCCTCTCCGTGCTCCGCATGAGTAATCCAGTGACGACATGCGTATCTCAGCCCTGGAGGGATGTACTGGTCCAATATGGCCTCAGACACTTCAGAAACAAGAGTCCCCGGGCCGGGGAGACAGCAGATGTTCTGTCGGAGAGATCGCGTCATCAAGTCCAGACAATGAGTAGACAACTTGCGGTGCCCATCTCGTTCATTGATGTGAAACCGGGGATCGGGACACCGGCTACTATCCACAAGAAAATCTCGAAAGGACAGATGTTGCATCTTGACAGGCTTCGTCCGATCCTCCGGCACATCGAGAATAGCGTGTAAAGGATCCAAAGTGTCTTGCACCAGAGTTCCGCCTGTCGACAAGGAGGGAAACAGGAGTCTTTCCAGTTCCTCGGCCGACAGATTATCATACAGGAGGACAACACTACCCACGAGATGTCGCAGACGCGTGGTAACATCTTGTGCTTCGTCGGCGGAGAAATCCCCTTTCATCGAGCTGTCCAGAACCACCAAATACATCTCATCAAGTGCCTCCGTCGACTTGTGCCGGGCTCGATTTCCTTGGCAGACCTGCTCGAGTCGGTCCGAAACTCGGATCTGTCGAGGACCGTTGACAAAGCGACACACAGTAGCGGCATAAATGAACAATCCATCGGCACGTGCGGTGATGGTCTGAATCTTATCATCCCCGGGCCAGGCGTCCGGTAAGCCTCGCTCCACCCGGATGAGGGCAAGCTCGTGAGTCACAAATGTTTTGATGTCTTGATCCAGGATGGCACGAGGAACGTCGTGCAGGGCCAGTTCATGATATGCAATGTGCTTCATTTGGTGAAAACCCAACCGAATGGGTGTCTCTGGGCGACTGGTGACCAACAGACACAGACCCAAGCCCACCATGGTCTGGATATTACCAAGAAGAGTAAGAAAGAGCCGAACATCGTCGATATCGTCACATTCGTCCAGCGCGTCCAACACCGCCACGCAGGTGAATGGTCCAGGGGTGCTTCTTTGAATCCTTTGGAGTGGGTGAAGAAGGAGCTTGTGATACTGTTCAGATAGTGACGCAGAGTCGCTGAGGCTCGGATCGTCCCGTAGAGCATCGCAAATGAAGCTGCCCAGGAGACGAGATTGGAACGCCAATTGGAAAGCGATGGTGCTGATCATCTTTCGTGAGCGAGCTAAGTCACCACCACCTCGCTTGAAGAAGAAGCTGGCCAATATTGTCCCACGCTGGTGGAGCGACTGAGCAATCGTCAACGCGATCGTGGATTTACCAGTGCCCGCTCGGCCTTTGAGCCAATAGATATATTGGTCAGAATTACTGGTGGCCCAATTGATGATATCTTGAAGAATTGAGACCCGCGTGTTACCAAGACATAGCCGATGCCGTTGGTTCTCGTACGAGTTATATGCCGCATCTCCGACATGCGAGATCGTCCTTAATATCTGGTCATCTCGATTCTGGTCCAATTTATTGTCAATGCTTTGCGAGATTGTGCTCAGATGAATCTGGATAGTATGTATAGCTTCCAATCGCTTCAAACTTCGCCGTAGATCTTCCTGCTGCTGCTTCGCCTCTGCCCGGTCGATGGCGCTTAAATCTCGATCACAGTTGCTCGCCTCGATCTCCGCACGGCTAGCCATTTTGTTGCAGTTTTCTTCGAAACTAGACACATCTTGGATCCGCCAAAATGCTTCCAATCCGCGAGAGAGGCTGCTTTTCTGGTAGATACGGATGGCTCCTGCCAAGAACCGTAGTATTAATGCATGAAACTCGACCAGGCAGGATTCGAAATTAACACGTGCCGGGCTAGCAGGAAGGATGGCCCAATAACCCATATACACTTGGAGTCGGTGCGACAAGTAAAGGGATGTTTCGAGGCCCAGGAGGAGAGTTGCCATTTGGTTTTGTTCGGAAACAGCTGCCTAAGTCCAGTCGGTGTGAAAATCATTTCCACCACATTTGCGATGCTGTTCACGCATTGTGCGATGCTTACCTCGAGAAGAAGCCGAATGCCAGCCCAAGGAAGTCCAACATGCACAGGATCGGCGTTGGATGCAATATCCCCTGCTTGCTTAAACCGCTCTATCCATTTCACAATATTGTCCGCCTTATCCCGTAAGACCACGGTATGACCCCGGAATGTAAAGACCCATCTCTTCGCCTGGCATATCGCCTGCTTCTGCCTCGTCGCCGTGAGAGCTTGTTGTACGATCGCATCAACATCTCTCGCATTCGGTACGGTATGTTGTCGGATGGTGTCTTGATCTTGGGGAGGTAGAAGCAGGAACACTCGACCTTGGAAATCTCGCTGCGTGGCAGTCGAAGTTCCGGAAGCATTAGACTGTGGGGTGAGGGTAGCGGATGACACTGGAATGCTGCCGCGAGTGGAACGAGGGGAAGAGAACCATTGGCGGAACCGATGGCGCTTACTACCTGGTGTCGTTAGAGCCATAGTAGGATTTCTTGCAACGTGAAAGAAAACAGAAACAGCTCATGTATAGCGAGGCACATCGAAGAGTTGAGTTGAACTTGAGTATGGACTGTCAGTCTTTTCAAGGTCAGGCTGAATGCCAGTGCAGTGTCAAGTCTGCCTGACCAAAAAGCGGCCGTGGCCGAACTGCGCAGCCATGGGCGCAGTCATGTCATGGAAACTGTTTCGCACATAGCAAGTCGCAGGGGACTAATGCGGCAAGGATGCTAAGCAATGTGGCCGTTCTTATTATTCCTTTGTCGGCGATGTGGTCAGCCGTTTGAGAATCTACGTTGAAGCATACGGCACAAGACCACAGTATAGCCAGCGGATAGCTTTAATCAATGATGTGATATTGGTTTTATAATATATAAATGCCCAGCTAATCCGCATCTACAATCACGATGGGTTATGCTTGGATGAACGAAGATAAGTGTGAAGACGGACGAAGAAAGGGGAAAGGGAGCCGCCTTGAGAATGGATGGGTGAGGAACAAGACAGTTTCTTTTCCAAGCTCCGGTTCAAGTTCACTCGAGATCAAATTCCTCATATTCATTTACCCGCTGCCCGCCCATCGAATCTTCAGACCATAGCAAAGCACTCCTCATAGCATTACCAGGCACCACACCGACTTTCCATAGAGGATCAACGCAGCATCGGAAACCGCCTGGCATCTTCGGGGCCACAGAACGACGATTCTTCTGGCAAAGAATGCTGTCAAGAGTGGTACCCACAAAGGAGGTACAAGGGATGTTGCCGGATAGAAGAACTGAGTCTGAGACTACATGGTCGTAGGATTGAAAAGCAGAACGTAACATGGCATAGCAAAAATGGCGTTGACACCAGCCCAGGATTTGGCATCGATACCTGCATATTGACGAGCTCCGAATTTGTTCCTGCCATTCGCAAATCCGCATTCATCTTGCTCTGAGCGCCCGTAATATCGTCTTGAAGTCTTCCGCTTTTGGGTCTCTGGATTCTGCTCATTGTTCGGCCACCATTGCGGCATTGAAAAGCATGTGCCTATTGTCGTGTGACAACCTTCCCGATTGAACTGAGGTCCGAGATCGCCCCGGAAATCTCAAGATCTGAAACAGATGTGTTTCAGGATTGTTCGGAAATGACCGCAATGGAGGCACTGAGTTAATGTCGGGAAGTTGAATCGATTGGTGATGCTGATTTGAGTCGTGTTTTAGTGTGACTCAGATCCAATACCGGGAATCAGGAAGGCTGATATTCGGACTATACCTTCGGTCTCAGCGCTTCGACATATTCTTCGTCATCTTCCCAGTGCCAATTGCGCAACATCATCTCTGGCAGCGCCAACTTTGTCGGCCACATTGTAAAGACTTCTTTGCACCTCTCCAAATACATAGCGCAGTAACTGGATCTGGCGATCTCTTTCACTTATAGCACTTCCATTTCGATCTCCATAGTTGAATCGGTCGTTCAATTCCCGCTCTTTTCCAATCACCTTTTCTTCAAGTCCTTGGACGAAACCCTCGATCTCCCCAAGAAGCTGTCGATTGCCTTGGATCATGTCTTGCATCTCCTCTGCTCGTGTGTTGAATAATTCAAGGAGACTCTTTGGGCCCTGGATTTCTTCGGCATCTTCACCCGGTAGTTGAATGGTATGGCCTTGAGCATGACCGCCACGAACACTTCCTCTCAATGTCTGCGGGTTGTTCCACCATCCGCTCAGTCCAGCTCCACCGTACATGCCGCCGCCATTCAAACTCTCATTTTGTGTGTGGCTCACTTGATATTGTCGGGGCATTTTCAATCGGTCGATGGCCCTAAAAACACATTTGGCTTCAAGTTCTACTTTCCTCATGTCACCGTCTCTAGCTTCGACAATGGCTTCAGCATCGTTACCCAATCCGGCTTCCGCTTCTTCAAGTTTCTGGCTGACAAAATCCACGCCATTGGGAAGTGTCTCTCCCGCTGCAATGACAGTGGGAAGAAGGTCGGAGACTTCAGAGGCAAGTTTGATTTGGTTAAGAATAAGAGTGTCGACGCTTTCGATCTCTTTCTGGAGATCCGGAGTGAGTTGGTCGAATTTCGTCGTAGATCGTAAGTGAGCGAGATCTATTTGCGGTTGAGAAGATGTTCCGGTGGTGGCGGTTGTGGTTGGGTTGGCAGCTGGTTGGGTTGTCGTTTGACCGCTACCAAACGAATGTCAGTATTTGTATTAAACGATTGATGAATCAGCATCGGATTTGGGTTTGGGGGCCGACAGGACTGAAGCAATCCGTGACATGAAGCCCAAGAACATTTCCATTCCACGAGAGACAAAAAGTCGCATGGGGATACCTACAATAACGATGTGCTGGGATTTGCAGGTGCGGCAGTGCTGAGGCCCAAACTGAGTGCGGGTTTCGTTGAACTCGTGCCGAAGAAAGACATTTTGGCCGATGAATCAGTTCGAACAGAAAAAGGGTGGTGAAAGATTATCAGACGCGAGGCGCGATCAGAATTGCATGCTGACGCATAATGCGTGGTAGTATATTGTGTGCAGTGGTGCATTAGCGTCTTATGTGCAAAAGCTTTCTAGCATCCCGACCACGACTTTGTTAGACTTGCAATCGCTCATGTCATGTGAGACGACATTTCTGATTACCTGGATGTTGCAGACCGCCTACATACCTCGCGATTATTCAATGCACCATCTGCGAGGTTGAGCATTCAGTATCCCCAGATCCCCTGCAATATAATTCGATGCTAGGCGGCCATCACGATAGAATGGTTCAACTGCCAAAGCCTGAGAGGAATGTTCCGGCCAAAATGCGTCGCAACAACCTCGGTCTCTCCGGACACGGCTCAGAGAAAATACGGAGAAGACGCCTTCTTCAGAAATGTCCAATGGTCGGATACCAGAGCGAAGGATGCTGAAGTTTCGCTGACAGGTTTCAGGAGTGCAGATGGGACCAGTTTGATCGCCAGTCACGCTGATAATTCTATTCAGACGTTCATTGCGTGCGCGGATCTCTCCTTTGCTTCGGAGTAGCTTGCTAATTCTATCTCCAAAGACCTCCAGACCTACTAGAAGAAAGGCCAGAGCCCCACGACCTATCTCCATATTGCACCATTCATTCCAAGGATCCCGTCAACACGGTAGTCGGGTATCCTTTCTACAACCTCGATGATCCCTCTACAACCTTGGTCCTATCCTCAATGCGTGATCATCCAATTCGTTTGAACTCGGCGTTGACTGGTCATCTGGGTGCTTCCTATCCTCTGGTCAATCCTATGACAGAAACTTTCATCAGCCCGCATTCATTAGCCTTTAGCGGCCAGGGAGATCGTTTCATCGCTGGATCGGAGTCTTTGATTTCCATATTTGACTTGTCCCGGCCAGGTCAAGGTCCCATATCATCAGTCGCGACTGGTCCCAAAAAGAGGAAAGACATCGATTATAGTGGAGTTGTGAATATGCGAGGAATTGTTTCGGCTTTGGCAGTTGATACCTCAACTTCTGTGCTTGCGGCTGGAACATACAACCGGCATGTTGGCCTTTATGATGCCATGGGTCAAGGGGACTGCATCGGCGTCTTTTCCGTCAAGGGAACAAATGCTGACCATCAAATTGGTGGCACCGGTATAACACAGGTCTCTTGGAGTCCGTGCGGAAGATATCTCTACATTGCCGAAAGGAAAAGTGATGGTGTCGTTCTTTATGATATTCGTATGACTGGTCAACTTTTGGCCTGGCTGGAAGGTCGAGCTGCCCATACCAACCAGAGATTAGGTTTTGATGTGGTGGCCACTGATGACCAGGGCGGCCATGAAATATGGGCCGGAGGAGTAGATGGGTTCTTCAGAATGTGGAAGCATCCTCATGAGAACGATGGTCCAGTGTCTCCCAGTTTCGAATTTCAAGGGCACAATGGTAAGTCTTTCCGCGTATCCATGAATTGAGGCATACGCTGATCTCAACCAAAGATGCCGTCTCAGGTGCAGCCGTGCACTGTAGTGGTGGTGTCATAGCCACATCATCTGGTCAACGTCATTTCGACTTGGGATTTGAAGATGAGCGGGTGCTAGACGCTACTTTCGATGATTCGTTGAAGGTCTGGGCACTGTGAAATTTCCGTATTTTGATCAGGGGATTGACCCTTGATTCGCACAACAAATATATGCTAATTTTCATGATCATGTCTGCCTTCCAACCATCATCAAGCCGATATAGACAATCTCAACCTTGAGTGATTCTGTGCTTGTAAGAGGCCCACCGAACACCAACGTGTATTCATCACCCGCACACTTTTTCAAAAATGAACCGTGATTGTATTCTGTTCAATATCCTCTTGCTCTTATTCCTTGCTTGATCCACTGACTAGGCGCTCCCTGCTCTCGGCCCCAGCTCGCCTCTCTATTCGATCACACCGAGTGTCAACATTTCAGGATCTGCAGTATCGAGTTAACAAAGACAATCTGTTTTGTTCCGAAAATAGTTGTATCTCAAACGTAGACACAGCAGACAACCCTTCAGGCTGAATGCATGGTGGGGGTGTCTCAGTACGCCATACCTTTCTGGGCCTAGCGTTGAGGAAATTGATTGGCTTTCCTTCAACGTCCTTTGTCTTTGTGTTGTCGGAATAGTCAGTATCTTCGCCTTCCTTCTGCCTATTCTATTCGACATCTTGAGTGTCAGGAGGTGTGAATGTTGGAATTCCTCACACATGTTGTCAAAGTTCGGCCCATTACCCTTGAATTGTCGGGGAATGCCAAACCAAAAATCTTCTCCCACATCTTCAATCCATCCGCAAATCGTCTCTTGTTGTTTGTTTCTGCACTGTCCTATTCGTCGATTGGCAGCCTTTCTTGCCTAGATACACCTTTCTGTCCTCAAGTGCTCCCGTGTTTAGGGAAGCTGCGATTCCACATCGTCCCTGCATTGGCCGGCTGTCCATCCATTCGCTTCTGTGGTTCTGGATTCTGCTATAACGAAGCTTTCCTGTTATTTTAGGCTGCTGAAAACGCATAGGTCTCGCCTTTTCCCGTTTTCTTCTGGTTCTCCAGGGTGATTCCCCTCGTTTCCCCCTCGGTTATGTCGTCGACGTCATCAAATCCTGCTCGACGCAAGGCGGATCCTGGTGACTTTGTCAACCTATTGCTGAGTTTGCCGCTGAGATTCTCTGCCACACCAAAAAAGAAAAGCTCATCCGCCTTCCCACGGTCAATTCTCATCCTTTGTCACTCAGCCAGCAATCTCATCTCCAACAGGCTCTTTGTTAAGCGCTTTGCCCAATGTCCATCAGTGCCTCGAAGCTCGATAGGGAGTGCATCGAGGCGTCTGAATCTCTCTGGAATGATTCATGGACCTTTCCTTGCAGTTTGAAATGAGTGACAGACTTCGAACGTTTGAATACGTCTTAACATCCCTCCTCTTTATCCTGAACGGCTATAAGTGCATACACACCGAAGCTCATCAAAGCTTAACCATCAAGAGAACCTACCCGGTCATCAAGCCTCTTGAGACTGCAAGACACGATCACACATTACAACTACTTGTATGGAACAAACATTTCAACCTCCCAAGATGTCAACCTCCCAGCTTCGGGCCAACACCGGATACCCCTAGCATCAGATGCTTGAAATCTTTTCGTTCCAGATGACAAGGAAACGACAATGGAGCATGTGCAGCCTCATCGACTGCTATCTATGACTGCCTTCACATGCCACGGCATGATAATGAAGCGGCCAGCCGGGGGTTGCCGGCCTTGTCACTCCCAGTGCACAATTCACTGTCTTCTCGCACAGTATACCCAAAAAATCATCTTGGCAAGACTGGAGTGGTATTTAGTTGTACTCTTCACAACCTCTCCGATCTCGCCTCGTCACTGAACGATTTCGAAATTTATTGCTGTCCCCTCTGACCTTTCGACAACAAGAAGAAACGGAGCCATGGCATCCTACCAGACCCATGGCTTGTCGGCTCTCCACGATGAAAGCAATTGTCCCGAGATCATCCAAAATTTCCAAGCAGAGAATGAGGCGATCGCAATCTTACAACGAGCACAACGCATCCCCATCGAACAACAAGGGGCAACTGCCTGGGTCGGCCTTAGGGCTGAGGAAATTCCCTCATCTGGGGAATTGATGTCCGGCCTCCCTGTAGACCAGAACACAATTTTCTCAAATGAGCTCGCGGCGCGCAAGTATCGCGAGGTCCTATTGCCGCGCAAGCAGCAGCAGGATGAGACGATCCCCCAAAGTCCAGAGATGCTTCGGGCCCATGTCAAAGTCCTCTTCAAGGCATTCAAATGTGTCCCCGAGACCTGTGAAGACAGCCCCCAGATGAAGAAGGACTTCATCAACCAGAAACATAACAACGTGGTGGTCGAATGTTTGTGTTGGGAGATTTTACGTGCCTGCATCGAACGTTCCGAGAAGGCAGAAAACCTGGTTGAGGCATGGGAGCCAGCAAAATTCAAATACAAACATCACAACTGGTCCTTCGCCGAGCGCTTCGACAACATTGTCACGACCATGACCAATTCCAAAACCATCTGTAAACATCTATTCGACACCCGATACCTCTATAGAATTGTCGATGAGCCCCTCACAGGCGACTGCCGTGTCAAGTCAAACCGAAAGCTCAACCAGATGAAAGCAGAGGTCATGAAAAGAGGGAAGGCGGCACTGGAAGAGGACGAGAAGACGGCAACACGCTGCAAATCTGCAACAGGGATCCCAGAGCAGGGCAGTGAAACCACATCTTCTGCATCGCCTCCACAACGTCGCCGTCGCACTCGCAAGCATGCTACCACTGCCGTCCAGCAAACAATGGCTCCTCAACCTGCTACTCAGGCAATGAGATTTCCATCGTCACTGGCGACCACCACGATGCCGACACCGCCTCTGCATGCGTCACAGTCTCTACAACCCATGGCTATGCCACCTATGACGCAGACTTCGCCTGGTCTTGTCATCCAAAGTTCGGCAGAGCTGTTCAACACTTTCCCAACGACTCCGTCCAGAACCGGCCCTGCAGCAGCTCAACCGCTACAGCAACGCCAGAGAAGTCATCCTCAAGGAATGAGTTACTCCGGATCATCCAACCAAGTTGTTCGGCCTCCGATGACATATGCCGCACCCCTTCGACCTGGTCCTGGAATGCAAATCTTTCCTTCGACTCAAGTCCATCCACGAGCTGCCTCCCAGACACCATCTTCGATGTCGTCTGGACATACGCATGCCATTACACAGGGTGATCCAAGCTCTAGGTCGTCGGATTCGGTAGCAAATCTTTCACCAGAGAACAGCGTGACGTCTCAAGGTCATAACAACACAGTTGCTCCAATATCAGAAGAGGAGATGTTGTCGTCTCTGATCAGGGTCAAATATCAGCAGCCAAATTGGAATGCCCTAGCCGGCTCAGGTCCCAAATCCCTCGAATCAGGCTGGAGTCAATATCCAGACATCGATCCACATCCGGCGATGCCAGGCAGTCAACGAGATACTAAACTGAACCTCCCTCGAGTGACACCAACTTCGTTTACCGGATCTGATGAACACGAAGATTAGTGGTGATTGGCAACATAATACTTTTCTTGGAGCCTACAGCGTACCAAAAAACTTCAGAAAATAACAATTCCCCCCGGGACCAACAAAAAGAAACTTTTCCTTTTCTCAAGTCAATGATTCACAGCACGTGGGACACAGCACAGCAAGGGGCCTCCAAAGTACACAGCGCAAGCTACGGTTTATGAGTCACGGAATATGAGATCATGACAGAGACACCCCAAGTGCATTCATCGAGTTTCTTTTATAACATTGCACGACATTGAACACGGTCAGGGACTTTGGACATTATCATTGACATCATCCTGAGTTCCCGGATTGGAAAGACAAATACATTGATTCAAACAACGGGATAAGCGATAGCTTTTGATACAAACATGGACATAGGTATGAGAGATGGGAGGAGTTTTCTTGTATTGAGGACACTGAATTGCACGCAAATGCTGAAATAGTGGTTATGATGGCTGAGCCAACATCAAATCGACCCAGTCTGACAACAAGTGTCCAAAAGCCACATGAACTGAAACGAAGGAGCATATCGAACACAGTTTTGGCTCTGGTTGCTCATAGTGTCGTAGATTCGAGGTTCTTAGATCGACAGATAGCAGCACTATTAAAAGACGTCCATAGGTTCACGCTTCGACCTTCAATTCCAGACGGGAGGATTTTTCATTGCTTCTCTCCCTCTCGACTGTTCATTTTATATCGCTTGCCTTATGAATCTTCAATATCACATTCTGAGTGACTTGCGTCAAAGATCACTCTGCCTTGCCATGCGCAACTTTTCCTACCATCAGGCTGGCTTCCACGAAAGCATATCATAATGCTCAACTTCCTCCCTGTCCACTAGCCATCTCCTTCTACCGACAGAGAGTCCTAGGCCCTTCGCAGAATCTGCGGTTTCGAAATACAAAATCCATCTGTTCTCCTGCTCCCAGACCGCCTATGCTTGAACGAACCTGCACCGGCACCATCACCTGAGCAAACTGGGTCTCGGCTGCGAACATGAACGAAAGGGCAATATGGAAAGAAAAGGCCGGGTCTAGAGTTCTTAAGGTTCAGGAGAGAGATACATAAGGTGACAAGTAGTGTTCGAGGAGATTGAGAACGAGAACTGAATGTACCTTTGGTCCAGAGAAATGACAGATGGGGCTTCATATATCATCTTCTCATCCCTTCCAAGATGCAGGGTCATTCATCTGGCTTCTCATCTCAAGACTTCCATGTCCCAGAGCTTTCATTCAAATCCAGTTCATGGCTCTTGACATCTCAGACTCACACCACCTCTTGGTCTCTCTAACCATTCTTGCCCCTTCCACCGTCGAAACTCAAACTATACCCGCCTCCCTCACCCTGCACAACCTTAAAATTATCCGTGCTCAGTCCAAACGGTTTTAAAATCCCATTGCCCAACTCCTTCAACTTCCCCATCATCTCGCCGACTTCTTTGTCCTTGGCCTCATTCACGCGCGGAGGTAACGTCATCAGCGCCTGCCGTACGGTCTTCTGGTCCGGCAACGGCAGCGTGTTGAAGTAGTGTGGCGTTGAGAGCGTCTTGTAATCTTCTAATGCGGCGGAGAGATTAGACCAGTTATGCGGCTCGAGTTCGGATCGGGCACGGGCTCGTCGTAGGAGCAATTTTGTGCGGATCCGGTGGATGTCGGATTTGTGAGCGTCGCAGAGTTGGAGCGATTTTAGGGCTTCAAGTGTACTGGCTTCGTCGGCGTCGGAGGGCAGTTCGACGACGGCAGCATCTCCTTCATTTTCTTTCCCCTGGGGATTTGGGGAAGGCGGTTCAGACTCGGTGTCTGAACTTCCATTCCCCGAATTCCTTTCACCGTTCACCTTTTTGGAGGTGCCAGAGGTTTTGTTGCCTATCTCTGATTTCTTCTCCTTGGGCTTCGTAGGCATTTCCCTCTCTAGACATTCGAGTCCTCTTTCACAACTCTCTACCGCCTCCTTCCATTGCTCGAGTTTCAAATGACATACAGCGATGTTGCTTTGCAACACGGCCATCTCATAGTCCAAGTAACTAGGGAGTTCTGTCAGAGCACGGTCATATGTCCCGATTGCAGAGCTGTAGTCTTGCTTTGCGAATTGTGTGTTGGCTTGGGCTTTGAGGTCGTGTGAAGATGAGAGCATGCGGTTCTCTTCGTCCGGGGGAAAGCGAGCTGAGTGGAAGGAGGCGATGGAGGAGGTTGAAGAGCGTCGAGATTGCGAATGGGATTGCGACCAGGTTGGTGGAAGAGGCATTGTATTTGTGGGAGACGGTGGTTTGTGAGGACGTCTAACTGGCTCTGGACGAGTTTTGGGTCCGATGCCTTTGAACGACATTGCGGGAAGAAATGGTTTGTGGTATACACTGTGTTAAAGTAGTGATTGTGACGTTGAAAATGTATTGTTGACTTACATGCCACGAACGCGAAACAGGCTGTGGGAAAGATGACAACGACAATTGGGTATCTCCGAGAATCATAACCCGAAAGATCCAAATGCTCCCAAACTAACTAATCGAGCCGAACGAACGGCGGCAGACGAACGAGGAATCAAGTTTTTTTTTTTAACATGCACGGTCTGGAGTTAGATTCTGTCAGTACAGAAATACTCGTCGTGTTTCTTCCTCGTCTTCATTCTCATCCTCGGTCCCCTTCCTTTTCGTTCCCTCGGGCACTCTCACGCTCTCCTGTCGGGTTCTTATATACTCAATATGGCTTCCACGGCCTCTAATCAAACGGGTAGGCGAGAGTATGCTCCGCATCATCCCCCTCGTCCATGCTTGGTTTAACATCTCACGCAGTTTCCCGCCTGTCCGCGCCTGCATCTTTGATATGGATGGTCTCCTCATCGACTCGGAAGATGCCTATACGTTGGTAACAAACACTATTCTGCGAGAAAACGGCCGTCCTGATCTGCCGTGGCACATTAAAGCCCAACTCCAAGGCCGCCCCGGTCCAGCCGCGGGGAAGATCTTTCACGAATGGGCACAACTACCCATCTCGCGCGAAGAATTTCTGAAGCGGCAGGTCGAATTACAAGCCGAGGCATTCAAGAATTGCAAACCTCTTCCCGGTGTAGAAAACCTGTTGCGACGACTGCAGAAAAGTCACACCAGGTCAATGAGCCCGAGTGGCGGGAATAGAAAGATCAGATTGGCGTTGGCGACGAGTTCGCATTCGAGAAACTATGAAATCAAGACGGCCCAGATCAGAGAGCTGTTCAATGCTTTCCCGGACGGGCACAAGATCTTGGGCGATGATTACCGTATCCCCAAGGGACGAGGAAAGCCCTTACCGGACATTTATCTATTGGCGCTGCAGGCGATCAATGAGACAATTATGGCGGAAGGAGACGGTGAGAGGCCTATAGAGCCGCAAGAGTGTCTTGTATTCGAGGACAGTGTGCCTGGTGCCGAAGCCGGGCGGAGGGCAGGCATGAGAGTTGTTTGGTGTCCTCATCCCGGGCTGCTAGACGTGTACAAGGGCAAAGAAGAGGAAGTTTTGGCGGGTCGAACGGGAGAACATAAGGAGGACGATCTAGATCATGCGGAGGGGATCCCACTGGCAGGAAGTCCAGGCCATGTGGGAGACATCCAGGATGGGTGGGCAGAAATGCTGCCCACTCTGGAAGATTTTGACTTCTTCAAGTACGGAATCGAGCTCTCGGAAATGAGGTACACTTCTGAGCATGGTCAGCCCGCGGTCGATCGCACAACGGACAAGGAGTTGGAAGAAATGACTGCTCTGGCGGACGGAAAAAAGCATGCACCCGAGGAACCGTTGCCTTCACAAATCCGGGCAGTGGGTATGTTGTGAAAAGTGTATTTGGGGAAAGGGGGAGGGTGTTGACACGTAAATGAAGGCATTTAGCGGGAGGTGTCCAGGCCCTAAAAGAGTATGCATTTCAATCTTCGGCTCTGAGTAAAGGCGTCTCTTCTGAATACCCCGGAAGTTCACCTTCGCCGTCCATGCTAGCATTTTCATGCGCCATCCTTGCTTGCAGATGCTTCCGTTCCTTTCTTCGGTGCATAATTTCAAAATAAGATCCCATCACCAGCAAGGTGCCCTGCAGACACCCTGTGACAAGGTATACTCCCCACGCGCTCCATCCTTCACTTCCTAGGCGGGTTGCTAGACTTCCTGCCCACACGAAACTGCCGGGCGTCTGTATGCACATCATAGGTATGCTTAGACTACCGACCCTCCTCAGCGTATACGTGGTATATATCTGGGGAAAGTACTGGATAGAGGCTAGGGCGGTGGAGAAGATTCCGAGGAAATTCGCCCAGGCTTGCGCATGTTCGGGCCGTGCGTAGACGAAATAGAAACTCAGAATCGCAATGATCGCGGCGTGCATGACTGAAATGGCCGTGACGGTCAGCGCGGTGCGATAGGACGGAGCCAGAGGGTCTTTTGGTGGTGAATCTTGATCATCGTCGAGCGGGGGTGAGGAACGAGGGAAGAAGATGAGGAAGAGCAGGAGGCTGTGAGAGTGTAAGCAAATCAGGCTTTCTACCAAAGTCAAGACCCGAGACAAAGCTGATGATGCCGAGGACGTACATGACGGTGAAACAACTCCATTGCACGCCCACCTGTGCGATGCCTAGCAATCCAGCCAGACATGCAAATTCGTCGACTTCACGGCAGCAAGCGATATCAGCACGGCTCTTGGGCAATACGAGGATGTTTGCGAACGCGCAGGTGCCACTGGTGGTGCCTAGCAGAACGAAGTATGGCGACAACCCGTACGAGGATCGCAGGCGGATGATGCGAATGTGCTGTGGAAGGTAGGAGATGAGGATGCCGAGGAGGATGAAACTGGAGAGGACCAAGAGTTAGTTAGAGATTACAAGGATGTCAGAGAAGTCAGGCGACGAACAGGCTGACCCCGAAGTTGGTGTAACTAACTCGGGCGATGTCTTCGCAGCTGGGTTCCATCTTGAAGCTGGCTACGGTGGACAGGTTCTGAATCATTGTTGGGAGGCGCTGGAATTCCTATCTAGAGATGGCCATTTTGATTCTCGGAAGGTTGAGTTATGAAGTTCAATGGGTAGATGGACGTTCTTGAAATGGGGAGGTGGATACGAAGCCATGCGCTGTTGATGCATCCGGAAAGGGTTTAGTTCCATCTCGGCCCAGTTGCCGACGCAGATGATGTCATTGATATCTCGGTAGTCAAATCGAATATCACCAAAGTCCGACCGGGGAGCGGATGGGGAATGTGGTGAAATAATATATTGGAGGGATATGGACATGTGAAATCCAAACCAGCCCTTCTATGCAGAAACCCACATAGCGACATCTATGAAACAATTCTATTCCTTTGAGTCTCTGCGTCTTGCTGTACCGTTCCGCTATTTTGATATACATTAATAGTCTTTCTGAGCATATCTACTTCTCATTCTCAGCTGCTCGCCATACTGCAACATTGTTAGCGTTGATCAAATTGATAGCGGGAACAGGGATATTAACCTTGAATAACAAGAATGGAATTGGGATAAACGCAAGAGCGAGAAATCCGAGAAGAGAGCTCGCCCAACCAATTCCGAGATTGTTGTACATGGCCGTTGCAAACAATGGGAACGCCGCGCCGAACGATGATCGGATCAAATCGTTGCCAGCTAACACGCTTGCTGCATAGGCTGGGTAGGCGTCTGCAAGGTAGTTGAGAACCGAGTTGAACAACAGGAACGCTCCCACGGAAAACCATACAGTCCCGATGATTGGTACAATCCAGTGGACCTCTGCTTTTGCTGACCATCCGAACCAGAATAAGCATATTGGGATGCAAAAAGCGCCCACAAACGAGGGTGGAAGTCGCCACTCCGGCTTGAGCTCGCCTTTGTCGTTGAACTTTGGCTCAATGTATTTCCGCTGATACCAGATGAACGGTGGGAGGGTGATAAACGCACCAATGAGGATACCGAGGAAGGCCGTTCCCTCCAGTCCCAGGCTGAATCTGTAGATTCCGCTGAAGACGATTGGAAAACTCTCAAACCAGATGTACAAAAGGCCGTAGATGAGGGCGATGTAGAGATTCAACAGAAACACCATGGGCTCGGTAAAAGAGAGGGTGAAAGGACGAACCAACACCATCATGACAATTTCCCGACCAGTCATCTGTTCTCCGACAAGTTGAGGTTCGCAAATGAGTTTGTCATTGCGCGTCAACCTCCGAAGTCGCATCGTCCGTCGATAGAGAATATTGGCCGAGGAGGTCTCGGGCATCAAAAATGTCAGCAACACGAGACAAAATCCAGAGAGCCACATCAGCTCCCAGATTGTCCAAGTCCAACCTTTTGCCTCCGCGGCGAACCCTCCGACTAAAGGACCCATTGTCGGGCCACACACGGCGCTCACCCCCCACACGGCGATACCGTACGTTCTCTTGGCAGGTGTGTACATGTCACCAATCGAGGCACCACCTGTGGCAAGAGAGGGAGATCCCACAAATCCCGTGATAAATCGGAATGCCAAGAGCATGCCGAAGTTGGTCGCCAGCGCAGTGGGAACCTGGAGAACAACAAAGAGTGCCAGAGTCGCGATGTAAACCGGCGCCCGTCCGATCTGGGGAATTTCCGACATTGGACTCCAAAGCATAGGCCCTGTTGCATACCCCAGCACAAACAGTGTAAGTCCGAGAGTAGCTGCCACTGGGCTAACCCCGAAAGTTTCGCTTACATCCAGGATGCCGGCAGCATAGATTGCGGAGCCAATGAAAACGGCAAACGTCAGGAAGCATATCTCGAACGTGACCCAGATCTTCCTGAATGTACCCCAATTTCGAGGATTTTCGGGGTCGTCAGGCCCATACCAGTCGACCATATCTGCACCTCGTCCTTTCTCCAGGTTAACCCGTTGGCCACTAAGAGTGCGGACGAGCGGATTGTCATTCTCGACTGTTGTTGATAGCGTTTTGGAGGGCCGCGATGCTATTGAGGTGGAGCTCGAATCTGACGGAGAGCGAGTGTTGAGCTCTTCCTTGTCCTCAGCCGAAAGAGGATTCGATTGGAGAACCCCCGGGTCGATAGGCCGGGTGCTCAGCTCTTCTTTTTCCGCAGCTGAAGGTGGGGCCGTGACGCTATGAACTGCTGACTTTTCGCGCTTGAGATACTTCTGCCATATCAAAGGATCGCGTTCCTCAGGGTACTGGAGGATGCACCGGTTTGTGATTAGCCGTAGCAACTGGCCAGCCACCGTATCACGAAATAGCTCCAGCATGGTTGGATGAGTGCCTTATTAGCTTGGGAAGAGAGAAATCTAGAAATTGCCCCCAACAATAGGCGAGATGAGGGCACCACGTAGAGAAAAGAAATAGGATCAACCTAGAGATATATACCCATGATATTCCTATAAATTTCGGGGATACACATACCTTAAATGTCATTGCGGCCTGACAGGCCTCATAATCCGAGCGGTCAGTAACCGAGACGAAACCGGATGAAAAGAGTCCACAGTCTAGAAAACTGATGATGATTGTGAGGGTGGATGTTAGTAATACCTAGGGAGGCCTGACCAAGTCGGCCACTATCCGATGCTCAGCCTCGCATGTGACTCGGAGGATTCCCTTCTTGCTGTCAGCAATTCGGTCTCGTTATCTTCCGGAAAGCTGATTTTCGGTTCAGGGCCCTCTTTACGCAGAATCCCTTCTGACAAAAATCTATCCTTTGGATGCCTTGCATAAAAGTCATTGGCCTTCATCAAAATGACTTTGGATATGGAGAACGTGACTCTTGGCTGTCAGCTTTTGGCTCTCATTTTTTTTTTTTTTGTTTTTTTTTTCCCCTCTCAGGCTCCGCCGTTTTCAGGCCCCAATTGAGCAATGGGATTCACTCATTCGTTGTTTTCACTTTTATCGACATAACATGTATTCTCAAAGTGATGACTCATCCTTCTAGACTCGAAGCCAATTCCGCGTCTCGAACCTGTTGGTCTTCGGGATATCCTCAGACAAGACGAAGAAAGGTCCCGAGAATGCATCTGGGGACGGATTTCCGCCCAGCTCCCTCCGTGGCATTTCATTGTGATAGCCCGTGTGAGAGACTTTCCGGCTTTGTATTGGGCAATACGTAGACGGGTTGCCCACCCCTGTTTCAAGGCGGCTTCTTCATCACAGATGCATTCCATCTCGGCTGTCATCGTGGTCATCATCTCCCATACGCTCCATCATCTGTCTTCTCAACTGCTCGTCGGTGAGTCTCCCACCTGTTCTTCCAACTGCTTGTGATGCGTCCCCACTTGTTGCTGGGCTCGGCGAGGTCCCATTCGTCTTGCCGTCACCATCTCCATCGTGCCATCTGGCCCCTCTTCTTTCAACCTCTCGTTTCAATAGCTCAATTCTCTCCTGTTGGCGCTCGATTACCACTTTGTTTTCTTGAATTGCATCCGAGCAGTCTTTGTCACTCTCTTCCCTGGTATTGTCCGGCAGAGTAGTGTCTGAACGGATACTCTCAATATATTCCTGGAGCTGCCTGTTCGAGCGCTCGAGATGGACAATGGAGTTTGCAATTTCGTGGGCTTTAGAGTATAAGTTTTCGACTGGGAGGTCTTGGATGGCGAGAGCAAAACGTTCTGCGGAGATGGGTTGGGATTCAGCCGACATTTTCGCAAATGAGGTTATAGGCTTCTGTGGTTGGATAAATATCAAGTTTTGTTATAAAAGCCGGTCCCCTTCGCTTTGAAATCAAGTAAAGAAAGCCATCCTCTTGAGAGTGGAATACAAGTTGAGAAATGCAAAGTGCGGGGAAGGCTTTGACGTCAATGTCTAAAAGTCCCGCCGTAGAGACATAGGCCAAACAGGAGCAATGGCATTCCTTCATGATAGAAAGTCACAAATCATATTCCACCCTATATCCCGCCATTTATCATCTCACTCAAGCATAGGCGTCAGAGACTTCCTCTTCCTCCATGGCTCGGGCATCATCGTCCTCCATGCGTGCATAGTCGAGTATCCCATCGTCATATTTCTCCTCCTTCCGATGAGGAATGATACTTTTCTCAATACCAAAGCTTTTAATGATATCCTCCCAAACATCAAAATCAAGGGTAAACACGGCTTGGTTTCGCTGCATTTCTTGCCTCTCCGCGAAGGAACGACTGGCTGCAATCCCCAGAGTGGGGAGGCCATCACGGTCAAAATCCAGCGCTACTTTTCCTTCTTTGATCAAAAAGCTCACGTAAAACAAGTTTTCAACCGTCTGTCCGAACGATTTGGGGTTGACACAGAAGTCGAAGAGCGGCACACATCCATTTTCCGCCATCCCATGGCGGCGCAGAATTGCCCGCACTTGTTCGTCTGTTACGTCTTCATCTTCGTCATCGAACTCTCTCGATGCGTTCCTTCCGCCCTCGGTTTGCACATTTCTCAGAAGCCGTGCAATCTCCGTGCAGATCTCCGTCAGATTCGCTGATTCTTGTTTCTCCAAGTCTTCATCTCGTAACTCCACTGGTCGGAGAGCCTGCGTGCCTTCGGTTCGAGCCTCACGGGCTTTTCGCTGGGTCTGCTGTCGTACCTTTTTCTGCACCGACAACGGACCAAGGAGAAAGCCAGTCAGACAGGGACGAGAGTTGTAGAGGAAGCACGCATTCGTCCCCAGGTATTCCCAATTCATTGTGTCGCCCTCGTCACCGCCTTCCACGTCGCCGTCATGACGTCGTCTCCGCCGTTGCGTTTGTGTGCTCGGAGGTTCATTTCGGTCGTGCCTATCATTTCGATGTTCTTGTTCGTCCCCTCGTTTCATAAAGAGAATACACTTGGTGACGAAGTCATCGACGTCAATTCCCGTCATGGCATGACCCAGGGTTAGACTATTTATCTTTTTGTACGAGAGGTCCGCCGTCTCAACCAGTAACCTTGAGTCAATTGCGGCTTCCGAAGTTTGCTTGACATTTTTGTACAATTCATCGGCTTCTCGGAGAGTCTCCTCTAGCCCTGTAGATTCAGGTCGAAGGTATTCGCTCTTGGAATCATGTAGTTTGGCGAAGAGGTTACGTAGACCTTTGCGAACAAGCCTTCGTTCTTCAGGGGCTTGGTTAGGGTCATAGTACTGCTTGTCGATTTGGTGTGCTGCCTGGCTTGGGGCATCTTCTCCATTCACTTTCCTCCTCTTGCGGGCACTTGATTCAATGGTAGACAGATCGGGCATGGATAAGGTAGGGCTCTTTCGCTTCCCTTTTTCTCTTGGAGAGGGCCGAGAATAAGTCCGATTCTCCTTATCTGAACTAATGGTATGTTCGGCAGAAGAGGGTGGTTCTGAGGTGCGTGGGGTATCTCGGTCGGGAGAAGTAGATTGCCCGTGACTCTCACTATCAGAGGAAACAGCCTGAGTGTTCAGACGTGCCATGGTCAACACATCGCTGGCTGCAAGTGGGCGGAAATGTTACTAGGAAAGGGCGAGAGTTTCCACAAGGTAGGGTCTCAAAAAGGAACGGCTCAATCTGGCCGATGGGAACTGTTTTGATACCGTTGAAGAAACCAGTCGTACCGCGTCAGGCTGTGACAGAAAGGACCCCAAACGCATGCCTTCAGGCTGCATTCAACAACCACGCGATGCGAGGCTTGGCGCGTTAGAAAGAACTAAACCAATTTAGGCTGCCATATGTTGGTTTTGTCTTCAATACTTTCATCTATATCCTGATGATCGTCATTTGATGTTGTATTGTCTGCGCCTCAAAGCGCCATAAAGGATGTTTTTATCTAGCCTAGAGTCATGGATACATACACATTCGCAACATCGCCTCAGATCGATTTTCCAGTCTGTGTGAAGATGTAGGTAGGATCTGCCTGCTGACCAGAGCTCCCTCAAATGTGTCTCCATCGGCCGATGATCCACGTTTATTGAATTAGATGTGCTGATTTAGGAACTAGTAATACCCTGGAAGGCAGACAGACTCCGGTTCCGTATTCTATCTTGCTCAAACATCCGGAGATCCGCCACATAGGCTCAGTTCAAAGTCCTACTTCAGAGCTCTACGTAACCGCTCAAATATGGGCCGAATCCAAGCCGTTGGGAGTATCTATGCAAACACCCCATATCTTTTTTAAGAACAGCCGAACTTGGAACAAGTGGCTGGAACTTCCGGTACAGATCAAGGACTGTCCAATTTCCTCACAAATCGCCATTACTATCTGGGACATTTCTCCATGCCCGAACAACGGTAGCATCGACCACAGTGTGCCATTTGGGGGAACCACGATTCCTCTGTTCGACAATGACGGTACTCTACGGAAAGGTCGGCAAAAGTGTAAAGTCTATCGACACAAAGTTGCTGATGGTCAACTCCCCTCAAGTACTCCGCATATTCTGAAACCGAAAAGACGAAAACGAAATGAGGAACTCCCTCCCGTCATTCCAGAGGAAGAGGAACTCGAAAGACTTGAGCAGCTTTTCAAGAAACATGAAATGAATGAGATCCCACAAAACGACTGGCTTGATCAATTGGTTTTCCAGACAGTGGGCAAGAAAGCACGGGAAGTGGATGAAGCGGCGAGGAAACGCTCCGCCCTGAACAAGGCTTCCAAACGAAAAGCGTCTGAGGCCGAATCGAGAGGCATTCAGAATGGAGTTGTCGATGGCCAGGCCGAGTCGGATCAAGAAAGTGGTCCAGATGACGAGACGGATGATGAGCACTTTACCCTGTACATTGATTTTCCGCGATGGGACTTTCCGGTCATTTTCGAGGACCATCAATATGAACCTTCAAAATTGATGAAAGAGTTTCAAAGCACCCCTTCGGCCTCTCTTGTCGGAGCAAAACCTCCACCCGAAGTCCGATATGGTCCTGGCATAGCAGCCAGGACATCAGTTGTCGATGACGAGGATTATCCTCTCGTCCAAATTTTCGACCCCGAACAGTTCCAGCGGGAAAATCCCTGCGAAACCAAACATCGCCGTCTCGTCCGCAGCGACAGAAATGCGTATTTCGACAGTGACCAGAAGCCGAATGCGAAATTGAGGGACGAACTCAACGAGATTCTCTCCTATGGACCTACTCAAGAGCTGAGTCCACAAGAGAAGGATGTCGTTTGGACGTTCCGACGTCATTTGAGTCGTGACAAACGGGCTCTGACGAAAGTGGTCAAAGCTACAGACTGGAGCAATCCGAACGAAGCTCGACAAATGGCAGAGCTGATTCCGAGATGGGCCAAAATCGACGTCGATTCGGCTCTGGAACTTCTTGGTCCCACGTATGACAGCCCTGTTGTTCGAGCCTATGCCGTCGACCGACTCCGGCAAGCCGGTGATGCTGAGCTACAGCTGTATCTTCTTCAACTTGTTCAAGCCTTGAAGTTTGAGAAGCACGATAAGCAGGAGGAAGGCCTGCCGGCTTCATCCTTGGCGAAATTTCTCATTGACCGTGCTGTGAACAACTTTATCCTGGGGAATTATTTGCACTGGTTTTTGATGGTTGAGTGCGACGACCAGGGTCCGGATTCCAACGCCGCAAATCGAAAACTGTTTGCTAGAGTGGAGTACTATTTCATGGTGGAGCTGGAGGAGCGTGATCCGGAGCAGCGCAAAACGTTGTTGAGACAAGCTGAAATGATCGCGGTTCTATCAAGAATCAGCAAGGAAGTTGGATTCAGTCGGAGCAATCGGATACACAAGATCGAGTTACTCAAGAAATACCTGGCCGATCCCAAGAACGACCTGATCAAAATCGAACCCCCAATCCCTCTACCCCTGGACCCAGAGATCGAGGTAAGCGGGATTTATCCCGAAGAAGCCAGTGTTTTCAAATCATCGTTGTCGCCGTTGCTTCTTAATTTCAAAATTGCCGGCAAAACCGATGGTTCAAGCTCTTCGGCACCGGGTCGACCACAATCTCGGGGGAAATATCCCATTATTTTTAAGACCGGAGACGACCTCCGACAAGACCAGCTGGTCATACAGATTATCACGTTAATGAACAACCTGCTTCTCAAGGAAAATCTTGATCTCAAACTTACCCCTTATCGCATTCTCGCCACCTCGCCGTCCGCCGGGGCCGTTCAATTTATTCCATCAACAGCGATTTCGGCCATCTCTGCAAAATACAAGGGATCCGTGCTCGCCTATCTACGGGCCAACAATCCTGATGCGTCGGGGCCTCTCGGGGTCCGCAAAGAGGCCATGGACACCTATATCAGATCATGTGCTGGATACTGCGTAATCACTTACATTCTCGGTGTGGGTGATCGTCATCTCGACAATCTCCTCCTCCAACCGTCCGGACACTTCTTCCACATCGACTTTGGCTTCATCCTCGGACGTGATCCGAAACCCTTTGCTCCCCTTATCAAACTCTGCAAAGAGATGGTGGAAGGTCTAGGCGGAACAACATCTCCGCAATATGCTCAGTTCAAGCAACATTGTTTCACCGCATATACAACCCTGCGCAAATCCAGTTCTCTGGTCTTGAATCTATTCAGTTTGATGGTGCAGAGCTCGGTCCAGGATGTCAGGCTGGTAGAAGAGCAGATGGGAGGTATTGGAGGTGCTGTGGGCAAAGTGAGAGAGAGGTTTAATCTCGATGTCAGTGAAGAAGAGGCTGTAAGGTTGTTGGATCAGGTGTTGGCTGACAGTGTCAACGCTGTGTTTGGGGTGGTCATTGATCGACTGCATGAGTTTGTTCAGGGCTGGAGAGCTTGATATTGCATGTTTTGCATCATAGTGGCGCCCGAGTGCAAAATGCAGTACGATAGAGGATGTGCCATAGCTCAACACCCAGAGCCATAAATGTCATATCAATCGGTATTGCCTGCTTTGCGGCAGTGGTACATCAAACAAAGCAAGGTCATATTAGGCCATGAAGAACAAAATGGGGCAAAGTGTAAACGCCGGTTATCATTGTAAGGGCATCGCATAATATTGTATCTCCAACATACTCCATATCGACACTGTACTTCAGTAGTTAGTACGACTTTGGTCTCCTACAAATGGTCGACAGGGACATCAAATAGTAGCTGCTACTGTGTAAATGAAGACGGTGCACGATCAACTTAAATTGGACCTGAAGACTCGTACATATTGTTGTCCGAGATGCCCATGAATATAGCTGGTCGACCACAAGTACATAGTATATTGGATGGAGGACCCGAGGTATGTCGTTTTCATCCTTTGCAAAGGCTCCATGCTTGATTGCCGCTTTGGAAGTAACGCACGATTGCTGCTCGATCCAGGAGCGGCAAGATGTTTGATTCTATGTCTTCGACTCGGCATGGTCCATGCCGTAGCGTCGCAGGATCTACAGTTACGTGTATCACGTGATTCATTCCACGTCTCTACCCGTAGCTCCGTTCCACGCCTGCCGCTTGTACCGCATCAAATCTCCGGGACTTCAGTGCTCAAAAGTACGCCGAAAAAATGAATTTCGTAGCCCTGGGTGCCGAATTCTTGGCGGGAATCTGCCCTATTTCACTCTGTTCTGAACCTCCCTCCTCATTTGATCCTTCTTCATACTTGTGAGTTACCTTTGATCGCGCATGATGAGTCCCCGACATGCTAACCGTGTTTCTAGACCTTGTGGGAGCGACTCAGCTCAAGAAGTGAGTTCGCTATGGCGGTGTCCCTGCATTGCACAGCGCGGTGGAGATCGTCATTAAGTGTCCTTCGGTATGTTGTCGTCTCATGGTTGTCGGGATTTGCAAAGCTAACGACTTCTCAGGGGCTCTTATCCGCGTATTTTTTGGCTCCTTAAACCTTTTCATCATTGGATTTGCCTTGAGCAAAGCTTTGGAGAAGAGATTGTAAATAAATATGATCGTGCGTTGTGCTTTCCGAGTTTCGTGTCGCACAATGCAGATGAAAATTTGTGTAGAAGGCGTGGAAGGAGAGCTGAAGACCGCCCAAAGAAGCGTACAAAGTTGTAGTTTCGAGGTATTGATGGTGTTTCTGTCTAATGAGACGTGCCTCATTCTCGTCAGAGTCGAAGGAGTCTCGGTCCGTCTGGTGTTGCTTTGCTGTTGGGGCTCCATGCCACAAATTTCGAGTTGTTGCAGGCAGCTCTCCAAATCTGTTTGCGAGATTTGAAACACACTGCGGTGAGTTTTTGTGAGCATTTCACACATTACCAACATGCCCAGCACTCCTAATGAACACATAGGATTGTTCAATCGCTCCGCTCAAGAAGAAATGACCTAATTCCAACAGAAGTTTCGTGTTATGGCGCATCCACGGGCTACCGAAACTGCGAACCAGATTCCACACCTCGCAAGAGCTCTCTCCCGCAAGCCTCGAGAAAAATACAAATGATCACATTGATCCAAGTCTGTCTATTCAGACTCTACATCCCCAGTCTCCTTCAATGGCTGTAAGCAAAGATACAAAATTACTTGTTTCACCGAGTGGTCAAGCTGCTCGATGCCACTTTGCGTGGTTCGAGATCAGAATGTTCCCCCAAGGCTTCACACATGTTTCCATGCGCCGCAATAATGACCCTCATTTTTCCATCTGAGCGGAGTAAGAACATGGGCCTACCGTCTCCCTGAATTCGGCCTCGTTTCTGTCCCGAAAGATACTGCGACCGCTCCGCTAAGGAAGTGTTGGACTCAATCATACATCACCCATCAAAAGATCGGACACGCCGACTCTTGATCCACGATTACAACACATTGGCCCTGGGCTAGTCCTCGGCGAGGGAATCATTAATGCGTATTCTCTCTTTCCACCTAACTTACGCTTCCTTTCTCCCGGGCAAGACCTAAGTGATGGAGGTGAAATGCTCTCCGTACACGATCGCAGTGTGTCGTTGCACAGAAAACGACCGTGTAGGCCAGGCCTAGAGCGATCTAAATCGCCACTGCATAATGCCCAACTGAAAGTTATCGATAAACCATCCTACATGTTCGCGTACATCTAGGGGTCATCCAATTTGATCCAAGTTGGGCCCTATTGTGTCCGATGGTAGTGGGATGTTATATTGCATCTAACGAAAGCTGGTACCTACCATATGCAGTGATTTGCCAGTCATGTTGTCGCCTTGCAGTGGAGCCAACAGGGACCAACAAGTCTTTGAAGAAATGATCCTTAACGATAGCTACAGGAGACTGCTTGGGATGGTGGATCCGGTTGTCAAGTGCACTGTCTCTGACCATTTCATTGGCTCATGTTTTCCGACCATACTTGAGAAATTGTTTCTACGGGATTGTTCGTGATACGCGCTCTCCGGACATGATGGCGTGGCCGTGTCCAACCGGAACCTCCCAACGGCAAAGATGGAAACGGCATGAGAAGCAAGAGGGATTTTGCAGCACGGCAATGAGGCAGCTTTATTACCTAGCCTTAAGTTCGTCGAGCCACAGACTCTCTCAAGGAGAATAGGCACTTCACCGCTGCTAGTCTCCGGCAAAAGGTCACGATCAAGCCCGCCGATGTAAACGGACATGGTATCCGGAAGTACTCCCTTTGTCAATGCTGTTGAGCTGGAATACCTTGGCTAAACCCTCCAGTCGAAGTTTTCAATGATCAGGATTTGGGGGACAAATTCTGCAGATCACTGCTCAGAATTGGGGTAGTCTAGTGGCCGAGCGCACGAGAATATGAAGTGATCAATTTTCCTGGTTCAGACTGACCAATGGGTCCAGCCGAAGGGAGCAAAGGATTTATCGGTATATGGGCTGGCCTAAACCTGGAGGTGTATGGTTGTCAACTTATGAAGCTGACCCTGGAAGTGACATTCCGCTGATTCCTGGAGATATTGGGAGACTAAGGCCGTGCTTTACAGTGGAGGGGAGATGCGAAATGCTGAAAACACACTTTGAGGCCACCTTCTATCCAGACGCAGACGAGTTCAACTACCTTGGCGATCTACAAAAGCCAGCTGTCGCCATCAATGCAACCGCTAGAACTGAAACGATTCCGAAGCAAGGCTCTTCCTAGCTCAAATCACGTTTGGTTGACCCCTTTTCTACCCTATATCCTGAATAGGAATGATAGCCCGTTTTCCAAGAGCGGGAAACTGGCTCCTGTTCAACAAGATTCTTCTGGAGCGGGTTTCTGGTTTTGTATGGTATCGGGGTGGAAAGAAGTCTTAAGATCCTACGAATACAGACGGTTTGGTAAGTCGTGTCACACTTCTCTGGATGGGGCGTATCCAGAACTCCACGAGAGATGTCAAAGTGTGGGAAGAAAGAATACGTGCTCATTGAAGCGATCCTGCGCCGATAATGGAGAGGATAAGTGAAAGTCGCCTGTTGCCAGAACCTGCAATGGCTCGTTATAAGTCCTTTTCACCATTCTAGCATGAATAAACAGCAGCGTCGATTATTTGGGTCTTGACTTCATGGAGCGTAGTGTCTATACGAAACTTCTGAGGGTAGTTGTCTTCGATAGTTGGGATCCCACTTTGGCAGAAAGCTCTTCACGTCATACTGCAACGATCAATAGGAGATTGGACATCTTTAGATATTGGCGCAGGAACTGACAACTCATAGCATGGTCCGTCAAAGCGTCGATCCATTTGATCATCAGAATTACAATCTACGCTGGGCCTGCTACATCTTCTATCAATGCATCATGTGAGTCTTGGGTACGATTCTCGACCTCCGTCTATATTTTATTTTATTACTAATACGGGATAAATGCTTCGCATAAAGGCCTATTGTACAATCCATGATACGTAACGTGCATATCCGCCAAGGCACGCGTCGCTATACCGCCGCTAGTCTCTTCAGTCTGTTAAATGTCCATTCATGTCTGTTAAGGACACTCAGTCATAGAAGGACTCGGCATAGGCATTGAAATTTCCGGCGTGACACCGGCACCCTTTTCAGTACCGACCCATTGGTGGACTCTCTTCAAGGAGTTGTGCGCATTGGAATAGGTATCGTCCGGAACATGCCAATCATCGTCACTATCGACACCGTCATCATCCTCCAAGCTTGGCCATCCTGCAGCACTGCACATTCCCATCAGACGTTGGAGAGCCCATTGCATGTCCAAGAGTTCCACGCTTGGTAAGGGCAGGTTCGTGGGGTCGTTGGTGGCGAAAGTGAACTTCTCTCCAGAACAAATGTGACGAAGGCGCGGGTGGGAGCCTTCCCTCTCAACGCGAGTCAAACAGTATCCGTCTGCGACGAAATCCAAGCCTTCTGATGATGTGGGTTCCGTAAGCAAATCAATCTGGCTACCAATGTCGTATTTACCCGGGACATGCCAGAAGAATTGAACAGTAAGCTTCTTACGATCGTGTGAAAGGTTCAGCGGCTTCAGTGCGAACACCCCCCGATTCCACATATCATGTGCGTCGGGCGAGAGAGAGATGAGATTAAAGCATGGTTCAATACCAATCTCAGGATTCTCAGAATCTGGAAAGACCGTATTTTTCCATTTGTTGACCCGGTCCTTGTCCCAAAAAACGCGTGAAGATTGCCAAAACCCAGGAATCGCATTAGAGGTTTTATTTCGACCAGCTCTCGGGCGTGGGTCGAGCACAGAGTGGGGGAATATATGGGCCACCTGAGGATGTGGTCTTCTCGTCAGGACGCATCTGTAATCATCGCGCTCTCGGCACTGTGTATACGGTTAGACAGGAGTATTCTGAGGGACCGGACAACAGGGACTTTGCGTTGTCCGCCGATGGCTGTGCATCAGAATTCAGCTTGCGCCTCTTTGGACCCTCTGAACGTCACGAGCCTGTCTCTGATCCTGGGAATTCTGAATCCGGGAATCGCTGACTCCCTGTTAACAGTGAGCACATCCACAATGCCACCTCGCTTTGGCGTAAAATCCTGGCGACTCACATTGCATTGCTATGGCAGAGACCGGATTCTCGGAGAAAGTAATTGCTTCCTGTTCCCATTTGGCGATAGCTTCCAGGCGGTTCATATCGGCGAGCTGACAACAAGCCCAGAAGGCAGGAGTGACGGGATGGTTGTCGATTACATTCTTTAATTTGGGTCAAGACCTTGGTGCGTTCTGGTGAACGTATGTTGTAATCCTCATTATTGAAGCCAGCAGAACCCGTTCCAGAAGCAGGAGCCTTGCCTTTTTGTCTCTCGGGGCTTTTAGTGGTTCCTTTGTTTGACGAGCCAGCCATTTGAAGCGGTTGTGTGCCCTCAGAACCCAGTGGATATTGGAAGAGGAGCAAAGCTTGGCAAATAAATTCTACGTCCCCAAGACTCGTGGCTCTCACGTGACTCTGGATAGAGTCGGGTCGCTCCGTCCTGATTTGTGCTGAGGTGGCCTCTCTGTTGCAAGGGCCTGGTGAAGGAGAAGGAGAAGGAAAAGGAATCTTCGGCGGCCGACAGGTGTGTTGCTTCGAGGACGAAATCAGTCTTGGGACACAAATCGGTCCTCAGAGTCCTCGAAGTGCAAAGGTGTTAGTAGTTATCTTTGCTCTTTGCGAGGATGAAGAATCCATCTAGTCCATCATGTCAGTCGGGACCAGTCTCCCTTTGTCTTGTCCACCTAGAACCAAGAGAAGTTAGCATCTTGGCATTTCGGAAGAGTACCACCAAATTCGGCGGGTGTTGGTGATCATGTCCTTGCTGGCGCTTTACTCTCTACCAACCTTTGACTAATCACATGAGTTAGTTTCGGATTCGGCTCTTTGTTTATGGAGAACCTACTAACCTAGGCACCTCGATAGAGGGCTGGCCCCCGCATCAGCTTTTTAAGTCTCCCCCCAATTCTATCCAACCGCGGCGAGTGCGGATTGATCTTGAACCGAGGGTAATGGACATTGATGAAAACAATTCATATTCCAGTCAATCCGAGATTCAGGGCCCAAAACATGATGGTATGCTGACAATATTTGAGTAATCTCTCAAGCATACTCTGCTTTCTTCCTCCAACTCTTCCAACTCCATCGCGTGCTACATTCAATATGCCTCGAGCTCCACGTCCGCCTCTGAAAGTTCCTGATTCCTATGCTTCGCTCCCTTGCCGTCATATCAGAGTCTCCCACGTCCCAGCCTCGTCTCCAACTCCGACACCGGTGATTTTGATCACTTTGAACAGACCAGAGAAACACAATGCTTTCACAGATGTTATGCGAGAAGACCTGGAGCGGGTATACGAGCTCCTGGACATTGATGAGCGTGTCAAGGTAGTTGTCTTGACTGGCGCAGGAAGGAGCTATTGCGCAGGAGCGGATCTCGAGATTGGGTTCTTGGGAGCCAGGGATGAGAAGGGAGAAATCAAGAACCCGAAAACAGAACGCGACGTAGATCACAGAGACGGGTAAGAAACCGGCTGTGCTTACGAAGAAAGACATTGAGGCTGACATCTCGCAGTGGTGGACGAGTTTCTTTGGCGATACACCATTGCTCAAAACCGACGATCGCGGCCATCCAAGGCGCGGCCGTTGGCGTCGGTATCACCATGTGCTTGCCGGCCTGTATACGGATCGCATATGCCCAGGCCAAGGTCGGATTCGTTTTCAGCAGACGGGGACTCATCATGGAGGCATGCTCTTCTTACTTCCTCCCACGATTGATTGGTCATTCAAGAGCACTACACCTGACCACTACGGGCATGGTCTATCCAGCGGACCATCCCCTGTTCGGCACTCTCTTCTCGGAGACTTGTCCAACGCCAGAAGCGACTCTGTCACGAGCACTCGAGCTGGCGGATGAGATCGCTAAGAACACATCGACGGTCTCGACCAAGATGATGAGAGAGCTCATGTACAGAGGCCCAGACAGCGCTGAAGGTGCTCATCTTCTCGACTCGAGGATCATCCATGGCATGTTTGGTAGCAAGGACAACATTGAGGGAGTGGAGAGTTTCCTGCAGAAGAGACAGGCCAACTTTACCGGTCAGGTCCCTCGGAATGCGCCGAACGGGTATCCATGGTGGCAGCAAATTGATATTGGCGACAAGGGAGAGGACACACGAGCCAAATCAAAGCTATAGATCTGACGTCAGGATTTCATTTTCGATACATGACATCACTTTGTTGCAATGCTGTCGCATGTCGATGTTTGCCAAATTCCAATTTGGGGAGGATGCCCCGATGAGGACAAAACGAACGTATCATTAGGCCTTGTGAGACCTGCAGCTAGACTAATCGCTCCCGTGCCCAGCTCGCCTGGTATTTGAGATATTCGAGCGTCATGACAATTGGGGCGTCCTGCATGATTTGATAAGCAACCAGAGTCCCGGCCGTGGGGGAAGGCCCGAGACGTTGACGGCATTGGCGGAAATATTCTGAGGGCTCATGCCGCCGAAGGATTTCTCCCGCACCGGATCACATCATCAATTTTGACCATTTTCGCTTGTGGCAGATCTCCAGTACGTACATTTGCGTTTCATGGAGGATTCTCGTCTTTCTTTTAAAAATTCCCCCTCTCCCTTCTTACTTCTTCTCCTTTCAGTGACATGTCAGTCGGCCCCAATCGATTTCTCAGGCAGTCCGCTTCTTCGATTCGCTCCGGCACTTTGACCCTGGCAACTCGACGATCCTCCAGCATTGAACCATTTCGACCCGACCCTTCCTCCTCCTCCCACGCCTCGGTGTCACGACTAGTCGGCCTGTCCAGACAGTTTTCCTCTTCTTCCTCAAATATGGCTCCGGTCGCGAAGCAGTATGACTACATCGTCATTGGAGGAGGATCAGGGGGAAGTGGTGCCGCCCGCAGAGCCAGTGGATGGTACGGCGCCCGGACATGTATCATTGGTGCTGGGATGTCTGGGGGCTGCTGTGTGAACGTCGGGTAAACTACTTGGCCGTCGCCATCGTGGGGCTGTGTCCTGACTGACTCATCTCAGATGTGTGCCCAAGAAGATGACATGGAACTTTGCATCCATCAATGAAGCCATGAAGGCGGGCCAACATTACGGCTACAAATACGGAGATGGCAATTCGTTTGACTTTGCGAGCTTTGTCGAGAAAAGAGATGCTCGAATAAAAGTGCTGAATGGAGCGTATGAGAACAATTGGGCCAAAGAAGGAATCGAATTGATCCATGGCACAGCAACATTCGTGGGAGAACATGAAATGGAAGTGAAATCCAACGATGGAAGCGAACCGTTCCGAGTCACGGCACCGCACATCACCATTTCAACGGGCTCATACCCGACGATCCCGGCCAACATCAAAGGCTCAGAATACGGAATCACGTCCGACGAATACTTCTTGATCAAACACCTGCCGAAGAAGATGGTGTTCGTCGGAGCCGGATATATCGCAGTCGAGCTTGCCGGAGTGATGAATGCGATTGGTGTTGAGACGCATATGTTTATCCGAGGCAACACTTTCTTGAGAAAATTCGACCCGATGATTCAGGAGACCATGACCAAGCACTACGAAGACTTGGGCATCCATGTGCACCGGAATCATCCGGGAATCAAGGAAGTCATTCAACTGAACCCAGCCCAGGATGAGTCCGATCCGCGAGAGAAACAACTCAAGCTCATAATGAATGACGGGACGGAAATGATGACCAACGAGCTGTTATGGGCCATTGGACGGACTCCTGAGACACGGGGCCTTGGTTTGGAGAACATCCCCATCCAGCTCGATAAAACTGGTCATATTGCAGTCGATAAATTTCAAAACACGTCTGTCAACGGTGTCTACGCCCTAGGAGACGTCACGGGCCAAGTATGTAAACCTGCTGCCTCCGCCCCATGCTTCCTAACCTCTCCCCAGGTCGAACTTACCCCGGTCGCCATCGCAGCGGGCAGAATATTGGGAAATCGCCTTTTTGGACCTCCCGAGATGAAGAATTCTTTCCTCGACTATGACAAGATTCCGTCCGTGGTGTTTTCACATCCAGAAGTCGGAACTACTGGTTTGACCGAGCCGCAAGCCATCGAAAGGTACGGCAAGGATAAAGTCAAAATCCATCACACCAAGTTTTCGGCCATGTACTACGACGTGTAGGTGTTGGACCATTCCAAGTCGCGAGCAGAGAGACTGACGTGATTTCAGATTCCCACCAGAGGAAAAGAAGAAAGAGCCGACAGAATTCAAGCTCGTGACGATACTGCCTGATGAGAAAGTGGTGGGACTGCATATCTTGGGCAAAGGCTGTGATGAGATGATGCAAGGCTTTGGGTAAGTCTGGTGGCTTTTCTGACGAGATTGACGCTGACCAGGCTAGACTTGCCGTCAAGATGGGCGCAACAAAGAAAGACTTTGATAGCTGTGTGGCCATTCACCCGGTGAGCAACCTTTTCTTCCCTAAATCTAGCATATCTGACCGTCAATAGACCAGCGCAGAGGAATTGGTGACTCTGAAATAGGGCCAAGAATCTTGATCAGACTCACTCCATCTCGCTCGAGGCTATAGATAGAGGCTGCAGCAAGTATGAGAGATAGATTATACGAGGACAAGCATCTCGTAGTTGTGTAAAAGCGGCAGGAATACTTCTGTATAGATTTTCCGACCCGGAAAAAAGCCGAGAAGATACGGACGTTGATGAGATGAATGCTGATTGGTGACTGGCTTAACGTCTTGACCTTTGGATTTCGACCCATCCACGTGAATCTGCCTGTTGATGCTCGATGCCCTTGTTTGATTTTCATTCCTCTGGTCAACGTGGCAAACGAAAATTGCTTTCCACACACAGCCCGCGCGAGACACTGCTTTGAAACGATGACCTTCATTCATTTTAGATCCGCATCAGTCGCCACACGAGGCTGAACCGCGTCGGCGAACTATTTCTTTCAATCAAAACGATTGTTCTCACACTGAATACTCAGTGACTGACTGACCCTCAGATAAAATGGGCGCCGGCACCAAGTGTCAACTGGACGACTCCTGGGTTGTCCAAGACGAAGGCGAGGGTGATGACACCATCAGTTGGGACGAAGGTTCAGCGGCCTCCGACTCCAACCCCGAAGACGCATCCACAGTGACGAATCCAAATAAGCGGTATCAAACAAGACGCAAGAATCTTTCGGGCGGGCAGACCAAGTCAACAATTACCCATCCAGAACCAGAGCTCATCATGCCTTCCATGACGACCAGCATGCCCGTCGCAGACAGGCTGGCCAGGAAGCGTAAACCCGCAGTTTCATCCAGAGACACTCCGTCGAAACAGCCGCGCGAACCTATAGCACGAACATCGTCTGCTCCAAAGTCACCCGAGAAATCCATGGCATCGAAGATAGCCGACAAAGCGGTCGACGTCCTCGGCCATACAGCAGAGTGGTCACTCGACATCATAGGCCAAACTCTGAAAGCTCTCAAGAAACCCATATCATGGTTACTTGCCGCCTATGTGTTCGCGGGGATTTTGATTCTGGCCCAAAATCTCCTGACCACGTCCATCTACACGGCCCTATCACCCATCTGTCGTGTGCCTGGAATCTCCCTTTTACACCTCCCGATCTGCCAATACCACTCAGCAATAACCAACAACGACACACCGACCCTCTCCACTGGCGTCTCTGCACCCGTCGAATTCGACGCGCTGATGAAAACACAATCCCACTTCGAAGAGATCCTCTCCTCATCCGCCGCCGACGTCTCGCTCCCTCTTGACATGAAACGATCCGAAGCCTCGATCCGCGATCTCCGCCAGATCGTCCGCTACTCAACCCTCTCATCACGAAACGAACTCGTCCTCGAGTTCGACGGCTTCATCGAAACAGCTCGCATGGCATCGTACGACTTACAGAAATTCAACTCCCACGTCGGCCGTGGTGTGGACATCGCGCTGAGTACCGCGCGCTGGACGCAGCGTGTCCTCGACGACATGGCCACCAAGCAGTCTTCCCGTGGGATTGTCCCCTCGTGGATTCAAGACCACCTGCTCGCACCCTTCCAACCCGTCCGCTTCACCGAGTCTCGGCTCCTAGACCAATACATTGCACACACGCGCATCGTTTCCGAAGAGATCGAGCGTCTCATCGACGAAGCCCAAGCTTTGTTGCTGGTCCTGCAAAACCTCGAAGACCACCTTGAAGTCATCCACTCGATCGCCCTACGCGACAATGTCGCCGCACAGGCATCCAAAGACGAAATCCTTTCGCATCTCTGGACAGTGCTAGGCGGCAACCGCGCACAGTTAGGGAAGTATAACCGCCAGCTCGCGCTGCTGAAACAGGTCGGACAATATCGCAAAGTGGCATGGGCGCACGTCTCGGCCAGTGTTCTCAAGTTACAAGCCATGGGGGCGGAGTTGGAAGAGTTGCGATCTCGTGTTGATAGCGCAGAAGTCCTACGCCATCACAAAGAGGTTCTGCTCAGTGTGCATCTGGAAAATATACGGTTGGGTGTTGAGAGGTTGGAGGAAGGGAGGGAACGGGCAAGACGCTTGGAACAAGGCCATATAAGGCGGGTTATTGATGGAGCAGAGACGGGAGTGGACGGTGAAGGATTCAAGGCTCTTTCTAGTTGAGAACTGCTTGGAAGGCGGAATGATTGGATGGGGTTCGATGCCGTTCCGGCGTTGATGAGGTCGATTGATTGGCATGGGCAGATTCTTAGGATATACTTCTTTCCAGAATATGAAATGATTTGTATACCATCATCGTTTCTGTCTCGTCTCTCTACAGCAGACTGGATCGCCCCAATCACTGAAAGATACACCTAAATTGAATTAGGCAAATCCATGAATCTGAATAATATAGCACGGCTCAATACACTCTAGACTTTCTGATTTTTCAACATTTTGTTTTGTTTTCTTTTCCTAACACCTTGCTCAATTGCCCAGAGTAGTAAATCCTGTACTAATCCTAAGCGACAACAGGAAGTGAAGAGTTGTACAGCTGTCGCCAATATAAGCAGGAGCAAAATACAAACGCTAACGAAAGTATAGGATACCGCTCATAACGCCAGCCAAAACGGAAAAAAGAAACCACCCCAGCACAACATACAGGGAAACATCCCCATTTTGAAGTTTCACACCATGTCTTCCAAGTTCCGTTGACCACCAACACTTGGACCCGGACCACTTAGGCTGGTGCGGCTGCGAGACCTGGGCAGAGCCGAAACATCTCTTGTCCCCATTCTAGACAGCGCGGTGGCAAATGTCTCACTTCGTTTGTGAGCATCTTCCTCTTCGGCCCATGCAAGACTCTCGTCCGGTAACAGAATCGCTCGGTCAATACTAACAGGCAAACCTCGATGCCGGCCTCGTAGCATCACAGCGCACAAGACGAGTTTGCTCACGGTGTGCCATGCGCCACAGAAAGAATAGGCGTTCCACGGCACGCCCATGGAGATGCCAACACATCCGTAAGCGGAAACGGTCTCGAAGATGATGTTGAAGGTCGAAAAGACAACCGGCTCCCGTTCGAATTGTCCGGTTTCGATTGCTGTTATCAAGAAAATGGCTAATGCAATCCACCAAAGATCATGTCCCAATTGGCCTCGGAGTTGTTGGCGGATGAAGTCCTGACGTGTGAAACCACCCAGAGATCTGGACTCGGCGGGGGGAACTGGACCATGTGTCACCACAGTCAAGGTGCGTCTGAGGCCGGAGAAAAATTTATGCCGCCGTGGGTCTTTTCCTTTTTCCTCCTCTGGGGCGGCGCTGGGGTCCAGGGCCGGGCCTTCCGGTTGAGACAAGCCGTCGTCGGCATAAATTCCTAAGGAGCGTTCTTCGTAGACATTGGTGTTTCGGATCGTCATGGTGATGGGGAACGCCGAGATGTACATCATCAACACATAAAGCACCAAGAGACCGGATCTCAAACTGGATATGGCAACGACATAAAACCCGCCACTTCTGACGGCGAACGCTTGGAATAGCCCATCTAGGACGCGGAATTGAGCGGGAATCGCGTCGATGGTGGGATTACCCAGGTTGAGAAGTTCAAATGCTATCCAATCAAGTCCATTCAACATGAAGAGCGAGAAGACCAGCCACCAAGTCTCCGCGCTCGGAAACAGGTTCGTGTAGACTCTTCGAGGATGATCGAGGCAGAACTCTAGCGTTCGTCGACGGAGGGACCATGACGGAGAGCTCGAGTTCTTCGGGATCAGCTTCTTCATGGTCCACAAGATCAATCTCAAGAATGGGGGGAAACATGTATTCCCTGCCAAAATGAGCAGACTGAGCGTGAGGAGAACATAGTAGTTGGTCTGAAAAGCTGTTGCGTTTGCATCCAATAGAGCCATTCCAGAATTGTTGAAAGCAGATATAGCGAAAAAGGCTCCAGTCCAGAATGGGTCGAGTCCTGTTTGATCCCGTGAGAATCTGCCTCCCAATCAATGATGCCTGCCATACCGTTCTCCAAAGTCACGCTAGGGCGATTGACCTTGATCCATGCACCGATACCCAGAGCACCTAGAAGCTGGAAGAGGATGAAATATAATGGCACGATCCAAGAGAGCAAGCAGATGGCATCGTACTCGATACCACCCAGCTTCTTTCGTTCCCGCTCGTTCAGGTGATAAAATTGACTGTTTCGGCCCAGGTACCCATTGACTGTGTCAAGATATTTGTCGATTTTGGATACATGGGGGTGATAGTCCACGGGTTCATCTTCAATGGCGGAGTCATCTTCCGGGCCGTTGTAATCAACCGGTCGAGAATGGCGTGGATGATTTTGTAACCCTTGAGCACCGACACCACGTCCCTCAAAGAAACTTGTTCGATGACGTCTGAGGGGACGAGGTCTGATGGGAGTATGCTCGACGGCAGGAAGATGTTCCAGGAATCGAATATGGCCATTCTGGTCACCTTCAGGAGCTGAACTTGCGCCATTTGCGGTATGAGTCAGGCCTGTGGGCTCTGTAGACGGCGATTGATTGCGTTCAGACCCACGGAAAGAGGTTTTGTATTCTTCATCTTCAGGACGGTCCTGGATCGGACGCCCACGGACTGCTCCAGATGCGACAGCAGCTTCGCGATCACCCGGCCCGCCTGGCTTTCGTCTGGAGAAGGAGAGTGTCAGGGCTCGACCGAGGCTGCGACGTTTTTGCAGTCGTTCCTGGCGTTTCTCAGCCAACTCCGTGAGTTTCTTCTCGAAGGTACGCTTTCGGATATGCAGAATGGCGCCAGAGACAAAGATTGCCGAGCCGATGATGATGAGCAAGAACAACATGACCTGCTGCCATGTATTGCTGAATGGCTTAGTCAGCACCGCGAAATCCAAACGGTCGAGGCGGCTCACAGTTGCGAGAGATTGACGGTATTCAATCCGGCTTCGGTCATGGCCGAGATGCATAAGAACAGACTGTCAATATATGACACGGACTGATCGGGAGTGGAAGAGCCCCAGAAGATGATACTGGCCAGCAGACACGTGGCACAGAAGTAGATGTAGTGCCAGTTGATAAAGGATATTTCGCTTACGCTGGGTCGGATGCGATCGCGATAGAAAACGAAAAGACCCTCCGCCATATTCTTTTTGGGGCCCTTCTCGAGGCCAGCTCGTGAGTTTGAGGTCCCCCCCACTGGGTTTGTCACTTGGTACGTACCCGTAGAGGTAAAAGGTTGGGCGTGGTTTCTTACCTGCCATGGTGGAAGTCGTCAGGGGAGAGATGATCTTCGAGCCTAACCGGGGGGTCACAAGAAACCCGGATCCAGATCTCTGCAATCGACGTACCTCATTTCTGTGCTTTTCTGTCGCGACGAACAATCAAATCGATCAGCTTTGAAGTTGAAGAAAAGGAGACCAGGGGTTCCGCTTGTTGTGGATAATGCCAAGACATGATGATCGACAAGGGTCTCAGAAACCTATCAGTCTGACAAGACGAATATGCATATTTTTTCCAGGGTCTATATTTTTGTCAGACAAAATATCTCTAGTTTGCAACATTCCCCCATTCAACTGGCCTGGGGTTGAATCAGCATCCCAGCCCAAACAAGAACATGCCCATCTTTGATAAAGCTATATGGCACGCTCTTCGGATCCTACAGGCCAGATCAGAAGTGTCGCCACTGCAAACCGCTAAGATTCTCACCTTGGCGAGCAGAGCGGCCTGCCCAATGCCCATGTGTTGGCCGATCCAGACGAGACATCCTTTGAAATAGATCCTTAACTCGGGAGGAACTATCGAAAGTGTCGAAGCAACGCACAGCGGATGTGGGAGGAGGAGTCCACCGACTGATATGCCGGCTGTGGCAGCAGTCGCCGTCGCAGTATGTGGGATCTGGAGAGGTTTTTCAGCAGTGGCGGTTAAATGAAAGGGAACCGAAGCGGCCACATCAACGGCCAGTTCCCGCACTTCAGAATGGAAACGACCCCAGAGCCATTGTTCCTCTCCAAATCCCAGACGTATCATACACCGGACGACACGGTCGAGGAACAAGAGGCGAGCTTTACGGTAAGCATTCCATACGCCAGAAACGTAGACTTGCGGTAGCCCTCAGTTGTTTTCCTTGGAAAGAGGACTAGGAGGATATGACTCACGGTCAAAATATGCATGGACCTGCCCAGGCCAATATATCGTCCCCTGCAGTTCTTCATGGCTCTGGTGGACGAACCCAACCGTCGTGGGAGACCACTTTTCCGGTTGATTTGCCGGCCATTCGGCAAATTGGCGCATCAAAAGCATCACGTCCGCTCTGAATTGGCTCAATTCGTCAGCAGATATTTCTCTTGAATTGGAAAGAAGCTCCTCCGCCATTTGGAAAATTGGTCTTGATTTGACAAGGAGGGAGTCAAGAGTCTGGACCGTTGCGCCGGATGAAGGAGCACACAAAATACCAAAGTGGCGTGAATCCTACCTCTGATCGTCAGACGAAGCAGGGAGTATACTCAACGCAGAGTCGTACCTGTAATTGGGCGGGATTCAGGTGGAGTGGATTTCCTAGTTGGAATACTTGTGCCCCGGTAAGAATATCAAAAGGCGAACGGTCTGTCGAGAGGATGGCTGAGACACCTCTGGAATGAGTCCCGTTCTCCTTCCGTAGCGGAGATTTTCTTGCATGATGAGCCTGAGCTGCGTGAACTTGAAATAATTTTGTTCGTGGATACTAACCTCCTACAGTCCAAGCAGAACGGCTGTTATCAACAATTCTGTTACATTTGAGTGAGCAACGTTGGATATACTCGACTGAAAAGAGCGCAACAGTTGAGAATACAGCATTTTTGACAGGTCCAAAATATCCGGTCGCTCATGCTTGTGGGCAAAGCCGGCAAGGGCAACAACTTTGACGGCTTGTACGAGATCGGATGACGGATTTAAGCGGGCGAGCATGTGCTCAAGTCCATCCAGATACCCACGAGACACGGAATGATCCAAAGAGGCAACGCAATAATCTTGAAGGAAGGCCTTCATGGCAGTATTCTCCAGGGGGATATCGTGCCTCTCCTCCGTCCTCCTGGTTGGCTGGGATTGGCCATGGGCTCGCTCTCTCGGTGGTCCCCCTGTAGATTGGCGATATGTTTGGTATTCGGATACACCGTGACGTTGAGGCTGAAATACGATATCCATCTCATCTCTATATCCGGGGCAGGAGCGGTTTGCTTTTATGCATCTGTTGCATACCTAAAATCTCTTCGTAAGCTGAGGGCCCCAGGGTCTTGGTTCGGCAGACACCGCGGTACATACAGGGCGGGTTTCATCACACTGAAGAAAAACCGTAAGAAACAAGAGCACCGTTTAGAGAGCTGGGCTGATATGCTTGCCTTCTTCCGCCTCTGCTTGCAAGTCCCACACCCTCTGGATACTCCATAATAAACCATGTTCCCGACTCGACTTGGCCGACCGCCAAACTTGGGGGGTTATGTAGATAGGAAGTGGTGACACGTTCCAGGACCAATGTCTTCAGTGATTTTGGCTTTTCCATTCTTCCATGTTTGATGAGATGACGTTGAAGGAGGAATGTTCGCGGAAACGCTCAGATCTGGCTAGCCTTGCGCCTAAAGACAGCGCTTTGCCCTCTTGAAGCTAGCCTTGCGCGGCTTGATTTCATGTTTCTAGCTCAGTTTATCAGAGCCTCATCTCACCTTTGCTTTGCCTTTCCCTCGCGCTCCGGATTTAGGAGGCAGGATGCATCAACCATGACTTCCTCAGTTGACGACGGTAGGTTTCGGTTCAGAGGATTGAAGATCGCCGGACCAGAATCGAACCGGGAAGCCCACGCCCAAAAACTCTCATGGACCCGGAAGATACTTATGTAAACCCTTGTCTCTATCCTTTATTTCTCTCTATTTCATCGTCTGTCTTTGCATTGCACTGTGTTTCCCTAGTCTAAACCAATCCCCACATGGCATCTACCACAGACCCCAACCACATCTCACGCGTCGCCCTTATCGGCGCCACAGGCTCGCTAGGCTCCAATGTCCTCTCTGCCCTCCTCGCCCAATCTTATCCTCAATTCTCAATCACCTCGGACACCCACCCGGACCTCACATCCGATCCACGCATCACAATCATACCCGGCTCATACACCGACCACTGGTTCCTCGTCTCCGCGCTCGCCAACCAAGACGCCCTTATCATCACCTTGGCTTGGAGTATATGCCATGAGTTCCAACCCCTAATCATCCGCGCAGCCTGCGAGGCCAAGGTCCCCTACATCCTCCCCTGCGAATTCGGCAGCGACACGAGCAACCCGCGCCTGATCAGTGCGGTTCCCATGCAAACACACAAAGTTAACGCGCGGAAACCAGTCGAAGAGCTCGGTGGCACATCAAGTTGCTGGATCGGCATCATCAACAACGCCTGGTACGACTGGAGTCTGGCGGGCGGGTGGTTCGGAATCGATATCAAACATCGCAAGGCGACTTTATTCGACAAAGGGGACGTCAAAGCGTACACGTCGACGTTGCGCATGTCCGACCTAGCGGCTGCAAGGGTTCTTTCCCTACCACTCAATACCAAAGGGCAGAATCCCAACAATCCAAATATGCATCGGACCCTCCCCTCGTACGCGAACAAGATGGTCTACGTGTCCAACTTCCACCTGTCGCAGGTCGATATGCTCCGGGCTGTGCAACAAGCGACACATACCACCGACGCAGACTGGGACATCACAGCGGTTTCGAAAGCGGAGTACATCGAAGCTGGGTTCACGATGCTCAAGAAAGGTGAGATGTCGGGCATCATGAACGTGCTGTACGGGAATATTTTTACGAACGGCGTGGCTAACGGGTATTATGGCGCAGAAGGGAATGAGAATCCGCAGCTCGCGCAGGACAATGCAATGCTGGGGCTCGAAGGGTGCGAAGATTTAGAGGACGTTACGGGACGAGTAGTCCGTGAGGTTTTAGAGGGAAGGGACACCCAGCAACATCAATAGGCCATCTCTGCTCTGTCGACGTCCTCCCGCTATCGCATCCCCACTCCACATACTCGGACGCCACAGATCAGAAGAAATCGCGAGTCCCATTCACGGGGATAATACTATCAGACACGAGACATGAGCCATTCTTTCTTTTATCTTTGCTCCAAAAAAAAAAAAGCTTTCCAAAAAGGTCGTTACCAAAATAAAATACACATATATTCAAGGCAATCAAATCAATGCTTCAAAGTTGCGCAATTCGGTCAAGTTTGCTGCTATGTCGATTGATCGATCGACAAATAAATAAATAGATAGATAGACTGTCTTCCAAGATGTGCATTCCCACATCCGTCTTTTCGTTCCTATATTTGATATCGATATTTCCGTGAGAGTGCTGTTTTGGCAGCTAGCTTTTGCTGTCCTCGCCAGCGATGGTGTTGTGATATGACCTGAAATGATGCACGTGCCCACCGCATCCTCGCGGTGCAATGTCATATCTTCACATCACAATACACTTACTTCCCTTCTCCTTCTTGCTCTCTTTGACAACGTCCATGGCACCCAAACCACTAGTCGTGGGCATGGGTGTCTGGGACCTGCCTCGTTCAGGTTCGCCTTTCCGCCTCTTTCCTTTTTTCTTCTTCGACGATTCAGGAACCGTGGGATCGGATGAAACGCGTCTGTTGTCGCCATTCCTGGCAGGATGAGCATGAAGGTTCGTGTTGCCGGCCCACACAGTGGCTTGATATGACCGCGTCTGCTGGAATTGGGGCTGGATTTGAGGCTGTGACAGAGGATATGCATGCGGACTTGGTGGCGGTGGTTGGTTATGAACATGCGTATGTGCCATGGGACTCGGAATCGTCGTTGGTACAGCATTATGCGATCTCGAACCCGGTTCGCCCGGGCCGTAGGAGCCCGGTACGCTGTCGATGGTATCAAGCCTGCCCATTTTTGGTCGTGGGGGATATACCGCGGCCGCGACATGTAAATTCGGAGTCGATGTGGAGACGGGAATCGAGCGACCACTTCCTCGAGAATTGTTCCGTGACAGGCCATTGGGAAGCGCGATCGCCTTGTTGAAAGAAGGCGAGCCCGGGACTCCCGCGGCGCCCCATGCACCGCGGGGAGGGGACGGAGGGACACCCGAACCACCGCTGAAGTTGCACGGAGCCGAACCAGGGTTTTGATAAATGGCGCCATTTGTCGAGATCGGTGCCACAGGCTTCCGTGATGTTTGAGAAACTCGACGGTTTAGATTGGCCATTTGGTCGGCTGTTGGAGATACGAACGAATACGGAGCGCCAGCCACAGAGGCTTGTGTAGGAGGTGGAGCAGCAGAATGGGGTGCCACCGGCTGACTGGGGGGTTCATATTGCGACATACGCATCTGCTCCAACGTTGTTGGAGTTGGAGGGACTGGATGATTGAGACGGGCTTGTAAATTCGCTCCGGTCAGAGTGAGAGAGCCAGCAGAGGATCGCTTTTGCGACGCTGGAATATTCGCAGGTGCATCAGAGAGATTTGGAGCTGGTGGGTTGAGATTCGACGGAGATGTTCGATCAGGTGTCGGGTGCCGTTGAGAGACGGGGGTATGGAACGGTGAAGCTCGGCCCTCATGCGATACTGGTCTTGAAGATGATTCACCGGAACCTGACGATGCAAATGGTGGGGTTGTAGGGGCTAATGGAGCATTGGGGGCAGCGAGTTGATAGTTATCAGGTTTTGGTGCCGGGGCAGCGGCATACGGACTGGATATATACCGGGTCGGCGCGTCTTCGGGAATCATAGGAACCCCTTGGTGAGGCGTATGTCCTGGCTGAGGCACAAACTGTGCTTGTTGCTGGTGCATAGGCTGGGGTGGACCTGGTGCGAATCCTTGCGGGACAGGACGAGGCTGGTTTTGGGTCGGAACATGACCATTTTCCGGAATCCCTGCCAATGGCATTGCCACGGGACTTGGACCGCCAAAGGGGGGAGGCTGTATCGTAGGTGAACCCGATGACCCTCCCGATTGGACGGGGCCGGGAGAATTGTTGGGATAAGGTGGTGGCGGTGATTCCCAACCTTCTTCCGAGTGATATGGCTGATTCGGTGATCGTGCATAAATGATGTGACCCGAATCTTGTTGCTGCGACGAAAGAGGCGGTCGTGGTGGATATCGAGCCGTGCCAAAACCGGCCGCGGTGGCCGATCTGTGCAAATTCGGTTGAGCTGGTTGATAGGTACGGGGTGGTGAATTGGCCAAGGCCATTTGTGCGTCAACATCCAAAGGAGATGAAGGCTGAGAGGTGCTTCGTCGCGCACTCCAGGGCAGGCTTGGTGATCCAGACGCTGTTGTGACAGAGCGACCCAAAGGCATTTTCATACCTCCTCTGTTTCGGTCCCGTACCGTGCGCCGTCTTTCCATCGCGACCTCGGTCTCCATATCACCCATCTGCTCCGTCAGCAAGTCTGGCTCTTTTTCGCCCACTTCAATGGTAAGTTCTCGATCCGGGGCGCAGGATGGGGCATAATCAAAGTCGAGAATGGAAACGCGTGAACCATCAACAGGCATAGTTTCGTCTCCCAGTTCTTCCACAAATTGATTAACACCGCCAGGGGCGACACAGACCAATCTCTTGCCCAAGAAAGAGCATTCCCTGTCTTCGCATCTTTCTACCCATTTTGCTGCCGTACAGCCTTCAATGGACCTGATCTGTTGACACTTGACGAACAAACTCTCTCGCCAGTCCACCTTGGCGGCCAAGGAGTCGTCCTCTATTTCCTCGCTACTTCCAGATATAGAAGGTGAATATGCCATTAACGGCTCCAAATGGCCTGTAGCGGAAGTAAGTGGCACTCTGCCTTGTAGACGCTGTTCGTGTCTTTCGACGACGGAGCCCATATCCGGACTCACATCCAGCTTCTCGGGGACGCCGTAAATCCAGAGACCACTTCCTCCGAAACCAGCCACAACGAGAGTACCGCATACTGTGGCCGTCGGAGCCGTGGACGGGATGGGCATGCTAAATCGTCGATTGGTGGTAGGGTTCAAGAAGTAGGCCACGCCCGTTCTGGTATCATCTGTTCGGACCGCCCTATAGGACATGAGTGTGTGGTCGTAAGCAAAAAGCCAATTTGCGTCGCCTTCGGTATGACCCTGAAGCAATTCGGCATGACTGCAGACACTACTGATCTGGGGGAACAGAATCTGCGTCGTCCACATCCGGCTATGAACCTCCTTTGGAGAAAGATCGTTCTCGGTATAGAAAGGCGCCGTGATCACCACAGCTGAAGGCTCTTCCAGACTTTGGGTGCTTCCTACCAACATAGATCCGTCCCCAGAAAAGCTCAAGGTGTCAACACCTTCGCTTCGAACGGCTCTACGATCAGTGGACAGGGCACTGGGGGCGAGGGAAAACACTTCGACTCCGCCTTCATACGCCGCAGCCAGGACGGTCCCCTCCGGTGCCAACGCGATGGTCCTGGGAGGATTATCCATAACCAGGACCTGGACATGCTTGACGCCATCTGGGGTGAGCTGATAGATGTTGGCCTGATGCTTGGAGGACAAAACGGCCAGCGTGGCGCCATCATCCGTGACGGAAGCCGCTAGGGGTCGCCTCATAGTCTTGAGTTCATTCCGCACAGCGATAGGATCGGACGTGGCGTCGATGACATAGATTCTCGATGAACTGAGAGCGAGAATGGTTTGACCATTTGGTGAGAAGGCGAAGCGGAATGCTTCGGCCCCCGGCAAGGCCGCAGAAGAGCTAGCATTAACAGAAATTAGGTTGATAAGAGTACGGCGAGGACGCGTGTAAGCATCGAATAGATTTCGGCGAACTTCAGCCGCGAATTTGGTCTTGAATCGGAACAGGTCGTTTTTTCGAAAAGGACCGGTAATGACGGCATTGGCCAAGGCGTACGATGGACATCGCGAGAGATGGTGGGCGTAGAGGTCGGTATTTTGAGCGACCGTATACCAGTTGTGATTTAATATGGCTAAGGAAGCAAAGCTGTTGACGTCGACGGTCCATAGGATTCTGGGGAATATTAATCGTCCGATCCCATGACCAGGGCCGAATGGGAACTACATACCTCTGGATGATCTCGACCGGCAGCTTGTGAAAAGCGACAGCCTCTGGTACTTGTTGACCGCCGCCGACAATAGCGGTTTGTGAAGAGAACGGCTGAGAACGGGATTGGCGGGTAATCATGGGGTCATGTGACGAGGACGCGCCAAAAAGGCCGGCAGGAGCCTCATGCTGATGGTCGAGTGGCTGAGGGGGAATGCCGTCGGGGTCGTGGGAAATGGTCGAGGATGTTTTGGAGGGAGGCCGCACAACTAATTGTGGCATCATTGTGAAATGTGCGTCGGAGGATTGAGCGCGAGGACAATGCTACTCATACAAAGCCAGACAAGCATGGCATGGCGGGTGGTGTGGTGGTCATAGTTCTCCTTAAAAAAGGTCCATCCCTCCATAGAAACGCGTCGCGAGGAAGGGAGCAAACTTCCCTTTCTTTCTTTTTTTTTTCCCCCCCCCTTGGGTTGGTGGTGCTCTGCTGAGCCCCAGTAGGTTAATTCGGATGACAAGGCTTAGAGCGTGAGCGAGCTGACAAAGAGTCGAGATGATGGAAAATGGTATTCGACGATGGGCACCGGGTTAATCGGGTTGTGTTTGTGATAGTGAGGAGTTATTTTAGAGTGGTGAATGATGGAATGTTTGAGGATTACTGGTGATGGAGGTGATGGGAAATTGAGATGAAAATGGATATGGTGCCAAAGTCAAGCCAGGTTGGGGTTAGAGGTGGTCAGCCATTCAGACTCAGCGTTAACTAACCGCACAGCTGCAGCAGCGTGCCCGTACTTTCTTCTAGGGGAAGCCTGTACAGTAGGTAATGAAGTCCCCCCTTAAATGGAGGCCATCCCAGGCATGCACCTTTTTTTTCTAGGTGCAGTGCCCAAGCAGGCACTTAGCCATCCCAGATGCCATGCAACAGTGGAGAAGGGTGTTTTCCTGCTTCGATGTTTCTCTGCTTCTCTGCGCAACAGTTACTGGAGTAAGCGAAATCATCTGCCAATCGCATGGCATCTTCGGGAGCCTAAGGCCTAAACAGGCCCATCCGCCCATGCATCTGAGTTCCTTTTCTTAGATCCCGTCCACCAACGACCGTGCTGTCTGACCCTCCCGCTAGCAACTCTGCCTCAAGTTCGAGGCCTTGAATTGTGATGATCCTCCCCTTGGAGCCACTGCCAGTGTTCCATCAGAGTGCCATCCCCCATCCATCCAGAGCCAACCGCGGCTGTCTGACACCTATTCAGCCTCTCGGCTCCTCGTATCACAGTGCATATAATCGCCGTCAGACGACCGTCTCACTCCTCTTCGTTCTACTAAGCAACTTCAATATCGAACATGATACATCTGCTAATGCGCCCCGTGCTCCATTCTTTTGAGCACACTGCAAGATACACGGATCATTTACCTCTTATGGCCGGGACGTTTCAACCTCCCAGCTTCATACATATCCCATTGCTTGATCCCATTCTCATCACTGCAGAATCGGCAACACGTTGAAGAATACAGTGTCTATTTGAGTCAGCTCTCAGCCTCAGGCCTTGACATATTACTATCTACTTCCCAAACACACCCAAACTTATCCATTGTACATGAAGGGAGATGATTTTTGCTATTCCTCACCTCGAAGGATTCACACTGTTCCTGGGCTGAAGTCCCATAGTATGTTTGTACACCCAAGCCGACAATCTCCAACGTTTGCAAAATCAACCTCTGTTCACTTCTTCTTCTCCTCTTCTTTGTTCCTGCCGCCAAAAATGCCAGAGAACCATCCACCCAGCCTCATATTTTTCATTGCTTCTTCCTGGAATCTTTTCTCCTCGGCCTCTTTTTCAGCCAGCCATTTCTCCCCCTCTTCCTTGATCTTCTTCTCAAATTCCATGTACTGTTTCTGTCCGCGTTCTCGGATCTGATCCCAAAGCATCTTCCCTTCTCCCATTGATTCATCGGAATCTTGTGACTTCAATCCCAACATCGATGTGAGACCTGGCACAGTTTTCTTCGGTCGCCCTTTCCGCTTTTCCGCTTCCTGTGCTTCAAACTTCTGCCGCAGGAGCTTTATTCGTCGATCGAATTCCGCCGGGATATAAGTTCCCTCGAACGACTTCAACACTTCTCTTACATCTTCAAATCCCATGGTGGCCAGGTATTCCAAAAAGGGAATGAATTGAACTAAAGTCTGGTCGTTGACGTCGCCAGTCCACTTAGGCAGAACAATCGCATTTTCCGGTTGATGCTTGACGTGGTGTGGGTCAGTGTCCATGATCAACACCCTTTTCAGGTCTCGATTAAGGTACGAGAGATCCTGCATCATGTCAGCACTGTCGTCAGGCTCAAGTATTCAACTAAGCCTTACCTTGATGTAGCCGCCGTCCTTATACAGCGTGGCTTCACGGAACAGCGGCCACCGAATAGTCTGGTAAGGGTCGAGCTTCCGCAACACTTGCTCCGCCATAGTCATCGGTTGACTGGTGAACAAGACAATCTCGTAGTAGGCCCCAAGGTACCGCAAGAAATAATCCACCCCAGGTCGTTTGGCGATTCGCCATCCTTTCTCGCGGGTCCACTCCGAATGAATCAACATATCCTCAAGGCTGATGACAAGCGTAAAGGGGAAGCGGAGGTTCGGATCAGGATCTTCGTCAGGTAACAGTTTGGTCGTCACAGGGTCTCGATAATAGCTCATCATCGACCCGATCCGAGTCTTGAGCCGATTATAAAACAGTCCGATTCCCCAACCGGACGGCGTATCCGCGTGTGCTTTCTCCTCCTCTTCATTTTCCCAGTTCCGTCCAAGATAGACGGTGGAGCCTACTAGACTCAGTCCCATCACGATATACATGTATCTGAAAACCGCGTCCCTTTTCCGGTCGCTGGAGGAGATGTACTCTTGCCGAGGAATATCATCGCCACCACGCCCACGTCCTGCTCCGCTTGGCAGCTCTTCCGATGGGTCTTCGGTGATGTTTAGGCTTGACGGGGATGAGGATTGTTTTGCTCGGGCTTGTTTGAGTTCCGCATCTAGTGTTGATGGAATGCCTTGTGTAAGATCCGGGAGCGGCTGTCGGGGTTGACTTTCTGGCTCTTCCGGTTCAGGCTCAGGCTCAGTGTTTTCGGGGACTTTTCGTTGCTTGTCTTTTTCCCCCATAAAAGTTCTACTCGATTGGGATACTGATTCAGAGACTTCGTCAATGTCTCGAGTGGGATCGACGCCAAAAGACTCCGATGCCGACGGTTGGTCATTTTTCGAGGGCTCCGCAGAGAGAGGAAAAGGGACTCGGCGTAGAGGTTCTTTTGGCTGCGTGGATGGTGAAGGTGTATCTCCGTTGGAGTTCTTGGTTGTACTGGGAATCTTGCAGTCATCACCTCGAACGCCTTGATCTCGCCGGTAATATCGCAATGGAGCCTGGGGGATCGCCTCTCGAACCAGCAGCGGTCGGACTGGTCGAGGCCTCACGAGAGGCAAGACTGCACGTCTGAGCATCCTGACATCAGGGTTACCTCAAAGAAAGATGTGCAGAATGGTACGATACTCCTGGGACCGAAAGAGTGTCGCTGGTGTCGCGATTCCAAGGCTATTCAGGAAAATCCTCGTTAAAGCCATTTGTCTGCACCTGCGCCGCCAAAATTCTATTCGACTCCAACTGCGCCTTGGCAGTTTGAGCGATCAAGGGTCAAGGATACGCCTTTTCCAGTCTTCGCTTACAAAACACGTTTTTTTCAGCAGCTGGAACTCCTCCATACAGAATTTACATAGCGGATTGATCGTCGGAAACAGGATGTACCATCTGTAGAAAGATAAAGAGGAAGACTCGTCCTCGAATGATAGAATACAACTTGAAGGCGGCGTCACTCTCGTCCCAAACGGGTTAACAAGCGGAGTAAACCTTGCGCAACTTTATTGCTCATCCGCTTCTTCTCTTCTTCCCTCAACAAAGAAAGTTGAATACCCCAGAATTATTTGACTCGCCGTCCACAGGCTCATATGTTCGAAGAGTTGTATTAGCTGGGCAGAGTGAACACATCAGTCGTTCTCCTCAAGAGCACACGAGAGGCCAACGAGCCCATGATCTTCAAGTCGCCCCGTAAGGACGCAACATCCTCCTCCTCCGACGACACGATGAGTGTGTAAAGCGCCCCTTGGAAGAACCCAAATCTGGACTCCTGTGTGCGTGTGTGTGTGTGATCCACTCCACTCTCCATCGGAGTTTCGCAAATATATACCTTTCCGATGCCGGCGTCGTGGCGAGATGGTCTCGTCAACGCCTTTCCGATCCCGCAAGGTCGGGTGAAGCTGAAAAAAGGTTCGAAAGCTAATAATAATATCGACACAATATGTGATGCGCTGGGGGAGGCTCTTGATGAGACATTCTCGGCTCCTCTTCGAGATCCATTTCCATTCTTCGAACTCCCGGCGGAGATCCGTAACAGGATCTACCGACTGGTCCTGTTTAGCCCAACGGGCTCTCAGGGCGCAGATGGCAAACCAAAACCTCGCACCGCGATCCTCACCACGAGCAAGCGCATGCATCAAGAGGTTTCATATATTCTCTACAGCTCGTCGAGCTTCCGAATCTTCCCACTGCAGGATTTTGAATCCGCACCAGTCGTCCAAGACCTGCCTTTAAGGTACCGCAGCATGGTGACCAAGTTGGAAATGGTCGTGGGATCAGACTGGACCAGACCGCCCAAAACCTGGCGTGTCAGCAGATTGCTGGCGAAACGGCTGGGAAAATTGTCGGCAGTACGGACCCTCAAAATTTTCGTCACACTCGATCCGAGCCAGCCCATCTTCGAGCCGTATTGGGTCTCGTTCGACTTCTACACCGATTTCTGCGGGAATCTACTCCGCGATGTCCTATCCAGTATGCCGCATCTTATGGCCATTGAAATGGATGGGTATTCTAGTGTTGATACCACAGGACCATTAGTTTCGCGGCTCCGGGCTGAGGCGGAAGCTCAGGGGAAAACATGTACATTAGGACCTACGAAATTGCTCGCCACTCCGACTGGATTGAACCCGTTCTTCTGCCAATGATATGATCCCTAAGCATTTTTAGCCATCGAGTCTGCTTGTGGTTTTGAATTTGCAAGTTCGGCATTCCCCGCGATGGTAGTAGTGCCCGATTGAACCCTCCGTGGTAGCCAGTTCGGAGACCTAGACCAAGATCCGGACTCGGTTTCATACCTGTCTCTCGTTCTTGAGCAGCCAAACGCCATGCATGCCATGATATCTGTAGATACAAGTTACAAACTCTGATCGGAGTCCTGCCCAATTATGCCACCGAGACCACTCATAGCTCCTCATCCACATCCATCAAGCCATTCTCGCCATCCTCGCCATTCTGATGCCCATGTCCATTTGTCTGCTGTGCCTTCTTTGCCACACTAGCCTCCTTATCAATCATTTGTCTCGAGACCGCGACGATGTTGTCTTCAATCAACCGCTGCCCAACGTCCTCGATATGCTTCTTCGGGTCGACTTTGCCCACATACCGGGTCCTGAGTTGCTCAGCAGTCAATTCGTTTTCTTCTCGGACCCTGCGCTCGTAGCCTTCGGCGAGGTGGACGAGTTGTTGCAGGCCTTCTTCGTTGCGCTTGCGCTCACCCTCAAAACTGTGTGGTAATTCAAGCCCTTCAGTCCAAACTTCTTTGTGTAGGTTCATCAACATGTTTTCCTCCAAGCCCGTTTTGCGATATTGAATGCCGATGCTGTAGTAATGTCTGTTCAGACCGTGAATCAGAGCTTGTATAGACGGCTTGTTCAGGTGACCAAGGTTGGATGTAGTCTGACGAGGTTCCTGGCCCAACATCATCGTTTGAGGGTTGATGAGTCGGAACGCGTCAATCACGACTTTGCCTTTGACCGATTGAATGGGATCGACGACAACAGCCACGGCTCGAGGGGTGAGTTGTTCGAACGATTGTTGGGTGTTGATATCGACGCTTGAAAGCCAACAGCCAAAACCAGGATGAGAATGATACCAGCCGACAACAGTTTCTGGTCTACCGGTTTGCCGAAGCATGTCCATCATCTTTGTCTGAAATACCGGATCGACAGATTCGACGCTGACAGAGGTTCCTGATTGGGGCATCGCAAAAACATCGACGACGCGGACTGTAAAATCATCGACAAATTCCCCAAGCATTAAGCCCATGACTTCCATAGGTACACCAGCGCGGCCATGCCGCAGCATCTTTAGTAGAGCGAGGGAAGAAATGTAAACAGTCTCTGAGTTATCGACGAGATTCGTGTCTCCGCCGGGGGCTCCTTGGTGACCGAGTCCCATGCCTTGTGCGGCAGCAAGCATTCGATTGAATCGCTCCATTGTCGATTATTGAGAGAAAGGGGAGGATAGAAGAAGTTGAGGAGAGACAAGGTATTATAAATTCAGGCTCGTGGCGCAAATACGCCACGAGGACAGATGAATCGTTGGTCCGGGTGAGAGTCCAGTCGAGAGGAGAGAGGAAATATTCGACGGCGATAGAGAGGAAGAAGAGGAGGACACTCAGGAGGGCATTGAATCTGTCGTTGTGATGATTGAATAAACAGGCACGAGAAAGACGCAATTGTTTGTTCTGTCGGTGGTTAAAAGCGGAAGCTGGACTGCGATGGGATCTGGGTGGCTACTTGACTGCGCGTTTCTGGCGCCTGGAGTCCACAGCAGAGCCCCACAGAAATTTGGCATCGCAGTTATTAGCCACGATACTCCTTCCTTCTAGCACACAGTGAGAAAATACTTCCTTAATGGAGAGAAACAGTCATGACGAAGAGTCATAATCCAGCATGTTTCATGGCATGAACATGAGCATAGAAGTCCGTCCAGGGTGATTACTGACGTGCTGAAATCCATCTTTAAAAGCGGCATGATGCACTAACATAGTCACGTGGAGCTAGCTACGGTAGACTTTCTCCTCCGCTCAGAGTTGGAGATCAAATGCCATCGCATTTCACCCTCGCGACAACTCTTTCGACGAGATTCCCAAAAACGTAGATCTTTAACTTGACTGTGCTCCTCATCACTTTCCTCTGCTGATCTGTGGCGCATCAGCTAGTTCACAAATCTTGGTGCTCGGACACTGTAGCGCGACAGTCCACCTCAAGTCTCCCCTGTGGCTGGTCCGGGACAATCGTTCGCCGTTTGACCTGACCAGCACAGCTGGCATAGGTTTCGCAAAAGACAGCATCGTTGACGGAAAGTTCTCCTCACAAAATTCTACACTCTCGGCGCAAAGGCCTTTCGGTGACATTGTCTCTGCGCCCGGCGCCCGTCTCGCGATGTCGTTCGCCCCAGTCGATCCCCCGAACCTCCGGCAAGACAATAAGAAGAGAGTAGCATACTTCTACGACTCAGATGTCGGCAACTATGCATACGTCTCGGGCCATCCCATGAAACCTCACAGGATACGACTCGCCCATTCCCTGGTGATGAATTATGGTCTCTACAAAAGAATGGAGATTTATCGCGCAAAGCCAGCCTCCAAGTACGAGATGACACAATTTCACACCGATGAATACATCGATTTCCTGGCAAAAGTGACGCCTGACAACATGGATTCATACCAAAAGGAACAACAGAAATACAATGTCGGAGACGACTGTCCGGTCTTTGATGGTCTTTTCGAGTTTTGTGGCATCAGTGCCGGTGGTAGTATGGAAGGCGCGGCAAGACTGAACCGACAAAAAGCAGATATTGCAATCAACTGGGCAGGTGGCCTACATCACGCCAAGAAGAGTGAGGCCAGCGGTTTCTGCTATGTCAACGACATTGTCTTGGGGATTATCGAGCTGCTCAGATTCCACCAAAGGGTCCTCTACGTGGACATCGATGTCCACCATGGTGACGGTGTTGAAGAGGCTTTCTACACCACTGACCGAGTCATGACTGTTTCTTTCCACAAGTACGGAGAATACTTCCCGGGCACCGGTGAACTCAGGGATGTCGGAGTTGGCTCGGGCAAGTATTACGCCGTCAATTTTCCTCTTCGAGACGGCATCGATGATTCCTCTTACAAGGGCATCTTTGAGCCTGTCATTCGAGCCACCATGGAATATTACCAGCCTTCAGCTGTTGTTTTGCAGTGCGGTGGCGACTCTCTCTCTGGCGATCGACTGGGCTGCTTTAATCTCAGCATGAAGGGCCACGCAAACTGTGTTCGATTTGTGAAATCATTCAACCTGCCGACGCTCATCCTTGGTGGAGGTGGGTATACCATGCGTAATGTTGCACGAACCTGGGCATATGAAACGGGTTGCTTGGTCGGCGAACACATGCCGGCAAATTTGCCATACAACGACTACTACGAGGTGAGGAATACTCTTCCAGTAACTGACTTGTCTAATATACTCTAGTATTATGCTCCTGACTATGAACTCGATGTCCGACCGTCAAATATGGACAATGCGAACTCCAGAGAATATCTCGAGAAGATCCTGACGCAAGTCCTCGAAAACATGAGGAGAACTGCCCACGCACCCTCGGTACAAATGACCGACGTCCCTAGAGATTCGCTCGGGATGAATGACGACGACGAAGCAGCTCTCGACGATCTTGATGAAGATGAAAACCCAGACAAGCGAATAACAGAGCGCAAAGCAGAGAAATATGTCCAGAAGAATGGAGAGCTGTATGATAGCGATGATGAAGAAATGGATGACATGAACGGTCGACCATCTTCCCGCAAGAGGCGTGCCCTACAGAATTACCGCCACATTATGGATGTCGGAGGCAATGATTCAGGAATGGAAACGAATAGTGGAATGGGCACACCTCAGCAAGGTTCCAGTCTACCAGATGATGCAGATGAGATGAATGTGGATGAACTTGATGATAAGGCCGCGCCGACTCCCAGCCCACCCGCCGAAGCTGTCAATGGTTCTGCTGCAGTTTCAGGACCACGGTCGCCCGCTCAACCACCAGCCGAGGATGGAGATGAGGACGTCGAAATGAGAGAAGCCGATGCGAATGATGAGGCACCCGAAGCCACAACCGATGCTCAACCGATCGAAGAAGAATCAACTATCACAGTTCAACAACAGCGAACGCCCCCAGCCTCACCGCCTGAGTCGCACCCTCAACAAGAACAAGAACCTACACCGGCCACTACCACCACCGTTGCTGATGAAGTCCCAACTGACAGCGCTAATATCGCTCCTGCTGCTCCAGATCCAACTCCAGCCCCAGCCACTGAGGCGGCGACCGAGACCGATGCGTCAACGACACCAGCCATCACTGCATCAGAGACAGTGACCATTGAGCCCGAAGCAACTGATACTATGGCAGAGGAGGCAGAAATCAAAAAGGAAATAACTGGCGATGATGAGGTGGCCAAGGCCCAAGAAGGAGGGCGTATGTGGAGAGAGGTAGCCAATGCAGATGGCGAGGCAAGGGCAGAAGCTGCTACCAAGGCTGAGGAGTAGTGCTTCTGGGTGGCAGGCTTTAGCATGAAATTCAAGTAGTCCAATGTACGATATAAGCAGGGAGTCTTGTCATGATAACAGGTGCTTCCTTTACAATTAGGGAGCTTGAGTGTTCTAAATAGACGAGAGTTTTATTTTCCCGGCCGGCCATCTTTGCAACTGGCGAGCGCATTGAATTGGAACTTCGAGTATGGGAAGGGAAACAAAAAAAAAAAAAAAAGGAAACTGGGGATCATTTTCGCAATACGGGCTTTGGACGAAATGGAAATACAGTGTTCCATGTGCGATTCAGAAGAGCAATAGACTACTCGTCGACGATCCTCAACACCACCTTTCCAGGTCCCCGACGACCACGGCTCTCGACCAACTCCGTCGCCTCACAGCCGTTTTTCAGTGGAAATACCTCATCAATCGTCCGCGCAACTTTCCCTGTGTCATGGGTTGGCCCAGCACTTCAAGCTCCGTGCCGCTCGGTTGACGATGAAGAATTCAACGCCAATGTTCGCAGAGGCACGGGATCGGAGCATTTGCTCGGATATTTTTAGACCGTAGACTGCGATGGGCGCGACAATGGTGACAATTTTGCCACCATGCTTCATGACGAGTGATGGCGAAAGAAGGATGGGTTGTAATGTGTCACCACCGGTGCAGTCAATGACGAGGTCGACGGGTGCGAGACCCTGAGTTTGGAAGGATGCTGTGATCGAGGTGAATTCTGGACTGGTGTAGTCAATGATGTCGTCGGATGAGGCGAGGAGGGAGGTGATTTGAGGACGCGACGAGACACCGCATATCGCTATAACATAAAAGCCAGACGCTGTAGCAAGGTAAATGGTCGGTATTCCTACGCCCCCCGAGGAGCCAGTGATCAGCACTCTCTTGAGGATTGTCATTATTGACGGGATTGAGAGAAATGAGAAGGATAGGTCCCCGTGCGCAAACAGCGCTTGATACGCGGTGAGGCCTGACAGCGGCAGGGTCGCGAGCTCTTCGTCTCATATATCATCCGAGGTGGAGGGCCGCGCACGGGCGAGGCTGAGTTCGGTTTCGAATGCTATGGCAAACGTAGAAGCGGCGCCATCGCGGTCGAAGTCCAGCAGACCCCGTACTCAATCGCCGGAAGAGAACTTAGGAAATAAAGGAGGCGCAGAGGTTGAGGGCTGAGGCGGGAGGATTCGTTCGACGATGCCAACGACATCGTCGCCGGGGACAGCGGAACCGAAGTGGTGGAGCGTCAGGTCAGTTCGCCGCGGGTGAGGGCAGTCGTGAGAACGCGGATAAGATATGTATGTTCTTTAGGAGGATGGAGTTTAGAATAGCCTGTTGCTGTGTATTGTAGGTCAGAGGGGGAGGCGGGTTCGTCTGGGAAGCGGAATGGAGGTGGGAAGATGGAAGGTATTGCCACAATCGTCTGGCATTTGGTTTGGGCGCCTACCTATGAGGCCGCTGTCGCCGCGGAGGAGAGCAGTATGCTCTTTCCTCTCTGGTGCACGTACTTTCCCGCATATCTCGAGTGCATTCAGAAAGCAAGCACCTTTCCAGGAAAATGAAAATCCAATGAGGAATTACGGCAATTATAGCCTTCGTCGCTTGCCGTGTCAAAAGGCTTGATTTTGATCGTGGGCCAGTAGAATGCTGGAAACGTGAAAGCAGGTTGATGAGCTAACAAGGCCCAGCCACAAGCCCGTATCTTGGGTTGTCTGAGCAGCTTGGATTCCGCCCCAATCGCATCACAGCGTGGCACCATTCGTGATAATCAATCACCACCTTTGGACCACCGCAGCTTCGTTCCCTGGTTTTTGTTTTCTGCCTGCGCTGGTCTTTGCTAGTTAAACTTACCCCTTTTCTGTCCTGCGGATTGGGACAATTGTTTTTCCGCAGATTGATATCATTTGCTCTTACCGTATCCACTTGCTCGCACTATTTCTCGAGGGGGTGACATGTTCAGCTGAACCCCATTTCCGTCTGACCTTATCCTCAACCTCCATCCACCAGATATTGCACACACGCTTTCGATCGTATAGCTTACCTCCGCCGTCGTCTGCTCTTCCTGCGAGTCTCAATCTTCCTAGATCCCGCGGGGGATCAAAGGCCTCGATCAACATGCCTTTCTCCGATTTCTTCACGAGTCCGGCTTCCGTTCAAAATCGACATATATCTGGAACGTTGGTCGCCCGAGATCAGTTCTCCTTGGCCGATAATGCCATTCGCGCCTTCCAAGAGAAGCCTGCTCGACACTCGGGACATCCAGACTTCGGCCACCTTTCGCTCCTCGTTTTCGAAGCTGTATTAGAAGTGGTCTGTGTCAGTTTACCAGGATATATCGTGGCAAGACAGGGCATGTTTGACGCCGAAGCACAAAAGTTCCTGGCAAATCTCAATGTCATATTGTTTACGCCCTGCCTGATCTTTACCAAGCTGGCGTCGCAGCTGACCGCGGACAAGCTGGCAGAGTTGGCTATCATCCCCGTCATCTTCATTGCTCAGACCCTGGTCTCGTACCTGTGCGCCTTGGTCGTTGGGAAATTTCTCAAATTTAAGAAGCGCCAGGCAAACTTCCTCATTGCCATGGGAGTGTTTGGAAACTCCAACTCATTGCCTATATCGTTGGTGTTGTCCCTGTCAAAGACACTTAAGGGGTTGCACTGGGATAAAGTGCCCAATGACAATGATGATGAAGTTGCTGCTCGAGGGATCTTATACCTTCTCGTTTTTCAGCAACTTGGCCAACTACTCCGCTGGAGCTGGGGCTACAATGTCCTCTTGGCGCCACCAGAAGCGTACACGGAGGCAGAGGGCGGAACGAAAAGAGAGGACAGTGTCGAGAGGGGCAGGGGCGAGTACCGAGATGATGTCGACTCGGACCACGAACAACGCCGACTCCTCAGTCCCAATTACGATGGTGATGGAGATAGTAGCGATGACTTTGAAGACGATGACGATGAGATAACTCGGATCGGCACCGAATCCCCTTCTGCATCCAAATCTGACGGTCTCAAAACCCCTCGAACTCCACACAAATCGTCCGCTAGGTCCTCAAGAAATTCTTCTCATCGAAATTTGAATGGATCCGCCAGTGTGCCAGATCTCATGCCTACTCTCACCAACGGGATGGCGACACCTCTCCACCATCTTGACTATCCGGCGTGGCTGAAGACTTTCGATCAGAAGAAGGAAGATGAAAATTGCGGAGGCGTCAAAGGCTACATCAACCAAGGAAAGAACTTCATCAGATATCATTATCTAAGGGTCGATCACGTCATTCGCTCGAAGTCCACTGCGGCGTTTGAGTCTCTTCCTCGACCTATTCAGAAGTTCCTGTCGGCAGGTTCCGCCAAAACGAAGGGATTTCTCGCCGGGGTGTGGGAATTCATGAACCCGCCTCTGTGGGCCATGTTGATTGCTATCATCATTGCTTCTATTCCTAAGCTTCAACATCTGTTTTTCGACGACGGGACATTCCTGCGGAATTCGGCCACGCGAGCAGTCGAACAGAGCGGTGGTGTTGCTGTACCTCTTATCTTGGTCGTTCTCGGTGGCAATCTCGCTCGCAACACGATCCCCAAGAATCTACCAGGTGACATTACTGACCCCAAAGAGGAAACGAAACTCCTCTACGCCTCATTGGTCGCTCGAATGGTCCTTCCGACCATCATCATGGCGCCTTTACTGGCCCTGACTGCTAAATACGTCCCCGTCAGCATTTTGGACGACAAAATTTTTATCATCATCTGCTATCTGCTTGGCGGTTCGCCGAGTGCCCTCCAGCTGAGCCAGATATCAGCCACGAATAACGTCTATCCCGGAATCATGTCCAAAATCCTGTTCCACAGCTATGTTATCTGGATTTTGCCGTCCACGCTCATCCTCGTGCTGCTCGGGCTTGAAACGGTAGAATGGGCGACATATTGAGACAATCAAGTTCTTGTTCATTGAGAGAGTCCATTGGAGCCTCTCTGGAGCGTGGTTTTGGCCATTAAAAGGCGTTGACCGCGTCTGGTGGTGACTGGGTTAGCGGAAATTGTAGCAGTCGGATCATGGACAAGGACGAACACCACTGTATTCTGTACCGATTAGAGTTATAAACATGATAATCAATGGTTCCAGTATAATGGCTTTGGTGGTGGTGATTCGAACTTGTGTGAGTATAAAATGTATGGCACAGCAGGAAATGGAGCGGGCAGAACCCCAGAAGAACCCAGGGAGTCTTGATATGGAGCACTGCAGGTCCAAGTGCAGATGCAGGAATTCCTTGCTGCCCTATGGGAAACACCATGGGAATACGGTGTACCCCAGTAATATTCGGTCAATTATGGGTCCTAGTACCGATGTTGGCGACTTAACCATGTGCTTGTGCCAAGTATTTGGTACTTGAATCGACCGGCTATGACACGTAAGATCGCAAGTATTTTTGGTACAATATCCAAGTTTCTTTATACATACGTGGAGCGTCACCCGCTCCCCCTAGGAATTCATGCCCGGCCAACTCACTAAGTCCCATACCTGGGACACGTACATATCACGCGCTGCAAACCTGCCCGACCAACAAACTTGGTAGAGCAGTCAATCGCAAAGCCAGTGATCGACACATCTGCGTATATTTACGGCCATACCGGGGAGGGGGGGGCCCATTATCATACTGCATACGATTCAAATCTTTTTGCCCTCTCCACCTCCAAAATCCAATTCTCCCTCCGTCGAGCTCAAATATTCCCTGGTTTCCTCCCTGCGAAACAGCTCATTTTGTAACACCTCACCCTCACACATGCGGTGCGGCTCTGATATCTTTGCCTCAAACTCTATCCTCCACCTCGCCCTCCCTCTGTTCTCGCCTCCCGGCTCTGCCTCTTCGGGCAAAAACAAGAAGCCACCTGCTTGCTCAGCACCTACGTCTTTCCCCTTCCATCGAATGAGAATAGCTCGACAACATCTCAACCTCGCCTCTTCCTCCCTCTACTCTCCCTCATACCATATCCACCGTTCTGTAAGCTCATCACTGAGCTGGCCGACCATTTCCTCTGCGCCCTCCCCCCCCCGCATGCTGCGTTGAGAAAGAACTGCATCGGCGCACCCGTGCAGCCAACACCACCACTACCCCCTTGGGATCTTCGTCTCCATGGACGACACAACTCCCCAGCAGCCGTCCCCTCCCGACACCTTCAGAAATCCAGACGAAACCCGGGCCGAGTCTTCTTCTGATGCCTCCCAAACTTCTTCTCCCGAAACAGTGTGCAAACCTCCCTCTTTAAACTCCCCCAGCGGCAGTATGGCATCCCCCATAAGCCCCTCCTCAGCCCCTCTCGGCCCTACCAATGCAGCGCGGAGGCCAGGACCGCTCCCAAGCCGCGCCAGCGGACTGAATTCAGACATCCAAGCAAAAATGAAGGCTTTTTCTCTGTCCCGTCAGGGAGCTCCTCCCCCTTCTGCACAAAACATGAGAGGTGGACTACCTGGTCAACAGTCCACTGGTCCCGGTCCCGGTCCTGGTCGATTTGTTGGCTGCCCGATCACAGGAGCTCCTCCATCTTCTCCTACACAACCTACGGCCAATCTCCGTCTTCCCCCGGGCCTGAACCGTCCAAACGCTCCGAGTTTTGGTGGCTCGCCATCTCCAGTCACGGGAAGCCCCCGAATGATGAGTCCTCAGGCTCCGATGGGTGGTCTGGCAGCCAAGCGGGGACTCAAGCCTGGAGGGATGAAACTGTCTGATGCGCAAAAGCCGGTACCCCCTGGCGAGAAGGTTGAAGAACAGGACACGGGATCTCAATTCAACAAATACTCAAACATCGTTGACACGAAGAAGGGGACGCTGAATTTTCAGAACAAGGCGGTTATCCATGGAAGTGGGATTGACTTTGCTGGGGGGAGCACCTTCTCGATTTCTCTGGACGAAGTGGATACCATCGCGGAGCTTGGAAAAGGAAACTACGGAACGGTCTTTCAAGTGAGACATGCTCGACCGAGAATGAGAAGACCTGGTTTAGGTCTGCGAGGCAATATGGTACGGCAATCATCCGCTTCGGCGGCAAAGGAGGACGAAGAGCCGGAACCACAGTCCCGGTCCTCGGGAACGAGCGGTCTGGTTATGGCAATGAAAGAAATACGGCTTGAATTAGAAGACTCGAAGTTTGCGGCCATCATTATGGAGCTGGACATTCTCCACCGTTGCGTGTCACCCTTCATCATTGATTTCTATGGCGCGTTCTTCCAAGAAGGCTCGGTCTACATCTGTATCGAATACATGGATGGCGGTTCGGTCGACAAATTGTACGGTGATGGAGTTCCCGAAGGAGTGCTCAAGAAAATCACGCTGTCAACGGTGATGGGTCTCAAATTCCTCAAGGATGAACACAACATCATCCATCGAGATGTCAAACCGACAAATATCCTGATGAACACACGGGGTCAAGTCAAGATATGTGATTTTGGCGTCAGCGGCAATCTCGTCGCCTCAATAGCCAAAACCAATATCGGCTGTCAGAGCTACATGGCTCCAGAGCGAATCTCCGGAGGTGGGATGGCTCAAGTCGGGGCGAGCGGAGGCGGCACCTACAGCGTTCAATCCGACATCTGGTCACTGGGTCTCACCATCATCGAGTGCGCGCTGGGACGATATCCCTACCCTCCGGAAACCTACGACAATATATTCAGCCAACTAAGCGTAAGCAGCACCCTCCTGACAGGACTGTGGAAAAAGCTAACTCTTGGCCCATAGGCCATTGTGGATGGAGCACCTCCAGACCTTCCGGCTGATAGATTCTCCGAAGCCGCAATCGACTTTGTACGGGGATGTTTGAACAAGATTCCCCGATTGAGACCAACGTATGCAATGCTTCTTCGACACGCTTGGCTCGCGCCATTGATGAAGCCGCCCACGATTTCTGAGGATGCTGAAGCGGAACAAGCAGCCGAAGCTGGCGTCGAATCAGCCTTTGCCAACGGATCGACGCCTGATACCGCGGACAAAGAAGTGGCAGACTGGGTGAAAAGTGCTCTTGAACGAAAGAAGGCGGGCAAAATGGCGGTCGGCAAGAAACCGGCGTTGCACGAGGCGCCTTTGGACGCCGTTCCTGGCAGCCCTCTTCTTACTCAACCTGAAAGAGTGCCTCTGGCCGAGGACAAAATGGTGACAGAAATTAAACCAAATTCTGGGGTTCGGGTCGAGTCTCCGGACTTGACAGCGGCGAAAGTACACAGTCTAGATTTCGCAACATGAACAAAATGATTGTTGGAAGAAAAAACGACACGGTTTGATGATACGGGAGATAGTGTAACGATAACGAGAAACGAAAATGCATTTGGTAGAAAACTGACATGCTCGGCCTCTCTTGGTCCGTAGATATGATGTCCAATTCACCTGAAAGGGAACAAGCGTTGTTTTCCAATGATGTCAGCGGTCTCACGTCCAGGATGCTTCTCACCACCGCGTTTTCTTCCAACACGTCTCGGCTCCCCTTGTAATGCTTCACGCCGTTGTCCTCACCAGAACCAATGGCGGCTCCTTGATAATGCTGGAATTGTATTCCCTCGTCTCGTTGCTGAGCAAGAATGCCTGGGCTTGTCCGCAGATTGCTGATCTGGGCAACCGTGGACGGACTCGTCCTCCAAGCCCACGGCCCCGCCGAACATCACAAGGCCATCCAAATCGACTATAAGCACCGCCAGATCAAAGAACTCCAAAAGAATGACGTGGGAGGCAGGAAAGGGCCTCCGCTGGAGGCCCACGGCATCATAGGTTAGGATTCTGGGTCGCGCCGAGACGATTTGGTAGCTCAGTCTTTCTTTACAGGACTGCTTTCGATTGCATCATCCTTCTTTCTCATTGCCATAACTCAGCGGGAGCAAGTCGCTCAAATCTTTGGAAAACCAGTCTATGTCATTACAGACGTTGCCCTACTTCCACTATCCTCCCAGACGGAGGCCGATCGTGCTGCCACCACTGCTCTCGCATCCCAGGGATCCAATTCCTCGACATCCGGCTCTGACTCCGATCTCAGCGACGCCGACGGAGAGGATGATGTGGCACCGGATGATACAGAGCCTGAGACGCCCATCGACACCAAACCCAGTCAACGGCGAGGTTCTAGCGCCACCAGCATTGCTAAAGATGTCATCGCACACCGTGGCCAATATGGGCGATTTGCTTCTCACTGGTTTTCTAAGCAAGGCTGGGGGGTCGGACGAAATATAAGCAATCCTCCTGCTTCTTCTAATCAGAAGGGTCTTTCTGCTGGAGGCCCCTCAACTGCCGGAGGTGATGCGGCGGCCGCCGCAAATCTTTCAGACCCCAAAAATGACCCCCAAGCAGTGAAAGAGGCCAACGACGCTGCTCAGACGCGAGCTACCAGTTCTGTCACAGACGCTCTTCCTAAAATCCTGCGGACTACGAGGATGATCTTGACGTCGGGCAGCTTTTTCTTTGCTTACGAATTTGATCTTACACGAAGACTCGCGCTCACGAACGGAACTGTAAAGGCCCCGTCACGGGAGACTCTCGATCCATTGGTAGGTCGATAGTCTGTGGGGCAATATATACAAAGAGTACTGACAGGCCTAGTATTTTTGGAATCGACGACTGGCCACACCCTTCCTGGACGCCCGGCAGGATTCATTTCTCATGCCAATATTGCAGGGCTTCGTCGGCCAGAGAGTGTTTGTTGTTGAAAAATCAGCATTCATGGATGAACCATCAGCTCGTGTGGTCTCCGCTGAGCATGAAAACGAGTCGGCGGGACCTGAACATGCGATGAACCATGCGAAGCAAAGTCTTGCTAGCACGGGTGGGAATAGACAGACCTACCTTCTGACTTTAATATCTCGACGGTCCGTACCACGTTCCGGATTTCGATATCTACGGCGAGGAGTCGACGATGAAGGGAATTGTGCGAATGCTGTCGAAACCGAGCAAATCCTATCTTCCGCTGACTGGTCTCCTGGCCGGCGAATACGGTCTTTTGTCCAGATACGTGGTTCTATACCTCTTTATTTTTCCCAGTCACCTTATGCGTTCAAGCCTATTCCCATGCTTCATCAGTCGGTGTCGAAGAATGAAGCGGCCATGAAGAAGCACTTTCAGGATCTCAAGAGACGATATGGCGGAGTGCAGATCGCTTCTCTCGTGGATAAACATGGTGGGGAGATCATCATTGGAGATGCCTACGAGAAAGCCATCCGATCTTTGCAGGAATCCGACCCGCTGCAAGACGTCCGATTCGAGTGGTTCGATTTCCATGCAGAGTGCCGCGGTATGAAGTTTGAAAATGTGTCCAAACTCGTCCACAAGCTCGAAGATGAAATCATGAGTTATGATGAGACGGTTGTATCAGGGCAAGGCGTCGAGAAAACTCAATCAGGTATCATTCGCACGAATTGCATGGACTGTTTAGACCGGACCAATGTTGCCCAGAGTGCCTTTGGACAGTATATGTTGCAGAGAGACTTGGCCAGGGAAGGATTTGAAATCGATTTGCTACATGATCAGAGCACGACTTGGTTCAATACTCTATGGGCTGACAATGGAGATGCCATATCTCGGCAGTATGCATCCACGGCCGCGTTAAAGGGAGACTTCACCCGAACCCGACGCCGGAATTATCGTGGAGCACTAAACGACCTCAGTCTAACCTTGACTCGATACTACAACAACATGGTGAATGATTATTTTTCCCAGGCTGTTCTCGACGTTCTCCTGGGCAACATGTCTTGGAAGATTTTTGAAGACTTTGAGAGCACGGTGATGAGTGCCGACCCCGGTATTTCAATTGATCAGGTGCGGGAGACCGCCGTCGAAAACTGTGCCAAACAGGTGATTCAAGAAAAGGATGAAGATCTGATTCACGGATGGACGATGCTGACGCCCGCTCACGAAAACACTTTGCGAACCATCCCATTCGAAGAAGCGGTTGTGCTGTTGACGGATGCCGCTCTCTACTGCTGCAGATTTGATTGGACGACCGAGAAGTTGGCTTCGTTTGAGAAGGTCGACCTTCGAACGGTTTCAAAAATCCGGTATGGGACGTACATCACGTCCACATTAAGTGAACGACAGATGAAAGAAGAACTCAATGCTGGCATAGTCGTCATGTATCAACCCGGAACAGAGAGCACCATTCGAACAAACACGAGGTCTCTACAAAACTATGTGGCACCAAAATCCGATATGTCTGAGAATCGAATTGACGGAGGCACGGGCATACTCTCCTGGCTGAGTCCGAGCTCGCCTCCATCGTCCAGGATTCTAGCAATGAAAGTGATTCCCGTCGCCTCGGGTCCGGATGGAGTCGATTCCAATCGAAATGAGCCAGTTTTGACAATTGCTGAAAACATTGCAGATGAGATTCGATGGGCAATAACCGGGTCCGCAGATCAAGAGGAAGACCAGGGCAATCTAGTAGAGCATCAAGCTATCATCTCACTAGCAGAAGCAAAGAAGCGAACAGGATACCTTGAACAATTAGGCCATTCGATCAAGAAGTTGGTGTGGACATGAAAAAAGGTGAAGGTGGACAAAGACGCTGACAGCCTCGTCGGGCACAAAAGAAAGAAATTAAAAGAGGTAAAGTCTGTCTGGCGGAGAGGCTGCCAAAAAGATATCCTAGAAGCTGCTATGTCTCAAAGCCGGAGCAAACTATTACAGAGTGGCAACCTTTTTTTTTTTTTTTTTTTTTTTTTCCCTCTGGACAAGAGATTGTGGGAACCCGCGCAGAATGTTAAAGATGCATACCAGATGTACGGGGAGGTTTAACGGTGCTAGCAGTTTACTAGCACACTGGTACATGGATCCACCCAGTAGAGAATAAGGGTCCCGCCGCCCGGACGAGGCGACTAACCGCCACTAAAGTTTGCCTTTACCCAGGGCCTCACTAAAAAGTAAAAGTCAACACCTCCTTGCGATGCGGAGCAGGAATTTCCATTAGGAAAAACTGCAACCTCAGCCTGCACACCACAATTCTGCTTCTCTACTGATACATCTCATGCCTATATCTTAGGTCAGGGCCTCATAATCACCCCTAACGCCTTGATATCGGCTTTTGCCCTTGGTCCATCCTTGACGCCGTTCCAAGGTCTCCCCACGCCCGTCCACACCAGAAAATTCCCACTTTCGCCCAACCACTATCACCATCGGGTCAGGGCAGACCAGCTACAACCACCTTCAACAACCCTTCTTTCTTCCGCGGCTCTCCTTTCTGTTTGCAACAGACTATCGGACGTCTCGAGGGCCTTATTCGCCTTGTCCTACTCTCCCAACACTCACCTTCCGACATTGAGGTCTATCACGTTCCTGGTCAAGCCCACGGGCGACGGTGCCCGTCATGACGTGGCAACCGGAGGAGGATGGCTTGCGACAGCTATGTGAATATTTGAAGAACTCACTGAGCGGGCATGACAGAAACAAACAGAAAGAGGCCGAGCTGGTACGTGGATCCCACACAATCCTCCCTGCTCCAGCAGGAGCGCCCTAACACCACGACCACTGCGGAGCATCGCTAATTGCTGCGCCTCTAGATGCTCATGAATGCGAGAAATAATAAAGACTACGTGAAGTATTTGACCTACATATTCAGCACACCCCAGTTCGGCCCGCAGTTGAATCTCAATGCGCCCAGTCTCTTTCTTATTCGATATGCTGCGGCCATCAACTTGAAGAACCATATAAAACTCTTGTATCCCACCATACCCAAGGATCAACTGGCATACATCAAGGCAGCGACGCTCTCGGTCCTTCGTGATCCCAATCCCCAGCTGAGAAGTTTTGCCGGGACGGTCATCACAGAAACTGTGCAACAGGGTGGCTTGCTCCAATGGCCGGAGATCTTGCAGGAGCTACTGACCCTGGTCGGCAACACGTCTGGAAATGTCCCGGCTGAGACTCAGGAAGGCGCCATGTCAGCGCTGGCCAAAGTTTGTGAGGATAACCGAAAACTGCTCGACAAAGAGTTCCAGGGCCAACGACCCATGACAGTCATTGTCCCCAAGTTGTTGGAGTTTGCGAGCCATCGCAACCCAAAGATCAGGGTATTTGCATTGAGCACGTTGAAGGCCTTTATTCCGCAAAAGTCCCAGGTGCTTTTCTCGGCCTTGGATGTTTATCTGCAGACGATATTCCAACTTGCTTCCGATACGGATGTTCAAGTCAGGAGAATTGTGTGCCAGTCACTCGTTCAGCTTGTCGATTCTCGACCGGACATGCTCGCTCCTCACCTTGAGGGATTAGTCAATTATATTCTGACCCAGCAGCAATCCGGAAACCCCGACCTTGCCTTGGATGCGGCCGAGTTCTGGCTAAGTGTCGGTGAACAAGAACAGCTCCGAGACCTGATGGGCCCTTATCTCGAGAAGATTATCCCCGTCCTCCTCGCAGGCATGGTCTATGGGGAGGATGAAGTGTTCAGGCTAGGTGGTGACGAAAACAATGCTGATGTGGAAGACCGCGCAGAAGATATTAAACCCCAGTTTGCCCAGACAAAGGCCGGAAGAGGCGTTACTTCTGAAAATGAAGATGACCCAGGCACTCCACAAGCGAACGGGACGCCGTCCAAGAGTGCCGAACTGAGTGATGGAGAGATTGAAGCCGAAGATGAGGACGACGAGGAATGGGATGACGATGATCCAGAGAATGCCTGGAGCTTACGCAAATGCTCGGCTGCCGCGTTGGACGTGTTCGCCGTCAACTATCATTCGGCTGTCTTCAACATCATCCTCCCGTACCTGAAAGAAAATCTTTCCCATCAACTCTGGCCAAAGCGTGAAGCCGCCGTCCTTGCTCTTGGTGCCATTGCCGAAGGTTGCATGGATGTGGTTTCACCTCACCTGCCGGAACTGGTACCATTCTTGATATCTCTTCTCTCCGACGAAGAACCGGTCGTCCGACAAATCACTTGCTGGTGCCTAGCACGGTATTCCGAATGGGCCGCACGACTCGAATCCCAGGCCGACAAACAACAGTACTTCGAACCCATGATGGACGGTCTTTTGAAACGCATGCTGGATCAGAATAAAAAAGTCCAAGAGGCGGGAGCGAGTTCCTTTGCCAGTCTCGAGGAGAAATCGGGCGACAAACTCAAACCTTACATCGAACCCATCCTCCGCCAGTTCACCGAGTGTTTTAGGCGATATAAAGACAAGAACATGTACATTCTCTACGACTGCCTCCAAACTTTGGCCGACAACGTCGGATCGGACATGGCCCAACCGGAGCTGGTTGACCTCCTCATGCCGGTTCTCATTCAGCGATGGAACAAGATTCAAGACGATTCTCGGGAAATGTTTCCCCTATTAGGCTGTTTGGGATATATTGCCATGGCATATGGCGATACATTTGCTCAATTCGCTCCTCCCATCTTCGACCGGTGTATCAAGATTATCTATGCCAATCTGCAACAGCACATGGCTTTCATGTCCGGTGCGACCGTTGATCAGCCGGATAAAGACTTCATCGTGACCGCTCTCGATCTTTTGTCCGCCATTATCCAAGCCATCTCCGATTCCCAATCCGCACCACTGGTTCAAAATTCTCAACCGCAATTCTTCGACCTCCTTTCCTTTTGCATGGAGGATCCTACCACCGACGTCCGGCAATCCGCTTATGCTGTCCTTGGCGACTGCGCTATTGCCCTGTACAGTTCTCTAGATCCCTACCTCCCGAAACTTCTACCAATCTTGATCCGCCAACTCGACCTTGACGCGATGCCGGACGATGACTCCGAGAATGGTTTCAATGTCCTGGCTAACGTCTGCTGGTCCATTGGAGAAATCGCTGCTCGCGCACCTACCTCTCGAATCTCACCGTTCATCGAACCCCTGTATCAGGGCCTGATTACCATCATCAAGAATGAGGAAGTCCCTGACCCGGCAAATGAGAATGCGGCAACAGCTCTCGGCAGGCTCGGTCTCTCATGCCCCATTCATCTCGCTCCATTCTTAAATGACTACGCGGAGCCTTTCCTGCAATCCATGTCCAAGATCTCGACTTCTCACGAAAAAGCTTCGGCGTTCATGGGCCTGAATAACGTCATTGAACGAAACCCTCAAGCGATGGAGCGCAGTCTCGGGCTGTACTTCGCGGCCATAGCTCAATTTCCTCAAAAAGGCAAACAGGGCACTGAATTCGGCGAGGTCAGAGCTAGCTTCGCCAGAGTCATTCAGGGGTATGTCGGTTTGATCGGGAACGAAGGGTTTAACACCTTTCTGTCTGGATTGAGTCCGCCCGTGCGGGCCAAACTGAGGGATGGGTACGGTATTGGGTCGGGTTAACAAGGACAATGGGGAAGAGCATGGAAAAGAACAAGGTCAATACGGGATCCAATATGCTGAACAGGATCGAGTGAAATACTCTTGAGCAGGGAAATGGCATGACGGATTTGACTTTGAGAATGGTTGCACCATTCCTATCGATCTGGACGATCAGAAAACTACCGTCGAAAACGCTCACAAGAGACATTCGAAACAGTATGGCGTGATTGGAGGTGGAGCAAATGTGAGCACGAGCTGGGTCTCCAACCCGACTGTGTTTAGAATTGCTGGGGAAGATATCATAAGCTGGATGGAGACTTCTTTTACCCCCCTCCTAGATAGTACAACCGCATGTGTTTTCACGCTGAGCAGACTGCCGTTAATGCCAACAGGGAAAGAAAGATAGTTGATAGAGATGTTGCGTCTTTTCGATTTTCGAGCCCCCGCTTATTTTCCACAAGACGACGAAGCGTAACATTGTCAGGATGGATATATCGGATTCTGTAGGTAGGTAGTCACGTAGATTAGCATTATATAGGAGCCCGGTGTGGCATAGTGTAGCGATAATCAAGAAATGCAGAGCCCGGAAAACAAACAGGGCAGCAAAAATCCAAGAAAAGTTCGAAAGAGCAGTGCGTCGAAGAAAATGAAAAATGAATAGCCTTCCGTATCAGGATCATGTTTGAACATTTGGTTTATTCCCAGCGGAATGAATATGGGGCTGAGTGTGTTAGTTTGTGAAGATAGCATTGACAAGGATAAAAAGGCTGTGATGTGGCTTTCTCAGGCTGACATGTTCAAGAATCATGGGCAAGGAGAATACGGAATTGTACGAAACAGGGCCAGATAATTGCATTAAAACATGTTACTGAAAGAGACACCAACCGTCTTGCACTTACAAGCAAGCAGCTTGGTATCGCAATGGTAATGCTGCCTCGAAGAAAACGCCCATCCCTTCTTCCACCTGATGCTATCCTTTCAGTCAAGAGACAAAAATTCGCAATCACATCCTTTGTCAGCATCCTCCTCCAGGGTAGTCAAAACACCTTGGCTCTCCCTTCACTCACCAAAAAGGTCCGAAGCATTCAGTGCCATTCCAATTCATTTGGTTGGAGGGGTTTGCCATAGAATAATGTGGATGGAAACAGTAAAGGGAAGTGATAGGTCAGCCGAGTGTCATTCAAGAGACTTAGCTGAGTTTTCATTGACCATGGTCGATGTCGGATCGAAAGAAAGTTCTCTGTTGACAATGTTTCCGTACCGAGCCTCGGATGCTGGAGCTACTTGTGGGGTCGGAGGAAGGTTTCCGTGCTAAACCACAATAGTCTTCTGTGCAGGAGTAAACGCGTACTTGGGCATCATTGCCATCTTCTCTTCAGGACTTGTCTCGTTATCAGAGTACACCAACCTGGTTGATTTGGGTTTGTCCTTATCTTTCTTTGCTCCCTTGTCATCCGCTATATCTTCTTTAGGGGCAACAGGTGCAGCTGCGGCGGCGGCGTTGGCATCGGCTTGTTTCGAAGCATTCGCTATCAAATCGTCAAGTGATGAAGCATTTTGAGCATCGTCGGGAGAAGATTGGGGTGGCAACTGGGTCGGTACTGGAGGTGGTGCGATTGTCGATGGCGGAGCTTCGGATGGGTGATACTGGGACACAGCGTTATGGGTTTGTGAAGCAGGGATCTGACCTTGATGCATCTGCTGAAATTGGAAAGCATTGACAGGAGGAGCACCAAATGTTGGTCTCTGTGGCAATCCTGGAGCACTAGGTAGACTTACACTGCCAGTACGAACTGGTGCGGGAAAACTTCCGTTGGTAGCGGGAGAATGTGAACGTTGGGGTAAATTATGTTGTGGAGGTTGTTGCGGAAAACCAGGAGCAGGAGATCCTGCACCAAATGGACGAGGCCCACTGGTCGGTCCAGGAAAGGACTGCCCAGGATATGTAGACTGATGAGGTGAAAAACTTGGCTGAGCAGCATAGGCCATTGGTGGCGGCTGTTGTTGTTGTTGTTGTTGTTGTTGTTGTTGCTGCTGCTGCTGCTGCTGCTGCTGCTGCTGCTGGAATGATGCTTGTGGCGGTTGGGCATATGGCTGTTGTGGATATGATACGGCAGAAGCTTGACCATAGCCTGGCTGTCCAGGCTGAGGTGGCGAACTCTGTCCATAACCTCCAACTTGTGGCGGGGATCCCCCTGGAGGGAAAGGTGGTGCTGCTTGGTACGGAGCAGCAACAGGAGCTGGAACTTGGGTGAAGGAAGGAGATTGGCTGTACGAACCATTTGTAGGCGGTGCCGCGTATGATTGTTGATAACCAGGATAAGCTGGTGAGGCTGCCTGTGCCTGGAATGAGCTGAGGTGATGCAAGAGATGTTTCAGACAAACTTACCGTGTTCGCCGCCACAGGGGCTTGACCAGGAGCAGAAGGGTTTGGGGTGGTATCTCTACTGTTTCCTCCATTCTCCTTTTCACCTGCCAGCTTGGCGGCTTTGTGTTCGGCGAGCCGCTTCTTCAAGTCAGAGACGGACTCGACTTTGGGTTTCTTTGGCGCATTAGGATTTGAGCTGCTTTGGGCATTATTGCCACTGGCTGCCTGTCGCTCAGCTTGGGCTTGATGAAAGGCGGTCAGAACTCGCTGAATATGTTGTTGAACAATATCTTCAGGGATGCCTTCCATGCCAAATATTTCAATATCCAGACCAGCACGATTGGGAAGCGCGTTGTCTACGGCAGTGAGGTTTTCCTTGTGTACTTGACTCATGTGTACGCTCAGACCTGGATAGGAAATGTTAACGGCAGATCGGAAGGGGGAATCACGGTGAGGACTGACCTCCTGCGGTATTCAGACGTCGACCACATCTTTCACATTTGAAATGCTTTGCTTTCTGATGATTGATCAAGATCTTAAGATCATCAAAGTCACGTTCACAGTAGTAACACCACGGCCGCGCCAGGACCTCTTCCACATCGGGGTGGTGGCGCTTCTTCTTGGTCATCTTCCGCTGAGGTTGGTACGGGGGTCCGACGGTTTCGAGGGAGTGATTGAGTCAAGGCGGATCTGAAGCTTGCCGATAGGTGCTGAATCTTGGTGACCAGAGGGTGCTTCGACAAGGCAGGTTCAGGTGGCGGAGAATCACTGATGAAGGTGAAGTCGAGGTGAAATCAAGGGAGGAACAAGATGGCAGAACGTGCGGCGCAGGCAAATAGAAAACGTAGCGGGCTCGAAACTTGGGGCCAAATTTGGCGATGCCTAAAAGACGCTAGTTAAATACCTGCCAAGGCAGGCGAAAAGTCCAACAGCATCCTCCGGCTTTTATGACCAGTTATTTCCATAGACTTTGCCAAAGCTATCAACAAAACCTTCGCAGTGCCTCGTTTTACATGTGCCCTGATGGCGAGACACGTATATCTCTCGGCCCCAAAACGTGAGCGGTGGCAAATGCCAGCGCTCTCTCCGTCCATCAACCACTGGCTCTGCGCAAATTTCGTAAAGATCGTCTCGTTGGCGGTGTACCATTGACCACGATCATGGAATCGCTCTCTTCTCTCTGTGGACTCGGTCTTGAAGCCGGAGTTTCCTGTAATTCTTTGTCCATCTGCTGTGACACCTCCCGCTCCGTTCTCGATCCTGGTTCCGTCTCGGTCCCAGCACGTAGATCGTCTTCTGCGTCCTCGTGATTCACGAGGAGCTTGATACCCGCCGTGGCCCTCCTATTTGATCCTCCTCTGGTTCCAACGACTCGCTTCGCGTCTTGTGCCTTTCCTCCGTTGACATTCTCCGGCATCGGTGTCATGGTCGATGGGGTCGTTCTCCCACTGTCTGCCGATTTCGTAGCTTTGGCGGTTACGCGCTTCGGCTGGGGGGACCCCTTGGGCTGCTTGGCTTCTTCCGCGGGTAAATTTTTCTTTGCTCGCGGTCTCTTGTCCTTGTTCTCGACCTTCCAGTACGCCCATTTTCGGAACATACTGAAGCTTCGGACGGGATTGATGCCGTTGATGATCTTATGCTTCCAATCTTCGGCCTTGTTCGGATCGTCGTGCAACCATAAATGATCATGCTTGACGGCCTCCACCAACTCTTCGTCTGTCCATTTGCGATTACGCAGGGAAGTCGGAGACAAGCCGACCCATGATGATTTGGATGATGTAGCTTTGGCGCCATTCTGAGCGGCTGTTGTGTTGATCGCTAATTCTCTTGCTTTGGTATACTGGTTGGGGTGCTTCGGCCGGTCAGGGCCATTGAACTTGCGGCGTTTGGAGTTCGGAGTATCTTCTCGCCCATCGACGGCCGGCGTGTTTGCTCGCTTTCTGCCTGGGGTCGATGCTGCTGAAGGAGCCTCTGATACGTCGCGTGTCGGTGGAAATTTTTTGCCATCGAATCTGGTTCTGGTCAAGCGTTTGTCAACGGCCTTGGACGGTGTTTCTCCCGAAGCGTCACTCCCGGCGGATTGGGGTCGAACGATCTCGCCATTTTCATCCACATTGCGCTTGACATATGTGATGGAATATTCTTCGTGGGGAGTCTGTTGTTTGGGAATGAGCAGCTTGCCGTTCTTCTGGACCGGTTGCCATCCATCAATGTTCTTTGGATTCGGGGCCCTTGCAGCCTTGGCCTTATACTCCTTCTCCTTGGGCACGAAGCCGCCTTGCTCAAAAGGCTCTTGGAGCAGCCGAACATCATGTTTCTCCCGGTCGGTAAGGTCGTCGGCAGACCTGATGCCGGGGACACCAGCATGAAGCAGGGCCGGTCGATTCGGCTCATACTTGTAGCCGTAGAGCGCGGATTCTTTTCGTTCCTCAAACACATCCGGTTCCAGAAGAGATTGGGGGTTCTTGATACTATCTTTGCCCTTGATCTGAGCAATTTGGTGCTCCAAGTCCAGGTACTCGTCTTGGGCCAGTTTCATGGCGATTTGATTGTTGGCACTGGTGGCATATAGCTGTTTGTGACTCAACGTCGCGATATTCACGAGAAAACTGTGCGGGTCGTTCAGTGGTTGGAAGCCATCTTCATTTAGCTCATCAGCGGCGTAGAGCTCCGGGCGAGTAGATTCGCCAAAAGCAGCATTCCAAAGAGTGTCAATCTCCAGGGAAGACATGGTGAGAAGAGGAGCAGGGGCCCAGATACTATCTGAATGCTGTTGCCATGCAACTGATGAAAGAATGATGAAGCAATCGAGGAGTGATCAGTACAGGAGCGACAGAAACGTGATCGCGGAAGCCAGAGGTGAAAAGGAGGAGGCAGGGATGGGGAAGACGATGAAAGAACAAGGGGGGTTCCAAACAGGTGCCGGTGATTCAGATAAATGAGAGGCTCTCTGAGGCAAAGACAGGAGCAGGTCCTGAAGGAAATATAGAGGCCCGATAGAGATGTTTGGGCAAAAAGCCAGATGCTGCGATGCTGGGATGAGCAGGCCATTCTATTTCGCCCGCCAATCAGAGGCGTGGCGCTCAAAGTCACGCACGCTAGGCCCAATTCGGCTATACCTCTTGGCCGGAAAAATTTCATTGACTTGCAGAAAAAGGGGAGTCATACTACCAAAGAAGCAAGCCCAAAGCGATGAATTGTACGATACCGAGTCCGACGCATATGAAGTGTACTCCCATACCATCTTCATTGTGCTGGCTTATCGGCAGCCTGCGCGCCGTGTCAATGAACAGCAGTACTAGCTAGTATTGTTACCGGAGGGCGCAGCCTCAGTTCAATCCATCGTCGGGCATATCTCCTTCCACTGCCAGACCTCCCATATCATCCTGCCGCCTGCTGGCGTCGTGCAGCTCTCTCCCGCGTTCTCTTTTCCGTGGCCTTCTTTGCATCCTCGACCCACGCGTCATAACTCCCATCCTTGATCTTCATCCCCACCACGCCCTTGAGCACCTCGCCCGTGAACCCGACGAAATTATGCCGCCGGAGAGCATTCTCCCAATCCCACTGTGCTCGTTTCCGCTTCTCCCGGGCGAGACTTTCATAGTCTTGAAATGCTTGTGCCCTGACTCTCAAGTCCCGACACACAGCCATCAGGTTGAATCGTACTTCGCCGGGCGGATATCGCTCAATCCGTCTTTGGAGCACCGGGATGATTTTCTCAGGGAACTCATCTGGCGTACAGTCTCCATGGGAGATGGGATAAGGCTGTAGTCCATCCAACTCGTAGAGCTTTCCATGATAGCACGTGTAGCCGATGAAATGGAAGACGTCTTCGGTAGCAGCGTGGGGATCGCGTTGTGTCTCGTCCGCGAACGGACTCGACCTCGCAAAGCTGTTGTGAGTTTCCCGAATCAAATCTGAATTGGACAACGACTCCCCACGCAAAGCTGCATCAAACCCCGTTGTGAAGTCCTTGAACTCTTGTAGCGATGGGCCAATATCAATTCTCGGCCATGTCGCATCCGCGCCCGACGACACAGGATCGCTCGATTTGTCATTGTTCAGAATCACCGACAGAATGGCTTGCGTGCCGCAGGCATTCTGTATTGTCTGGGCCGCAAAGAACAGACCGTCCTCCTCGACTACCGCAGAATCATATGAGCCATCTTGTGGAGTCCCCCTATTTCCTGACGATGAACCGATCCATTTGAAGAGGAAAATCACGCCGTAGACAGGACTGCGAAACAGAGCAAGAGGTCAGCACTGCCCCGGAAAACTCAAGACCGTCCGCCGGAGAGAGGGTCACGCACGACCGGCACGTTACCTCAAAGCGCGTATCGAATCAGCATCCAGAGATATCAGCTCTTCAAATTGCACCCCTTCGACTCCTAATTGCTCGATCAAAGACGTGAAGACACCCTGAAAATGGGAGGAGACTAGGTCAGCAAGTTGCTCTCCACGGTGCTGCGGCTGCTTACTTCATCCGACTCGATGGTGCTCCAGCCACCACTCGAGGCGTCTTCGGCCATTGCTGACAAGCAAAAAGGCTAGGTGAGCGAGCGCGAGAGTGAGTGAAATGCTGGTCGATGCTCGAAGTGTTCAAGTTCTGCCGGTCAGATTGTCTGTGCTATGCATGCGTGAAGGTCTCGAGTGCAGTCATGCTCTAGCCTCGGAGATTCATCACAGCAGGGAATGAAGGCCCAGATCAGGAACATTCAAAATCCAGGCAATTTGCTGGGCTTCAATGTTTCTTCGTCCCTCGTGAGACGGTCAAACGGCGGGGTGGAGAACCGGTTCGGTCCGCCAATCAGAAGAACGAGACCATACATTTCAAAGTGCTTTATATGGCAAGGGACTGGAACATTACAGAACCCTGTCGCACACTTGTCTAGTCGGTGAGCAGGCACGTCCGTATCTTCCAAGCAAGCCATTCTTCCATAGATAGAAATCTTGGGGGATGTATCTTTGAATGTCTGCCTTTCCATGGCATCCATTCACCGGCCCCTTGTCTGGTCGTGAGTGTGGTACCTTGCTGTTCACAATTTCTGATGCATTTCTTTGAGCCGCTCGTTCATGAACGGACGTCCTAATGTATCATTGATATTGAATTGATGTCGTGGAAAGACGGCATTCAGCTTCAGATAGCCACATGTTGGCGAGGCCCTCTTCCCGCTTGCAAAAACTCAGCTAGCCCTCGCTAAATATAAGTGACGATGCTATCTTGGGAATGTCCTTGAGTCCAATGTAACCAGAACAGTGTCGGTTTTCTAGGCTCTGGGGCGTGTTTAGCCCTTTATGGATGTCCAGAGTTTGCGACATTCTCACTCCGAGGAGCCGTCCTTTATTTTTCCCCGGGCTTTGATATTCATCGGGTCCAAGACTCGAGGATTTGTTGCGCTGGAAAGGCTGTGTATTGAATCCTGAGTCACGGATGTGCCTGAGCCCGCTAAAAGTCAACCGGATCAATCCATACTCCCCAAGAATCCTGATACGAGTACGGGCCTTCTACATCGGTATACAATGCCCCTATGCATGCCTGGCCCCTTCGGCTGAAGAACAGAAACCATTCAGGCACTGAGCAAACATGATCAAGCGGTCAAGGAGCACTGGCAGAGGATGAAATCGAACAGATCAATCCAAATTCATGAATGGTGAAAACTACCTTGCTCAAAATTAGTAGAATCCCCGAAAGTGCAAGCTCAGCAGCTTGCTGAGCCAATAACGTCTCCTCTGCCAGACTCCGTAGCCAACAGAGATAAACCCGAGCGACTTGACACAGAATGCCTCCCACCACATGCTATTATGAAGTTTGTTTCGTGTTGCCCGTGTAAGATCAGACGAAATTAAAACGTGCCGCTTGTGTTTACTACCTTTTTTCCCCAGCAGCGAATCCTCCTCCTTGCCCCTGCCCACCTATCCCAAATTCCGTATCGAAATAACGTTTTTTGACAATCCTTTCGTGGCAAGAGTAGATTACCGTCTGGAAACACAAACATTCCGGTTCCATCTCTGTCATTCTCATTCGTTCCTCTTCCGTTCCCAGGGCCTCGCCAATAGCGCTAATTAGCATCCTTATGTCCGTGTCTCACGTCATCGTTGACGTTCTTTCCCTTTGTCCTCCTGCTTGATGCTAGGAGGCATCTTCGCCGGAACCGGAGGAGTCCTATCGAATGAAGAATACTCAGTCGCGACGTCCGTCAAGTCCAGAGTTGTGAAGGAGTGACGAACCGAGTATTCATATTCATGCTGCCGTATGGATTGTACGGTGCCTGAATTTGCCCAAAGTAGTCCATCCTCGACCCTAGGATCTCGTGGCTGCTGTGAGGCTGTTGTGCTGGAGATCCGTAAACCATGCTCATCGCGTGAGGACTGCCAGCGCCCATGCTCCGTTCGCTCATCGAAGGTGTCCGTCCAAGAGATGAAATAGATGAGTCGCGTCGTAATTCTCCGGGCCCATGTCCGAGCTGATAGTACGATGTCCCCGACATGGAGACGCTGCCATGCGCATGAAGAGGTGAATTGGAATATATTGATGTTGTTGAGGTATCGGGTGTGGGGGATCGCATTGGTCCCTGCGGGGCCATATAAGGGCTCGCTGAAGGTGAGTACCGATACATGTCCATTAGTTGACTGCTCTGGCTGCCTGGGTTGTTTTGTCGCTGTTTCAATCGATATGCATTCATGATCTGCATGGGTACATCTATGAGAGACAGCGCCACCTGGACACCTGCATCTTGGGGCTGGGTCGTTCTCCTCGTTCTCAGCACATCATGGACGCGCTCGAGAGGAAGCACGGCCATGCTGCCCAAATATGCGCCGCCGATTTCAGGGAATAAAGGTTCGATCGCGAGAGCACAGGCATACAGATGAGAGAGGAGAGTCAGCGGAGCCAAGTCAGACTCGCCCGCGCGCAGAATGAGCGGTGGTAACCAGAAAATCAGGTCTCGGAGATGCTGTAATCTGGTAAAAGCCTCGTCTGGTGCTTGAATGTGTAAGTCTCGCTGTAGTTCTCGGACGTAGTCGGCCAGGCGTCTCGTGTGGTCTGCCAGCTCTTCGCTGTTGGAAAGTCGTAGACGCAAATTATGCAGAGCCGTTGTAATCTGCTCCACTCGGCGAAGGTCCTCGTTGGGAATGGCCAGTGGTGCATGAGGCATGGTTGGCGTCGCGGGAGTTCGGGCTCGAGCGACTGTTCGCTGAGTTTCTATGTATTTTGCCAATTCCGATTCGTGTATCCATTGTCTCATTGCGCTCAGAACCTGCGAGATGTCAACGAACTAGAGCGTTGATCAGAATTGTCGGGACGTACAGTCGATAAGCCTTGCTGCAGGGAGGCCCAGCCTCGCCTATGATTGATGATTAGACAGAATAATTGCGCAGGTGTTGTGTCATACCAATCAGTCGCCTGCCACGACAAGAGAATTGAAGCCGCGAGGACGGCTTCGGAGTTGTCTCGTGAAAAAGACCCAATTGCTTCATGAAGGCCCTTCAGGGCCACGCCTCGATGGTGGAATGCCAGGTTGTTGGTGTCGTCATTCAACGTCTGGAATGCAAGATGCGATGCCGACAACGCAAGCAACGCACTCATCGCGAAATCATGTGAAAGAGCAACAGAGATAAGACTAGACTCCCGGTTAGTCACTAGAGTGCTCGGTGGACAGACCGAACCTTACGATTTCATCCTAAATCCCCAGACGGTGCAGGTACTATAGCCCCTGTTGTTCATATCTGTCGAAAGGGTTACGACGTGGTGGATAAGACGCAGATCGATGGTCGAAAATCGAGTCCAATACACTGTATCGTGCATCTGTAGCTCGGGCAGAGGTGACTCGCCGGTCATCCGCCAGTTGTCGAGTTGAGTCTGAAGTTCTGGGGACATCAGGAGCTCTGGTGGCTGACGGCCCTTTGTCAGGTCTTCTCCGGCGGCCGGCATGTCCATATAGTCGCAACGACATTGATGTTTGCTGCAATTTCGACATTGAGGGAAGTTCTCGTCACAACGAATGTGTCGCTTTTTGCAAGTTTTACATCCTTTGCGTGACTTGGTGTGACTTTTCCGGGGAGGGCCACCTCCAGAACCGGCCATTCTCCGCGCCAGTTTGGTAGAGACGTTGGAAAAATGAAGCTTCGCGTCGTGCCGGTGCTTGTCTCCAGGTCCCAACACTCAAACAAAATGAATACTTCGGGAGGAACTATTGATATTCGTGAGGGTTGGGAACTAGACGGAAGATGAGTCCGGCACCTTCGAATGCAATAGCCAGACAAGAGACTTCTGAATGAAAAAGGTCCAAGAAAAAAATAAAAATAAAAAAAAGTCTATTCTCCTCAGTATAAAACGCGACAAGTATAACGAGTTGCCGACCAGAAAGGGGAGTCTCGTATTAATCAACGGTAGGGCTGAGTGAAAGATCCGTGGTCCCCACACAAGGGATGCTGCGAAGCCCGAAGTGCGGGCGGAGCAATATCAAGAGCACCGTGGCTGGGTAGGAAGTGAAGTAGCTTGTGTGGCAAAGGGCGTCATTCTGGTTTCGTCATTCGCGGTCCGGTCGCCAGCAGAAGAAAAATCGGGAGGTTGTATCATAGGAGTTGTAGCGTCGTTCCCGGAAAGCTATAGCAGAAGAAGGGAAAAGAGGACTTGGATTGCTACGAGGGTTTCATCGTCAGAAGTACGAATTCTGGGCCTTGAAATAGAACCTCTGGTCACGAAATGCATGCGGCTGGAAACAAATCAACTGGCAAATACTCGATCGAGTGGAGGGCCATTCAGAAAACGATTGTGCAATGGGAACCGTGTGACTCAGCCTCGATTATTTCTTGGGGCGGTATGTTCCATGGGGTTTTGTCTTTCGATTTCTGGACTTGAGACCAACAAGTTGGGGAAGAGGAGCTCGAACGCAAGTGGAAGTCCTAGGCACAACACCAACAATGATTGGACCTTGGGGCTTCATGCAAGCCAGCATAACACAGACCAAGAACCAAATTTGACTTGTTCAAATGGCTTGTTTGGTCTCACGATAAGTGGTTGGCATCATAGGCATCCTGCGGGTCGCCGTGCAGCTGCTATTTCCTGGGTTTAGCCTAATGTGACTAAGAGAACCTTGGGAAAGGTTTATTCTTTTTTTTTTTTTTTTTTTTTTTTTGTTATTTTCGTTTTCTCACCCTCCTCTAACCTGGTTGTGATGACCTCTGAGGGGAATAGGAGCAAGGACAGCCGGATAGAAGTCGAATCATTTTTGGCGATAGCGTCTCACTGCGGGCAACGACGGCCCGGGCTAGCTAAGACAGAACGGCGATGTTACTGGCAGGGATTCCAGGAAGCCATGTGCCAAAGCTCTGGAAATCGGAAGCGGAAGCGGATGGTACAGTTTAGGAAACATGCAGGGAGTTTGGTTGATCACTCAAGTTTGGCTATTTCTTGCGCTCCCGGGGGGATCTCTGGGTGCTCACCGCGTGCCAAAGAGGAGAGCCCCTCGTGTTTGAAAACCCAGTCCGGTGGGCCAAAATATTCACCATGTTTGCCCGGATGAGATGAGCAACAAACGCATCAGCCTGACGCCGACGAAATGACTACGCCATGCACCGGGATGTGTTGGCCAGGGTGCTGACCCCCATCAGAGCGAATAAACTTTGGGAGCGCATGGACCATCTGCAGCCCTGTCGAGCGTGGCAAGGTTATGGATGTGGATGTCGAGGATGGAGTGATGATGAGAAACATGGCAGGGACAGAAAAGTCGTGGCCAGATCGGTGCCAAGGCCAGCTGAAGGACTCCTCGTCGTGGTGCTGCAGGACTGCAACAGACCAAATGGGCAGCTGCTGAGGAATATGCCCGTCGGTTGGAGTCGTTTCTGTGATTGGGCCGGGGTATAGAACCTGTCTTGTCGACGCTTTTCGGCTGCGCTAAAGGCCCCTGCAGCAGCCGATTGAGCAGGACCCCAGTCATTTTTCATGATTACAGGTCAACTGACGCCAGAGTTGGTGAGGGATAAGGAGGCTAAGGCTAACGGTAAGGCCTAATCGGCCATTTTCCCATCTGGGTCCGGGTCTGGATTGCTGGGAACTAAGGCCAACATATCCTCGTCACCCCGCCCATATCTGGGAGGGCGAGAGGAGAGGAGGCGATAATAACACCCGCATCTGCCACCCTTACGGGGCATGCTGGAATGATATGAGCTCAAGTCCGTATAACCTGACGGAAGCAATAGAACCGTAGTACAGCCCGCTCAAAACCATCTTTTCAGGATCTAAATAGCAGGTATCAAGGAGTGTTCATGTGGACTGGTCTTCAATGGCTGCGTCTTACCTTCCTCACCTTTACCGGGATTGGTTCTCTGCAGTGGACTGAGACCGTTGACGGTTGGAGAGTTGAGAACTTCGAAGCTTGGGGCTGTAGAGCGTGACGCTGAGGTGACGGGCTCCTTGATACCAAAGCATGCTGCAGCATGCCATCCTACCAACTCACCAGCTAATATAAGTAGACGTTTGGCTCTGTTTGGGAGAGACTGCCACCAACGCTGCAGAAAAGCATACGCGGGGTCACAAACATCCAAGACGCACCAGGATCCATTTGTAGCCTTTTTCAGCTCCCCGTCAAAACCTTAGGAGAAGTGCTAGACGAGTCTAGCGGGGCTTCTCCTTTGGTGTCAAATTTTTGACAGTTTTGATAACTTTTGGGTGCTCGCTTAATTGCTCAGATCGCTGCCGATCGTAACTTCTATCGAAATATCGATACTGGCTGTATCAAATCTGAATCGGCATGGCTTCGGGGGAGTTTGACAAAATGTATTCCCGGGCGGGCGCTCCAGGAGGCGAAGAAAGCTGGGCTAGCCATTAGGATTTGGTGAATGACACCCCCCTAGTGGTCGCCAATTAGGTGACCATGAGGAGCTAAGAAAAGACGACCGTCAGGATTGAAGCTGTTGAAGATTTTCATCCACACAAGAGTTGGGAATATTGATCCCAGACCTGTCCGGTGCTGAGGCGAAACTAGAAAAGGATATGCAGCTAACTGAAAGAAATCAGGCTCCGCCAGGAAACCATCCATTTCCATGGCCGGTCATGCAACCATCTCAGCTACCTGGAAATGGAATTGCTGCACTTACCTACTCGAACCGCAGGACCCGGTACGCCGGTAAATCCTGTCACATCCCACAGGCCGGGAAGTTCCAAGTTTCTCATACGATTCTGGAGAATTGGATTGGTGTCAGAGAAAGTATCTTGTGACCATTTGGGGGGCTAATGCTCCTCCTAGGATTTCTTCGGATGGATCAAATGCGCGTGGCTGAGGCTGCGAGGTATCTCAGGCAGCCGTCTTCAACATGGGTTGCCGAATACGTCTGGTGTATTATTACGCGTTCATGACAGGGGCCATACTCAACCCAGGCTACAATCTCATTTCCCCTCGTCTGTTGCTCCCCACGGTCCGCCGTCCATACGAAATCCATGATGACCGGGTTCGGTGATGGTATGCTCCGCCACGTGCGGCCAACAACCGTGGATGGGACCTTTGCTTGGAGCCGTGAGCGTATTCAGCTGGTACGCTGCCTTGGCGGCTTTCGGGCTCTCTATTCAATTACGGTCCGGGGGTTTATTGAAAGTTTCGGAATTGGCCTAAGATAATCGTATAGAATGGAGAGGGCGACTCAAAAGCCCCGTTTCCGGCCAATCCAGGAAACGGAGGGTTTGAACCCAGGATGGTCTTGATTTTGTTGGAATGAAGCTGTTTGCTGCTGGTCATGGCCGTTGACTTGGGAAGGGGGAGACGGGCCAATCACCGACAGATCAAAGAAAACTCGGGCATGTCTATTGAATTTTCGCTTGCTCTGTGGGGATTCTCGATAGTCTTAGGAACAAATGGACCCGTCCTAGAGCCGGAGACGGGTTGTTCATTGTATCATGAAATTTGACAAGCTTGTGTTGGCCTTTTTGCCTTCGTCTTTCTCTGTCGCCGAGCAAATATTCGCCCTGAACTCTTTCGTGGAAATAGAACTTCGATGCGCCGGACCTCGAACCCATTCAGCTTCACATTACCACACCACTATTGCTCGCTATTCTGGGCCAGAGCTCAGCGGCCTCCTTGCCCACCGGTCCTGTAATAGCACTGCCTTTCATTTCACCTTTGGGATTCACAATGACGCCCGCATTGTCTTCGAAATAGAGATAGACACCATCGGGGCGTCTCCAAGGTTTTGATTGTCGAACCACAACAGCTGGCATAACTAGGGAAGAATTGTCAGTCTGTGTCCTATTCCCGCGCTCCAACTGCACAAATGGTTACCTTTCTTTCTCAATTCAGGCTTTCCTTTCTTCACGGTAGCCATGACCATGTCGCCCACGCCGGCGGCAGGGAGTCTGTTCAATCGAGCACCAATACCTTTAACCGAAATGATGTACAGGTTTCGCGCACCGGAGTTGTCTGCGCACGACATGACGGCTCCTCTGGAATTTTTCGTCAGTCATTGTCCGGATAGGCTTTCCCTTCTAGCATCCATCAACGTTGTCCATCAGGATGAGACTATTGGAAGCGATTCCCTTCCTCTTGCGATTTCCTCGGGACTCGAACTTTACTGCGCCCCATCAAGACATCAGGAGAATCTGAGGGATCTGGAATCGTAGATTCAGGTGGACATACACAGGCAAACCGAGAGTCATCTTGAGCTTGTTGCCCGAGGCGCTACCGCGACTGTGTGGTACAGAGATGTCAGTGTAGTTCTTGCTTCGAAAATTCCCGAGTCATCGTGAGAGTCGTCGGTCCCAGAAAAATGAGTTACGTACCCTCGTTTCGACATCTTGACGGTCGTGTAATTGAATGATCTTTTGTATAAGAGATTCCTTAGAAAAATGAGGTGCAAACAATCCAAGGTCGCTGCTGCGAGCTTGCCGCGCTGGCTGAGGAAATCCATGTGCGCGAAGCTAAGAAAATGCAAAATCTTGGCATCACGTGATCCAATCTAAGTCCATTGATACCCGCCAAGGACCTCCGTGCCTACCGTGGATTTGTTACCGATTGGCCGACCAGCGTGCCAATGCCCAGAACAAAGCCCGAGAAATTCCTCAGCGGCGACGCACAACGCTCATACACGAGCGAGGCTTCCCGTAAGGGGTAGTTATCCCGCGTCAGGCCATATGGGGACAATGTGGGCTTGCACCACACGTGCTGAATTCCCGTCACCATGAACCATCATGGAAGGCCATACGGCGCTGGCTGCAGCTGACCCTGGAGACTGCCATGGCGGTAGCACGGTACAGTCGTGAATCAAGAGGTCCGGGCCCTGATCCTCCCGCCCTCTGGATGAAAGCAGATAGACCTACTTGGACATTCGACACAAAGGGGCATTGTCATCGCAGTAGAGCTATGTGCAACGAGATCTTAACACAAAAGGTCGTTTAATTTGTACATGAATATATCATCAGTGGTTCGTTCGACCTTGATCGGTTTAGTTAAGGTTAGCTCGGCCTGGCCCCTATTACACATCCCTTTGCGCCTGGGAGTCAACTAAACAGCCCTTATAAGTTAATTATACATCCACCGCCAAGTGAACTATGGTTCAAGAGAGCATGATCCTGAGGATTGGATGCAGATCACGAGATAATGCTGCCCTTTGCAATTAGCATTCTGCTGCCCCTCTCGGCTTACCGTGCTGACTGCCCCCGGAAAGACAATACCCATCTAGAATTCTACGGCATCAAAACATGTCCAAGCAATCGTGCGTGCCTTGCGGAGCAAAGAGGAGCTGGAAAGCGGCGGGCCAAATGTGACTCGGCGCCCCTTTTGAGGTCTCTTGTCGCCAATCATATTGTTGCTGTTGTCAAGCATGTTCTCACAGGCCCCCAATATACCCCTGTTCTTCATGGGCCCTGTGTGAGCCTCAGCTCCTTGCTCAGCCCTAAGTCGTATCACCATCATGTTCTTACAAACTCCTCCCCATTCTTTCTCTGCTTTGTTGCCTGTTCTTCCGCCTGTAATGATCCATCAATCGGTGGCCTCTCTCTCGTGATCCCCCTTGCCTTACTTCGCCGCCTTTCTGCTCCTTCCGCCCTATCTGACCTTGTCTGCCGTCGTCGTCCTATTCCCATATAAAGCGCTTTTGACCCCTTCTCAGACATGATGGCGCGCAAAAGAAAGCTCTCCGCAACTTCCCTTAACGCTATGGACGGCGTTCGAGATTTACCATTTGATTCCGACGACGATGCAGGCGGCTCAAGGCTCACCAGCGCAATCAAGAGCTTTTTCGAAAGCATAGCCGGCTCTGGCTCTGATCCGACCAATCCGGTCATCAACGGAGCCACGGTCCAGTCAAGACCGTTTCTGGCCAGAATTCTTGCCGATATTGCTTCTCAGGCGCCTCGCATAGGAGAGAATATTGGCCTTATTCATTCCCTAGTTGATACGAAGCTTTTCGATGGCGGCCTCGTCGATGATCGTCAATATCAAGTACGCATATGCAGCCTCATGTCCCCTATTCGTAACAGCACGGCCTTTGATCCCGACTAATATTTTAAGTATAGATGGAGAAGATTCTCCAACTGGCTGCCTCATTGCCGCCTGAATCCAAGGCGCTCGACGATCTCACCAGCCAGTTTATCAAGTTACTCTGGGAGAACTTGGAACACCCACCGCTGTCGTATGAGGGAGATGAGTATAAATATCGTACGGCCGATGGCTCGAACAATAATATTATGTACCCGCATCTGGGTAAGGCGGGTTCTTATTATGCAAGGACCGTCCCCCCTCAGACCCTCAAGCCTGGCGTGCTTCCAGATCCCGGGGTCATCTTCGATGCCATCTTTGCTCGTGGTGAAGAGCCCCGGGAGCATCCCAACAAGATCTCCAGCATGCTCTTCTACCTTGCCACGATTATCATTCACGATTGCTTCCATACCGATGATCGAGACTACGGAACAGTTCGGACGTCCTCATATCTGGACCTGGCACCGCTCTACGGCAGCAGTGAAGAGGCCCAGAAGAACGTTAGAACTTTCAAGGATGGTCTCCTGAAGCCGGACACATTTTCCGAAAAGCGAATTCTTGGCTTTCCACCGGGGGTGTCTGCCATTGTCGTGTGCTTCAACCGCTTCCATAACTATGTGGCGATGCAGCTCAAGGACATCAATGAGGGAGGCCGCTTCCAAATTCCCAAGGACGAAAATGACACCAAAGCCATTGCCAAGCTCGACAATGATCTTTTCCAAACCGCGCGCTTGGTCACCTGCGGATTGTACGTCAATATCATCCTCAACGACTACGTGAGAACAATCCTCAATCTCAACCGCACCAGCTCCACGTGGACCCTCGATCCACGAAAGAACTTCAATAACGTTTTCGACGCCGCCGGTATTCCTTCCGGAGTGGGCAATCAAGTCAGCGTCGAGTTCAACCTCGTCTACAGATGGCACTCGGCCATTAGTGTCCGGGACGAGAAATGGACCAATGACTTGTATCAGTCTTTGTTCCCAGGACGAGATGTAGCCACCGTGACGGAGGAGGAGCTTCTGAGAACTCTGCACAAGTGGCTTGCCAAGATCGACCGGGATCCATCCAAATGGGAGCTTGATGCGGGCAAATACAAGAGAACGGAGCGTGGCAATTTCCGAGACGAAGATTTGATGAACATCCTGAGCGATGCCACCGAAGACGTCGCGTGCGCATTTGGACCCAGGAATGTCCCCGTCGTGATGAAGCTAATCGAGACCCTGGGCGTGAAACAAGCTCGGGCTTGGAATGTGGCCACGCTGAATGAGTTCCGGAAATTCTTCAAGCTCGAACCTCACAAGAGTTTCTCGGACATTACCAAGAACGAAGAAGTGGCTCGGTCCCTGAAAGCACTTTATCAACATCCAGACTACGTCGAGCTCTACCCTGGTCTGGTTGCCGAAGATGCCAAAGATCCTTTGGAACCAGGATCTGGTCTGTGCCCTGGCTACACCATTTCTCGAACCATCCTTGCAGATGCGGTCGCCCTTACCAGAGGTGATCGATTCTACACCGTTGACTATACGCCAGCAAACCTGACCAATTGGGGCTGGAATCAGGTCAAATCCGACCCAAGCGTCGCGCAGGGGGGCTGTTTCTATACATTGATCATGCGAGCCCTTCCGTTTTACTATCGAGGAAATTCGGTCTACGCCATGTATCCATTCACGGTTCCGGAAGAAAATCGCAGAATCTTGAGCAAATTGGGTAGGGAAAAGGATTACGATTTCAATCGACCCTCATACATTGGCGTACCAACGTCGGTGAGATCATGGAAAGCCGTGACCGACGTCTTGAAGGACCAAGGCTCTTTCAGTGTTCCCTGGGGCCTTCATACCTACTATCTCACGCATCACGATTACATGCTGAGCGGAGACAGTGTCGCCAACGCCACTCAACGAATCGATGTCCACAATGCCATGTATTGCCCAGCCAACGGCCTGAACCAGGTCCAAACATTCTATGAAGATCTTACCACCCAGCTTGTGGTCGCTCGTTCGGAAAGATTACGCGGTGAATGGTACCAACTTGATGCTTGCCGCGATGTCGGTAATCCATCACACGCCATCTTCGTGGCTCGCATGTTTCATCTGCCGCTTAAGAAGCGTGGAGATCTAAACCCCGTCGGAGTGGAGGTGGATCAGCTCTATCTCGCACTATCGATATTGTTCGCCTACGTCTTCCTCGACCTTGATACGGCGTCTTCTTTCAAGCTGCGAGCTAGTGCAAAGGAGGCTACTGACCAACTTGCGAAGCTGGTCAAGATCGTCTGTGAGGCTGTGCAAGTAGATGGAATCTTCCGCATTCGTGATCTATTCCCTGTGGGCACTGCTGGTCAACTTCTGGAGGACTACGGCACTTCCTTTCTGAGGCGACTATTTGAGGGCGGAAAGTCAGTGGACGAGATCGTGTGGACGATCATTCCCACTGCCGCGGCCGCTGTCGCGACCCAGGCGCAACATTTTACCCAAATGTTGGATGTCTACTTGAAAGATGAGTACTACAGCGAACATTGGCCAGAAATTCAAAGATGCGCATGGTCAAATGACCCCGCAGACTTTGAGAAGCTCAAAGGGTACGCTCTCGAGGCCAATCGATTGGCGCCCGCAGCCTTTGGGTTGCTTCGCAAGTCCAATATCGACACCGTGATTGTCGACGACGGCACCAAAGTTCAGGTGAAAGCCGGTGATCAGATCTACACCGACTTCGTCACCGCCGGCCTCGATGAGAAAGTCTTCCCCAACCCTTACACCATTGACCCCGACCGTGATCGATCTTTGTACATTCACCACGGATACGGTCCTCACTCTTGCCTCGGTCGCCCAATTGTGGAAGTAGCCATGGCAGCTCAGCTCAAGGTCTTTGCCAAATTGAAGAATCTTCGACGCGCTCCAGGCCCCCAGGGAGAACTCAAGAAAACCATTCCAGCTCCAAACCCGACGAGCAGCGATCCCAAGTCCAGTCCTGGTAACATTGAGGTCTTCATGTTGGAAGACTGGAGTTCCTGGTATCCTTTCCCGACAAGTACGTGCACAGACCACTGAGACATTTCTGAACGGTTACTGACAAAGATTGGCAGGTCTCAAAGTTCACCATGAGGGTCTTTGGAGAGAACAACCCGAGCAACTTGCATCTGATACTGGGGCCCCAGGCATCCATGAACAGATCATGAATAGTGACATGGTCGAGACAAATGGGTTGAACAGGGATTACATGGAAGATGAGACACCATGAACGGTCTCGGACTCACTAAGGGGTTAGATTTTTGCATGCCCCATACACCCGAACTTGGACGGCAAAGTCATCTTGTAACATCAAGTTGGAAATGGCAGGAATTGCAACGGGCGGCGAGAGTGGAAAATATTGTACCAGTGGTTACGTTCCTTACCCCAAGCATTGATACTTACTCAGCACACATGATCGATGGGTGTCCTAGCAGTGCTTCCTCGGCTTCCGACCGCTTACTGTAGACTTTAGGCCATCAGGCCCACCTTTTCCCATTGAAGCCCGCGGGTGACTAAGCGCCGTGCATCTTGGATTCCAGATCAGAATCTGCGCATCTTTTCCCCCCAAGTGATCTGCTTGACACCAGACTCAAAGAAATGAGTTTTCTTGGGAAATTAGAACGCACAGGTAAGATTAAGGAAGGGCCTAAGGAAAAAGAAAAAGCAGTTTCGTTTCGTGGAGTGATGAGTACTTTATGATCGTCCTCGTGACAGCGACTACACAGCCTCTAGCACTCGGTGGACTCTCTTCCCTTCAACCGATACATAAACTCTCTTCAATTGCGATATAGCATCAATAGAATCAACAGATTCGTCGCAATGGCAACTCAGTACGACGCGATGGTAATTGGATCCGGCCAAGGAGGCGGGCCACTGGCTCAAGAATTCGCCAAAAACGGTAAAAGGACGGCGTTGATCGAATCGACTCATGTTGGAGGCACATGCATTAACGATGGCTGTACCCCATCCAAGACCATGGTTGCGAGCGCGAGGATTGCCCATCTAGCGTGCCGTGCGCCGAGCTATGGTGTCCAGTTCAAGAGAAGCAGCCTGATGCTCAACATGGAGACGGTCCAAAAGAGGAAACGCGACATCGTTGACAGTTTCCGCACAGGAAGCGAAAATCGGATAAAAAGCACCACAAATCTTGACTTGATCATGGGCACGGCCAAATTCACAGGCCCCAAAACCGTCGAAGTCACGCTGGCCAAAGCCAACTCGGAAGAAAAGGAGACATTGACGGCGGACCAAATCTTTATCAATGCTGGCTGCTCGCCGGCGAAGTTGAAGGTCAAGAACGCAGACACCATAACAGGCAACTTGCTCAATTCGACAACCATCATGGAACTGGGCGAGGTGCCTCGACATCTCGTCATCGTCGGGGGAGGCGCCATCGGCTGCGAATTCGCCCAGATGATGAAACGGTTCGGAACCCGTGTCACCCTCGTCCAGCGCGCCGACCGACTGCTGCCGCGCGAAGATCCCGACGTGTCTGAGGAAATCCGCAAGATCTTCGTCGAGGCCGGCATCGACGTGTACCTGAGCGCGCAGATACGGGAAGTCTCCAACGTCACGCTCCAGCAGATCGTCGTGTCCTTGACGCTGAGCGACGGTAGCGTCAAGTCCCTGCTCTGCTCACACGTGCTGGCCGCCACCGGACGGACCCCGAACACGGCCGCATTGAACTTATCGACCGCCGGTGTCGAAGTCGACGCCAACGGCTTCATCAAAGTCGACGAGCACCTGCAGACCACGAACCCCAATGTCTATGCGCTAGGTGACATCAAAGGCGGGCCGCAGCAGACACACGTCTCGTACGACGATATGCGCGTGCTACGACACAATTTAATCACGCACGTCAATACCGGCGAGCGCGCGAGCATCCAAGGCCGCCTCGTTCCGTATACTGTCTTCATCGACCCGGAGCTCGGGCGTGTCGGCGTGAGCGAGACAGAAGCGCGCGAGAGTTTCCCGAACAGAAAGATCAAAGTGGCGAAAATGCCCATGGCGTACGTGGCTCGCGCGCTCGAGACGGATGAGTCCAAGGGGTTCATGAAGGCTGTCGTCGACGCTGAGACTAAGGAGATTCTGGGCTTTGCGTGTTTGGGCATTGAGGGTGGCGAGATCATGTCTATGGTCCAGTTGGCGATGATGGGCGGGCTGACGTATGATGAGTTGGAGAATGCGATGTTTGCGCATCCATGTTTGTCGGAGAGTTTGAATAATCTTTGGGAGTTTTTGGGGTGAATTGAATATTGAAGAAAGAAGATGTCACCACGGACTGTGGATCTTCGTTGTGGTTTTCCCCCCCCGAGAAACGTGTTTGGGGGATCGTTCGGTGGGAGCAATCGTGATCTGGTAAAAGGGAGGTGATATTCATGGGACTATTTGTTGGCTTTTGGGTGTGGGAGGCATACTTTTACATGGATTGATTCACGAGGCTGAAAGGGGCAAGGAAACTAGTAATGAGGAGGGGGGCAACGTTTCCTCTTGGATGGTTTGTCCTGCAGCGTTATTGAAAGATGTCTTCGAAATCATAGTAAATTTTATGAATACATCATGGTTGACGGACAATCATCAAATGAACTATGTCGAGATAGATGATTCAGCTCAGTTCATTCCCTCGCTCCGTCTCTCCCCATTGTACGCCGGCAACGGTGTGCCCGTCAAGTCAGCTTTGATTTGCAAAGCCAGATGGCGCGAGAAATACCGACTGTGGCCGATAGTCCCACCGATGTAAAACAGATTTGGATCTATCCCAAGCAAATGAATGATTAGTTTCCTGTATCAAGTATGCCAAGTAACCGGATAGATCGGGGGTTGACGTACGGCCATTCCGCTTAAACACGCCCTTGAGCTCACCCTCTTCATCTAACCCCCAGAAGTCATCGGCGCGAGCAGCGATGTCTTGGCCGAATATTTGCGCCACGTTCGTCCGCATGTTGCCGACGAAACCGGTGCAGAAGACGATCACGTTCGCGAGGATTTCAGAGCCGTCGCTGAAGGCGAGACCTGTGCGCGTGAAGTGGGTTGGGAGGGCGCCGGATTTCATCCCGATCTGTTTACACAAATGATTAGTTGAGATGAGCCTTTTCGAAGGGGTCAAATCTTCCGAGAGGAGGGGGCGACCAGGTACCAGTCCCTTTGCAATCTTGTCCGAACAGCCAACGTCCATATAATGGCCGCCCATCTTCTCGCAAATATGCCACATGATATCACCATACCGCTCGACCTTAAACCCAGCCCGTTCTAGAGCGTTGAACCGCTCAGGTTCTCGTGAAGCCATGGCATGGAGAGCCTTGCGGCTCATCAGCCTCGTGACCACGTAAGGCATGGAATATTGGTCCCGATCCGCGTCCACGGTGGGAACTGTCGCATTGTACGATCTGTCGCTGATGGTCTTGAAATATTCGCACGGCAACACATACGTGCGAGTGCGTTGGACCATGGTAATCGATGAGAGACCGGCTTCAACCATATCCTCCGCCACGTCGTGGGCCGTGTTCGCCGTGCCGATGATAATGCCAGACTTCCCTCGCCACGGGTCTGCCGATTTGTAGTCTGCCGAATGTAGTACGGTTCCTTGAAACTCTTCCCGTCCAGGATACGTGGGCATGATGGGAATCTGGCCACCTCCGCCCGCGGCCATTATTACATACCGGCAAGTGATGGTGTGCCCCGAGTCTTGGCAACGGATACGGAGTGTCCACAGGCTCTGGGCCTCGTCCCACGATCCGAATTCAAGGGTTGTGTCGAACCAAATGTTCTTGTCGACGCCGAATTTCTCGATCCAATCCTTGTAACCCCGGGCGAGGTCATATTTGGTCAGGAATTCCTGATATGGCAATGGGAACGTCCGATCGAACGGTAAGTGATTGTATTCGCGCGCAGTGTGCAGTCTGGCCGAGTCATACCGCGTCATCCAGTTGTCTCCAATCTTCTCATTCTTGTCCAGTACGATATAGGAGATTCCCAGTGCCTCGAGACGTCCCGCTGATCCTAGACCTGCTTGTCCTGCTCCTACGACGACGCAATCAAAATGACTACCGGAGGAGGAACCATTGGCATTGACGGCGCCGTGATCTCCGTTGACACCGTCGGGACGTGTGGTAGGACCATTAACTCTATTCGGTCGCTCTCGAACCGGCACCAGCTTATCAACATCCGCACAGCCTTCCAATTGCTCGAGAATGGTCCTCATCAGCCAGATCTTCCACTGACCATCACGGTCGAGAATCAGTGATAAGAACCCGGAACACGCGGTAGCGGGGGCCACACGGGTGCGGAAAGTGAAGGAGACATTGACCCAGCCAACATCTTTGTCTAGCCGTAGTGCCTTTCCTGAATTCTTGACAATGGTAAAATCTCCTGCACCCCGATTCGCGCACGTTTCAGACCAGGCTTTGACGATGGACTCGGCGGAGTAGAATGTTCGCATGGTGCCCGTGAGGGCGAAGACGTCTCGCCAGATGGAGTCAGAAGCCAGACTGGCAGGGCTGAGATGGCCGAGCGACTGGATCAGAAGCGTAGCAATATTCGCAATATCCATATCAGAGTCGAAATGGGATATCGGCAGATGACAAGGGAGTGTCTCGAGGACGCTCCGAGGAGCGTAAGGAGCGACATCCCCGTCCATTATAGCTTTTCTCCTCGGGACTAGGGTTTGGGAAGACCGAAAAAAGACGGAGGATAGAACTTAAGCCGTCTCAATTTATAAAAGAGTGAAGCGTCGTGATGAGGAGAGCCATCATCATCGGCCGGTACTGTCATCAAGGCCCGTCCGGACCCTGGTGGGCTTGTAAGCTCGTATGAGGACATTCATGTGGCATCGCGAAACGCACAACTGCCGCGAGTCCCTGATGACAGATGTGTGGGGAAACAAATGAAGATGGAAAAGATCATGAATGATGAGGTTTGGTGGCCGTCTCTACAAATCTCGTTGGCCGATCAAAAAGATGGAGCCTGGCCGAGGCTTGAATAGAGAGCGTGCGGGGCATTCACCAATACTCGGATCAAGCATGAATCACTTTCATTTCCGGCGCTCAATCATGCCGGGGACCTCGCTGGTGGCTTTTGAAGGAAGAGAGTGTTGCCGAATGAGCCCCTAATCAATGACTAGTATTTGAATCGATATATTGACAAGCAGAATCAAGTATATCTATCATACAGACGGCGATATCTTCCAACAACATTGCCCAAAATGTGGGAATGCTATAACCACACCACTCTACCGAGCAGCCAATGCTCCGGTGGTCTTCGCCACTGTATGATCACCATTGATCTCGATCTCCTCTTTTTGTTCCGGCAGCGTCAATGACTTCTGTGGCCGTATTCCTAATAGGCCTGTGGCATCGACTAATCTCGCGTTGGGGTTCAGTTCCAGACCAAACCCAGGTTTATCAAGAACACTGACGTCCAAATACCCGTTGGTCGGAATGGGTTCATTCAAGAACAGATCGCCAAAAACGGGAAGAACGCTCTTTCCATCGGGGCTGTTGGCCAGATATTCTTGGAAGGGTGAATTATGCTGACTGACGACGAAGTGGTACGAGTAGGGGCCAGAGGCGTGGGGAACCACTGGGATGTCATAAGCAGAGGCCATGGAGGAGACTTTGAGAAGCTCGGTGAGTCCTCCCAGCCACATCACGTCGGGTTGGATGATGTCAACGTTTCGACCTTCGAGGAGTTTGCGGAATCCATATCGAGAATATTCGTGTTCCTGGCGAGATTGTCAGTACGTCCCTCAGGGCGACCGGGGACCAGGGACACATACGCCTGTGGTGAATTTGGTGTCAGGATGTGCCCTCTTCAGCAATTGGAACCCGTCAAAGTCATCTGGTGAGAGGACTTCTTCCCACCAGTCTACTCTGATATCTTGCATCTTGGCCTCAGACACGAGCTCAATGGTATAAGGAACATTCAAAGACATCCAGCAGTCGACTCTCAATGGGAAATCGGGGCCAACATCTTCTCGGTGTTTCTTCAGAAACGCGATGTTCTTTTGCAGGCTGCCGGGTTCTCCAGCGCTGTAAGGAAGAGGGACCTTTCCGGCCATGAACCCCATCTTCTTTGCGGCGGCAGGGTCAGGCCCGGTGCAGTAAAAGCTCAGTTTATCTCTGGTGGCTCCACCGATCATTTTGTACACCGGTTCGTTCCTGATTTTGCCCAACAAATCCCAGAGCGCCAAATCAATCACGGAGATGACTGCGACGGGAAGACCCTTCCGCCCATAGAACATGGAGGCATTGTACATTTGCTCGTACATGTCATTCACATCTCGAGGATCTCGGCCAAGGAGGAATCGTTCGAAGTGTTGCTGAACCAACCAGCAGCCGGGTGGTCCTCCGAAACCCGTGGCAAACCCTTTGGTCCCATCACTGGCTTCAATCTCGACACAGAACGAACCTAGAACATTGATACCAAAGGAAGTTCTGGACTGGCGATACTGTTCCCATTTGGACATTGGGGTGGCAATCTTGTTGTCGATGAGCCAGTGGCCGCCTTTGACATTGTGATAGTCGCCACCAGAACCAACACCATCTATTACAAAGGTCCGGACGGCTCTAATGGGAGGAAAGGATTTGAGGGAAGACATTTTCTGTTTACTTCCGTATAGACGTGTTTTCTCTTTCCCAAGTTGTATTCTTCACATCAATGTACAATTGGTATTGTTCAACAATCTTTTTTCCTCGGTTAAGGAGGGAAATAATAAGGAAGCGAGAGTTGTCGGATGCAAAACAAGGCAGGGTACCGCAACGGCAGAGAAGGAATGGGCGAGGCCCATATTGTATGGCGGGCTGTACAAATAAGAGAGCTGGTGACGAACAGGTGGGTTTCGCTGGTCGGTATAGCTGCAGCCGGGGGGGGCGGAGAAATGGTGAACGAGGGTGACGGTCAGGCATTTTTGGTCGTGGGGACGAATGGGCGACGGTTGATCAAGCTAGGAGATGGGTAAAATTGCAACTGCAACTAACCAGGAGAAGCGATGAGCGAAAGAAGATACGAGAGAGGGAGAGAGAAGAATGCAGACGGTTTTTTTTTTTTGGTGGCGTGACTGCAGGCCTATTGGTGCGGCGCTGTATACAGTACATCACAATTAGCAGTATCGAACACAGAAGATGATGTACACAGTACATAGCACCCAGCACACGGTGCAGAGGACTGGGCATATCGTGACGCAACATTCGATCGCCCATTTTCCCCAGCTTTTTCCCTCTTTTTTTTCCTTCCCCTTGCCTTCGATATCTTCATTCGGCGCCTCTCCTCAATCTCGGCCCGAGATCGAACTTCAGTTCTCTCGGTGTAATGTTACCACCACCACAGCCAATATCGTTCCACTACGACGGCTACGGCGATTGCGAACAATGAACTCAACGAAGCTTGAACATTATGACCATCATGCTAGCGGCAATGGTCGGCCTAGCATCATGTCCACTCATCCCCGCGCCGCCTCCCTTACCCCCTCTGACACTGAGTCCGGCGGAGAGGAAGATGGCTCCAGGAAGCGGAAAAGACCTATGAATGTCACGTATGTGCTAGCTTCATCCAATATCATACGCCTCTGCTCCATCCCAATTTTAGAATATCCCACATTTCATCCGTTGTCCATAGCCATGCGTATGCCTGCTGATGCCGGAGCTCGATAGCTGTGAGGCCTGTAAGCAGAGAAAGGTCAAGTGTGGTACGTGTTGCCGTCTTCCAGTTCTGAAACAAACACCGGTTCATTGCCGTCAACCTAGATCGTGCACAGCCTTCTTGCGGGTGGTGCTCTCGTAACGACCATCCCTGTGAATACAGAGAACGAAAGAAGCCTGGCCTTCGAGCAGGCTATGGCCGTGAGCTCGAAGGGAGGCTCGATCGTCTCGAAGCTCTCCTTCAAGAACAAGGCCGTCAATTAGCAGCACATTTGGCAGAATCATGCACGATTGGTCCCGCTGTTCCGAGGCCCGGTGTGCAAGGTCCCAGTCCAGAGGCTCCAACACGGGGTTCCTTCGACGCCCAAGCGATAAATTTTGGAGGAGATTCGTCCTTTCAGCAACAGATGATCGATCCGAAGCTGCATCCCCCCGGCTCTCGCCATGGACCTCTTCAATATCCACCAGCCCAGCAGGGTATGCCAGACCAACAAATGCCTCAACCACAGAGTCATTATACACCGTCAGCGCATTCTCATGCCCTCACCTCACCTCATTCTACAGCCGGGTACCAGGGAACCCAGGTATTCAATGAGCATTCGGCAATGCTACCCCCATATGATCTCTTATATGCCCTGGTCGATCTATATTTCAAACATGTCAATATTTGGCTCCCCTTGCTGGAGAGGAAAACCACGTTGGATACGCTCTTCGGCCCTTCGTCACTCGATGAAGCGGACCGAGTCTTATTACACGCGATAGTTGCGACGACGCTGCGGTTCTCACGGGATCCGCGATTGACGCCGGAGAGTCGTCAGCATTATCATGACACGTCCAAGCAACGTGTGCAATTATTCGGCTTGGAGAACTCCAACGTCAGGGCATTGCAAGCACTGGTCATATTAGCTCTGGACGTGACCGGGACGACAAACGGCCCACCAGCATGGAATCTGTTGGCTTTGATCAGTAGGAGTATGGTACAACTGGGACTTGCCGTTGAATCAACTTCTACCCTCGCATCCCCCATGTATCCCTCGATCGCCACTCTGCGAGCGTCGGTTTTACCGGAGCCCAAAAGTTGGGTTGAAGACGAGGAACGACGCCGGCTATTTTGGGCGGTCTACCTGCTGGATCGATATGCCACCATTGCCACGGCGTTCGAGTTCGCTCTGGACGAGAAAGAGGCCGATCGCCGATTACCTTGCCGGGATGATCTCTTCGCGGCCAACAAATCCGTCGAAACCAGGTGGTTTCGGCCTCCTGAACGTCCCCGATACGCCACGGGGATGGCTGATGCCCATGGACATTTTTCGTACCATTGCGAACTGATGGCTATTCTGGGGCATATTCACCAATTCCTCAAACGGCCGATCGACATTGGCTCGCTGGCAGATGTGGAGCAGTGGCAAGGCTCATACCGTGCGCTGGATAGTGACCTCAATGCCTGGCATTTCAGTCTGCCTGACGAGTTTGCCAACGTCACCCGCCTTTTGAAATCCAATGTGCCTGCTAAAAATACCCATTGTGGCTGGATCATGCTACATGCCGCATACTGTTTGACGGTGATTCGTTTAAACTCATCGGCTGCGTACCCCAGCCAGACGTCGCCGATCTTTTCTTCGTCCTACAGTGCCATGCAGCGATGTTTGTCGGCGGTCGAGAATTTGCGTCAGCTATGTCGTTTCGTTAAGCTCAGTGGCCTGCTGGACCGCCTCGGGCCCCCATTCGCATTCGCCATCTGGGTGGGCGCTCGTGTTATGCTGGTGCACGGCTCCACGATGGATCACGAGGTGGATCCCGACATCGATTTCTTTGTGACCACGCTGTCTGAGATGGGCGAAAATTGGCTCGTTGCAAAACGATACAGTGAAATCTTGAGTCGGGTGCTGGGGGAGTATCGACAGTCACAGCGGGCGAGCGGGGTGACAGGGGAGATGGTGACTCCGTCGACGGTGAAAATCCTGGCCGACATGCGCCGGTACGACTTTCTGGCCGCTGATTGGAGTGGGACTGACTGATGAACAGATGTGCCTACGATCTGGACTTTTTGATATCTCGGCAGCCGCACGCGGCCGCGGTTAAATCATACCATCCGACGCGGGCGAATACACCGGCCCCCAACGAACTCGAGTACTTGGACGTATTCGATCTATTCAACTTCCCTCGACCACCGATGACCCATGAAGGAGTTGAAAATGGAAATACGCAGGCCCTAGATCACGCTGCGCCCCCCGACCTCGCGGCGATGAATACCGCCATGATCCCGAATTTTGCAGTGCCCAATCCGGAGGCTGATTGGCTCTTCCACACAAGCTAGAGTGATGCTGGAAAATGGGAAGCAAACGCGTCCTCTGACATCCTGGATGATGGCAACGAAACGAGAGGGTGCAAACGAATAATGTGGAATCTCACAGCTGAGAAAATCGATCATGCTATCCAGAAGGTCTCGACTCAGGATTACAGCATCTGGAATTCGGCCGGGCCTAAAGACAAATGAAGGCTAAGGCACAGGGCCAGTCAGAATTCCCCCGGGGGGGGGATATGAATGATCGATATCATACCTAGTTATTAATACCAAGAACAAGTTTATCACAAGAATGGGAGAAGAGTATATGGTCGTGTCAGCGATGGTAATGACAACGTGACAGTCATTCTTGCGGGAGAGAGGGAAACAGAGAATCGAGTCAGCCTTACACTATCCCCGATTGGGCGAAATGCGACTCTTCAGCGGCGGGATAGGCGTACCGTGGTAAGAATGTACAAGACAAGCTCATATTTTTAGTGGGGATGAGTGTTTCTATCCCAGGTACCTTTTGACTTCAGATCCCCGAGGCTACAGCTTACGAGCCGACCAACGGGGGGAGAAAGCGGGGGGTGGTTTGATCGAAACAGAGGGAATAGACTCTCAGCCCAGAAGACAAGCTATTAAGCATCGAGATGATGTTCCATCCCGGGGGAGTCATTCTCCCATTCCGGCTGCCGGCCGGAGATGCCAGGTACTGGGTTTAAGAGGATGTTTCCGTTGACACTGTCGTTTGTGTGCTGTCGAAGTACTCAGTACGAGCTTCTTCAGCCCTAGGAGCCGCGACTTCCAGGTACCATCTACACAGTCTGCAAACTGGTCCCAATTGAGTTCTGCCAGGTCACATGACTGTCCCTCGACACCGCCTTTTGGGCCCTCTGTGCCTGCGCCTTTAGCCCTCGTGCTCCTCCAACACCACCGCCTTTTTTCTCTCTGCTTTTCCTCTTTCAATCTTCTCTTCAAAGTCTCCTCATAACGTTCATCCCACCCCCTCCACTCTCCTCGAGAAAAACCTCCCCCCTGTCGCTCTCTGCTGACGGTAACCCAGTGGCAAAAATCAAAAATCCCGGCCAGTCGTCATCGAAACTTGACCCAAAATTTCTTATCTCGATTCCGGCCCTTTCCCATCCCGTCTCCACTCTTTTCTTCCCCGTGACTGTGTTCTCGTCGACTTCTTTTTTTTTCTCTCTCCCATCCACCGGGGCTGGTCCCTAGCCGTCCGAAGTTCCCTTGCGGGATTTGAGCATTAGGCTAATCGGAACCTCAGTCTTGGGTCTTTGACCTCTTCAGCACCGCCCTCTCTAACCCCATGCGGTCGAGTCCTCTTCAGCCTCAGACACTCCCATCACGCCAGATCCTGCAGCGCAATTCGCAAAAAACCAGGCTGTCCTGTCGACAGGGTTGGTGACGAACGTTTGGTCTAATGCTAGTACTCTCGTCGTCTCGGCTTGCGGAAAGCGTTTTTTGCTGTCCTTCCCAAACATCCGCCTCAAGCGTTCATGAACGATCACATCCACGTTTCGGACCCAATTCCCAGGAACGCCATACCCTTTGGCCGTCCCCTTATGCTTCCGGATCACTGGGCTTAGGTCTGAATCAGGCCGGATTCTTATTCGGTCGACACCTCTTTCTTGACCATTTCATTGGTACTTGTCCAACCTCCAAAACGTGGCCGGCCGGGAATTTTGCCCTCCCGCCAAAACGCACCATTTGTTTAGTTTTCGTCCCGATCATGCATCCTGCTTCTCATCTTGCATATTATCCTGTTCCCTATTGCCATTGGACCAACTGCGCCCGCGAGGCGTGACTCTTCGTGGGTCACCCTTTCCTCTACCTGCCTAACCATATCCGGCGAATGATTGGTCTCTCCCCAAAGGCTACAGTCACAATGTTCATAATATAAGAATTGGAACCACCAGTTGCCTGGCCCAACTCACCACTGTGTATTCCATCGTTCCTGCACATATTACATATTTGAGCTGCGTTTCCAACGCAATTGATTTTTCCGCGTCAAAGTTCCATTCTTCTCTTGCGTCTATCTCCTTGCTTGGTACTTCCTATTTCTATTCAGAAGACACCCCAAACCATGTGCTATCAAATCGTCGAGAGATATGCGGTTTGTCGCTGTCTCTATCACAAGCACTCCGTTGACCCATGTCAACGGTATGGCCAACGAGGTCATTCTACCACCGAAAAGACCGTGCTGGTCGGATTTGCTTGCCCAGATCACGCTGCAAAGCGTCGTCCGGAGCAATCGTCATCATCAGGAAATCGCCCTTCAGGAGGTCGACCGTGGCATGATTCTGGGTACTCTAGTGGTGGCTATCACTCGTCATCCTCGGGTCGCCGATGAGAGAAAATATCGGAGTGGTCCCATTTCGGAGTCAACCGCCACGACACGCTGCGACATCTATTGACCCCTATTTTGGGACATACTTGATCTCAAGGAAGGTAACCTTCGAGAATTGGGTGGTATTTGTCCGGCCTGGCTGGTCAATCGGCTTGGATGTTCTGGTCACTCGCTTCTATATCAGTCGCAGGCCGACACAGATGACGGCAAATCCTTGCCGTGACATGGGAATGAGGTGAGGCATGGGCGCGCTCTCTCTCTCTCTCTCTCTTCTCTGAAAATATGATGCCGTCAATTGGCCTGAATAGGAGGATTCGTTTCGAAGTGGTGGCGAAAAAAAAAAAAAAAAAATAACATCAGGATCACTGACAAATGCGTCCAAAAACCGCCAGCCTCGACTATCACAACGTCAGACCATCAGCCGGCCGCCACTTAAATCCGATGTCAGACTGCGTTCCATAAGCTGGCGATTTTGATGGAATGTCTCGCCGAAAACATCTCCATTTTCCACTCATTTTTGCAACATAACCCATTCAAACTCGGCTCCGGCAAAGGAACTGGGTCGGGCCGAGTATGGGGAGGAGGAAGAGGGGGGGGAAGGGGGCGCAGGCGCCTCCTTGACGTACCCTTGACGTACATCTTACTGGAGGAAGAAGGGAAGGAAAATACAGGTACACTAATAGCGAGAAGCGTGCTGATGTTATTCATCTTGTTTTTGGTATGGGGGACCCCAAATATGCAGCGCATTGGGGTGGAATGCATGGAGACATGGCGCAGCCTGTAGTTGGAGGCATACGAACATGTACACGCAGTGCGTATACATTCTAGGTGCTGGCTACCGAGTACTAGCACTGCTACCTGGGATCTGAATTTGAGACATTCCGTTCTGTATGTATTACTCTGCATTATTCGCGGCCAGAGATAGTATCAATCGGTATCTGGCACGTCTTGGCCAGGGTTGCCTAAACAGGCGAACAGCATCAGGCAACCACAACTGCCCAAAAAAGCAGTTCGACAAGGCAGCAACAAAGTTTTGGGCCGTTGGGGTCGAGAAATCGCTTCCCAGGTTTTGGTTTTCAAATTCCACTTCCGCTTCCTTCCATTGAAACTTCCAAGCGTGCCAAAAGATTCGACGCCGGATGATAGATGACAGATGACGTTTCGGCAGCGAATCACGATGCATCTGAATCTGAATCCGATCAATGACGAGATTCCAGTGTGTGTCTCAGCCAGTCGGAGCCAGACACTTCACCTGAGCCCAACTCGTGCATTGTTGCGAACACCAATGATACACCTATCGTGCTTCTCCATTCCACCGTCGGTCGCGCTTTATTGGCAGCTCGACGACCGGCTGATGGTCGCCACGATACCTTGAGATAACGGTGATGATGGTGATCATGATACCCTTTGCGCAAGAAGACTCCTGACACCCCGACCATTGAGCTGCGAGAGCCTCTCCAGTGGCTGCCATCGAGGAAAAAAGTCCCCCCGGCACAACCCCACTGTACCGCATTCAGATACGCCACGGGGCTGAAAATGGCCACAAAGAGCCACAGACTCGTGACCTCTCAGCCGTACGGAGGAGAGGGCTCGGCAAAGGAATCAGGATCTGACACCTGACCCTGCTGCACTTCTCTGCGTCTTTGCTTCTCTACCGCTAAGTGGTACATGGTGTGATTGCACCGGTGACCATATTTCTAGCTAGAATCCCTCGGCTGAACTGGAGATGTCGGTCCTTCGTCTGTCAGCTTTTGGAAAGGTTCTACAGGTGTGGTTGAAAACCGAAGACAAAGAACAGCGAGAATCAAGTGAGGATCCAATCTAGTGCAACAAAACTCTGCTGCGCGCTGTGGCCGTGCTCCTGCGCGTTGATGACCTATACGTCCAAGCGGAGTTATGAGATTCAAGTTCACAGATTGCCGTGACTTTTCCTGATCGCTGCTTTGCGATCCACGCCCTAGGACAACGGTCCGGCCCTGTTGCTCAAGCTCCTTAGAAGTGGTTTTATCCTTTGAAATATTCAGTGCGACATTCTTCTTGTACAGAGCAGGCTGAATTTTCGACTCATAACCCCTGAACGAATTCTACGGGATTTCGCAAAGTCCAAAGCTCCGGGGCCAGGATTATCGAGGACTCACGCCTGCAGCATGCCATCTCTGGGCTTCAGTGGGGGGAAAGCTTCCATTGCTCCTTATACGGGGCTGCCAACCTCCCCCGGTCCGCGTCAGTCTCGTTGGGAACACACGACGTTTCGACCCGATGGTGGCTGCCATTTCCCAACTTCTCGCAACTCTGTTTCCTTTCAACAATATGCTGATCCCTTTTTCCTTTTCTCTTTGCCTGAAGAGACATCTGCACTGACGGGTAATCGGCACGGAGATTTCGAGGCACCTTTGAACGAATTTGAGTACCTTGCACCGGATGCACGGGATGTCCTCACCGTAGGGCTGACACCGACCTCCGTTCGATATTTGATACCTTTGTCATTGGAGGCTTCGCGGGCCCCAAGGTCCAAATTTTCTCGTCGGTGAGTTTTCTTCTTAGCTGGCTACAAAAGACAGTACTTGAACCCTTAGAATCACCCTGCCTCGGGGTGATAAGTGGCTTTAATGTAAAAACGTGAGCTGCATTCCAAAGGTGACGGCGTTGAGTTCACAGCTTTGACTTTGCTATTCCTCCATCCGTCCAAAATGAGGGCTTGAGACAACAGGGTCAATTCATTGAAAGACTCCTACCGACCAATCTGCTCTCACGTGTGTTGACCTCAGCACAGCTCTTCGATGCAACCAGCCTCTCACTGTTTTGGTTGGTGCATCTCCAGCCAACTGTATGTTCACTCTGGCCGCCGCTGGCGATCAGAAAAGTATCTGTGTCGAGTTCTCTTTTTCTTTCTCTTGTTGCCCCCCCGGGGAACTGCATTTTTAATCTCGAGAGCAGGGTGATTGACAATCATTCTCCAAAGAGCTTGCATGGTTATCTTTGTCTTTTGGGCCCCAGATCCGGATATTGCACGCTGTAGTTCGAAACACAGCGATCAATTTGCCCGCCATACACCCCCCACTGGAACCACACCATGCTTTGTCGTCGCTTGGAAAGGGTCTTCAAGAATTTAACACACTCCCTCATCCACCAGAACTCGCCTCCATTAAAACTCCAGCTCAATCCATTTCCTATCCCACATTTCCCTCATCCTGAACCAAGAAATACAAGCCATCCCTCAACTCAAAACGCATCAACGGCCGGTCGCGATCTCGTACCGTCAAACTGCCATCCCGCTCTTCCACAAGCCGCAAGTCTAGCCCTTTCGCCCTCTTCAGCTGGGACCAACTGATCAGGTTCACCCCCGCGGTTGGGATGTGCATTACGTTATGCACCGTCACTCGGGTGACGACACGTTCGCCGAGCGTCGCGGACGTCTTTGACGGTGCGGGTGTCCCCGAGGCCGAGAGTGCCGGCAGTGTAAGGGTACAATCACCCGCTCCGACGATGGGCACCGGATTCGGTCCAAAAAATCCCACAACCCCGCGGGTCCACGTGTTAGCGTAGGGATTCAGTGTGTCGTAGCCGTGAAGTAAGGCGCGGTTGCTGCAGACATGCGTCGTCGCACCCGTGTCGAAGATCCAATCGGTCGGAGCAAAGGGTTTCCGACGTGAAGATGTAGTACTGGTTGGTCTAGGGCCCGGTTTGATAATGACACCGGGATCTGAGGGCGGCGGCGTGTGCGGACTAGCCTAGAAGTGACCGGTCAAAGATGAACTAAGTCAGGGGTGTTCCAGAATAGGCTGACAGACCTTTAAATGGTCATATTTGATAATGGTAGAGTCTTCCGTTCTTGTGATTGAGACTCGAGGTGCTATTGACTATCACAGATGAGATCAGCGGGTGCATGTTGGCAAGGCTGACGCCTTGCTTCAAGGGGGTCGGATATCTTTTGGCTCATTTCTCCGTCACTCCAACCAACTCTTCCCCCTCGGCCCAGGATAGACACGGAATAAATGCAAACTGACGCGAATGAAAGAACGGACATACCAATGCACCGATAAGCGCCACCATACCCGAGACCGTCACAATGCCCTGAAGCCGCGCACTGGCGGGTCGAGCCATGATGAGGAAGGAATTCAAACTTGGTCGGGATGGGCAATAAAAATTCAAAGAATCAGAGCCTGGATTGTCCTCTCCCTGGTGCCTCTGCCCCTGCAGAGCTAGCACAAGGCTGGGCAGCCCTGGATGAGACCGAAAAGAGAGTGATCGCTAGACCAATCTGAAGAGGCTGACCTATTCCGGTCCTCCATCAACGATGTGAAGGTGCGAAGTACGGAGTCGGAAGATTTTGAAATGACGTCATTTGAATGGCGTATCACGTGTCCACCTACCGGCCAAATGGTCCTTTCGGGTGCAGCTTCACCGAGGACCATCCCTCCATTCGGCCCATATATATCCATCACGACAAGGAAAGGCGACTGTGGAACCTGAAGGAAGAAGTCTACCTAGAAAAATAGAAGTTGACACCCTGGGAATCAAACAATAGAAAAACGATACGGATCAGGTCGTCTTTCCTGGGAGAAAATGACCCTTCCACCTCTCCTTACTGGTCAAGTATGCGCCATCACGGGGGGTCTGACCGGAATAGGAAGAGCCATCGCCATATTATTCCTATCACACGGAGCTAAAGTTGCCATCAATTACCTCCCATCCCACAACAAGGACGAGGAGAAACTGCTCTCGACACTGCGCACTGAAGCATTTGACGCCATCCAGTCCCGGTCCTCCAACTCTGTTTCGTCGTCCCTACATAACCTCGACAGCGTCCCTTTATTGACTGTGCCAGGCGACATTTCCCAGCCTGAAGCCGGCCAAGACCTAGTGGCCCAAACAGTATCTCGCTTCGGACGCCTGGATACATTCATCTCGAACGCCGGAATCTGTAAATTCGAAGAATTCCTCGAAATCTCCCCGACTTCGTACCAACGACACATCGACACGAATCTATCAGGTGCATTCTACGCCGTACAAGCTGCCGCACAACAGATGGTGCGCCAGCAAGATCCACGGGGGGGCTCGATAATCGGGATCTCCAGCATTTCCGCACTCGTTGGTGGTGCGCAGCAATGTCACTATACGCCGACGAAAGCAGGTATATTGTCTCTAATGCAATCGACAGCTACGGCGCTGGGGAAATATCATATACGCTGCAACGCATTGCTGCCGGGCACGATACGCACGCAGTTGAACGATGAGGACCTCGCTGACGGAACGGAGAAGAAGAAGTACATGGAAGGACGGATCCCGCTGGGCCGTCTGGGAAAGCCCGAAGATATGGCGGGCCCAGCGCTGTTTTTGGCCTGCGGAGAATTGTCGGCGTATGTCACGGGCACGGCCATACTGGTTGACGGAGGAGCGTTTGTGAATTTTCAGTAAGAAGAAGGCAAATCTAGGAGGGAAAAGGTGTTTCTTTTTTTTTTTTTTTTTGGACTTTCTTTCAAGTTATCTTGATGCCATATGCTTTGACCGCCGTGCCTGACCAGACCATGGCCTTTTCCTGCGCCGTGAGGCCTTGGGCGTCGAGAATTGCAGCGACAAGCGCGTGCCAATATCTCCATGACGCTGCGATCCCCGGCCCTCCCACATTGCAGACGGGCCAATCTGAGCCGAACATGATCCTCTCGGATCCAAAGGCGTCAAACACAACATCGACCCAGGGTTTCGTATGCTCGACAAGCGCCGAGATCTCTGTGGGTTGATCGGCGGTCCGCTCTGGAAGTTCAGAGAACATGCCCGACAGTTTCATGTACGTTGACTTGTAACCGGCCATTTGGTAAACGCATTCTTTCCACTTGGTAAAGTCGGGATGGCCACCTCGCGCCTCCGGGGCAGCGAGCCGTAAGTTTGGTTTGCAAAGATGGTTGATTACCATCGTCAGTTGACTCTTATCCTCCTCGGTCGAAGAGTAGAGTCGTTCCATCATCTCACACGCCTCTTGGAGCTGGCCCATGCCGCCGGACCGAGCGTCAACACCAAGATCGAAACTGAGCTTGATTTTCCCAAGCCCACGCAGTCCTTCGATGAACTCCGGCCGCAGCATGACGCCCGGGGGTTTATCTTGGACGAGATACCGGAACCCTTTAATTAGATCCCATTTCTCCGCTGCGTGCTGCTTGACGTGCAGGATGTAGCGCGCCAGTCCGTCCTTGCCGTTGGGGAGGGGTGCCCAGGGTACAATCCCCAACACCAACCTCTTGTCTTCCGGGGCGTGGCCTTCGCCTTCTCGCGGTTCACCCCGGGCAACTCGAACCAGGAAATCAACTTCGTTGAGCGCATCGGTCCATTGGTCATCGTGCAGGCCGGATTTGCGATCTGTTTCGAGAAAGACGAAGCCTAGGAGCGCAGAAGAATAGGCCTCTGTTGCGGACAAGTAATCGCTCGTAGAGTATTGTCTATTCAACGGATGAGTGCTGGGTAGATCGGCCGTCCAGTTTAGCGATGGGATGTGTGTTGCGGCGTATAGGTGAATGTGCGAGTCTATGATGGGAAATTCTTCGTTGTTGTTGCCAGTGTTCTTCGGCAGAGTTGATGTAGCCATGCCGGAGAGGGATCAACGACGGCCTCCTGAGAAATTGTCTTCAAAATGGTAGAAGGAGGGAACGCCCCGAACGAATCCACCCCCCTTTTATGTACAGTAGTCTGCTCTGAGCCTCGGTGTATCTTGATCCATATCCGTGGTACTTGCATTCGCCACTGTTTTGGAGTGGTATCCCTACGCCATTGTGCCCAGAACGTGCTGACTGTATTGTAAATGGTCTTTGTTTTTGCGTTCAGCGCTCTTCCTTCTACAAGTCCTCTGTCGGCTATTGCCTCGCAGCCTATAGATCCCATTGACAACATCCTGTTGGCAAGGGACAGTCGGCCGTTAAACATTTAGTAGGGTTGCTAGATAGGTGCATGTTTGCAAGCATATTTAGAGAACATAATGGCTACTTGCCATCGCGTTGACTTGCTCCCAGTAGATCCATCTTCATAGCAACTTCGCCTGCCCAAAAAGGCATCCTCCTATTTACCCACAGCCTCGCCCTTGAGCCACGATGGACGCACTCTTTTCGTCGACTAGTGGTTCCCTTCATAGCATGAACAACACCTTTCCTCGCTTTGAAATTTGCGATATTTCGATTTCGACATCTTATTTCCAGCAAAGGCTTTATCCGCTGCATCCGACGGTTCTTTCGATAAAAATCTTCTCTTGTGGAGCTCTGACTTTGTCTCGGTCTTCATCGTCGTCTCCTTCCTCCTTCTCGTCATGATCTTCACTCTCATTCTCAATCTCATTCTCATCCTTATCGTCATCGTCATCTGTATTTTCACCTCCAGAATCTGTCTTCGTTCCATCGACTGAATATGTCCCATCTTCACGCAACCAATTTAGGGCTCTTTCAATGTCTTCGTCTCTTGGTGGGATATGAATTTCGCGTCCATATTTCTGGAGCACCTCTCTCAGCCTGTCTAGGTCTCCATCTTCAACTTCATTATAGGTATACCCGCTTTCCCTTCCAATGTAGATGACAAGATTGGCATCCTGCAGGTCTGCACAGATCTGTCGTGCTTTCCGGCCCTTTTCTGACTCGCGGAAAATACCAGAGGCTGTCTCTGTGAGAGATTGGTCGATCTGTTCGCCATTTCTTTCCTCAGGGGAAACATGGCTATTCTCCGGTTGCATTGCACCGTCATCCGGATCACGGCCTTGTCTCCCTATGCGTGCATATTTGCCCTCAGCTTCGCCGTAACAGGCAGAGACTTGTTCGTCCTGCGCACCATAGGTGTGCAGCAGGGCGATACCCGCGTGAAATTCTATGGACAAGGCTAGCTGGAGTAGTGAAATGTCTCCTTCTGAAATGTGAGCGTGTGACAGGGCTCCTCTTTCGAGCAGGATGCGCATGGTGTCGAGATTTCTTCTGTAAATGGAGAGCCCCAGTGCTGTGAATCCCAGTGCATCTTTGATTTCCAGAGCCGCGCTCCCCTCAGGCCAAAAGACGTCCGAAGTCAAAATTTCCAGGACGTCTGTGTCTCCCATGTCAGCAGCGTAGTGCACTGGCGTGCGGTCAAGGAAATCTGGAGCATAGATGGAAGCTCCGCGCTCCAAGAGGATTTCTTCCATGGCCACGTTCTTGTCTATCACTGCGAGATGTAACGGAGTTCTCCCGACCTCATTGACTGCTTCCAATTCTACTCCTCTGTCAACCAAGGATTGAACCACATCGAAATAGTCACGATCCTCGGAAAACTCCAGATTCCAAGTAAGATAGTGGAGTGCCGTATTGCCATTTGCGTCAACCACTGTTGGATTGGCGCCTCTCTTCAGAAGAAGTTCAATCATCTCGGTCGGATCGTCTGCTTGACAGGCTGCGAGGAGTGGCACTTTTCCAGCAGGACCCGAGCCATTGATGTCCGCACCATGCCGAAGCAACAAGTCCGCAAGTTCGGTGCGCCCCAATTCGGCTGCTTTTTGCAAGATAGTGTGCCCATAAACATGATCAATTTCTTTCGCTGAGGCTCCGTGGTGTAACATCAGTTCGAATATCTCCTCCTGCTCGCCCGAGCTGAGCTTTTTGTTCTCCAGGATGCTGCTGAGAGGTGGGTTGTGACGACAATGATCGAATGCAGGTTTGGGGACCTTCGGGATTAGCACTTTGAGGGATTCAAAATCAGCTCGCTGAGAAAAAATCCCCAGAGGAGGGCCCATGGATGAGAATTCGTGCACTTCCCTCTCTGAGCCATCGTCTTCTACCCTCGTATACCAGACAGGCTCTCTTACAATTGTGAAAAGTCCTTCATTGATAGTTGTTTTAGGACCGATCAAAGCCCGTGTCAGATCCCAGTAAAGCATTGACCAAAGTGGATTTGGCGGCTGTGACCTAAATTCTTTCCACTTGACGAGGTCGACAAGATCCTCGGCTGGTGTGTTTGTGGGCTCCTCGGGCTGATTCGACGATTCTGGGTCGAGGAACTGGAGGTAGTTTTCTAAAAACTCAATTTCTGCCAAGTCAGGGTCGGCTGACGAGTCTGAGTCCGAGTCTGACTCGGTAGGCCGTATTGCCATAAGACGTCGCCGCACATGTGCATCAATTGATTTTGCAACACGTCCGGTCCAATGAGCCCAGGGTGTATCTGGCTTCGACGGAAAGAACTCGCGAAGCTCAGGATCACTGAATCGCTTTTCAAAGGCATACAAAACATGCCATGGCCAACAAACAACGGCGTAATTGGTGAAAGACCTGTATTCCCAAGATGTCGGTGGTTCATTACTAAGTAGAAGCTTTTGCTTTTGCAAGTGACCGAGGCATATTTTGGCAAGTAAAGCATGGCACTCCGGGAAGCTGAAGCCTGGTTTCGTATCCAGAAACGACCTAACGGTTGCATGAGCCAGTCGAAATGTGTCTTGATTCTTGTCCCACTCAACGAGACCTTTGCAGGAATCGATTACGAAACCCTCGGGAGATTTGAAATTGGAGACCGGAAGGACAGCCTGTATTACTTCTCGAGTGATCAGAGGAAACTCTGAATACATGAGCAAAGTTAGAGACTGGTGGACCATCCTGGAGTGCTTCGGATTGCCGCTCTCGATTTGTTCAAAAATTCGCTCATACAAGGCTCCAAGATCCGGCGGTAAATTCTTGATGAGGTCCAATATATCCTGCTCCGATGTCAAACTGTGATCGCTAGAAATGACTTGAAGAGACATCTGGACCCAGCGAAACCTAATTGGTGAGTTGGAAGAAAGCCAAAGACATCATGGGCCAAGTAGACTTACATTCCGCCAGCTTGTGTCCGTAAAGACCGTTGTATCCGTGGTTTTGCAGATTCCAGATCCAAGTAACTTGACTCAATAAAAAGGTCCAGTCGAGCCTGAATATAGCGATTTATGTCGTCCTGGTTCTGAACCCCAATTTTGGAATACTTTTCCAACAATCGTTCAATCCTCTGCATGGGTCGACTGGAGATGAGGATCTTGACGGGTTTTGTCGTGACCGCCTGCAAGTGCTCTAGAGTTTTCATGAGCAAAACACACACTTCTTGAGAAACTTCGTCCAAGGCGTCAATGACGATGACGGTAGGATGATACATTATTAGTTGCTGAAGGAATAGATCGCATTCGTCAGCACGTAAGGTCCCCGCTTGCTCATTTTGCGCCCGTTGTGCTAACGACTCGGAAATTTCGACCGTGGGAAATTGGCAAAGCTGTTTGAGAAGAGATCCAAGGATAACTGACAGGTATTCAAATGTCTGGCTCTGTTGAGAAGTTCCGTCACAGAAATGATATGCCAGCCGAACGGGTGAATCGGGCTCAGACCTGATCTGTTCCATTATGGCCTCAACAATAAACGCCACAATGGTCGACTTCCCGGTGCCCACTGCCAAAAAGGGTCAGTATCTGGTAGGGGGTCGCTACGGAACCATTCGACGTACTTTTTCCATTTAACCATATATTGAAGGATGAGTCCGATTTCCTCCAGAGATGGAAAGAGGGATCGCTTAAAATCCATTGGCACGTGCTCTCCATCCGCAATTGAAGAATTTGGGTGTACCGAGCGTGGTATACGTATGATGATATCTTGTTCAGTACATCTTCCTGAGTTCTCTTCAATTCCTCTCTTTGCCGTTGGTCGTGAAGATCTTTCATCCCCTGGGAAATTTGATCGAATGATGGACCCAGGCGATGAATAAACTCTTCTAGCTTTCGGGTCCGGTCGCTCTGATCATTTATTACTGCACAACCAACAGTCAGCAGAGGACAACAATGAAGGGGAATGCGGGATGAACGCTTGACCTTGAGCTTGAGCCTTCCTTTGCTCGCCCAGCATCACCGAGTTAGCCGCTTCAGCCTTGTCAAATTCGGATCTCAAAGAGTCGGGTTTGATGACCGCCCGCCAGGAGTGACCTTCAGACCGAATTAGCACGTCAATGTTGTCACAGGGCCTGGATTCTACCGAATTTGGTCTGCTGCATAAACTTCCAAGCGGCTATCAGGTACCGAAGCACCGCGGTATAGGTGTCCTGGACAGAAGTGGCAAATGAATCCTTGGTTTGCGGACTGACTGCTTTATTCTCAAGATAAAGCTCGACGTAAACGGCACATTGACTCATGATATATGCTATGGGTTTGTAGTTACCCACCAGCTCATGAGCCTCTTTGTTCTTGACAGCCGCCTACTTGCCCATTAGTGGTTCAGAGAGGCAATCGAGGAGCGGCCGCTCACCGTAACCAAAAATTGAACAATTCCCCATGCTAAGGCGGCATTCTGGTTGGGATCGCAAGCGGCGATAGAAACGCCAACATCTTTGAAGACAGCCGCGTATTCAACAATGGAATCTACGGCATCTCTCAGGACAAACTGCCTCCCGTTGACAGAAATGGCCCATTTCTTCTTTTCGGCTTCGGATCGGGCATCCTGAAACTGGCTGATGATGGAGTCGATGCCAACAATGGATCCATTTTGCATAAATTTGGCGCTGAATTCGGGCCAACCGCTGTCGTTCTCAACTTCTTTCTGGGCCTTTTCCCATAGGCTAGCATTGCTCCCTGGAGCAGGAGGGGCTGAAGGCTGAGGCGGCCTACGGGGATCCCGGGTGTTGTGGGCCACATTGGGATCTGTCGGCAACGACGATGAGTCGGCCGCTTTGGGAGTTGGCGACCTAGAGTCTCGATGGCGACCTGGCTTGAAAAAAGACTTTAACTTATCGGTCTTGGAAGGCCTTTGGTCCATTGAAGTCGAGGTCCCTCAGCTCGGGCAACCGGGTCAAGTAACCGCTTGGTTTTATATTATTCAGTGCCTGGCACATGTCTCGATACACCCTGGCCTGCTTGGCTAGAGCACGGTTATACGGACCAACAATTCTGAGATTAGGTGGTTTGGATTGCAGGTAGAGAGCCGTGTGAAGGCGAAGAAGCAAGACACACGGCAAGACAAGGATTGTCCAGCTCACCAGATCCATTCCCGAAGCGTCAAAGGGTTTAATTACGCCACCTTGCTGGAGCCAATAGGGGCTGAGAGACAGAGTTTCGCTGGCACGAACTCGGCACATCTAGCCTACATACGACAATATTTGATTTTCTCATGAAGTACACATTTATGAAGGTAGTTTTCAAGCTTTCCGTTGCCCCCAAGCAGCCCACCATGTTATATTTCTGCCTCCCACTCAACCTGATCCATCAAGTCGTAGAACTCAGCTTGGCCCATGGGCGCCTTATCACCGATCTGGGCAAGCCCATTTCCAAGGCCGTTTCCAAAAGCCTTCAGCCAGATTCTCCTCGCTTCTCTAAGCTCGTCCTTTGCACCCATCCCAATTCTCGTAGACAATTCCAGTCCCCGGATACTTTGCAGCTCATCGGATTCCTTGAGCAGTTCCGGCAACCTGGTCGAAGGCGCGGTATCAAAACCACCGAGATTTAAAAACTGCCCGGAGATCTCGGTCATCTTGATATGTGGCCTGTCGCTCTCGCTGATGGGGGCGTTCGGCATGTGTCCTTCGACAATTTGAATCCACCCACCCGGTTTCACCAGTTTGGCCAGCCTCGTTGCGGCCTTGACCGCACGGTCAAATCCACCAGCGACGAACAACACATTGCGCTGATGTACGAGGTCGAAAGTCCCTTGCCATTCGGAAGGCCATTCGGTATTGATGTTCTGTTTGTGCCACTCGACAAAACTTGGTAGGCCGCTCTCGGATGAGGCGACGTCGGTGCCGACCACTGTAGCAGAGTCAGGGTGAGCTAGGCGTGAGCGAAGTTGGGCCAGAAATTGACCATCTCCAGTCCCGGAGTCGAGAATGCGCAGAGAAGAAGCGGCCAGGTCGATTGGGCAGAGGATAAGACCTCCAGCAACGTCTGTGATTAGGTCACTTTGGGCTTTGAGGCGTGCTGATTCGGGTATATTTCGAGTACTTGGATAGAATGGAGCCGTTTCGGAGGCGGAAAGAGACATGGAGGGCTGTCTTGGCGGAATTGTCGAGATAGGGCCAGGGCTCTGTCAATGTCAAAGGCAGCGGGGAAGAACCAAGAGGGATATGCGCTTCATATATCTCTTCCTCACACGTAAAGTTCCCCGAGTCCTCCTCATCCTATCATTCTTCATGTCTGTGCTGGGTGCCTAAGGTATCGCACACTGTTCTCCTCTTCGAGGAGTTCTAGTTCTGGAGGAGAGTATTCGGTAGGTCATTTGGGAAAAGATGTACGGGGTCCGATGATGTGCTTCATCAGGCCCCCCTCGGAAAATTCGAGCTCCGTGGGGAAGTCTCGCAATGAGCAGACACGGGTAAGATGAAAGCGGGAGCTCGATACCTTGTAATTTGTTCAGATAAAGGGAACCATCAAGGAAACAAGAAAATACCTGTATCGTCTATCAAACCAGCCGCCAGTCGTTCATTTTCGTCTGAGGGTGATGAAATTCGCAGTACATGCTTGTAGGACCCGACAGGAATAACAAACTCCCACAATATGGGATGTATGGTGTCTCGAAATTATTTGTCGTGCATAGGACCAGAGGATAACTAATGCTTTGAGGCGGCGCGCGGTTCTATACGCATCCACGTGACCGATGAGATGATTCGTGCTGTCCATCAGCCCGTCCCTCCTCCAAGACTCGTTCTCTTATTGAGGCCGAATGAAAAGCTCCGCTCCACGCCACGCTTTAATTAAATATCCCAACATCGGAATCTGTCTCTAGGCTGCTTTGATTATATCCTACCACGACCGAAGCACATCCTAATACTAAACGTGTTACGCCATCCTTGCTGGACTTGTTGACATGATGGATCAAACGCAAAGCCATGTTCTCCTCTCCCCTCCTGCCTCTGCAGCCTCACCTACACCGAGTGCTTCGTCCATCGGGTTTCGAAATCTAAGCTTACCTGTGCCACGCTCGCATCGACTGCGGCCAGGATCTCAGAAAGAAATTGCTCTGATAAACTACCTTGATGATCGGATCCTGAGAATAACACGCAGATATGCGAAGAAGTTCAGTAATGAGGTGCTCGATAATGATGACAGCCCAGGCTACACCACGTACGACGAGTTTGTCTCTGACGCCGATCCTCTTGTAGATGTGGTCTGGATAAGCGGAACACGTAAGTGATATTCTACTAAATGATCTAAGTTGTGCATCTTTTCGTCTGTTTGGTGTTCTACTACTCTCTCAAGTTGGTGAAGCATGGCCTCTTCGCTTGCAAATCAGGATTCCTCTGATTCGATGTGACCTAACTACTGCAATTGATAGCCACTATCCAAATCCCATACCTCCTTTCTCTGGCTGGTCTCACCTGTTCTTACCTACAAGCTTTTCCTTTCTCCGTCTCCTTGTTTTATATCACCAGCAAAATCGATCAGGGCTTTAGCTCGCTCCTCCATTCTTCCGAGGAGAATAACGCAACGGCGGCCAGTCACCATCATGTTTCAATGACGGAGAAGGTTCGCATCAAGTCGCTGATCGAGGAAACTCGGGTTGCGGCTGTTCACAGCGCCTCAGCTAGCGGCCATGTTGCTAGCATTCAAGACATCTCCGATGTGGAAACGGAAGACGAGGACGAGGACGACAGTCGGCAACAACAGACCTTGTCAATCTCTCTCAGGCTTTCCAGGATATACAAGCGGACACTAGAGATCCTGGGTGATTCCTTGGTCACCAACTCGCTGCCTCAAAATCAGGACATTGACACTGAGATGTCGTGAGGAAGCTCAGTCATCGAAAATAGCTGCCAATTTCATGGCAGAGGGATACCTTTCATGAGAAGAGACTCCAAGAGCAAATGCTCAATGACAACAGGACCACCGTTTCTCTCGAGAAGGATGCCTGAAATACCTTTCACTGGTGTCACTGGATCATGCAATACCCGCAAGAGGAAACAGTCCAGGTTTTCCAGCAATACAGTACAGACATAACATGCCACACCATTCGCCCTATGCACTTTCTCGTCACCTCATGTGGGCCAATGTCCACTGATTTTTTGGTTCCGACGCCGAACTCGGGGGATTGTGGAAACTTTGGAATCAGCCAATCATTCTTCGCCACGCTTGGCCACATTGTGCTCACCGATTGCCAAAAATCTAACGAAACTCTGTTGTATGGTCCCGATCCCAATTGATGCCCGAACGAGTTCTAGGTCACACAAATCATTTTTATTGCTCAGTGACCAACCATGCAGCTCGAGACTTAACGCTGTTCACAGCTCGGCCAACAGAGCTCCTGCCAGTATCTTATAATACCGGGTTTCATTCGCCTCTTACTCTCCTCTTCTTGCGACAAGAGTTCTCCAGCATTCATGATGTGGTTGTTGACTATCTTCTTATTCTTTCAAGCGGTGGTTGGTTTCGTCATTTCACCGGTACCAAAACCGTGCCATGGAAATCTGACAGCAGCAACGACGACGACGACAATACCAACTTTGTCTACTTCTAATCAACCGGTCACGGAACCAACACTCACTACGAGCGTCAGTCAAGATCAACCACAGAATCCATTATCGGCTCTTGTCACCATTGCTCCTCTCTTGCCTAATCCCCTCGAAAGAAGACAGAGATGTTGGGATGATCGAGGCTTCAGCGTTGACTGTGCGACATGGACAGGTTACTATTATACCTGGGGACCGCCGGGTGATCCCTACGCAGGAGGTCCTGGCGAGGGTGGTGGATCAGGGGGGAATTACGGGGGTAGCAGTGACGGTGGCACCACTGTGGTTTACCAAAACGACGGAAACCACCCAGACTGGACAAGCTGGTCAGCGATTCTTGGTATGCTTGGTCTCGGCCTTCTCATATTCATTTGACAGATTTGAATCTCTGGGAGCAGAAAATCCGCAGAGAGGTCTGGGCTGTGCTCTCTACCTCATCCACAGCAAGACAATGGCATCGGCGAATCGCTTCTTGAGTGTCAAATTCGATCAGCAGTTTGATCCGTTTGACCCCTGATTTCTACCGAAGCCGAATCGGTTACAGAACCAATGAAGACTTTCTAATCGAAGAAAAGACCTGCTTGCTGAATTGCAGAAGCCGATTTGTTCGTCACCATTCCATTATCACATCTCCAGTTCTCTGTGACGCTGCTCTATCTGCTACAAAAAGGACTCGTGCCTCTTCTTCAACCTTGCAATTCCTCCTTGCTTCTACAGCGGTCATTAACCTCTAGCGACGGGTCATCAGCCTCCAATCTCTATATCTCTCAATAAAACCATAGCTACCTATTCAGATTCGCTTCCCCCAACGACCCCAAATCAGAGCAGAGGCACACTTTATACGTTTTCTTTGGGCAACTCATCGTCTTCATAAATGTGACCCACGATGTAATGGGCACGTTGTCCCGGACGAGCCGTCTCCGATGAAGCTTCAGCTTCACCGTGTGTTCCGCTTCTCTATATCGTATCGCTGCTCAGCGGATCTGATCACTGTTGGAGACCTGATGGAAATAGTTTAGCAAACGATGAAGTGCAGCCAGTCCCAGCAGCAACCGGGTCAGCAATATCGACCTGAATACGATCTCCGGGATCGCAACTTCTAACGTCTTGAATCCGATGCCCATATCGAGCGCTGCAGACTGAAAAATTACCAACCCAGCCTCCCCTTCAGGTGCAGCTGCCACGGTCATTTCAGGTACGGTTATGGACGACCTTACTTCGTCTCCATCTGCTGCCCCCTCCTTGACACCTCTTCCCTTCATACCCTGGCCATTCTAGGCGTCTACATTTCCCGCAGTTCGATCCAGTTCTCTTTAGCACAATGCCAGCAACTCCTACACGGAATATACAAGCCCTTGGGCTCCCTCAATGACGAGTTCAGCTGTGGCCACGAGATCAATAACTTCACTTCCGAGTGTTGTGCCAATATCTTCTCCTACGGCGATGACAAATGTGCAGCCTGTCGCAGAGAATACGACCATTCTTAGTGAATCATCTTCCCAAGGCAGCTCACGCCAGGGTCGTCTTCCAGAGGAGCAGCTTCTTCGTCAACCTTCTTACACCACGTCGTCTCCAGCAGCCAAGCCGTACATTTCGAACTCCTCAAAGCCTGCGTCCGTCTCTACGACAGTTACAATCAAAACCGGCGTGACGACAGCCATCTGCATGACATCAAATATCACAGATGCAACATCCTCAATGGCATCAGAGATGCCGGGGTCGGACACAGATACTACCAGAACAAGCATTACCGTGAGCCCATTCCAGGTGTGGTTGTCTAACTCAGCGACGGGCTCGAGTAGTTTGGATTGGACCACCTTTCGCTCAGGAGCCGCGACGACCACTTCCGTCAATGTCACCGCAAGCTATCCGTTCGTTTCAACTGTAACTGTACATGTTACACCCACCTTGCTTTCGATAGTTACCAAAACCATTACGATAGGCTTTCCACTGGCCAAAAGACGTCGTCAGCTCTGACCTCATTTGGCAGTTTCACCTCGACAGCGAGTGCCACGATACCCTCAATTGCAGGAGGAGGTTAGAGCACATCAACCGCTCCTAGTCCAATCACTTAGCCACTGAATATTATCACCATCCCAGAAAACATGGCCGGATTTTACAACATGTCCTTTCCATTGCCGAGCGAAGTCAATCTCTTCACAGGAGCTGATGGTCTAGTCAATTCTGGGACAGGATACATCACGGATGGTGTTTTTTACCTCCTACGTGAGCAACTCGGGACCTGTAACAACCTACCACGTCACAAAAACAATAATGATGGCGGCCGATAAGTCGAGGGTTCAGATTACGACGATTCAACCTGGAGCCATTCGTCAACTGACCAGATGTTTGAGTACGACCACGGCAAGTGCAAATCCAAGAAGATTTCAACCTCGAGTACGAGCAGAGATATGGCAGCCACCAGCACATTGTCCGCTTCCGCGAGCTAGAATGTTCATGCTCGAGACGATCAGACAACTCCTTCCTCTTCCGATGTGGATAACCACAATAGCCATCATTTTGGTGCCAGCACAATTGAGAATTGCAGACCCACGAAATTCCCCATGCTACCGTACACGTCCACAGTCCTACTACCCGCATACAGGGCCCTCTCCGTCCACACTTCCACATACATCTGTGTTCCAATCCCAATCCCTGTCTGCGTCTCCGTCCCAAACCTCATCACCGGCCCCTGAATCCATCTCATCCTCTATCCTGTCTCCCCCTTCTTCCCAGATATCTCCACGACCATCACCGCGTCCCCCATCGCCCAGCCTACCGCCTCTTCCGGAACATCGATCTCACACCTCGAAGCTAGAGATGTCCGAAAGAGTTGACGGCACTAGGCTCACGCGCCGCGCAGAGCTACCTATTTGCAGCCCTGATGTGCAGATTACTTGAGTTCCGGAGACGGACTAAGCCCATTAATTGAGCTAGGTTGGGTTGAGGTGAAGCATACCTCTATATGCTGTGAAGGAGATGATGATGGAGGCGAGGACATTTTATGAATGTTAAATCGAGCAGAGATGGGAAAGAGAGGGACGGAGGGCTGCTGTCGTTCCTGGGACGTGTGTTCTGTTAAGGCAGGGAATAATTGTCAGGCTCGAGAAAGATTTCCACTTCATCCATCCCGTCCACTAGCATTATTGCCATTTTCTTTGCAACAGGCATCCCTTCCTCTATCAGCTAAGCCCAGCAACAGACGCTCCAGAGAGACAGCCATAGCAAAATTGATGACCCAGGTATACCACGACTCAGTGCACTACATTCAATCACACCTAGACAAGTTTCAGTTCGCAATTTTAATCAGCCTTGTCGTCATCATCCTTCTTCGGCTCAAAATTCAGCTGGTTACCATTATAGAACTGCTGATCTCGCTGTGCTTCGGCGCGCTGGTCGGCAAGAGTACGGACGCGGACTTTCTTCGCCGACGTCGACTGTGTTGACGTTTGGCCCTCTCCACTTCGGCCCGGGCTGCTAGTTCCAGTAGACTGTTCGGGCTCGCCGGCTGGATTGTTATATCCCAGGAGGCTCCTCATCCCCCCAAACACCAAACCCGCTGTCCCGCTGATGAGGTTATACCCGCCACTCACGGCTGCGCCAAGTAGGCTACCAGATGTTGAGCCGGCGTACGATTCAACATACCCTCTGACAGGGACCATGACGAGCGTACAACTGCCTACGATTCCGAGGTCAGAGAGTTCTCGCTCTTCCTCGCTGGCCTCGATGTTTCGGTTCGGCAGGGGTGTGAGGATTAATTTCAAGTTGTATGGTACTGTCGTGTTAGAGCTAGAGTCGATCCACGGTCGGACATCTGCAGAGAGCGTGGAGGTCGGTGGGAAGGTAGAGCGAAGAGTGCTGCCGTCGAAAGTGCGGACTTGGACTCTCACTTCTGTCTTCTTTTCCTTCGACCTTGGCGAACCAGATGAGGACGGTGCGGATGACGTAGAACGTTCCATCTCGTCATGCTTCCGCATTTCATCCAAGCGACGCCGCTCCTCACGATCAGCTTTGATTTGCGCCTTTATCCGTTCGCGCTCCTCCCGCTGCTTTTGTTCTCGTTCGCGTTGCATTTTGATATAATCTGCTCTTTGGGCCTTTTGTTTGTCGATTTCAGTTTGGTTTGGAGCAGGGGAAGAGGTCTCGCTCCGTGGAGCTAGCGAGGGTGGTTCATCTCGTTCTGCAGGGATCACTGGTGCGGGAAGATTAGACCTGGAAGGCGACTGCTGTTGAGACCCCGTTGCAGATTCTAAAGTAGATTTGTTTTGCCCTGGGATTCGAAGACCAACAGCCGGTAGACGTAAAAGTCGGGATCTGGCGTATTCAGACAGTTCAGGGCGTGGCCCTCTTCTCAAGCGCTCCACTTCTTCGTGAAAAATCGGCATATTGTTCAACAATGTTAACTGAGTCTGGAATACTTCCGACGGAGAAGTTCCCTCGTCTAGGAGCTTCTGAGTGTGGTTTCGGAGGGCGTCGTAGGCATTGTTTGGTAATCTCATTTGTCCCGGAGCGGGTTGTAAATCGAGGTACTCGTTGACTGTGTGGGACGGCTGATTGCTGGGCTCCATAGACCTCGAGATGGATTAACATTCGTGAGCAATCAGACGATGGGGAATACACACCCAGAGTCTTCAATGGTTTCATCTTCTCCACTTTGCACGCCGAAGGCGGAAGTCAATCGATTCTTTAATTCCTTGACTGACACCTCGGCAGACTGGAGATTCTCTTGCAACTGCGCATTCCTAAACTTGTGAACGTCCGAAATATTCTCTAATTGACCATCTCTTACTTGATCACAATAATTGCTGGTGTGCTGTTTATCGTGCAGATCGGGGACAGAAAACCCGCTTCCTGGGAGCTGGCTTGAAGTCGCAAGGCAACCGCCTGAGAGGACACGGCGGACGCTATCTACTTGAAATTAGAGGCTGAGTCGTTCCAGAGAGCATCGTTCTCACAGGCGCCTCCGTCAGGACCTCTTCCCATTGCGTGCTCGTTTCTGTATTGTCTGGATTCTGTTAGGAGGGGGAAAAAAAAAGTCTTCGCTGTGCAAACAGCCTTACCCTGGACAAAACATAGAACAGCTTTGGACTGTTGAAGAGCTAGCCCTATGCCGCTTTGGATATCTCCTTCATGGAACATTTTGTGAGGTATCGTATAGAAAAATTGAGGGGCAATTTAATGAGGTGCAGATGACTTTCGAGGTATTTCAGATTCTCGGCAACGGACCCCGAGTGTCGGGTAACGTGCAACAGCCCAACAACGTACTTTTCTCCAAACTCCCGCAACACCTTCACTCCTCTTCGGTTTCACATCGAAGGCATCCGGAAAGAAAGAAATGGCCAAATATGATCTGAATTTTCTCCGGTCGATATTGATCCACCCTCGGAAACCCCTCCGCGGACAACGGATCGGCCAGAGTCGCCATGTCAATACCAGAAAATCACCACCCAGTGTCGAGGATCCCGATTTTGTCTCAATAGTTGATGCCCCTCCGCGGATCGTGAGAGTGGGACAGAAGCATAACAAGCTGGGCATTGCAATCCTTGCTATTATTCCGGTCACGGCATTCGGCTTAGGTACCTGGCAGATCCAGCGCCTAGATTGGAAAACCAAACTGCTCGCAAAGTTCGAAGATCGACTGGTCCGCCCTCCATTACCTCTCCCCCCTCGAATCGATCCAACTGCGATCCATGAGTTTGATTATAGAAGAGTCTACGCTACAGGAAGGTTTAGGCATGATAAAGAGATGCTAATTGGCCCACGAACGCAGGATGGTAAAGATGGATTTCTAGTCGTTACCCCTTTAGAGCGAGAAGGTGGGAGCACGATCCTTATCAATCGTGGATGGATCAGCCGGGAAATGAAGTTTCAGCAAGACCGAGATCCTTCATCTTTGCCCACAGGCGAAGTCACTGTCTCAGGTCTCTTACGCGAACCTTGGAAAAAGAATTTTTTCACACCCAGCAATAAGCCTGAAAAGGGCAAATTTTACTTTCCGGATGTTGAGGAGATGGCCAGCGTTGCGGCAGCAGATCCTGTATGGATAGAAGAGACCATGACGCCCGATCTATTGGTCAGCTATGACCGACAAAAGAAAGGAGTCCCCATTGGAAGACCGGCGGAAGTCCATCTCAGGAATAATCATTTACAGTACATATTCACTTGGTACGCCCACCTCGTCATTTCCAAGTTTGCGTAACTCATCCTTCATTAGGTATTCGCTGTCTGCCGCCACAAGTCTCATGTTGTGGATGCTACTTCGAAAGAAGCCCGTGGACAGAAGCCGACGAGTTCGACATGTGACGAACTGGTAAATAGTGAATGGATGTTAGAACGATCACGCATCGTCGACATCTAATTCATCCGCGGCCTCCTTCGGAAGTAGTTCTCGGGCACACTTTTGAAGATCCCCTTCACCTTGCAGGACTCTTTGTCGCTGCATCAGCATCAGGACATCGCGGGAGTCAACCAGTTTCTTGCGCCGAGCATGATCTGAATATGCTTCCAGGTCTTCTCCCACCTGCTCGAAGAACCATTCTGTCGCCTGCTCAAGAGCTTTCATATGATCCCGACCGAGCTTTGGTCGGCGATTTCCGAGTCTGGCTTGGGCTTCGATCGCCACTCGCTTTATCAGACTAGAAGGGAGGGAGGGCACCGTCAGGCCATGTCGCGTCATCTTGAGTTTCTTTCGACGAGATGCAGATGATGAGATTGCTGCTGCTGCTAGTGTTTCTTCGGTCACAGCATCCTGTTTGGGTGATTCGTCGCCGTCAGGCATGGCGTCTGTCGCAGATTCGAGATCGGCCACGGCCTGGTCTTCTGTAAAGAAAGGACCCGGCTGGATGTTTCCAGTATGATTTCCTTGAGTCTGATTGGAAGCCGCTTCTTCTTCCATAACTTCCAGCCGGAAGCTCTCGTCCAAAGGCGGTATGTTCATGGTGGTTTCATCATGCAGTGGAACGGAGGGCGATCTTTGAAGGCTCTGCGGGTTTTCCGCCACTCCGTCAAGGTCCAAAGATTCATAGTCCACTCCAATACCACTGTATTCGTTCGGCCCTTTTAGTGTCTTTGTCTGGTCTTGCTGATCTGATTCTCTTCTAATCTCGAGTTCGGATCCAAAGTCGCTCATTCTGATGCTCCCAAAGCTATACCGCGACAATCGCCCTGTGGGTTCCTCGCTGATGGCTCTTCTGCCGATCTCGCTCAGAATAGTTTGGTCTTCTTCCACCTCGTTGTCTCCAAGCGGTTCAGAAGCGGGAAAAGAAGGCCTGAATGATTGCCGATCAATCTTTTCCGATGCAGCCTGTACGCCCCTTGCAAAATCTATCGATTTAAACGTGATTGTTGGATTATTTCGCTCAGATTCATTATGGTCGTCACCTGGCTCTGGCAATATCGAGGGTGTTGGAGCGACAGGTAACTCGCTATCCTCTTCCTCGCCAACATCAGGCAGTCCCATATCTGCCGGACTGCCATCTATGTCCAAAAACAGCCGCGGTCTCTTATTATTCCCCACTTCCTCCTCCCCATGAGTGTGTCCGACATGGTTTTCCTTTCCTCGCGCAGTCGAGGGTGTAGGTATGGTTTTTTGGGTGAAGGGGGCAGTAATTTTTGCCAACCGCCTCAGTACCCTGCTCGCCGAGTCTGGTCGGACGATGTCATTGAAAGCCCTGTTCTTCCGCACAGAACGGGCTCTTGCACTGCTTCGCTGCTGGAGCGCTCGAATTGCATGCGGTGTTGATGGCGCGTATCTTGCTGGCGTTTGGGAATTGTGCAATTCCGACAAGGGTCGCTTTCGAGACGACATGTCGAAGTAGAAGCAACTAAAGTGTGAAGGTCGGTGAGCATGACAATTCCAATGGGTTCAACTGGTCATCTCGAGATTTGTTATGAGCGTGGCAGAACGATTGACAACAGCGACGCGTCGCCACGTCGTCACGCGAAAACACGTGATATTATTACATAAGCGCCGTTCAAACTTGCTCTCGACTTTTCTGATCGTCCTCTTTTTACAAACTCGTTTAGTCATTGAGCCACTGCTTCCAAATATCTCTTCGATTAGACGGGGATCGAGCATATCCTAACCTTTCACTATTCTGCTCTTGAACTGCGCTGACCTTGTTACATCTTTCGAAACGGGGCACTTGTTCTACATGATACGTCGCATGCATCCTAATTCATGCGATACTACCATCGACCTAGGAGTTCATGTTTCCAGCCGCAATGTATCACCCGGTCCGGGTGCCTTTTCGCCCAATGGACAGGACGACACTTTCTCAGAGCTGTCAGCACAAACAGCTCGCGGGAGTTTGAGAAAACTCTTGAAGCTATGAGAAGGCGTGAGCCTGAGATAGATTATGGTGTTTTGGACAAAAAAGATGTCATCGCCTTAAGAGTGGCTCTTCAAAATCATCTCGAATTAAAGCCCATAGGTTCCTTACTCCCCCCTGGCTACCAACAGGTGACAGTCAACCACTGGGTCAAAGAAAGCCGCTTGTGCAATGATGGGGCAGACCGATTGCATGCCCCCAACGACGACTGGAAGTACCGAGTGTGGGTAGGAGGCCGCATATTTTTCAGACAGCAACGTATTCACCTCGACCGTCGTTTGCCTGTGAGAGCCAGCGAGAATATTATCAATGCTCGGCTTGCGGGCGACCTGACCAGTGAAGATGCCAAAGTTTTCGTAACTTTGAGGAAGGCATTGTCGTTTGAGTTTGATTCGAAAACACTGCTGGAATTGAAACTCGGTGAAAATAGGCTGCCCTCCAGATTACAGTCTCAGTTGGTCCTTGAAGAGAAGCAACTTTGCTTTATGCGAAACATTCCCCCCAGCCTTAGATCTATGGACAATCCTCGCAAAATACCACCAGCCCTGGATCCCGATTATTCCCAGAGCATGATACCCTCCCAAACATTGTTGTTCAGGTTCAGTGCTCTCACTAGAAACGATCATGCCATTCATCTGGACCCCGAATACACCAAACGGGTCTACGGCATTCCGAAACTACTTGTCCACGGCCCACTTACCTCTGTCCTCATGTTGGACATTTTGCGAGAATGTCTTCTGGATCGCGGTACGAAGACACCTTATGCCTTTGTTATCCGGGAATTTGAGTATCGAAACCACCTGCCACTTTTCGCTGGCGAACAAATAAGCATTGCCTGCAAGAAATTGCGGAATATTTATGCGGGCGAAGGAGCCAAATTTCGCACAGATCTGCCGGTACCGTGGGAGCTATGGGAAGTCTGGATCCAGAAAGGAGAGGGTGACAATGCAACGGTGGCGGTTAGAGGCCGAGCCCGCGTGCAGCCTGCCACAGTTTCGAGACTCGGTCCGGAAGAGTATGATGACGCTGACGAAGAGTCAGCTTTCCCTCTCCCCACCGAGCAGGAAGAGACTGTACAGAGTCGACATGATGGCGTGGATTCTATTCTCCAGGTTCGACCTTACAACAAGAACCCCAAGGCGGAGCCAAACAATGAAGATTATCCCAAACCTGTGTCCCGCCCCGTCCAACAGTCGTCTTGGTTTTCCCGAGAACACCAACTGAATGTTAGAAGACGACCCGATTTCCAAAAAGGTTACTACCTTTATCATCTTCCTCTGCCGCCATCTGACCAGTCAAAATAAAGTACCATGCTATGGAAGTCTTGGACAGTAAGGGGAGCTACCCCTTCGGCGCGTTCGGCTCTTGGCGAGCTGCGTGGCCGAGACACTCTATGCATCAACATCAGCATCTATGGAAAGACTGGCCACACTTGTTAAAGACCCGATGACTCTCGGTTCTATTATCTTCCAACGAGAAGAACACTAAAAGCATGGACCCGGTTGGAGAACCGGGGATGCAATGCCGGGAATCTTCGATGCATGTTATCTACACCAGATTACCAGATCCAGCCCCCCCAAAAACATTGAGCCACACTATTCTACAGAAATCCGTGCGGTAATAAACATATCCTCAACTGTGGCTCCGAAGTCTCAAAATCGATCCTGTTACGCTACCCTGTCAGTTCGTCCCCAACCCGAGTCGAGGAACCGCCATTCCCCGTATTCAAACATGCTTCCATCCATTCCAGATCAAGATGTGCTGTTCATCAATGATGCATAATTCACCGTTCTCCTCACGTCTCTCTAGGGAGTTTTCGCCTTCTTTCTTCCAGCGCTCCATCTTCCTCGTCACTTCTTTCATTTGCTTTGTTACCTTGCCAATCACATTCCGCTTGAGCCGGTTCAACCAGACACCACGGACGTAATCTGTGGAAGAGACGAAGGTTTCTTCAGGACCGGCATGAGTCAAGTTATATGCGCTGATGGTGTAGCCTACGCGGACAGCGGGGTTGATGTAGATGCCTCTCCGGCCGAGGTTCATGGCGGTCATGTCCGTGTGGATGAGGCAACACTCGCTAGCTTCGAGGTGCTTAGACGCCAGACTGTCGGACAACGCACGGAAGCGAAGACCCTCGTAGAACGGCGTTGTGTCCATGGCGATCATACCGTTCCAGCAGGATTGAACTTTAGTGGCCCGGCCCTGGAGCATGGCTTCGCGTGAGTCGAGGGATCGGAAATATGGAAAAGAAGTCATGATTGTGCCTAGACCTTCGCTGTCACGGAGGGCGAATGTGTCGTAGTAGGCGGGTGGATAGTGGAAGTCCAGAGCACAAGCCGCGGAGAAAGAACCTTGGTTGGTGGCCAGGAGCGACAGCACATCTCTTGGGCGGAATACCACGTCGTTCAAATAGAGGATTTTGTCAAAGTTGTGACCTCGTTCATGCAGGTCGAAGAGAGGTTGGAGAGATTTGTTTCGTAGCCGGGCAAGGTAAGGTATGCGTCGCATTTCCTTTCCAGCTCCCACCGTGGTAGTCTGAATCCATCCCGAGCGTGGATGACCTTGTTCATCGAGTGGACCGGCATTGACTTCATCTGCATGGGTGGTGGGATCGAGCACGATTGATCGAGAGATTTTATTCTCCTCGAGTACTCGGTCCAAGATTTTGAGGACATCTTTGGTATTATCCAAGCTTCCACTCTCATATATGCTCACGAACACATTCTCCGTGCCCAACACCCCAACCAAGTCGAGAAGAGCCTGGCCCCAGCGATCTTGGATGATTTTTGCATTGGTCCAGAACTGGGCGCAGATGAAGATTTTCTGGTTCTGTGCCGGCGAGGGCAGAGTCGAGAGGTCCGTATAGGTATGAGAGAGTAGATTTCGGGAAAACTCTCGGTGGTGTTTGAGGATGGTCAGAAGGTCAAAGACAGACAATGCAGTGAGGACATAAACGAGGAACCGTAACAGCCGTCTCCGAGGGGAACGGCGATAGTTGCGAAGTAACATTGTAGGGTCCGAGGTTCAGAGTCTCCATCTGCTGTTGTATCATGGCTAGAGAGGGCGAGATGAGCAGATGGGAAGAAGACGAGTTGAGACACGAGACATACCGGCACAAGGCACGGCTTGACGTGTTCTCAGTCAACAGAAAAATGGCTTCAAATTAAGGTGTCAGGCTGAAAAGGCGTGAGCCGCAGTTGGAGGGGAGGCGCTTTTGGTGTCTGGTGGAGAATTGCGTCCCCTGGATCGATGCCGGGCAAATTTATGTAAGCGCAAAGTACATCCATATTGATCTCGGGACAAAAGTGGACAGCAGATCTAGGAAGGTGACTATTCAGGATATTTATTGTTGGCTGCGAGAAAGGTCATCACAGGACCAGTTCCAAACCTGGGATGAGGTCCAGACAAAATAGGAGCCTGCAAACCCGGTAGCCAAAACATGGACGAGATTCAGACGAAGGACCATATAACGGTCAAACATGATTCTGAGATTTGGTCAATTCTCAGAAACATCTCGAATTGTCCTCGTCTTCTTTTGCGCCAAGCAAACAGAGCTTGAAGGAATCGATGCAATCAGGTATTGGAGACAGTCATACGTCCTGGCCAATCGTCCTTTCACCGGCCTAGTTGTCCCTGCTTTTTTCTATTGCGATTTCCAAGCCATGTGGCTTGATCCTGGAGCGCCATCGTCACAATGTGCCTTGGTATCAAGGTTCTTGATCACCAGTTCCACATGTCACCAGGTCATGGTGGTCGTTCTTTTGAGGTGGAGACCGTCGGGGCTGCCAGTCATTCTCAGTGACAAAAGTTTGCCTCTCTATCACATTTTCGAATGTAGATGTTTCGCAATGTCATCTCTCTTCCCAGCCGGCGTGCTTCTGCTGTTGGATCAAGACGGCCCTGGTGCATAAGGGAGTAGAGAAGCCGGGTGTTGGGTTTCGGGTGCACTCCGCGTTCATTGTAGAATCCAGGTATGAACCTTTCAAACGAGCTTGTCCAACAACTGCCTCCGTCTCCTGTCCACAAGTTCTTCCTGGACCTCCTCGAGCGTCGGTAGCCGCCATCTCACCCCATCCCCAGCGTCCCCCGGCAGCGGTTCCCAGTCTCCTTCATCATCGTCCCCTCCCTCCGCCAACTTTGCAACCCTCTCCATCGCCTCCATCTCTTTCTTGCGCTCATATTTCAACAACGACCCGTCCTCCTCATCGAGGCCGAAACCGAAATACCTGGCGTCAAGATTCTTGCGATTGATATCCTGTGCTGGCCTGGCCTTCGCCCCTTCCTCCTCCTCCTTTTCGTGAACTCTTCGTTTCGCTGCTCGCTCAAACATTTCTTTAACCCCAGGTAACTCTCTCGCCCTCCCAAAATATCGGTACCCTTTCCCTCCACCAGGAACCTCCCTTCCCTGGTCATCAAACACCGTGCCTCCACCACGCATGTAATTCGGCCCGCCTAGTTCCCTGATTCTTCTCTCCCAGCCCCATTTCTCTTTCATTAACTTGTTGATTTCATCGTTGAGATCGCGGATCTGGAAGTCCGATAGGCTCTCGTCTTGGATCTTGGTCACTTTGCGTGATACTTCTTTTAAGATCTGGCCGCGCCACTTCTCGCACAAGGGAATGGCATTGACCGTACTCGGGGCTTTGGGACGGCGCAGGGACGCGCTGGGTAAGAGGCCTGATTCGGCGGCTTGTGCGGCGCGGAAACGGAAGAGCATCGACTGCGCTTTTTCTGAATTGCGCGCCATGGTGAAGGAGGAGTTCCGGTTGCTCTGGCGAGTTGCATGTGCACCCTGGAGTTTTTGCTCAATATAGAACGCTTCCTTTGCTTTCCAAAATATGACCGGAGTGAAGATGCGTGTTGAACTTCAACACTTTTGAGGGGGTGGGAAAAAATAAAGAAAAACTGAGGTTGCGGAGGTCGTCATTTCAAAATTCTTGGAGGGGAGCTTTTCGCATCATCCGCTCACAAAACTATCCGTCAATATTTCTCGAAGCTCTAGCATCGACTCGTTCTACGTCAAGAGGTGGAGTATTCAGGGCGGGACAAATTTATTACATTGCGAGAATGCGATGATTAAAATTGCTAGCCATTCGGCCCCTGCAAAGCAGACAATCGAGGAAGGGAACAAGCGGCCCCGAGAATACATCGAAATCTCTTCACCATGTCCCAATGGCTACAGCGACATACGTCTACATCCGTTCAGCTAGGACTGGCCGCGACATTCGGAGCAGTTGCCGCAACGTCAATACTTCTCATTGCGAGAGCCAGCCGCCGCCGACGCGCGACTGAAGAACTCAAGGCCTCGATTCCCGAGATCTCACGCGACCACCATGCAACGCCGTTGACCGAGTATGGCGGTGCCAGCCGCGCAAGTATCACAAACAAGGAAGATGAGAGGGCAGCGAAAATCGCCGCACGGGCAAGAAAGGGGGACTACGACGAGGAATTGATCCTCGAACAACTGGCGCGTAACAGAGTGTTTCTGAAGGACGAAGGACTGGCCAAACTGCGCGATGCATTCGTGGTGGTCGTTGGCCTTGGTGGCGTGGGCAGCCATTGCGTGGCGGCGCTGGCGAGGAGTGGTGTCTCGCGTATCCGCATAATCGATTTCGATCAGGTTACACTGAGCAGTTTGAACCGACATGCGCTGGCCACCCTGGCGGACGTGGGCACCCCGAAGGTGCACTGTGTGAGGAAGCGGTTGGAGCAGATTTGTCCGTGGACAAGGATTGATTGCCGAAACGAGATGTTGAGCTCACAGTCCATGGAGGCGTTGTTGGGAGAATGGGATTACGAGCTACGCAACGATGATGATGTGAAGGAACCCGATTGGGTGGTCGATGCGATTGATAATATCGATTCCAAGGTCGGGCTGCTGCATTATTGTGCTGCTATCAAGGGGATCAAAGTCATTAGCTCTATGGGGGCAGGTTGTAAAAGTGATCCGACGAGAATCCAGGTTGGAGATATCTCTACCAGCACAGAGGATCCGCTGTCAAAGTCGACGAGGCGGAGGTTGAGGGTTATGGGAATCAAGGATGGGATCCCTGTTGTCTTTTCAACTGAGAAACCTGGAGAAGGTAAGGCCGAGTTGTTGCCCGTTGCCGATGAAGAGGTCGAGAAGGGCAATGTGGATAAACTGGGTGTTCTGCCGGATTTCAGAGTCAGGATCTTGCCTGTTCTTGGAACGATGCCCGCCATATTTGGGTACACCGTCGCCAATCACGTCATTTGCAGTATGGCGGGATACCCCATCGACTACCGGACCGGGGAGAAAGGAAGAGAGAAGATGTACGACGGCATACTCTCGGCCTTACAAGGTCTTGAAGAGCGGTTGGTCCGGTCGACAGATGGCCAGGACGCCATCGGGTTAAGAATACCCGTGAGCAGAGATGACGTGGCGTATCTCGTGGAAGAAGTATTCCGTGGCAAGAGTGTTATCTCGGGTCTAGGAAACCGACTAGCTCTCATTAGATGGAGGAAGCCTGCTGATGGCTTCAAAGTCGACTCCGCATATCTGAACGAAGGGCAGAAGATGATCAGATTACCATTGATCGATTTGGTTCTCATGACGAAAGAGGAGGCTCAGAGGCATGAGAAACAAGTCCTTAAAGGTGGTATGGAACCAGACGATATGTACGATTCCAGGGTGCTGGCTCAGGTCAAGAAGCGCCATGATGAAGAACGAGCATACGAGAGGTACAGATGAGTGGCTTGGTTCTGAAATGACTTTGTTCACCTCACTGGCCCTGATCATAGCCTTGCAATCAGCAAATCCAGTCAATAATCATCAAAAGGACAGGACAGCGCTCCTGCAGGAGACAACTCTGAGGTCATGTGACTTGACAGAGAACCTGACTTGATGAGATACAGAGCACATTGGTCCAGAGCTAGCAGTGTCCGATGGTCATTCCAGAGCCTATCCGGGAGGCTGTGAATCAGACTCTTCCCGAAAAGAACAAATGGTAAAGACAGACCACGTTTTCAGAGAGCCGTGAACCGGGCAGGAAGTACCATGAAAGGGATTTGGGATGTTGATGGAAGCGCTGAAAGCATGCACTGACATCCTACCTGCTATCACTGAGTCGAAACGGGACTAAGGCTACGGTAGTGAACGGTGGTGAAGAAAAGGGGGCACAGCCTGGCCGGTGGGTCACCATTTCCGCTCGAGACACACTCCACTACAAGGTACCCTTGGATGATCAGGTACTATGGATGGATATGTCTAGAGATAGCTCTAATGATATACTTATATGGACATATTCACAGGCTACGACGGCGGTGCCATTTCCGAGATCCGTCCCTTCAACGTTCACTTCTCCGTTGTACTTGCCACCACCGCCTCCTTCTCGAATCCCGGTTGATCTTCCATCACATCGTCGATTGACTCAATCATGCAGGGAACGAGAGAATCTCTGGCAGGCCAGATGAGACTAAGGACACTGTATGAAATGAAAGAGACGAAGAAGCCGTAGTACCAGTTGAACTGCGAAATGTAGATGGCACCACCGATGTGGACATTCGGATTCACGTTATAAGCTAGGCCTGGCAGCGCTGGTGTGATGGAGACCACTAGGGCGACGAGGGCGCGCCAGTTCACACCGTAACAGAAGCGGTAACGGCCATGAGGCTGGTATAAAGCCGGGATGTCTAGATGTTGCCTTTTGATGACAAAGAAATCGGCGACTTGGATTCCCTGTGGACTAAAATTTAGAACGAAAAGGAGACAGGGGGTAAAAGGCTTACCATTGTCGGAGCGAGGAAAACTCCAAGCGAGCCCATGAAGCTCAATAGCGAATTCGCACTGTGAAGAATCTTCCAAGGCACCATTGCCCAACCACCTATTATGGTGATGAAGATAGCCCCTCGTCGAATGTTGAACCATTTGGGGAAAAGGTTGGCCAAATCATTCGCTCCCGAGATGACGGTTGCTGAGACATTCACGCAAATTTGAGCAATAACCCACGAAAGGCCCGCAAAGAACGCTGCAGCTCGTCCGCCAGATCCTTCCCATGAATCGATGATGACCACTGGGTCCCAGACGTATTCGTTGTAGATCATGTATGAGGCAGACGCCACAACAACGCCGATAATGGCCACCCAGCTGCACAATATAGGGAAATAAAGTGCTTGCGAGTAGGCCGAACGCGGCTTACGCAGATACCGTGTAAAATCCGGTATGTTTACGCCGACTGTGGACCATGAAGCGGTGCAGCTGTTCAAACTCCACATGATGAGCCAGGATTTGGACGAACCGGTGACGGTGGATTGTTGGTCCCAGATGTTACCGCTTCCGCCGGCTCGAAGACAAGTCCAAATGGTCATGCCAACAATAGTACCCAGCGCCATAACGATTTTGAGAGTGAAGAGCCATCTCATCTTATGAGGTGGAATCAACAACAAGGGGAATTGGATCATCCATACCACGAAGTAAGCAATCATTTGTTGGGTGGTGATGCCTGCAGACTCGGGGATGCCATTGTGAATGGTCCTGAATGACGGCCAAATGGCCCTGATGACCTGAACCATAGGTCCAACGGCCAGGAAATTGGTGATGGAATGCCAAAAGAGCGCCGTGATCAGACGGACAATGACTGGGAACTTCGACAAATGGTATCCGAAAGATCCACGGGCGAGGATTGGAAATGGAGCGTGAGTTTTGGCACCGGTGTAGCCATTCATTGCCATCGGGACGCCCATGACAAAAGATCCAAAAACGATGGCGAAGACGGCCTCGCGCCTGCAATGTGTATGAGATTGGATTTTCCCCGATCAATGTGGTCAGTCGTGGAAGAAACGTACCACGTCAACCCAATAGCCAAAATCGTACTACCAGTTTGCCAACTTTGGATGCTAATAATATCGCTGAACCAATATCCAAAAATCGTCCAACTTGTCCATGTCCTCCTTTCCACGGGCGTCACATCCAAATCGATATTGGACCAGGTACCAGGAGGAGCCCAACTAGACTCCTGTTTCTTGAGAACCCATCCATCAATGTGTCGTTTCTTTCTTACTTCGTCTTTCACTCTATCGATTCGATCCATTGTTGTACCGTCTCGTGTCCCCGGCGGTTTGCCACGTTGTGAGAGACGAGACCACTCTCCAGCTCAAAGCACATGGGCGTGCGGACATGGTAGTTATTGCATAAAGCCAGGTCGTCTAGACCGGGCTTTTGCCTCCGGATCCTGAGCAGACCCAAGGCGCAGAAGAGCGTTCGCTTAGCATGTATCTGGGAAGCATACACAATCCCGATAAAGTTTCGTGAGATAAGGCCATTGTCCTTAACGTGGTTGACGGTTGAAATGAGTTGCGGGGCTCCTGGATCAGGAATGAGAGATAGCAGATCCCATGTGGTTATTCATTACCTCGAGGAGACTCGGGACCTTGGTCGAGGCTGTATCCTACGTCTTCTCACTGCGATTGGACGTAGATAAGCGAATGTTGGATGTCCCCGTTGTACAAGACGGGATACTTCATACTTGCCCAGCCGCTAGGCTTTGGCAGTCTTTAACGTCTCTCGTCTTCACATTTTCCCAGCGATCTGGTTTGTTCCATCTGTAACAACCTCAGTAATGAATGGTTCCCGGCAAGGAGCTAGGTAGCAAATCGTCGTCTTTCTAACCCCTAGCTTCACTTCTTCTTCCTCAGCAAGAGTGGAGAAGACCCAAATAAAACATCGCGTATTTATCTGGGAGAGAAAGAGTGGGGAAGGAATGTCCAGCCTCGAGTGGATATTGGCGCATTCAGGTGTGTAAAGAGAAACGGACGTAATATCTCATTCCAAAAGAACACGCGGTTGCATGAGCCCTCGGTTCAAAAGTTGGAGAGATATTGAATCCATTGAGCGGAGCCAAACACTTCTTGATAGTTCACTTGAGCTGTCTTTTCATCTCAGTCCCTCCGAACGAGCCGAGAACAACACGGGGTCGAAATATGGGCTCCATTTCCGATGCTCCGGCCCTTGAGATCCCTCTAATTAACATTTCTGGCTATCTTCGAGGTGACCAAGAGCAGGCATCACAAATAGCTAAGGCTCTCCATTCGGCATGTCAATCTCCAGGCTTCTTCCAGATCACCGGGCATGGTGTTCCTTCAGAGCTCCGAGCCAAATTGCTGGCCAAGCTCGCCGAATTCTTTGCTCTTCCTATGGCAATTAAGCAAGGACTGCATCGAGGTCAGTCCAAGTGTCTACGTGGGTACGAGACTGTCGGGGAGCAAAGGCTCGAGGAAGCCTTTTCCGACCAGAAAGAAGGATTTATGATCGGTCCAGAACTCCCAGCCGATGGACGCTTCCTCCAGGGCCCCAATCAGTGGCCCGATGAGGAAATTATACCAGGATTTCGTGACACATTTATGGCTTACTTCAATGAAGTCCATAGCCTCAGCAAAGTCATGTTCCGTCTCATGGCATTGAGTCTGGACCTGGATGAGCACTATTTTGACGAATTCGTAAGCAGTAAGGATGGTCAGTGGTACTACCGAAAGCCAGTGATCAAGCTGACAAGAGCATGGATAGCAATCGCCATGTGCAGAGCACATCGATACCCTCCGACAACGCCTGAGATGGCCACTAAGTCACGGGGGATCGGGGCACACACTGATTTCGGTGCCTTGACCCTGCTGCTCCAGGATGATAGTACGTATGCAGGCTCCAAGAACCGAGAATCTCGCTGACTCGCTTCACAGTTGGCGGCCTCGAAGTATTCCACAAAACCACAGGAACATGGCATGGCGTCCCGCCAGTTCAGGATGCCTACGTGGTCAATATTGGGGATATGATGGGTGAGTTGTCCTCTCTCCTCGTACTTTGGTGGTCGCTCGTTCTCATGATTCACTTTCCAGAACGATGGACGAATAATTCCTACACTTCAACCCTGCACAGGGTCATTTCGCCAGTCTGCAACCGCGACCGGTATTCCGTCGCATTTTTCAACGAAGGTTTGCTGGATCAAGTGATTGAATGCATTCCAACTTGTTTGAAGCCGAGTGACAAGCCTCTATATGAGCCGATCAGAGCCGAGGATCATTTGCGCACGCGGTATGGTAAGAGCTATTAATGGAATCCAAAGTGGCATCGGTCAATAAATATCCTCACGTGGTCGAGGCACGCCTCGGAGCAACATCAAACTTGTACATCATCAAAGGAACAGTTTGGAACGAAAATTGTGCATGTTGAATTCGGTGGATTTCAAACAGCTTTTGAATTCCCGCAACAAAAATCTCCAATGCTAATATTGTCCAAATGCTTGACCATAAAGTCCGTTAAGGACCCAGTTCACTCTCATGTTGAAGCATCGCGTAGCCGGTCCGTCTAGGGGCGATAAACTCTCTCAGCCGCTTATGCGAAGGGCATTGCTTGTCATAATAATCGAAATCTTCTTTTGACTTGAACGTGGTCACCGCGATCAACGTATATCCCTGACTTCGTTCCTCTGATGTGTTGAGGACGCGACTCGCCTCGTTGGCGACAATATACGGGGCTCCATCCTAGGAAATCGCTCAAAGGTTAGATCTGTCCCAGTGTCTCCTGAAGATCACACTTATCACATTGCTGGGTTCAAGAGGTATGTGAGTGGACTGGCGGTACCTTTTGAGCCGTGGCCCGCAGCACTTCATATTCCGCTATAATGGCGTCAATGTCCTCCTCCTTGGGGACCTTGAACAATGTGATTCGTTTAATGTATTTGGGAGACATCGCGGAAGAGGATGATTCTTTGCACTGGAGTCCGGGAGTCCAACCTGAAGTACTCAAATTGCTTCACCTCACACAATTCCGTCGGGAAACAAGAGAAATGGAGTAATCTCCGTAAATGATGTATGTGCGTTTTCCGAAAACGCGGAAACACCCCGCAAATGGCGGATGATAAACACCTTTGGATCCATGGTTTCGCACAACTCACTGTCCAGGCTTTTTGGAGACCCATCACTGGCCCCCGGTCCATCTGTTTGTTCTCGAGTCAGATCTCGGACAAAGTAGGAAATAATACCTCTTCATCTGCTTTGAAACGTTTTTTCGAGAACCGTATAGCTCTCATAGGAAGAGGCCACCTCATTCGGGCCATTCCGAATCATTGGAATCAATCGTATTGTCCAACTCGATGTGATATCTGCATATTTGTTCAAGCTGCGACGCCGGAGATGGAAAGTATCCCCTTGCGGCAAATGGTTGACCGTATTTTATCTTGGCAATTATGCCATGTTTGCACTCCTTAAAGCTTTGCGGTTTGCCGCTACGAACTCCGATCTTGGGTCATTCGACAGTTTCAAGGTTATCAGCTCAGCCATTCGACTCTGCCCTTCGTCGGCATCACTTCTAGGACGGTTTGTCCATACTCTCGCTCTTTTCTAAAGTACCCGGGACACATGTTCAACACCTCGTTGCGCCGAGTGGCGCGTACGTGCTCCAGCGCCTCCCCGGCGCCCTCTCGCCCAACCACAACTCCCTCGGCAGCCACTTTCACTTCCCACGCCCATCAACGGCGGCATTCGTCATCTAAACCTCCTGTGCCCCCAAACAATGGCTCGTCCGCCATCTCAGCAGCTTCCGTGAAGCAAGTGGGAGCCCCGAGATCAGAGTCGAAGCGACCTGGCGCCGAGTCACGCCTATCGAAGAAGCGGGCGTCCAAAGACAAGTTGGAGGCAAAGCAAGAACCTCAAGATGACTGGACCTCCAAACTGCCTTCCGTTCCTAGTTTACAACACTTGAACCCGAAGGGTAGACCACCAAGAACAAAAGTTACGTCTCGATCTCATCCTCTAACTCGTTCGGCAGATATTTACGTATCATCCTTCTTTTCGACTCACCGACCACTGTCCATTACTGGACCAGTCCCTCCAGAGACAACCGTCGAAGCGATTGACAAGGTTTTCCAACCCAAACCCAAGTCCAAATCACGCACCGCCCCTCAAGAAGTCATCTATACGCTGGCGTCTGCGGTGGAAACCCTTGATGAACAGATAGCGAACAAGCAAGGCGACCATACCTCACAGGGTCCAAAGCAAAAGGCCGCTCTTATCAAAGCTCTTATGCGGCGTAATGAGAACTCCGCAGATCCTAACCGGACACAGCATTTAGATGGACTACCACAAACAATCAACATTGCTGGGGCCAATGTCAAATTGGTTATTCAAGAGATCGCACGACGATTCAGACCTTTCAATGTTCCTCCTGCCCCCACACCAATCAGCGACGCTGAGATCGATGCGGCCGAAGCTGGAGCCGCCGCCGCTGAAGAAGCCAACGAAGATATGCAAGCCAAGACTCTTGAGGCCGAAATCCAACAACAAGACTACGACCCATATATCCAGCACGTAGTACTGAACGTTCCACCACGCTCGGATTTGGAGAATGACGGCTTCTTCACCAGACACGATGCTCCCGAGATTGAAACGGAGGACTCCACTGCTCTTCGAGAAATGGAGGCTCCCACCTTCGGAAGACGTGTCGGTGGCCGAAGACGATTTGGCTACACTGGCCTGGACCGTGCAAGGAGGAGTTCAGGAATGTATGCAATCAGCGTCAAGAGACAAAGACGATTGAAGATGAAGAAACACAAGTATAGGAAGCTGATGCGCAAGACGCGCAATTTACGGAGGAAATTGGGGCAGATATAATGTGTTGGGTTTGTTTATATTCTGGCAATACCGAGGCCTAACCAGACACTTATGGGAGACGAATGGGGGATATTGAGGGTCGTTCGTATCTTGAGACGAGGAGAGATATTCTTCTCACGAACCTGCCGCATTTCGAACGGCGTCTTGAAAGCGGACAGCATTTCCAGCATAAATGCGATTCACGCAATAGACTGAACTCGTCTCTTGCACTGCGAGTATACATCTACCTATCTACCTACCTATTAGTACAAAATCAGACCAATACAACTTTCTTCCATCTTCAGTTATTGTTGCCATTATCGATTATTCCTAGACGCTCTCCGGGTGTGCTGCGTCAAGGTAGAGTGGAAAATACCCATGCTATTCTACCATTATCGATCTTAGTCATGCATCCGCCTCTATACGTAGTAATGTGAAAATGCTATGACAAGAACCTCCTTCATCCATTTGCCGGGGTTAAATAAGACGAAGCGTACGCACAAGGCTATGTTCTCGCCATTGACGCTGTAAAACTATTAGCCGCCAACGACCGCTGGCCCTATAGTACCGTCGCAACGAGTAGAGAAGCGGAACCTAGGAGAAAACGCATTATCTGGTCTATCTTAATACACAACCTTCAAGTGGACTCCATACATACATACATACATGCATACTTAACAACAGTCCGGCGAGTCCAGTAGAGTATAGTGAATAGGTATTTACTAGTAGAATGCTCTGTAGAAAGCTTGATGGTATAACCCATCGCCCACACAATACTGGCACAGCTGCAGTCCCCGGTTGTCCTTTGTTGATGAAAAACTCTAAAACATTCGTACATAATCCGCGGAGGTCAATTCTCAAGAAGAGAACTTTGCTCCGCCGTTTGTGGGTGTTGGTTGATTGGATCTCGTCGGTTGTCCATTTTCTGCTGGCGTGAGATCCAATTGAGAGCAGCCAGGTTCAGTTCCATTCTTTCTTGCACAAATTCTTGTTTCGTCCTATCGTGCGCGCCCCTTGTTCCAACTTGACACTTGATGCATGACGCTCCCATCGCAGCCGTCACATCTCCACAACTGGGAGACCATTTAACAGTGTACATCAGTTTGGGCCTTGGAATTCATCAACAAGGCAACGATAAGTCCGTAAAGACCCAAGACTTCGGCGAAAATGAGAATGAGAATCATTCCGACGAAGAGGCGGGGTTGTTGAGCAGTGCCTCGGACACCAGCATCGCCAACAATGCCAATGGCAAAGCCGGCAGCCAAACCGGCCAGGCCGACAGATAGACCGGCGCCGAGTTGAATGAAGCTGGTAAAGAGAGCTTCCTTCTGCGAAAGGCTGTCGGAGATCAAGACTGAGACGACCAGGCCGTAGATACCAATGATACCAGCCATAATGACGGGGACGATGTCTGTATGATGACATGTCAGTTCTTTCCGGGTCTTCTTTCTCCTTCCTGGGCGGAGAGGGTGGAGATGCATACTCTTGACAATGAGATCAGGTCGAAGAACACCCATGGCGGAGATACCGACACCAGACTTTGCAGTTCCATATGCAGCGCCAAAGCAGGTGAAGACAATGGCGGATGTGCAGCCCATCGCACCGAAGAAAGGCTATTGAACTGGGTGTTAGTTTTTCTGCTTCTGTATATTGGAAGCTTCTTGGAGGAGATGAAGGTACAAGAGACGAGCATACCGCGTATACGGGACTAGAGACAAGGAGAGTCCGTCAGTAAGAAGAGATTCAACAATGATTGGATGCCGCGCTGTGTTGACTGGCAGCTCTGTCCGTGTAGCTTATCGAGTCTAGGGTGCAGGTTGAAAGCATGGGGCAAACTGACCAGAGATCTGAAGACATCTTGACGGTGATTGCGGGTCTGTTTCGCCTTTTGTGACTTGTCAACTAGGTCGAAGAAGATCGAGGTGGTCTATGGGAGTGAGGGAGCTGGAGGAAGTGATGGAGACGGGCAGGACTGATGTTTCTGTTGCTGGAAGAGCTGGACATCCCAAGCTGATGAGGATCGAAGCCTTCAACCTGCACCTGGGACTTGGCAGTCAAATAGAGAAATTCTGCCGAGCTCCGCCTGAACTTGTCGATTTCGTCTCATAATTATTTTCGGAGCACACAGTCCAGTCACCAAGTTTCCTCCTCCAAGCAAAGGGCGAGCCAACGCAAGGAACCCTTTGCCTACACTCAGTTTGATACCCCAAAGTTACACCCTGTACCAACACATTTCCATTTCACAAAAATGGCCGATAATCCATCTGCAGCCTGGCCTGTCGCAGACGAAGCCTTGTCACAAAAAATCCTCGACCTCGTCCAAAGTGCGTCGCATTACCGTCAGTTGAAGAAAGGCGCCAACGAAAGTTCGCTTGTTTCCCCTACACCGTCTAGCTCCACGGAGGACGGAATACTGACTTTGCAACAGCGACAAAGACGCTGAATCGTGGCACGGCCGAACTCATCATCCTCGCTGCAGATACCTCACCACTTGCGATTCTCTTACACCTTCCCCTCTTGGCAGAAGATAAGAATTGCCCTTATGTGTATGTCCCATCGAAGACGGCTTTGGGACGCGCATGCGGCGTTTCTAGAGCAGTCATTGCTGCGAGCATTACCACCAACGAGTCGAGCGATTTGATGCCTCAGATCCGAGAACTGAAGAACCGAGTGGAGAGATTGATGATCTAAGGAAAGAATGGTGGTGGATCTTTGAGCTTCGAGCAACTGACGTGGAAGATGCTGGACCTGGTGTATTGGAAGACGAGTCATGTGCGATGGCACTCTAGCTTAGGTGCGCTTGTGACGAAGGACAGGAATGAGAAGAAAGCATCACACAAGCTCAATCAAGCTAGTATGACAGGTTCGTGAGGACACAGAGCATAGCAAGATTCATTGAAATTCATTGATCCAGCGTCCCGTCAACGTTTCGGTCATTTGCTCTTCACACCCTATTTACGAAATTATCCTCCTGAGGATTTCGCACATGTTTGGCGCCCGGAGAGCGACATAGGAGACTCCCTTTTTAAGGATATCGAGTAGCAGCCAGCTCTGTGCCATGTGGTGGTTGTACCTGTGGGGTCCATTCTTGGACATTCACAGTGGGAGCATTGAATTGGGTATCTTTGTGCTTGTTCACCATGTTGATGATAATCACCGCTGATGCAACCGCGAAAAGAACACTGAGAAGAACATGTCAGCAAGAAAGGGCTGCTTCCCCTTTTTCCCGCGCGAATCAGATACGAGAGGGTTTGAGACAAAACTTACAATTCCACAGCCCCAATTACGGCGCTCGCCTGGGTCATCCCCAGTGCAGGCTTATAGCCGTCCCAGTAACTTCCGATACCAAGCTCGTTGATCCACAGGCCCAATTTTCTGCTGTCGTCCGCCAGGAGGGCGAAAGTGACCAGCCACCAGAGGGTGCTAAGGAGCTCGAGCACCAGGACGATGATCATGGGCTTGAATTTGGCGGCAATCTTGGGGAGCACGAAGACGGCGATGGGGAGGTAGACGACAGTCCACGCGAACTGGTAATGGGTGAGGTCCAGTCAAGCTGGAAAAGGGACAGTCAACGAACAGCGAACCAAGCGAACCCAAAACCTGGATACGGATCAACCTGAACGATTGATCAGCCCTTTCATTTCAAGCATCAAGTTTTCTGGGAATCTTACCAAATATTGAACATCAACGCCACCGAGGAACTTCGACGCGGCGACTGCAGTCAAAATGAGGATCAAGAGGGCGAGGGCACCCTGGGCAATGCGGAGGAAGAGAAACCAGCCTGGCAAGGCTAGCCCACCAGGTTGATGGCCGTAGGAAGGCATTTTTCTCCGTGGGGTCTTGTTGCACGCAAAGAGAAGAACAGCTTTTGGATAAGCAATGAAAGGCGTGTGGAAGTTCAGAAACGAGTGTGCGCAATGAGCCGAGAAAACGGAGAGGAAGTACGAACAAGTTTGTGTGTGGTCCGGGTTGGTATACCGTCTATTAATGTTCCGCCTTTTGTGAGACACCCACTGAGGTCCCCTCCAATACCTGCGTTAGCCCACACATCTTGAATACGAAGAGAGGATTTGCGAACTGGTCCCAGGGGGTCATCTGTATCTGGTACCTTCGCAAACGGACCTGTCAAGAGCGCCACAGGAGGGGGCCAAGGGAGAGGGGACCGTATCACTGGACTCCTCGTGACTGGGCGGCTTCGTGAAAACTAAATTGAACAAAGTCTTGTCAAACGGTCGGGGCGCACGGTGAGACCAGGTTCTGCCGTATTGGAAATGTGAAAGCCTAGGAGCCTTTGGAACTCAAACAGGTAGTAACCCTGTTCAAGTTGTGTAGGGGGGGGCCGAGGTCGGTGTGGTGTGGTGTTGATTGAGCAATTTCAAGTCCCGCCGAGTCTATGCTCAGAAAAGAGCCAAGCAAGAGGGAGCTTTCATCCTGTACCCTGTGTCTGAAAAAGGATCGGATCTTCGCTGTAAGTAAAGGCGGAGAAGTCTGTTCAACCCGGGGCTTTGAAGCTGTAACTGGTGTGGTAGGAAGGCCATTTTAAGCCAATGGCAGAGCAGGAAGGGAGACACCTGGAATTTCCTCTGGCGCAAACTAAAAGCTCTCCAAAGACACCGTTTCGAAACTTTGTTTAGTTAGCATGGTTTCTGTCAGGCAACGGAACAGGTGAAGGCGCTGCTTATTTAGCAGCTCCAATGAGCGGGAAATATAAACTTACCGAAAGTTTTCGAAAGATCAAGTCAGCCTTGTGAGGCCAAGTGGGCCATTCTCGCTAAAGTATGGGGAGCTTTCTATGTTTCCACTTGAACTTTCTGAATTTTGGTATCCATAATTCAATGTCCGAATGGGGTGATGTCCATTCTCGTATATAGATATCTCGGCCTGATGGTGTGAAAGCTACCACATGGAGGATGTTGTAACTTGCTGAGGATGAATGAATTCCAGATATTTTCCTGACGGGTAGCTTCGAGCCGGAGAAAGAAGACGCTGACGAGATCGGTTTCCGGTTCCCGTACCTGTCACACTGGAAAATTAACTGCAAGGCTCCCGGCATAGCACCCTACTGTTGAACAAGATGCCCTGCCTTCTAAGTGCAACAAGGATTTATATTTATTATGCGTTCGACTGGCAAGCCTTCCGGACCGTTGACCTGTGCCCTCTCAGTCCAAAGGCATCTTGTGACTGCCGGTCGCAATGCAGCATGTCTTCTTCATACAGTTCTGATGCTTGATATGTTCAAAACCACGATGAGAAAGAATATCCATACCGTGGTCAGAAGTCGCCCCAAGAGGTCTTAGCAGCTGAATCTCTCACAACATTACATTACTCGAGAGAGCAGAGATGTTCTTCCATCAAGCAGATGCTCGACCGTGAAATTTGAACCCAATCAGCAACAGGACCGGGCACGTCGGCGCTAGCATAGCATTGATAATCATCACAATGCAACTTTCCCAAAAACCCAGGTTTTCAGAGATCTCTTGCATTAACGGGCGAGAGCCTATGGAGTCGTACCACGCATTGGTAACAGTGGCTGAATCATTTTATGCGTATCCTGTGCAGTTATTCCGTTGGTTTTGTCTTCCGTGCTCTTACGGCGATTTCCAAACCCTCATCGATACTGTGCCTCCTTTCCACTAACTACTCTCGATGATGGATCATGCCGATCCATTTTGTCGTTCTCCACAGCGTATGATCATCCCGTCGCGTTAGACACACCGAATCAATCCATCCCCACTGTCACACAACACCCACAAGGAAGAGGCGTACCTACCTGTTTTGTTGTCACAGGCCCAGAGCCCGCGTGGAGATCCTTGCGGTTTATATTCTCCCTGGTCTTGACCCGCTCTTCCTTACCACAACACGGCTTTCGAGTATCGAGTTGAGGGTGCTAGATCAACGTTAGATTGCAGAATATTGTAGGAATAAAGACGGTACATTAATGAAGAATTTGTTCCACGCTCCAGAAACATCAGTGTTGTATAACGGCTTACTCAGGTCCCCTTCACAGTAATTGTTTCCGGGACGAGACTCTTCCGTGCCGGTTCCTTGTCATATACGTTGATACTGAGCGGAATCCCCGACTGTGAAATGCGAATCGGGTGATCGGGGAGACGCAACTTTGCCCTTTTTAGAGGAGAAAGCGATTTCAGACAACCCAGGAGAATGAACCACCAGTTCGCTTTCAAGACTTGAAGACGAAGTGGAGCTGGCAGGAGGTAACTTTTATTGAGTGCTTGTCGTCCTGGCTGACAATGGAAGACGCTTGATGCTCGATATTTGACCTCGTCGTATTCATAGTCTCGCGTAGATTCTCCTCTTGCAATGCCCTGATGACTGAAAGCGGGCCTTCTTGATCGGTAAATGCTCCTTTGAGATGTGTAGCGCTCTCAGTATTGCTTGCATTCTGTAGGAAGTGGTGCTTTTCTCTAAAGTCAACTTGCGTGACCGAATATGCCTCCTCCTCATCAAAGTCCCCACGGAACGGTGTGCTTGTATAAATAGTGTTGGGACCTTTCAATGCCGTAAACACCCTCGGCACCGAGTTCTGATACCCTTTGAGAGCTTGTCGCCCATTCAGACGTACATCTGTATGATCACCAGCTGCGAACAGTGTTTCAGCCAGAAATATGGTGTTATCGAGGGCAGTCCTGTCAGTCTTGCCGAATAATCTTCTTCAATCCGAGAACTTCTCCACCAATGCACTAACTGCCCTTTTTCAATCCTTTTGCTGAAAATAAATATCAAAAGGTAGTTGTAGAACCTCAATTCTGACACCGCCGTGGCGAGAGCAAGCTTGCGTGGCTTCCGGCTTCGACGTGTGTAGTCGACCAAGACAATTCCGTAGGGGACGTTTAGCCGAAATCAGATCGCCCGGCTGAAGCACCTTTTGACCATGCTGAGAGCCGTCGTATAAGGAGAAGTCAGCCTGTTGTGATCCTTCAACAGTGTGGGAATGCGTCCGTTGCTGCAATGGTTCACTTTCTCTTTTGTGGGAGCAGCAAGCCAATATCCAAAGAGGCAGGGGTTGACGCAATGTCACCTCTACGGTAATTGTGGTTGATGCGGAGGAAATCAGGTCTGCAGATGGACCGTGGCCACCATGATTCCCATGTCTCCCAACTGGGCTTGATGTGTTGCTATTCACCGCCAAATTCACCAGGGAAGCTATCCTGATACTGAGACCAAAGGCAAATGTTCGAATGGCCTGACGGATATCTTGAAAGTTTGGCGGTATTTGATCTGTAGAGCCCTAGAGAATTATCTTATTCCGGCTGGGCACTTAGCAACCAAACGCCAGTATCAGCCCCGGAGAGACTTACTAGACCATGGTTTGCATGGATAGCGATAACGCGTCCTTGTATGCCTGAATTGATTACGAAACACGTTGATTTGTTCCGAGGGTGACTTCAGTCTTCGATACCGGTGTGCTGCATTAAGAACAGAAAGTCTGAAATCGGATAAGTGCATTCCCACCCACGTCAAGGTAAAGTGATCAAAATCTTGTCGCGTTTTCTTGCGGGCTAATTTGGCAGTTGGTCCAAGATATCGATCATTGCGTGGAGTACCGTTTCGAATTGAGCAATGTCAGTTAATAACCCATCTCAGGTAGCGCTTGTAGTCCGCACCATGATGGAACGACTTGACCCTAGCGGCCAAGTAGGCGCAATTTGCTCAAAGTCTCGTAACGCCATTGATGATACTTAGAGGATCGTCATGTCAAGTCCAGACCGTGATTGAAGCTGCCCTTTATTGAATGATGAGGCTCAGCCGGACTCAATTCAGTCCGGAGACCATGAGAGCAGCCGCTGGCGGAACAAATGAGATGAGCATGCACTCCGGTGTGAAAGCGAAACGCGGCCTTGCGAGGGGCAATTGGTTCAGCAGAGGGATCAGATTGCACTTGGTCGCATTGTGGTTAGGCTGGAAGATTCCAAGAAGACAGAAAATGTACTCTGTATGCCGCCGGAGACGCTTGTAACCACACCGCATCGAGCCTGCTCGATACCACGACCAGTCGTTGTATTCGGAAATCTTCTCATAGCGCTTCGCCTTACTATCTGAATCGTAGGCAGCCATGAAAACAGCGTCAACCTTGATGTGAGCATGGTGCCTGGAAGGGATAAATGTTAGGGGAGGTAGCCCTGTACACTGCAGTTGGAATTTACATATCTGGCCCACATGAGGACCGAGGCTGAAAACACCTTTGACGCACCTTATTATTCCAAGCTTGTGGATTCGTCCCATCGAGAACGAAATTAAACAAGGGGCTGAACCCGGGGCGGCTGCCTCCGGAGGGCCCCTGTTTCAAAAGCTTCCCCGTTTGTCATGGTGCCCGTTGATGCTTCCTTCGTTTATTAAGGGCCACTCTTCTTTTCCACAAGAAACAATCGAAAGGTTGTGATTCACAGCTTGAAAGAAATATTCCATCACCATTTTTCCACGTGTTTCCCTGAGCCCGAAGTTAGATAGACAGTGCAAACACCGACGATGTTTACAGTCATGTGGAAGAGAGAAGAATGCAAGAATCCAGATCCCTCTGTGGACATTTGCGAGAAATACGTCACCCCATTTCAGACAACCGGTATACCAATTATTATCGGCTTGAGGTGAGTTGGATAAGTCTTCGGCCTCGGCTACTCGGATTGGTTATATTGATGATTATGCTAGCCTCTTCTTGGTCTTGTCCATCGTCCTGTTTGTCATCGTCAGAAGAAACCGAAAACGACAGCACGCTCAGGAAGCCGAGAAGCATCGACAAATCGATGATGATATTGAGTTGGAATTTACCGCACCTCCAGAGAGTCGAGGGCACAAGGAACAACGCCGCTCCCCAGACATAGAGAACCCATTCGAGCCACCACCGAAGTATTAGCAACTGTCAACGGGGGTATTTGCATAGACAAATGTTGAAGCCATTCCTAGCTAGCTTTCGACTTTTCAATCTCACGAATAATATCCTTCTCAATGCTCTCCGGCTTGGTCACGCTTCCCCACCGGTGGACAACCTTTCCATCGCGATCGATCAAGAACTTCTCGAAATTCCACTTGATCCTCTTCAGTCCCAGCAAGCCTGGCTTCTCGGCCTTCATCCATTCAAACACCGGTTCCGCTTTGTCACCGTTCACATTGGTCTTGCCCAGCACTGGAAATGTCACACCATAATTTACTTGGCAAAACTCTTGAATCTGGTCATTTGAACCTGGATCCTGTCCGCCGAATTGGTTGCAGGGGAATCCAATGATGACAAACTGATCTGGGTATTTCTCCGACATCTTCTTCCACAGCTGCTCCAGCCCGGCGAATTGAGGAGTGAAGCCACATTTCGACGCAGTGTTGACGGCCAAGACGACTTTGCCTTTGTGCTGGGATAGGGGATATTCTTGATCGCGCTTATCTTTGGGAGTGAAATCGAAGAACGTGGTCGCAGAAGCCATCGTGGACGAGGGCGCAGGTGGACGAGGGGAAGATTGAGAATGGACGATGCTTGAAAGCGATAATGCAGCGAGAGCTACAGATGCCGACGTGAGTACACGGTTCAAAAAGCAACGAAGATTTTGGAACAACTCTGGCGCAAGGGGGGAGATTTAAACCCAAGGGTTATTTGGAATGCGGAACGGGAGCCTTGCACCAAAGAGTTGCGTGATATGCTAGAATTAGGCAAGTCGGTCAGATGGTCTGTCCTTGTAGAGGCAAAGAGTCTTGAATCGAGCAAAGATGGGGTTCGTCCAGGGTGTATCATCCGAGGCATGTGTCGTCGCATTCGGGGATCAATGGAAGGTGATGCAATCGTGCGGCACTTTGACAAAGGGAATACGAATTTCAAAATCTCACATGGGATCCAGCTCCATTTTCGGAGGGAAGAATTTCCGGAATCACGTGTGCATGATCACATGATATGCATAAATTTACATGCTCAAGTCACATGACATGTTCACGTGCGCTGTCTCTATCGGTCCGAATTGTACGTCACACTCGACTCTCACGAGCACACACTTCCATAAAACCCTCCTTCGCCACCCACGCTCAAATCTACCACTTGAGCCTCACCTCGTCAACTAACTTTTCCGAGAAATCTGGCGCCCACAGACTCTGATTGGACCGGAATTTCCCAAAGCTCTCGCTCGCTCAAACTCTCCCTCACTAATTCGACCCTTGACAATGGTACGGCTGGGCTCTGAGCTGGAATGCGGGGTTATTATGCTCTGGGAAGGCATGAATCTGGCGACCTCGAACGGTTCTCGAGGGTTTGACTTGACGAGGGAACAGTTGTGCAATGAAGGTATTGTTTAGCGACGAGGTGAGTTTCAGCGACGTATATCTGCGAGTCCTTCGCATCGAGAAAACATACCTGTCTCTCTTCTATCCCTCGGACCAAACGGACAATTTCAGTCTTTTCTCTTTGAGAAAGAATTCACCAGCCGGTTTAACCAAGCGAATCCAATCCGTTGAGCCTCCATTTTCTGGTACTACTTACTCAGCCTGAAAGCGATTACATATTCCACCGCCCCTCTATCGCACAGCGAACACAAGGCAGAGCTCTCATCTCTCGAGCTCCGGAATCTGCGTCACCCTACATCGCGTGGTCACACTACAGTCTAGTCAGGTTTCATTGCCGTATTTCGACGACAACGTAGGGTTCTTTTTCTTGACCCACTACGAATATCACTACGCACCCACAAGCCAACTCTTCCCAATCCAAACTCCCACACCGAATAGGGAACAGAGGCCAGTACGGAGAACAGTACCAGAGTGTACAATATTTCCAGGACACTATCCTTACTCACCACCCTCACACGCGAATCGGAGGTACCCACTGGCGACAAGGGGTCCCATCTACTCCTACGGCCCATCCACTGCGTCTTTTCTCAATTGCACCTAACGTTTAACAAACAATAGGCTTACCCAATCCAACACCGCTCCACCACCCCCACAAAACCGGAACCCTCTTCAATCCATTCCACCAACAAAGAAAACGCCACATTTCTTTTCCTCCTCAACTCTTCTTCACTATGTCCGGCGCGTTCACCATGCCCCACGCCCTAACAGGCGGAGCTGGCTACTAGGCGAATCCGACGTACGACGAATTCCTGCGCAAGCACAGCGGGTTTTACCGGCGACACAGCGCAGCATCGAACGCGATGGGGAACGACCGACGGGCGTTACATGCAGCATCGGACGAGCACGACGCCGCGGCAGCGGCACCACAGGCCGTCGAGAATGTTTCAGCCGATAATGCTCATCGACGTGGCTCCGTCACTGTGGCAGAAGGTGGTGCCGCAACGGCGAACTCGCGCAAGGGCAGTGTCGCGGTGGCCAGCAACGTGACTAGGAAAGACAGCATCTTTGGTCTCGAAGCCACCGGCGGCCAGAGGATGAGCGAAGAGCGCAGGCCAAGTGCCTCTCTTGCCAGCGACTTGTATCATAAAATGAAGGGTGATCGCAAGTAAGTGAAGCGCTCCAGGAAGAGGCTTTGATACTAGATGTAGTAAGAGCATACCGTGGGCGAGATGGCGAAGCAAGATCAGGAGCAAGACAATAATAGGCTCAGCTTCTAGAGGATCCTCGGAAGAATTACCGGTCACCAATCTCGTCAAGGTCTCCTCGTTATTTTTTGATACCAATTTCTAGCTGCTTTGAATTCAATATTCACCTCTACGAACATCCCGTTGATCTAGTAAATGTTTGAACCACAACTAAATCTTTGTGATTTCTCCCACTGTTTCCGACAATCATTGATCCAACCTCCTCCTATGCAGCGTTTTCGATCCGGGAATTCTTTTATCCTTGCCTGTTCCACAGCTCTCCTCACGACAGAGATCCTCATGCTTCATAGCTTTGAGGGTTAGTGTGACCACCCAGTCGGCACCGCGCATCACGTAAAAGACCTTTCGGGCCTCTATGTTAGTATTAGACTGCCAGCTCGTACCGTTGGTAAGCACCATTAGGTAACAGTGGCCATTTGTCTTTTCTACAATATATTTTTTATATCCTGCCCGAACAGGAAACGAATACATTCCCTTTTTGTAAACAATTTAGTTCCCCTATAGCTCGTCATTCATACCCTGCATCCGGACTAAGTGCCTATAGTAGTCTCGGGCAGTATGTAGGCCACACATTTCGTCACCGGCGTTTGTGATAGTGCTTCGCGTTTCTCAGCATGTACTGCCGGGGGGGGGGGGGAAGAGGTATCTGCATGCTTATGTTTTGAACCACTCAAAGGGGTTATCGGATCCCGGATATCGGGATTTGGCCGCTGAACTTTACAAAGTCGACCATGCTCTAGTGGGTCTGAAGAATGTAAGTTTGGATGCATTTGTTTGTGGATTCGCACTGCAGATCCTCAAGTCGCCTTACCTGTGGGTTAGGGGCGACGACTTTCTCTTCTCTTCTCTCTCTGCACTTAGGCGTTTGATGAAAGGCAGGTGATCTCGTTTCGAGGCTTCGGAAACTAAACCAGTCGCACAAGGAAATGACTTTGAGAAAGTCCAACGCCAATTCTCCATGGGTCAGCCGCATGATCAGGGAATACAGGACCATTTTCTCAAAAGGGGGAAGGAGAATAGGCGAGGAGACCAACAATACTCATTTCTCATTCGAGTTGTTTAAATGAATCATGTTGATTTTGGTAGTACGGTCCATGGAGGCATCGGAGGAGATCCACCTAGGCTTTCGCACCATGGAGTAGAAACTGGAAGGAGGTTGCAGACACGGTTTCGATGACGAAGCGATATCGATTCATTCGGGCCATGAGACGATGCAACCTATTTGGTGTGAACTTCGCTCTTGCTCCGGCGTGAGCTAGCCTTGCTTACCTGCTAGACCCCTCAAAACTTTCCCATCTGATGTCGCTTGATAAGACTATGGCACTGTCTCCATTGGAAGCGAACCAGAAGGCTGCTGGGAGCCGTGGGACATGATCGGGTCAGAAGTTGAGATTGTCTGGTCTGTGACTTCCAGACATAAACGTACAGAGTCATGAGAGCAAATAACACGAGGAAAGAAAGAACGTGGATTGAATCTGGTATGAATATTCGATCCCATTACTTATGCCATGGAACTACAAGACTCCTGACAAGATGCATGAAAACAAGTGAAATACAGCAAGACCAAAAGCACGAACATGCGGCCGTTGTGTCTTTGCTTACGATCATGGATCGTTTGGGCCTCACACCTCCCATGAAATCTCATTTCCACCGGTTGGATTTTCTGGTTCCACACCATCCCGTTGCCTGTCCACTCTCCTCTCCTTCGAAAATTTGCCAGTCAATGGCTTGACAAACGAACAGAACAAAGTATTATGTCCTCCATCATCTTTGCGAGACAGGTCAATCAATCACCCACAATTGCCGAGAAGGAGATATGTACAGCGAGGAATTTTTTTTGTGCGGCTTGTCCCAACATCGAGCGAAGCAGGTCGAATTTCTTGCTTCGTCTATCATCAACTTTCTTTTTTTTTTTTTTAAAAAAAAAAAAAAAAAAAATAAGAGATGGTTTCTCTCCCCTTCATCTCTGATCGATCGTCTCTCATTTCCTGGAAATGAAGCAAACAAGCGCGCATGTCCGCCCAAAACGTACACCATTTTCGCCGACGCTGACTAAATGAATCGGAAGGATCGATTTCCAGTCCTTATTCCTTCTGGATAAATGGTTGAGTCGCGAAAGAATCCCAAGTAAGACCTCATCACTTTTGGGGAAGGGCAGGGGCTGCATCCTGGAAACTCGTCACGATCTCATTTTGTTGGTTGGATTCGAATCAATCAATCATGCCACCTATGTGGAAGAGCAGATGGAAAAGTAAAACTGGGAAAGCTTTTTGTTTCGGTGTCATTACAAAACAAGTCGTTGAAGATTCTTCTGGATCAAGATGTCCTGGACATCTTCCATGGTCGCCTTGAGAAGATTAGTGTCCGTGGCGTTGGTGAAATGGATGTAAATTTCTCGGTCACTGTTTCGGTTGATGGATCGGAAGCGATTCGCAAAGAATTGCTTGGACGCTTCTTCGTCACCATCCTTGCCGGTATAATCCGGAAAGTGCGTGGACAGAGGAGAAATAGGGAGTTTCTCTCGGAATAGATCGATTTTGTTGAGGAACAAGATGATTGGCTTGTCTTTGAACCATTCTCCGTTGACCAATGATTCAAAGAGCATCAGAGCCTCGTGCATCTGGTTGGCATTGACGTCCTCAACGAGGCACTGATCATACCCCGACAGAGCAGCCATGAAAAGCAGACACTGAACGCCCTCGAAGCAGTGGATCCATTTCTTTCGTTCTGACCTTTGTCCTCCAACATCCATCATGCGGAAAGTCAGATCGCGAAGTTCAAACACCGTTTCCGTGATGCCGGTCGTCCGTAGTCGAGCGTGGAGCATATCTTGGTCATTGGGGATCCAGCTAGGTTCAAACATGCGCTCGATGTTCTGGAAATAAAAGTTGAGGTTGTCGTGGAGGGCAAACTCATGGCCTTTGGCAACCGCTTTCTGTACACCTGCGTCCTTCCACAACGTGATCATAGATTCTTTGACTCTCTTGTCTCGGAAGGCTTCATGCGCATCGACATCGGCTTCGACGTTTTCGAGGAACTCGGCATGGGCTTCATTGGCTTCATCTTCAAAGTCGATCTTTTCATCCTGCATGATCTCGTACAGGACGCGGAATGCGACGACGACATTGGAGTAGATGACGGCTCTGACTTGTACTCTTTCGTCATCTTGGAAACCGCTCGAGTGAATGATGCGCATTTGTTTGATGATGGTAGATTTACCCGACTCGCCGGCACCTGGTGTCACGATTAGCACCGATGGTCATGCCCGAGTGGCGCGACGCGCAGTCGCATACCCAGCAGGAGAATTTTGACGGTTCGAGCCTCCACCTTTCTATCATGGCGCAACTGGCGCTCAATCTTTGCATTTTGTTGTGATGCCTCCTTTTCGCGAGGATCTATCTTAGACCCTGTGCACCCCATCTTGGATGTGATCCTGGAGCTAGCACGAGATCGAAAGGATACAGACGTGACTGGATATTTCGAATCAACGCGGTCTCATTCTCAAGCCGGAAGCGCAGTATGGTGTGATGGTAGCTGATGCTGAAGGTTTATTGATGCTGGGAAGTGAATTGAGCAAAGCTGTTGACGGGGAGTTAGATCGCCCGATGGCGGACGGAATCTGGTGGAAATTTCCAATTAGAGAGCTGTGGATGTCGTTTAGCTTTTGGGCTCGTGGACGAGCTCGAAAAGCATGTCGGCACTCACTTGGTCAGGAGCAACTCTCTTCACTCTCACTCACGATGAATTCGAGGATGCGTCGACGCGGCGACCGTTTTGTGTCTGGCTTACCCTTGACGGAAGGCGAAGCAGGCACACACCAATGTACGGAGCAGTTATGGACGGGGACAGACTGCCTTAGCAGAAGGGTTGTGCAGAGTATGGGCCGTGAAGGTCAGTGCGGGTCAAGTGAAAAGTGGAGTGGGATAAGGGCAAAAGTTCGAAGCCTAAAAAGCTTCGAAGCCCCCCAAAGAGCGTCTCTGCTCCTCTACAGACCGCCACCATAGAAACAAGTTGGAGCTTCGAGGTGCCCTTGGGCCCTTGATTTGACCGGGGAGATCGGACCCCAGGTTAATTCAGCGCATTCAGCACGGGCAGTTCTTCAGCCAAGTCTGGGAACAGAACGATATGGACGAATGAGACGATGGCAGGACTTTGATAAGCCTGGAGGTGGAGATCGCTAATTCCCAGGGGGCTGTGTTTCCGTAAGGCTAGGGAATTAAGGGATTAGGGAGAGGACCTCGAGGTCATGATGTGCCCACTTAAATCATCTGTTTTCCACATTGCTCCCTATGATGTTAGACCTGGACATGGTGCTGGTAGTGCACCGGATCAAAGTACGTCAAAGGAGCCCTTCAGGGGCATGCAATTTATTCGAGATTGAAGACTGAAGATTCCACGGAGGCCGTATTCCGTTCCTAGTGATATACAGCTGCATTTTCCGTACCGTGGCATGCATGCCATGGTAGTAGTTCAACAGCAGACGGTCGGGGATTTGGCAATGAAGCGCCCCCCTCGTCGCCTCAAATAAAGTTGACCTGGGCACGCGATTCAGAAACGCCGGCGTCACCATTCAAGGCCCCTTGACTGAGACAGAGAATCCTCCGGGTCACTGATATCCTGTTGAAGCAGAGAATAAACCATAGGATTCGGTCGAGATACGTACGTGCTTGATATGTGGATCTGCTTGCTCCGTCAAGAGTGTTCTTATACCATTCTTCCATGTTTCTCTTTATTCAGATGCGCCGGTCAGTGATCAATCCTACGAAAGTCACGCAGGAGGCCTGCAGGTACCTCACCCCTTAAGCTCGTCTTGCGGCGTGAAACTTTGGGGTCTCCTATTCTTTTCTCCTAGGCCACACATTGTTATTCCAGCTCCCCATGCAAATCTTTGGGTGCAATCTCTAGGGTCCGGGGAATCATCGCTCTGAATTAGGAGGCGTCCTCTGGCAAAGAAGATGTAGGACCATGAGCATTGGAAAGCCTAAATCGCCGTAACTGCCAAAGGAGTTCCAGCGGCACCCCGATCATCTGACGCAGAGAGGCAAAGCTGCCACATGGTTTGCAAGGTTCAGCCCGAGGTCCACGTTCAGGGCCAACCGCAGTGGAATAATCGAGGTTTCAAGAGCCAAGGCTGCGGTCTACCCCGCCAAACTTGAACTTGAAGCGCAGAACAGGAAAAAGTGTGCAACGCATCCGACGCGACACATATGGCAACATATCTCAACAGGGTTTTCGCGTTCCGGTGATCTGGTTTGCAAATCCACTCACTTCTGTTCTTGCAGCCCTCTGTACTGACTCGAGTTTAGATTCCTATTTAGGAGAACACTAGTACCACGACGACCTTTCGGGTCCTGTGCCTTACAAACCACTTCCGCCCTCAGCCTTTTTGCCTTCCGCCTTCCGCTTTGAATGCTCTTCTGTCTCTCATTACCATGAAGCATTGTTTTGGACAACGGCCAGGAAAATGAATAGCATCACCTGACACCTCAATAAATTTTTGGTACGGTCTCATTGGTCACCCTGCCGACTCCCATCATGAGATGCTACGACATAAACAATCACCCCCGCAGCTTTTCCCACAACGCAGGCGGAGCAATTAGAAAGTCTATTATTGTCATGTCTGATTCAGCGAACCTGAGATCTGGTGATCTTGAACCGCTAGACGGAGATGCCTTCCGCTCCCCGCTCCCACTGGTGTCCCTCTGACATAACATTTGCTTGCATTCTTCCGGGGCCCCAGCTAATGTGATGCCCCTGCGGCCTCTGGTACAAAACATATAGAAATGTGGCGACTGACAACATGGAGTCAACTCGAAAGCTTAACATATCGAAGCTCATGTGTGTGAGAAGACATCTACCCTTTGGATTTACTGATACAATCTAGAGAGTATGGTACTTTGTCTACATCGAGTATCCACTTTCACTACAGGAAGCTAACCAGCTTGACGGGTCATGTTATGCGTGGCTAGATGTTTCGTGTAAGGAATTGGTGAGCATACTGTAAGAACATTGGAACAGAATTGATACCTACGCAACGTAGGGTTCATTGTTTAATACGAGGGCATCGCATTCAACCAATACTATAGGAAGCGAATTGTGTTAGAAGATCTCGTGTTCTTAGTGCATGGCGCTTCCGTCGTTATGAGGATTTTACTTGCTCTGTCGGCGAGTGCCCGTGGCTTCGGAAATAGGATGACCTCCAAAAAGTGTTTGGACAGGTTACCTAACAAACTTGTCCTGCCTCGAACAGGGAAACGTCGCTTAACTCAACTGTTTAGGACGAATATGCCGATCACTTCGCCCGTGATTGCGAAGTCTTCGCGAGGTGATACTGGAGTCACATCGGCGGATTCTCGAGACCCTGAACTCGGGGTCTTTTCCAGATAGTATCCTGTTGGATATCCTACTGCACATAGTACATTAGGGACCCTCAACACAACGTGCTGTTTTCCAATGAGTAGTAGGACATTCGACTAAGTAGTGCGCGATGACTGATAGCAGCTCTTCCGGATCGTCGAAGTCACTGACTTCCTTGGCTCTTGGAAGGCCCTGCTCTTCTAAGTCATCACCAATAGAGATCAACGAGGGAGCTCAGCAAAGAAACCTTTTTCCCTCCCTCCTTACTAAAAAGCCATCACATACATCTCGTCCGGGGAGGGATTCTGGCAGTTCCACATAGGGTTAGCAGACGGATGTTCGCGCAGCCGGCACCCCAGTCGAAGCAAAGTCCGAGAGAGTTTCCTGGAAGGACATACCAAGCCAGAAGATGCCAGTTGAAGTTAATGAGGTCATTCAGTGTTGGCGAGGAGTAGGGTATCGATCAACCCACATGAGAAGATGTCGAGGCGTGGCTACTCGGTATGTCCTCTGTCATTTCTCTGCACAAATAACTCTTGGTAGGCTGGGCATGCTCGGTTAGGACAGGAACCGAAAGACAGAAAGCGAGGGCCCCGGCGTCGCCCCGATATTGGCATGAAGTTTTGCCGGGACATATACCCATTTGGGAATATGTCTTTCTTGGCCATCGCAGGATAGAAATCTCAGCTCTGGACGTGGGCGAGCGCATGACCGTCGGGGTTTAGAAGACAACTTCAATCCCTGTCGGACAGCATGCCAGCAGGCCCATAGATCAGGGCTGATTGGGCAAACCGTTTACCCAGATTCGCGATCGACCAAGTTTGATCCCCCGAAGACGAACAGGAGGCTCATATACCCACTACGCTGAAAGTGGAAGGTGGCCTCTCAACACCCATGTCTCCAAGACGCGTGGCAGAATGGATGCCGGATGGGAACGAACTTTAAAAACGCCACAAACTTCCGAATAAGGAAAGTGCCCCAGGACTAACTTTGAGAGGGTCACGATCACCTAACGAGCCAGTCGGCACCCATGCATACGAGGTCCTATACATGGGGCCTAAACACAAGATCCGTCCAGGCGCCTGGGATTTCGAGGCGGGCGTGAGCAGCATTGAACGACAAACCCATGAACAAACGCTTGAGTCGCCAAGTTGTATCGGTCAGCAGAAAATGTATTACATGAGCAAGCATCTGCTGGAAAGCCGGGGTTGTGAAAGGTGCGTTAGGCAGTCCAAGTTGGTTTCTGCCCTGTGACAGCTCTTGCTGGCATTGATAATGCCGTCGCTGCTGTTGCTGGACAAAAACCTCAGATCACTGCATCAAACGAACGGCCCAAGAGAATTCCCTTCCTGAAATGACTTGGCCCGAGTAAGGCTAGTCGAATCGTCTGATAGAGAGGGATGGGGGTGCCTGAGTTTCCGAGAACCGCGGGACTCCCGTCTAGGAGAAGAACCTGCACTACAGATAGGATGCTCCGGTTGTCGGTTCGATAGACTCTGAGGATACTATACCTGGCAGTATTTCGCTTTGGAGATCGCTTCATGTCCGTAAGGATATTCTGTGAGGGACGGAGTACCATTACTTTGGGTTGTAGGTTCCAGGAAGTATCTGGGCGGTTGAATGAGATAATTCATAACTTGCGGCATGGGTGCAGTAACCTGTGAAGGCCCTGGTCACCGGCGGCAGAGAAAGGAAGATTACCTATTTGGGCAGGCGCCCTAGCACCTATTGGAGAATTTTTGCAGGTCACCTTCTAGAGGATCCCAACTACTTTGGGCAAGTCCCCGAAGCCCTACAGTCACAGCGTGGTTGCGTCTAACCTCCCAACGGCTCATAATACCGCCTTCAAGCAAGCTTGTGTCGTTCCATTTTCTTTGTCTTCTCGTAACACGTCCAATCAGATCCCTCGGCCCCCGCGTTCGTTGACAACGACAGGCTCAGAAGCCTCCACCATCCCCCAAGCCACTCCGGTGGTTCTCTCCGGCGTTGCTGACTGCATTCCATTGCTTCCAACCTGCTTCCAAAACTCCTGGGTTTCTACGTCCTCCCCAGACCTCTTCTGGTAGTGGGCAGGGCATGCCCGACTGGTCGGACCGGCGCCTGGGGCGTTCAACCCAGCAGGGATCTGACCCTGCTCGTATATTTTCCCGTCGGTCAACCATGCTGCCAGCAAGGCCCTGTTGCGATCATTCAAAGGTGGTGGGCGAACGACACTGCTGTGACAATGGCAGAACAATGATCCTCGTTCTGCTGCACTAGCGCCGTCGGCCCTGGATAGCCGCAATCAGATTCCCGGGGGGAATTATATCTTTACCATCCTCCAACAACTGACCACGGACTTCCGCCGCATCTGACATTGATGATAATATACAAAACCACATCCCGACCGTTGTTTCCTGCCTTACTCGACGCTTACTCAAGTTCCAGATCTCGTTTACACTCAAGACGAAGATAAAGGACTTTGATATTCCACCTTGAGTTGGATGACGTCGCTCTGGGGAAGTAATATCAACATGGACTTTGGATTCGTGAGCTCGCCTTCACAGTCTCCAAGTCAATCCCTCTTCGCCGTGGGGCAATACTTTGACAGCACCTCTGAAAGCTCTAGTCCCAACTCGCCCCATGTCAGTATAGCTTTCCTGAGTGCTGAAAAGCCGTTGACCTGACCTGTCGCCTCTCAGATGAGTCAAATCATGTTCAACAATGCGCCCATGCAATATGACATGTTCCAGTATGGCGCCACCCCATCCTCCTTCTATCCTCCCGCCCAGAGCACCAAAATCCCCGTCGAATACAACAACACAGCTTCTCTCGACCAGACCGATCGGAGGAGACGACGCTCCGGTAGCACTTCGGCTCCAGCCAAGGACAAGGAAACCATTCCCAACATGCATTTGGTGGGTGACCTCGCATCCGGACCGTTCGGCATAGCACTGACACTCGTAGCAGAGACGGCGTGCACAGAATCGGGCTTCTCAGAGAGCATTTCGAGAGCGAAAAGAGAAACACGTCAAGGGTCTCGAGCATCAACTTGAGGACCTCCACGAGAAGCATCAAGATCTGCTTCAATCTTACACTCGACAAGCCGATGAAGTGACGAAACTGAATAACAGAATTGCTGAACTCACTGCTGAGTTGACTGCGCTACGGTCATGTCAGGATCAATCCTTCAGCGAGATGCTGATGCCCGACAAATTCGACAAATTCGACGCCTTCTCGGCACACGACATGCTCTACAACGGGCCTGACTGCTATTTCGACAAGAACGCAGTTGACCTCAACTCCGAGTTTGCTTTACACTCGTTTGAGGATTCATTGTAGCATATTTCACTGGGCATGGGTTTGCATTTTTTATTTTGACTACATGGTGTCGGGAGACGGGGGTGAGATACCAACCTTCACAGGCGGCTATATTTTTCTTCCCCATTGGATTTGTTGTCGATGCACTTGAGCGAGAGCGCGCACTGCGCAGGACTGAATGGGCTCCTAGTTTTCAGGCTATTAGCTTTTTTTAAACGTGTGATACGCTAAGTCTCCCCTGGGAAAAAGAAAGGGCTAGGAAAGACTTTCTGCTTTGGAATGAGCCGGTTTACTACAAAAAGCCCACTTTGGAATCTAGGATATTTAAATATCAGAAATTAGGTACATCAGAGCACGGCAAAATTCGTCTAGGTATCAAAGAGCATCTCTTGTCGGCCGAAAAGTCCATCGACATCATCCTGCATGTAGGAGAGGCATTATTAGTCTAGTGTACCCGCAGAATAAGAAGCGTCAAACAAAGTGGGCCCCGGGGCCGAGTTTTCCGACCGAAGTGGGGGTGGGTATTGAGACAGATTTCTCCCAACAGCAGAGGGCAGTCGGAGAGCACGGATTAGATTCTATTCTCAGAATCATTGCCGATAGAGAATAGCAAAGCAGGTAAAAGCAGGCTGGTTTACTCGGGTCTTTTGATGCAAGGAATATTTCCCCAGGTCGAGGACCACATATAGTGTACACAACAGGGTGATTTCGGCCTTCCGTCGTGTTTGGACTCCAACCATAAGTCTTACCAGTTGTCTAGGCTCGAGTCTCGTTTCCTGGGTTTCAAGACAAGCCGGCAATATTGCACTTGTAAACGACGCGGAAATATTCTGAGCGGACAAGATCTCCCGACTTTAACTCAATCACAATTCCCGCCTTGCGTCCTCCGCTCATTGCCCTGTTTAGGAACTCCCGCGCTCATTTTGACTTCAACGGCGCTAGCGGGGGAAAACGGTAAGATGAATGCACAACCGGAAGGCTGTGACAGCGGCCAGTGGTTGGTCTGGCAATTGATCTTGCTCGTCCAACACTTTGTGCAGGTGTGCCTTACTTAGGCCGGAGCATCTTTGCATCTGGCGATACTTCCCGTCTGCGGGAGCCTTATAGTGCTGCTCATAGCACGGTACAGATACTTACTGTACTATAGAACTTTCTCCATCTCTCATCTCTTGCTATCTACTCTGACAACTTGACAACTTGTGAGCCAGTGCTGAGCGGCTATTAGAAAGATGAACCCGGGTGAGAGTTGGTCTCGACGGGCATGGTCCTGTGCCCGGAGAGTTCTCCAAGCAAGCTCGAGGATAACCCTAGACCACACGTGGCCGAAAGGTGCGACAATTGTCGACAATCACACCCGTCATCCCTTTCAGACCAATGGGAGTTGAGATACATCCTCCCTGAGAAATTCATGCGCTTCGGACGTACCAGTCTGGTGGCCCTACTGGCAGGCAGCTAGGATTGGGCGCCCTCCTTCAGGTAGAACTAATGCTCCCGCTCACGCCAAGCCCCGTCGAGATCAGTCAGCTTGCATCCGCAGAGCCCTCTTGGACATGCCAGTACGAGACACAACTCACTCTGGCCCGTTGCCTTGGGGTCCTGCGTTCAGCCTGTCGAATTGGGCCTGTTGTGATTTCATTGGTGACTACTCGACAATGTCGCATCACTAAGGAAACCCAGCTCAAGGTGGTATTGGTTCCCTGTCCTTTGGTTGCCTTGAGATATTGTTTTATATGTTAAAACCGCAACTGATCTGCAAGCCCCAATGCCTGGATGGCATGATTCACATTCTCGTTTCTCTGTAGCGTCTGGCGCTCATCGCCGCCTACGCTGAGAAGACACAAATGCTATGGTCCTTTTCCGGACGCACACGAACCCTCTAAAATTCATGGCGTTGGCCATTTCCCCCTACGAGATAACGACGTGGGCTGAGAAGGGGTTGAGTGATGATTCATGCTACGTGCAAACCATTGGCATGACTCCATCGGTCTCGATTCACGGCAAGATGCATGACCTCGGATTCTTTACACAGGACGACTCGAGATCAGACAACGTGGCAATGACATCATCGTGCGCGGCTTTGGATATGGTCGGTTCTCCGTGTTATGACCAAAGTCGTCTGCAGAAGACCTTATTACGGTATAACACTCCCATCGACATAAGCTTCCGCTCAGAGCCGAAATCATGGTCGGAGAGCCAAATCGGCTTTGTGAAGACGCTGACGATAGTCATTGCACAGAGCCTTGTGGCCACTGTCTCGAGGCCGCTGTACGAAAAGTCAATGGGTTGACTTATGTAATATATTGGTGATAAGACACCCCGCTAAAAAATTTCCACTCCACCGCCACACAGCTCAGGTCACCAGCCTCACCGGTGCTCTGTGGCTGGTGAACGTCGGCTTTTCTGCATTGGGTAAGGACCGTCAACACGGTCTGGAGACGTGTTGGGGGATGAAAGTAGAGAGCCAGACGATATAGTTCACAACGCCGTTTTGAAGTTTTAACCTGTGCCCTTTTTTAGCTCTCTCCCTACAGCGGCCGACACACCCTCGGATTCCTGCGCCGACACGATCGATAGCAATTGAAGGAATGGTGGCCAATTCATGAAGCACCAGCAAGCCCCTTGCCACTACGCGACGACAAACAATCTCCGATGAATCTTACTCTCCCTGCTGGACTTCGATTGTCCAACCTACTGCTCCCTACAGCGTCCTCCATATACGCTATCTCTCACTTTGTGCAACCGATCGACCAACCATGTAAACAATGGGCTCCCACCCGTATGGCCTCCGAAGCAGGCTGAACACTCAAACCCCTTCCTTGCGCACGACACCAACAGCCTCTCCAGTTCTCGCCAAACCAGGCCCTGGACTTTCTCGCAAGACCCGACCTTCAGACGTGACCCTAAAACTGGAAAGGGTCATTGGGACTACTACGAATAGTCCCAATGGATTGACCTGTTGTTCAGCTACCGATTCGTATGCGTACTGCGCTGGAGCCGTTGCGGTGCTTGCGAAAGTCGAGTCCGATAACATCCCTTCACACCGATACTTCAAAGCTCGTCCGACTGCACCCTCCTTAAACCCTCCCACGTCTCATTATGAAAGTTCGCCGGCAACCACACCGTCAAAGAGGAGGTCTGCGTTATTCACCCCACGGAAGGGCCAGGATGATTACAATGGAGGCTCCTTTGGTCGGGAGTGGCTGGAGGAATCCGGTGGCGGCCAGACATGGACTGCCAGAGAACGGATCAAGACTGCATCCTGCGTCTCCCTGAGTCGAGATGGTCGTTGGCTGGCAGTGGGAGAATCCGGGTATAATCCACGGGTTCTGCTGTTTTCCACCGCTGAAGATGCCTCCTGCGACGTCCCAACCTCCATTGTGAGCGATCACACTCACGGCGTGCGTTGTGTCGCCTTCAGCTCCGACATGAAATTCCTCGCAACCCTAGGCAATCTGAGCGACGGTTTTCTTTTTGTGTGGTCGATCAATGCGAAGACAGGTCAATTGGCACTCCATTCTGCCAATAAATGTACCACAAATATATGTGATATGACGTGGTGTGGCAACAACTTAATCACTGTGGGCACACGACATATTAAAATCTGGCAAATTAAGGACCCCTCGAAACAATCTCCCACCCGAAGGTCTAGGTTTCGGCCAGCTGATATTTACCCATCGAGCCCCGGTCCCGCGCCTCTGCAAGGACGGAACTGTCTCTTGGGATCCATGGTGGACTCGACTTTTACGTGTGTCGCTTCCATCGATGAAACTCTCGCCGTGATCGGTACAGAGACGGGCCATCTTTGTTTGGTGGACATATCCCAAAATATGCTCGAGTTGAAAGTGCTAAAGAAAATGAATTTCTCCATCACGTCGGCTGCATTCGTTGCGGAAACCAATCGACTTTTGATGGGAACATCCCAAGGTCTTCATTCGGAGGATTTTGATAGCTTAAGGAAGCTGGAAAATCAGATGGCCCCGAAAACTCCCCAGCGAAAGCCTTCCCGGCTGTCGTCCATACGACGTTCGCTAGGCTTGCTTCACCAGACTGGTCGATGTGTGATGGCGATTGGTACTCTATCAGACCATACTATTACGCTGGACAATGATGGAAGTCTGCAGATACAACGATATGGCATTGACGAGCAAGACCAGTTCCAGCCGACATTTGCGGCGCATAACAGCGTTGTGCTAGGCGTGCAAACTCTCCCCGAGTTAGCTGCCTTGGGCCATTTCTACACCTGGTCCAAAAATGGTGAAATCAAGTTCTGGAATTCCGATGGCGTGCTGTTAAATCAAGAGCATCTTGACCTCGACGAGACCGACTCAGATGGGGAGCATTGTGAAAACGAATTAAGTCGAATGAGATACTCGGCGAATGTGGGATGTTTCGTCGCTGGTGATCGGTTTGGATTGCTGAAGCTGATCAAATGTCCAGACTGGCGAGTTGTGCATACCATCCGGGCCCATAGCGCAGAGATCACAGGTATGACGGTCCATGATCCCGAATCTTTGGCGGCCACGTGCAGTAGGGATCGAATGGTTCAACTCTTCCGGATTGATGGTGACCACTTTGAACTTCTACAAACAATGGATGACCATGTCGGATCCGTGAACCAGGTATTGTTCGCCCAGCACGGAGAGAAGTTGTTTTCTTGCTCGACTGATCGATCCCTGATCATCCGTGACCGTGTATTCAGGCAACAAGACGGTGTCCAGACTCCAGCATATTTGTCCACCAAGGTCTTGACACTCAAAGGCTCTCCGTTATCGATGACAATCTCGGCCGAAAATATGCTTATCGTATCGACGATGGATCGTCGTGTCACCCAGGTTGACTTTTCAACAGGCACTTTGATGGACTCATTTAAGGTGGGAGATTCTGAGAGCGATGACACAGTCTTCCTGAACTCTATTATCTGCAGCTCGTCAGAGGCCACAGATGGTTCCCCAAGGCTCCTGATTGGATACTGCTCCATGGACAAATCTATTCGAGTTTACAACGAGAAAAATCTCACTCTCCTCGGTCGAGAATCGGGCCATACGGAAGGTGTCAGCGATATCAATTTCCTCGATCAATCTGAGGACCAAATCACCGGTCGTCGATGCACGATCGTCAGTACGGGATTGGATGGAACCATCATGATTTGGAGTGTTTCCAAGACCCTGGCGTTGACGGCTCAGGACGCTGTACCAGAACGAACTCAAGGATTGGGCATCTCAGCAGAGGACTCTGAGATGGCAATCGCCAAACCAAGTCCTGCTTCCTTACCGCCTCTAAGAAAGGTCCTGACAAAGTTGGATGTGGCGGAACTTACGCGGGCAAGTGGGTTGGTGTCGCCGGCCTCTCCTCGATCATTATCTCCAGTCCGATTAAAGCGGAAAACATCCAAACTTGCTCTTTCAACGACCATGGAAGATGTTGAAGAAACTCCAAGCAAAATGGGTGAAGCTCCCGTGGCTAATGGCCCATCACCGAGCACGGAGAAAACAGATGCTCGACGATCTCCCTCTCCCCCCGTTCGAATGTCATCCAGACCTAAGAAGCAGCGATCTAAAACAGAGTTGAGCAAGGATCTCGAGTCTAGAAGAACAGGGGTTTTAGACCGGTCACCGTCACCACCTCCTCTACCTATCTCTATGCCATCCACACCAAAACATCGGCAGAAACCAAACAACAGTCGATTGAGACGACCACCATCCGTGCCTTCGGACCTACGTTCCCACGCTCTCGCCCAAGGTCGCCGTCAAAGTATGAGCCAGGCGTCCGATTTTGGAAGCTTGGGAATGGCCACAGAACAAGCGTGTCGAATGCTAAGAACGTACAAAAAGAAACTAACACAGAGCAAGGAAGCGGTGGACCTCGATGACCTGGAGGACGAGGTTGATGGCCTGTTGAAGATCATACGGGAAAGGAAGGACAGGACGCATCAGGGGCAGTCACGAACCCAACATCAAGAGACAGGTGCTGCGGATCGAAGAGCGAAGGCGAATGCTGTGACCGCGAGTGAGGTCAATCAGCTGGCGGTTTTGCTGGAAAGGTCAAACATGGCTGATTCTCCAACGACATCGACGACGACGGCGAAATGCCAAGAGGTCTTGTCCTCAAAAGCATGATTTGGATTTCTTTGTGTTATTTCTTTTTCCGGAGCTCAGGATCGAGAGGTTTTGAATGGATATGTAGCTGGACGTGGAATTGAGGGACGATGGGACAATCATAGACCACTTCATCCTCGGGATTTTGAGAGCTTTATTTCTGGCACGGACAGGATTGATTGGAACAGAGCAATTGGACAAGGCAACGGAAATGATACCAGACACCAACCAAGCAAGAGGATTGGAGATCAGATGCTCGATCGGGGGTCTTTTCTCCAGCAGCATTTGGCTTGGGGAAATGTACTATTTGATGTAGGTCTATTCTTATATGTATATATGTATATACCTCTCTAGATGAGAGATGGAAGCTACCTAGCAAAGAAAGAGCGGAAATGCCGTGCTCTCCTCGAGGTCCTAAATCAGCGTGCCACGAGGCTGAACGAAGCAGGGGCTTGACTTAGCAGCGTCTTGTTCAACGCACTCTATCTCATGATCTGCGCCACACTCGCTCCCCGCATAAATTTACGTCTTCCTCCAATTCCGCTACATGACTGTACATTCTTACCTTCGGGCCCTGCGTTTCTGTTCTACATTTCTGGGAAACCCTCGACCAAAGATTTCCTAACTGCGTTGTTAATTGGAGCAGAATTCATTACCTCATCATTTGAACCTGGCCATAAGGCCGCCTCCATTCTCCAGCACGGCGCGAGGCAAGGAGCAACAAAGCAAGCAAGAATGACCTCTGAATCCCCAGAGGAGATGCAAACACACTTATCCTTCCTGAAACAAGCACTGGACCTCGCGTCCCTCTCACCTCCCAGGCCAACTAACTTCCGCGTCGGTTGCATCATCGTTTCTCAATCTCCCTCCCCTAACTCGTCAGTGCTCGCGACAGGCTACACGATCGAACTGCCCGGTAACACGCACGCAGAGCAGAACGCACTCTCCAAACTCGCGGCCCAACATAGCGTGCCAGAGACACGACTGAACGAGATCCTCACGCCCGAATTGAACGCGGTACTGTACACGACGCTCGAACCCTGTGGGAAACGACTGAGCGGCAACTTGTCGTGTGTAGAGCGAATTATCGCTACGCGAGCAGGCAGGGCTGCGGCTAATGAGACAAATGGAGCAGGGATCAGAAAAGTCATCTTCGGCGCCAGAGAGCCAGGTACGTTTATTCAGGATTCGAAGAGTCTGCCGCGTCTGGGTGAGGCGGGGGTAGAGTGGGTTTATGTGCCTGGTTTGGAAGAGGAGATTTTGAAAGTGGCCATGGCGGGACATGACAATAATAACACTAGTCCTGAACGGTCACAACAGCAAAACTCAGAATTCGAAATGAGAAAAGGAGTAGGGATCGAAACAAGGACACAAGCTCGGACGCAAACAGAATCGGAATCAGGGACGAATGTCGACGATATCACGCCCGAAGAGAGGAGGAGGCAGGAGGCTTTGCCACGGAATCCGAAGAAGAGAATGATGGAGGTCGATGTGAATCAGTGATGTGATCCTGACCTTGAGTCCTTGAGGATCAAATCACTCTCCGGTTTACAAGTGCCTTTTTCTTCTTTCCTCTGACGGCGATCCTCATGGAATGATCCTGATGACGAGGCAAACAGGGACGTGATGAGAATAAAATAGAAAATGATTGTGGCGTAAAATGGTTCTTCTCCCCATGTCAAGACCAAGACCAAATACCTTGAATGTTGGTCTCTGAGGGTTTTCATTCTGTATCATGCCAACTCATCTTATGTTGAGCAAGTGCTCGTTCTCGACCTCGGCCTCAATGTCAATCTGGTTCTGAATCTGATGTCATCGACTGTGCGTGTCATGTCCTCATAATGTAACTTAACATCCCATCCCGTCTCCCCACTTCCCATTCCCTTGCTGATGCTTTGTCTAAGTCCTAAACGTCCCTAAACACCAAGATTCGAAACTTGACGGAGCATGAGCATTGAAATCCAAATAAGAATGGAAGCGCGTATTCGATGACCTTGTCGTCGGTAAGTGCTCGTTTGGGAATCAAGCACGGTGTCCAATATCGATGCATGCGGAATATCGCGGCCATGCGAAATAAGAAATGTGAGTCTTTCCGCCGTTTTGAACATCCTTTCGCCCTCACCCCTCTTCCCACCTCCTCCGGTTTCGCCGATCAACACGCCAATGTTGATGCCAATCAACCCAACCAACCGATCAATCAATCCTCGCCTGAGTCAAGCTCCTGCGTTTAATCGGAATATTGCTGGCGGTGAGATTATTTGTCAGTCGGATCTTGGTGCTGCTCACTCGGACTTGGGAGCGAGGCTTTTTCAGCCTCTTCCGCGCCACCATCACCGGCACGGAGGATTTCGTGACAAGGTAGTTCGAAAAGGAGCCTAGAAGAACGCCTTTGAGAGAGCTACGGCCCCGCGTGCCCACGACGCAGAGCGTGGGTTCAAGTTCATCGATCTGCAAGAAGACTGTGAGTTAGACACAAGATACCGTTTTTAATGACCGCACATGAGAGCAGACCAGGGCTGCTGACTTACCGCACCAAGAATCAAGTGTTTCGGACTCTTACAATGAATCACTTCAATCATACACCGGACCTGGAGAGTCGTCTTGCGAACCAGTTTGAGGAAATTTTGCGTAATGTCCTCGACGGCTCTCAAGCGTTCCATTTCCTTTTTGGTTACTTTCCTTGCGTCGACGGAGCCAGTCAAGCTCTCCGCCTCCGTGGCTGGGACGTATTTATTGCCCGGGCCTAAACCGACACTTGTTCCACCTCCTTGCGTGGTCTGCCGGGTGAGGGTATTCATGGCCTCAGAAGCGTCCTTGCCAGCTTGGGCACCCTCCGCTTGGAGAACCTCTCTCTCGGCTTCGGTGACTTTCCCGGCCGATTCGTCCTCGATGGCGTAGATGGCGAGTAAAGTATCGCCGTCTCTCAGCATGGTGCCTACGACCCACTCCATGGCGTAGCTTGCCTCCACGCTTAAATCGCTACACACCAGATAGAGTCTCGCCGTTCTTTCGCCGGCTTCGGCTTGTTGGTGAAAATGTATCCAATTCCCTCTCAGGATCATTCGGACATGGCGGTCGGGGACTCGAGAATCAAGCGGTGATATGTTCAGAGCCAGAGTTTTCGCTTTGTTGATGGCGGCCGTATCGTCATCGTCATCATCTGCCGACGTCACCGATCGAGAGCGGCCAGCAAAATTTGTGGGCGGGTGTATGTCTGTTTTTTGGTCTGATAGACTCTCCCCGGTGGGACTGGTGATTGAAATGGATGGTTCGAGTAATGACTTTACGGATTGTTTCGCCGACGGAGGCTTCTTTTCCTCCTCGGGGGATGCTGTGCCGTCGGAGTCAGTCGATTTTGCTTTGTCTGCTGCACTCGCGTCGGAGAGCGTCCGTCTCTCTGATCGACCTCTAGTCTCATCCTCATCACTACTGGGAGACATGACATCTTCGTCACTACTCTCGGCAGAAGCCTCCTCGTCGCCGACACCATCCTTCGGAACTCTCCCCGTGCCCTCTTCCGCATCGTCCGTGACGGTCGAGCAGCTGTTGGACTTATTTGAGAGTCGACGATGAGCCTGATCATCCACCACCGTCCCCGAACGGGTCGTCAATCGCCCAGGAGGACTAGATGGGCTCAGAAAACCGGACTTGGGGTCCGGTTGCCGAATTCGAGATGATGGGGATCGTGAATGTGTGCCAGTGACGGCAGTAGAATTGTGTCTTCCCGGCCCGGCGTCGGAGAAGCCGACGTACAAGAAGGAAAAGTCTCCTGACACCGCGGCGGCCATGGCTGCTGAACCCTCACGCGGTCTCCTGGTCTCGGGGGGGGACCTGGTGGAAGCTCCTGCGCTGGAAGGCATGGCCGACATATCAAACTGAAAGTGGTGTTCAAATCCACGTTTATCTTCATCTTGTATCTTAGGCAGACCCACCGGCCGATCGGTTTCCAAGGAAGGTCGTTGTCGTGTGCTCACGGGAGAGCTCTTGGCGAGGACCGGGGAATTCGGCTTGCTCGTATGCGGAGAGGTGTAGGTTGAAGGATCCGAAGGGTCTAATTTGGACGGTCTTTTGGATTGAGAAGGACTCGTCACTCCGACTCCAATACCTGCTATGGAGCCGTGTCTCGGGGTGGGATAATCGACATCGAGCATACTGCGAATCGGTGGCGGAGGAGTGGCAATCCGAGGAGGCTTGACTTTCGACATCGGACTGGAGGGTCTTTTGCGATCGAGGGCCGCAAGGACTTCTTTATTCTCCTCGTCGAGCAAAGCTTCGAGGCTCATAGGGGCTCGAGACCTCGATGGCGGTCGGTCCATATTTTTGGCGGAAGGAGAATTGGTAGGGACGTAGTGCGAGGATCAAAGAAGCCGGTTCAGAGACACCTGACCACAAAATCGCTAGTGAAGACGCGTGCTCAAGAGAAGAGGAGAATCACGACGTGGTAGAAACAAGACATGGCGGGCGCCAGCAGATCGAGTTGTCCGTGTTTGAGTCTACGAGTGAGAGTCTGTTGCTCTATCCTAATTTGAGCAAAGACTGGCGAGGGCCAACGGCTGGCAGAGGGGACGTTGTTCTTGGCCGTCTGTCACCAATTACCGGTGCCATGCCAATGCCCGCATGAGCCTGTGACCGTACCTAAGCGTTGATGTCTCCAGACCCGTGTGGGGTTATCGACAAGCCCAAGGGAGAAAGGTACACAGCCTCTGCCTAGAAGCACTACGGCACCTGCAGAGGAGGGAGGACGAATACGAAAGGACTGAGGGAAGAGCACCCCGACATCGAGTGTCGAAGAACCACACATATTGGGCGCTTGATGGTCTCGAATGGGTAAAGACTACATCTGGCACATGCAAGACATTTTTAATCCTTTTCCTTTCAAGAAGAAGCGAAAAGTGGTTTGGCGAGGGGCAACCATTCTTATCGTTCTTATCGTGCCACCGGAGAAAACATTTGAGGGATTGCTCATCCGTCATCGTGCTTAGTCCCCGCTTGGATGCGCGCGCGCCCTCACATGCGACACCCCCATCCTCCCCTTCATGAGTTCGATCATTGGCTCTTCAATGTCGCAAGCTCCAAGCTCCCAGCTTTCCCACAAGAAGCTCCCCTCGGCATTGGCCTTGGAACTGGATATCCGGGGACGGAGCTCAACCTTGAACGGCTGACGCAGCAGGCCGGCTTGCTTCCAACTTCCATGCTCTTGGAATGCTACAAAATCCCCAGCCTTCCCATTTTCTCGCGTCAGGCTGACCCTCTCTTCTAGTTCTCCGACTGCGACCATGCCTGTCTCAAACGGATTCGTCGTCTTCCTCCCCCTCCTTTCTCTCCTTGTCGTAACATCTGTGTCTCAGAATTCGTGTGGAACCGATCAAAACCCCTATTGTGCCGGGAATGATGTATTTGAACAGCTTTGCTGTCCTTATCCCAATGTTTGCTACTGGCAGAATCGCGATGGGGCTCCTGGCTGTTGCCCCGCCGGACAAGTCTGTGATGGCGATACTCCATACTACACCCCCGTTTCCACTTTGCAACCGACGACCATCACGGCCAGTCCGACTCCGACTCCGACTTCGACTCCCGCTCCCACCTCTCAGCGTACGGTGGTTAGTACCTTCGTCGGTGGTGGAGGGGTCGTGGTGGTTACTTCGCAGAACAATGTTGTCACCACCACCACGGACGACGGGAATGGAGCTTATTCGACCGTCACCTCCAACATCGGCAGCGTGTATTCTACCGTGACCTCCAGTGTCATTGGTGTATATTCCACGGTCACCTCGGTTGTGGGAGGTGCCTATACCACCGTTACGTCGGATATAGGCCAGGGCTTTGCCACCGTTTCCGGAGTTTTGGTGGCCCCCGCCCCAAGGTCATCCATGATCACGCTTGGGATGCCTGTCATGGCTTGCTTATTGGTGGTGGCCTGGAACTTCGTTGGATAGACTGACATGCAAAGTCGATCCATGGACGACGATTGGTGGGAAATGATTTCGACTTGGATGATTGGACATTTCCTGTCCCGGGAGATGATGGGCCGAATACAAGAATCACCCTATGTATTCCTCTTCAATTGTCCAGGCGAAGCAGTATCTGCTTGGGAAGTCTCCGGAACTGAGATTTCAGCTCTTGATGTTCCGATTCCTATGATGAAACCATCTCTTCCGTATCTTCTTCCACGATCATCGGATACCATACCTGCTCGGGAAGCGAAAAGGGGATGCGCACTCAATGGAATCGGGGGAAGGGACACGACGCACAATGCTTCATCAAAGCGGACGTGATGCGACAACAGCCGGAGGGGACCCAGATACGCCTATGACGTTACCGAAGGGGAGAGGAATATCGCCGACAGCAACCGTGAATGACCAGTAGCCAGGCTGAGGAGATACAGAGGAAGTTGTGACCAATATCTCAAGCTTCAGGCGTAACGTCAGAGTTTGACCATGCTCTCATCTCCTGGATCAAACATTCAGCTAGCAACACGACTGCTGAATGCCATATTGACGGAAGTACAAGTACCCGAGACTCACCTTTGCCAACACATTATCAGAAGGCACGTCGCCACCCCATCGATCTTTAACCTTGCTCATTTTCTCCCCTTCCCCTTCTCCAGCCAAGTGCATCAACACCTTACTATCTGTCACCTGCTCTTTCCCGACGGTTTTGACCTTGTACCGGCACTATAACTTGATTTCAATGCGAATCCCGGCGGACACAACCTCAACCTGCTCCTGTGTGATATCGCTTATCATGACCCTCAATCCATCCATCGAGTCCTGCATTGTTTGCGTCCCGTTGCAATGATGAGAGGGTCGTGAAACGATGTGTCGTCCGTCCACAGCGAGAGTCTGTGTTTGCTCGGATGTCCAGCGAAGAGATCCAAGACAGAAGCGGTGAGAAGAGATTATCCAGGAATGAGGCTCATGCCTGATATTGTAGGAGGTCAGGCACCGTGGATTATATATTCTGCAAAGGAGGGCGGTGCACGCCAGGCGTTAGCTTGGAGGTGAAAGTTGAGGTCGAATTGACCGTGATAGCACCGATGAAGTCGCTTTGGATGACAATAGCTATGGTGTGTGGGGAGGTTTCGAAGATGGTGGGCGGGATGGATGCGGAGGCTTAGATATGACCTGATATTATAGGCCTCCAGGACACGGTGATGGCAGGTAGGAAATGAAATGATGAATGAATAACGACACAAGGATATTGATGACGGCCAGGAAGGATGATGGGACCATCGCATAAAGATAACCCGTCCAATAATCGTACACTCCTGACATAGAGTTCTCGCGGAAGAAAAGTCGTGGTGAAAATATCTATTTATCCATGACGTTGCTGGGGTTCATTCACCATGCACGGAGCAAGCATGATATCAGGGAGGTCCCTTTGCGTTGATTAAAGTAGAATTTGCCCTTTCGTTCCCTCACCCTTACAGCCTTGCAAAGGTCGACATCACCAACAGGCACTCCGTGTCAGTCCGTTCAAAGCCCCACTACAAATAAGTAGCAGAATAAAACATCCTCCACCTGATCATCTCGCTCCCGAGCAAGGCACATCCTCGTTCCATGCCTGCAAGAACCCTCTCCTCGACGTGATCTCCCAGGTGAGGACATTGCTTCAACGTCTCTAGCAAGACAGCCACTCCCTACAGTCTCGCCCCTGATGCATCTGCTAGAACCCACAGACGCAAGGCCGGCACTAGGTCCCAGTCAGACTCCTCTACCATGGATAAAGCCACGCGCAGCTGAGCGTGGCCTCAAATGTGATGGTGCACGTCCATTAGTGTAGCCAACGCTACTCCCTGTTTCTTGGCCATCGTCCGGCAAAGTCATGATGCGGCTTGCAAGACCCAGCACACAGCCGTCGTTCAAACCGCACCAAAGTGACGTGGAGAAAAGTCTTCTCCACCATGCTCAAGCCAGCCACCGGACGTGCAAGTATATCGTCGCGCACGACCTGGATCTCGCGCAGGGGCTTTCTGATCTCTCGCCCGGCGTCACTCGCGAATCGCTCTTGCACTGGTTCTAGGTGCGTGACCGGATCTGATTTCCACACGTGTTCCCAGCGTGAGAGGTGTGCGAATGGTAATCCATCACCAAAGAGTTCGACGTAGAATAAAATCGTTCCGCTAATCATCCGCTGCAATAGAATCCCAATTATCCGAGCTCGGAGAGAGAAGCGAGTCCGTCGCGCAGTTGTAACAATGTTTCCCGCCTGGCCATGTATTGCACCGCCTCGCCGCGAGTGTGGTAGGCGAGCCCGGTGTTGATCAGTATCGATACTGTGGTGAGGATCTCGTCCGTGGCAGCAGAGCCGGTCGCGAGGGGCGCGTGGACCATTTTATAGCACCGCGATCTTATACTCGAGGATCCGTGGGTTCCGACGCAGAAACGTCTCCGCGTCCGCGCCTGTCAGGTTCCCGCGGAAATGCATCCCCCAGCAGCACAAGTTTGTGTGGGGCAGCATCGGGTCGTGCATCACGAACGGGATCCGTGCACCTTGTCCGTTCACAGGACAACAGGGAATGCAGTCGTGGTTAAGCCAGCTTGTAATTAAGATCTCGTTCCATAGTGTTACAGAGACGATGAGTGCGTTGAAGACGTCCATTCGAGAGGCACCGTGCGATTGGGTATAGAATGTAGGTGCTGCTTCTTGGAGCAAAGGAACCCAAATTGCATCGTCATTCGTACAAGAGGTGATATTGTGCTGAGATGACGGAGCTGTGTTGTTGGACGATGGGGATTGACCCATCTCTAGAACTGGGATACTGTTGATTTGACCGCTTACCTTCCGAGTTGCTATCAGTTTTTGCTGTGCACAGGTTCGTGGATGGACTTTGGTCGACATCTGTCTTCGATCTTGCACCGCCGGCTGTTTAGGTACCAGGGAAAATGCTGCCAGAGTCAACATCTACCACATTCTTTCAACGAGGAGAGAGCGAGAAGAGTGGAGCTCTAGTTTCTCTTCTCTTTTCGTTGGTAAGATTCTGTACCCCTGCACTTTATCGGCATCTCCTGTTGACCGTTTGAGCTCGAGAATGATGGGATTCTTTGATTGTCTTTTGATCATACCTGTGCTTCGTCGGGGTCGAGTGTTTCGCCTCTCAAAAAGTCGGAGACTCTGAGAGATCGAGTTGTTTTGCGCGACAATGAGACCTATCATGGTGAGTAGTATCGGCGTCAAGCACGAGGTTAGGTCGGTTAAGCTGAACCTAACTTTACTTCAATCACACAAATAGGTAGCATCAAAATACAACCTCCCTCCTCCCTCATGCAAATAGAGCATGCTTTCGAATAAAAGCAACCACACCAAAGACTCGGAGCTCACCGACACATATAGCTTCTCTAGAACCCGTTGCTTTAGAAATAGATTCGGCACGTTCCCACACTGTAATGTTGTTCCGCTTTGCCTTCAGAAACCCACGGCCTCGCCTTGTCAGCGCAGATGGAAAAGAGACAGAGCATTGGCGCAGCGAGAGAAGTCCAAATGCCATTGGTAGGAAATTCAAATCAGCGTTGTTCAATCTTTTGAACAGTCACAAGCTCCATGCAGTGCGAGCTTTATCCTGACCTTGATTGAGAGTAGTTGAAATGCTAATGTCCGGCTTGGACATGCAGCCAACGGCTACTTTGTCCAGATCGTCATAATTGGGTGGAAAGCAGAGAGGAGAGGCTGAACTGATGAGCAGAGTGTCTTTGAACCGTTGTGCTAAGTCGGCCGCTAATGACCCTCAAAGTAGTGCTGCAAGTGTTTTAACAGGCTCGAAAGCTTCAAAATTGAATGACGTCGACCGACCAGGCCTTGGTTTCAGGAACGCGTCTTCTCTCAATCACTTCATACCGTACTCGTTTGACTTATCTACCTCTATACCGACCTTCCTCTATTCGAGTTTGTCAACTACAAATACGCCCAACACTCTCGACCCTATTGGTTCATCGTCCCTCATCTCACTATGCCTCGCAAGGCCAAACCCACACCTCAACCGACCGAAGACTTGCGAGCTGAAAACGGTGACGAACACCACGAAGGAGATCTTGCAGTGGCTGACCCCCCAACAATTAATCCTTACGCTGTCCTCCAAGTTTCGCAAAGCGCCACCGCCGATGAAGTCAAATCCGCCTATCGCAAGCTCGCCCTCAAACATCACCCCGACAAAGTACGGCCCGAGGACCGCGAGACCGCGCACAAGACGTTTCAAGAAATTGCGTTCGCCTACGCTATCCTTAGCGACGAAAGGCGTCGCAAACGCTACGATGCCACGGGCAACACAGCCGAGAGCGCCAACGTTGACGATGATGGTTTCAACTGGGTAGATTTCTTCCGCGAGCAAAGCGAGAGTGTCGTGCGCGGAGAGATGATCGAGCAAGTGAAGCGGGAGTATCAAGGCAGTGAGGAGGAGAAAGAGGACGTGTTGGCTGCGTACGAGCAAGCTGAAGGTGATATGGATGCGGTGTTTGAGTCCGTCATGTGCAGTGACGTCTTGGTCGATGAGGAGCGATTCAGGAAGATGATCGACGAAGCAATTGCCAACGGCGAGGTGCAGGCGTTTGACCGATACACGAAAGAATCGAAGAAGAGCCGGGAAAAGAGGAAAGCGAATGCGAAGCGAGAAGAGCACGAGGCCAGAGAATACGCACGTGAACTGGGACTCGAGGACAAATTGTTCGACAACAAGAACACCAAGACGACAAAGTCCCAAAACCGCGTTGAAGAAGACGACAATGATGCGCTCAAAGCCCTCATTCAACAGCGTCAACAGAGCAGGGCACAGAATTTCTTCGATGACTTGGAGGCAAAGTATGGCGGAAGCCACACGAAGAAGGGTAAACGTAAGGTCATGAATGAGCCGCCAGAAGAGGCATTCCAGAAGAACACGAAAAAGGGAAAGAAAAGCGCAAAAGCCTGATTCAACCCAGGTAAGCGATGTTGATGCTTCTCGCCGTTATGCACGGGGGTTCTACATAACCAACAAGCGAGGCGTTTTGGATGAAAGATGGGACTCGACCATTTTTGTTCCGACAAACCCTGGGCTGGCATGGATAGTTGTTTCCCACCAACAAGGAGCTTATGAATTTCACGAAGCATGGACAATGAGCATTGGGAGCAGGCATTTCGATGTAAACATATCGAATCGTCCTCGGCACACATCTCACTTTGGTATGATTGGCTAATGGATCTTGTTTTCAGCGAGTCGAATTTCAGCGGATAGTTTTCGGCCCAACGAATGCAAGACATCTGCCGATAAGGTCACATTTCAGTCTTGACAGTGGCCACGTCCTTAGAGCCAGTGACTCTGCCGGCTTGCAGATGCCTGCAGCGCCGCATACGTTGAATTGAATTCTCAATTATTTTGCCGACAACACACGCCAGTAATATTACGGCCAAGGCCAGTCGAGGAATGCAAACGATATACTAATAATAAATTAACGCAGTGCACTAGAAACGAGACTCAGCAGCAGTGTTCCCCCGTCCGAGGCCAACCGGCTCACTCCTATTTGGACCATGATGCTGCGGTAATGAGGTAAGCCACTAGAAAACCCACCGAATGCACCAAGAACTTCTTAAACCGGGAACGGAAATAACACCTAAAATGCGTCTTGCCGCCGGGGCTTGTCCCAGATCCCAGCACGGATGGGCAATCGATCGATCCGCAACACAAAACTAAGTTGGGAAAAAGAAAGACGACGGATGAAATGTCAGATGCGTCGAGTCAACCAACCAAATGTGATTCTTGTCCATAGTCGTATGACACACGCGGATATTTCTATGATGTACGGGCATCCAACAATGCGCGGTTGAGGGTTTTTATGGAACGCAAGCCTGAATTTGAACGAACTTTTCATGACAGGGCTCACCCTCAGGCGGGAGCCAGATCTGGAAGAGGAAAAAAGCGGAAGAGAGGCAGGGCTCGTCAAGGGCTGAGACGGCAATTCGGCGTGAAACTTGGAACTTGACAGGGGGTTGCGAGAGGGTGTAAGCGAGGCGAGACTAAAAGAACCATGTTAGTATGCGTTCAAGCCCATACCCACATCCATCACCAGAAAGTACGGTGATTGTGACTTCGGCTCTGAGGCCCAGTCTCCGTTTGGGAAGCGTAAGTTTTAAGCGTGGCATTCTGGCGGCCCATCTGAAAAGTTGTCAAATGCCAGAATCCCAAATGCCAATGATCTGGATGAGCCAGTAGACATTGGTTGAAATGAATGATGAGAAATCGGGGAGGTGATTGGGGCAGATGTGACGACGGTGATGCCGCCATTACCTGCTGTTGGAGTCATAAAGTCAACTAGAGCACCGAAGGTAGTTGGATGAATGGACGAACGGATGGATGAGACAAGAAGCTACTGAGACAGAACACAGCGTTGGGGATTGGATGGTGCTCCGAACAGCAGAGTATAGGCAGCAATATCATGCCATTCAGTAAAGGCCTGTAAGGAACCGAGTGCCCAAGTTAGTCGCTTTGCTGGTGCGTTGGAGGACCTCAGAGTCGGGGTGGCGGCTCTCATGAGAAGAGTTCACGTTCCTTTTGGGCCACGTCTTGGCAGTCCCCTTTCACAGATTTTCTCTAGAAAGCAAAACCGCTCGCTCCCAGAACTGCGTTTCTTGCTTCCACTTCCTCAGAAATTCACCCCTTCGTAATTCCCAGTCGCGCCTCTCCATCGGTGAGGCCCATTTGGCACTGTCAACGACTCAGTTGTCGTGCCTTATTTCTCCCTCTTCAGCCGGGTTCAAATATTTTTTCCTTCGCCGCAAAGCTCCGATCTCAACCCGTCGGAACTTCCTGCTTCTCGAATCTCCCCTCAGGATTTTCTCCCCAAGGGAAAAAAAAAAAAGAAAAATCCAAACCACCTCGTTTTTACCATCTCCACCAGCACAATAGCGGCTTCCGTTCATTCGAGACAGTCGCCGCTTCGTAGCTGCTTTTCGAACAAAGTCATCCATTCTACCGTTCATTCACCTGCGGGCTCGGGCGACTTTTTTTTTTTCAGGGAAAGCTGTGTTTGTCATCCGCTTCGTTGGCGCCTTTTCGGTCAATCTCGCGCGAACCTTTATTGCTGCCCGAGACTTTTCATCGCATCTGATGACATCCACTCCCCAGCAATCGTCTACGAGCCGATCCAAATCTACCTTTGCCGCCGCTACAAGCGCAGCCTCAAACTTCGCGACAGGATCGAATTTGGCTCCTCCAGGCCGAACATCCTTTCCATCGGCCCCCGATTCGTCCTCTTCTACACCAAATGCATCGGAGCCCAACGATATGTCTGCAGCAGTTGGAAGGGCTCCGCCAACACATGGTCATAGCGATTCTGTGAACGGAAGAAATCCTACCATACCTGCGATTCCCTCTGTCAACGGCAATGCTCCCATTCCTGATCATTCACGAAAACCATCAATGACCGTCACACCTGCAGGCGCTACGAGTTTCACAGCAAACGGAGGTGGCCCTCAGAACAAACCGGGAAATATCGTGTTTGGTTCATACGGAGTGGCCAATCCGGCTGGTTCCCCGGCGATGGGCACACCTTCTTTGGCACATCAAAATACATCCAACCTCAGCGTCAATCCACTCAACCCTCGAGTGGTATCCCCTTCCAATTCTCCATCGCCGATTCCTCAGCCTGTCGCTGCCAGTGGCGGTCGTCCTCCGTCCACGTTTCAAGGACAAGGCAATGGATATACCTTTGGGCAAATATCCGGGGACCCAAATGACCCAAGTGTAAGACCGCACAGCCCCCTTCTCAGATTGCTTTCTGACGTGCTCTCGCAGGGTCTGGCTCGACCTATGTCTCAGATGCAATTTGGACCTCAGCAAGAACACATGAGACGAGGCTCCTCACAGTCGGTGCACAGCGATGTTGGTGGTCCAGGTCTCCCGACAGGGCCGGGCCGTGGCGGCTATCAGGGCCAAGGTGGTCGTGGGAGAGGTTTCAACACGTCTTACAACCAGCCCATGCAGTACCCTCCTCCGTCATTCCGCGCAGCGTCGAACGGACGTCCTCTGCAAGGTGGATATCAAGGTCGAGGTCAACCCATGCCTTATCAAGGATCTCCCGCCATGGGCACCCGGAGCCCGGCGCTGGTGAACGCAACGCCCGGAACGCCGAATATGGGTCCCATACATATGGTACCCGGAATGCAAGGACAACCCCCGAATGGATATTACATGGGGGGACCCCAACATGTAAACAACCACCACCCCCCATTTTCTTGTTCCCGTGATTCTGCAAGAGCGAGAGGCAAACCTACGCGAGGTCGAAGTCGTGGCAAATGTCAAGCTGGTCACGGTAAAGGCCCTGGTAGAGGTAGAAATGAGGAAGGACCCTTTTACAGCAAAGATCCCGCCTCCGACTACTATCGCCCGGATCTTGCGAATTCACCGCCTCTCGTTGATTCCGTTCCCCCTCATGTCTTTCTTTATCCCGATCTTTCTCCCGAAAGTGGCAATTTTGAACATTTTCTGACTGCGAGAGCACAGGGCTTCGGTGTTCCGACCCAAGCTGATCCTAGTATTCAAATGTTGTACAATCAGCAATACTATGGACCAGGAGCGATGCAAGGTCAATTTCCTCCCCCATACATGCAACCGCAATCGCCCCGACCTCCCTTCCAACAGAACGTCTATCCTCCAAATATACAACCAACCTACAGTAATCAAGGAGCCCCCCCCCCGTCAATGTCCAGACAGTCATCCCAAATGTCTGCTCCTGACCGACCAGGTTCCAGCGTCGGCCAACAGCCTCACACTCCAGCCCCGTCGGGTCCTTCGCACGGCAACGCTCGAACTCCTAGCACCTCCTCGCAGAAGCCGAGTTATACAATCCCTCCGAAGAAGAGTGCCGCCATCACCATCAAGAACACCGCTGGCGAGGTCGTCTCGTTCAATAAACCACCCGCTTCTCCGGCCAATGTCACCCCGGTCTCGGCCACAGTTCCTCCGCAATCTGCGCCTACGCCTCCGAGTCGAACGGCCAGTGCTGCTGACAATATCCATAATCGAACAGACAGCGTCGGCACCAAGACAACAGAGGAGGCCAAGAAGCAGTTCCAAGAAGCCATTGCAAAGAAGATTACGGAAGATGAAGCCAAAACCAAGCTTGAAAAGGAAATGGCTGAGAAGGAACAGATGGACCAGGAAGCGGCGCAGGCTACCGAGCGTGAAGCGGAAGAAGGAGCAAGATCTAAGGCGGAGGAATTCGAAGGAGACGCAGGAGAAGCCGACGCCCGAAAGACTGATAAAGAGACAGAGACTGCCGAGAATCCGGAAGAAGAGAAGAAACCGAAGGAGACCTCAGCGGAACCTCGCAAGCCCGACGATGACGATATCGATTATGATGCCATTGAGGCCGAATTGGCGGCGATGGAAGCTGAGGAAGCCAGACGGGAGGAAGAATACAAGAAGAAGAAAGCGGCCGAGCTCGAGGCGCAGCGCAAGAAAGAGGAAGAAGAGGCTGCAGCTTATGAAGCCAACATGAAGGAGATGGAACGCAAAGCAGAGGAAGAAGAACTGGCGCGCGAGAAAGAGAGAGCCGAAGGAGGATCTGGAGACGAGGCGAACAGGAAGCTATTTGCCGAGCTCAAAGCCAATCCTTTTGGCACTCCGGCCTCGGTTGAAAGTCCTGCAGGCCACACGCCTGCTGAAAGTGGTACCGCCACTCCTGTGTCGGATGTTTCAATGCCTCCTCCGGCGAAAGCTCCCGCGAGACGAGGAAAGGCGACCGAGCTCACTCTCGATACAAAGAAGCCAGTCGAGCCCCCGGAGCCGAGCGCGACGCTGAAAGCCTTGCAGTCGGCCCGGAAACTTGTTGATCTTTCCAAGGTCCATTATCCTTCCGACGTGGCGTCCCCGAATCCTGCGCTCAATGCCAATGCGCCAGCCGACCGAAAATTCAAGTACAACAAAGAGTTCCTGCTCCAGTTCCAGAGTGTCTTCAAGGAGAAGCCGACTCTTGATTGGGATGCTCGTATTCGAGAAGCGCTGGGCGATGGTGATTCTTCGGCGAGACCAAGTGCTTCCGCCAGAACTCCTTCGGCCATGGGCAACCGCAGTGCTTCCTCCCGCGGACCTCCCCCCATGGGCAGTTTTGGACCGATGGGTAGCTTTAGCGGTGCTCGTCCCACACTCCCACCGGGTACCACCTCTGAACAGCGATTTGCTGCTTCCAATGCTGCTCTGAGAAGTGGAGCTATGGGGGCCAATCCATTTGCTCAATTTGGCCGCCCCGGTCAGATGGCGCCGCCCATGGGACGAACCCCTTCGAATAATCCGCTGAGTTCCATTCCCGGTTCTCCACGTGTCGGTGGTGCCAGCAGAGGCGGTTCTCGCGCCGAGAGCAAACGAGCGAAACAGACTGCCAAACAAGCCGCAGACGAAAACAAGGCCATGCCTCTGACCGCTGGGATGAACATTACGGCGCTGGAAGTATCCGCGACCGGATGGAAACCTCGAAGCGTTGGCCAACCTCTTGTTTCGGGGCCGGCCCTTGGCGGTGACGGCTTAATGGAACCAGATGTTGTTCAGCGGAAGGTCAAGTCGGCTCTCAACAAAATGACTCCGGAAAAGTTCGACAAGATCTCCGATCAGATCTTGGAAATCGCCGCCCAATCGAAACACGAGTCAGATGGTCGGACCTTACGCCAAGTCATTCAGCTCACGTTTGAAAAGGCCACAGACGAAGCTCATTGGGCACCCATGTACGCCGCATTCTGCCGAAGGATGTTGGAGAGCATGAGTCCTGATATTCGAGATGAGGGTATCAAGGACAAGAACGGAAACATCGTCACCGGTGGTAATTTGTTCCGAAAATACCTTCTCAATCGTTGTCAAGAAGAATTTGAGCGCGGTTGGAAAGTCAATCTACCTCCACGAGCAGAAGGTCAGACAGAAGAGGCGGCCATGCTGTCGGACGAATACTATCAGGCGGCTGCGGCGAAGCGACGTGGCCTCGGCCTGGTCAAGTTCATCGGTGAATTGTTCAAGTTGTCCATGTTGACCGAGCGTATCATGCATGAGTGTGTGAAGAAACTGGTCGACTACGAGGGAACCCCCGATGAAGCCGAGGTGGAGAGCCTGACCAGCCTGCTGCGGACCATCGGCAAGCAACTGGACAATCCGGAAAGCAAGGCTCAGGGACGGATGGACCTCTACTTTGACCGCATCAACTCCATGATCGCCCTTCCAGATCTTCCAAGCCGTCTCAAATTCATGCTCATGGACGTTGTTGACCTCCGATCCAAGGGCTGGGTATCCAAGGAGGATGACAAAGGGCCCAAGACCATCCAAGAGATTCACGAAGAAGCGGAACGGAAGGCACGTGAAGAAGAGCTCAAGAGACTTGCCAGCCAGAGTGGTGGTCGTGGTGGCGGAGGCAGAGTGCCCGTGGGCCGCGGTGATGCTCGAAGCTTCAGCGGCTTCGGTGGTCAGGTCCCTCCTCCGGATAACTCGAACCGAGTGGGCACCGATGACCTTCGACGGCTCGGTAACCGCAGTGCTCGCAACCCCAGCAACACCTCGGGACCAGGCTCACTGGGACCTCCGAGCTTGTTGGGCGGCCGTACCAACAGTGGACGTCGTGGTCTCGGACCCGGAGGTCTCCTGAGTCGAGGAGATGACAGTAATACCAGCAGTCGTACCGGCACCCCTCCGGCCCAGAAGGACAAGGAGAAGAAGGATGAGTCCAGCACCAACGCATTCAGGTGAGTTAGTGAGACAGGCAAATGGGGGGGAAAAGGGAACTCTAACGGCTTCTCAGTGCTCTTGCCGCTCTTGAAAATGACGGACCTGGCTCGCCGCCATCAAATCCCGCATCCCCTCCTACACAAAAGTCGCAGCCGAGCATCGAACGAGAACGATCGAGATCACCGGAGAAACCAACCAAGTGACTCGAATACCCGACCAACCAGTGTACAACATAATGCGATTCGAACACTAATTTTTGACTGACTGACGGCCGCTTGTGGGGAGGTGGGGAAGATGTGCATTGATACCCGGCGCGAGCCACATGTTTAGCATTTGCAGCGGCGGACCGGATTCTTCTCAAAAATTCTTCGACCATGGAGTTGCGTTTTTGAGAAAAACCCTTCCATTCGATTCGAAAGCGATAGAGAATGTGTTTCTACCAAAATACGTTGCATGGATTGAATTCGATTTCATCTACTGGTTTGGGTGGACCATCGTTTCCGGCGTTGTGTTTTGAAATCTCGGGTTTCTCTTAAAAGCGAAGCAGAGCGCACCAAAGAGAGATCGATTGCATATTTTGCATGTCACAAGGCTCCAATCCCAAGATTGGGTCCAACGAGCATGCCGTACTAATCTTTCTTCGTGCTGTAGTGAATGTGGGTTGAGGTTTGATGGAGGAAGGTAGATCGAACAAGTGGACTATATGGTTGAAACAATGCGGGGGAGGATTTTCCAAACACTCAACGAGTGTGAGCGAACATGTGGTGTGCTTTTGACTAGATCAGTTGAGTTGGGAGGGTTACTCGTCGAGTTTCAGTCCGTCGGTCGGTCATGGACGTCAATATAGACCAAGATGTCTCCTTTACTGTCTCCTCGACGAAACTTATATTCGATACTACGTATCTGTCCATCCCTGCGTCTCTTAGTTTGTGCTTCCCAAAGACCAAAGACTCGGAAATATTTTGAATCGTTGGTGCCCATGTTCGGATCGCGGGATTCGTCCACACCTCACGGACTATATATACTGACTTCAGTTTAAGTGCCAGCAGCGTACATGGCCTCGCCCGCACTTCTTGCCTCCTCTGCTCCTCTCTTTCTCTCCTCTTCCTCCTTCTCATATTCCTCCCTAATCAGTCGAGCATGTCTCGCCTCCCTTTCGCGTCTCTTGATGCTCCTCTTTCTCCTCCTTGCGGCGTGCTTGTTCTCCTCGTCCCGTTCGCCCTGCGCCTCCCAGTGTAGCTTCTGCTGCTCCTCTGGCGTCACGACCCACGGCTTTGAAAGCGTCGACTTCAAGAACTGTGTCCGTGATGAGATTAATGCCATTTCGTGGGTCGTGTCCGGGACAATGTTCAGGCGAAGGAGGGTTAATTGGCGCACGGAACGAAAGGCCGAAAGCGTGCCCTTGGCCTGGACCACCGTCCCAATTTGGAGAGCTGACATGGATGCACGGAGGGCTTGTTGTTCCGTAGGATCCAGAGACCTTTGTTCTTCGTCAGCCTTGGGATTCAACGTTGCCTCATTTTGTCCCGGTCTGGGTTTGCCTCCATCGCGGGTGTTATTCTCCGTCTCTTTCTCTGGCTTTCGACACGTCACGTCAATGGTCGCCCCGCTGCTGTCGTCGATCGTAAACAGCCAGAATTTCTCAAAGTAGTCCTCCAACGCGACGACCACACCAACAACTTGGACGAACTGGATCGGGTGGTTTAGGTAGAAGAGCAGGAGGGGTCGGTCGTCTCGGTAGTGGCGGCCGTGCTCATCGTAGCGGTCAGACGGTATGGAGGAAGTGGTTACTTCAACGTATGGCGGACGAGGGTTGAGAACGGAGTGGATCTCGTGGGCGGTGAGTTTCACCCATTTCCACCACGTTACAGAAGCCTTGAACGTGTAGGCCGGGTAGAATATCAACGGTTGCTGTTCTAAATTGCTATCGATATTCTTGTGGTGGCGGTGGACCTCGGGATGAGGTCTCTGCATTCATTCATTTGGCAAGGCCAATTGAATATCGAACCGTTCAATGCCTACATAAGTGATTGGGTTGTTTGTTTGGGACGAACTGCGAGAATCGGCGTGCTTTCAGATGGAGTGCGGAGTTTGGCCGGCCGGCTTTATCGGCACAGACCAATGTGTGCGGTATTATTTATGATCTCATTTTCCGGTGCGATTTGAGTGGGTAGTAATCCATAGTGGTATTTGTCAATTTATTTTCGGCCTTTTCCACTGGTCCTCCCCATCATTACCATCTTTTACCGTGATCATTTCTCTCCGACGAAAGCGGGCGAAAACTCTGAGTTGGTTGATGTAGCGTCGTGCGGTAGGTTTGCGCAGCTTTCTAGGCTATGCCTTTTTTTTTTTTTTCCTTCTCCTTCTCCTTGATCTCATCATATAGAGCTCGGCCTGGATGTTCGCAACGACGAGAGATTTTGACCGAATACGGGAACAAAACGGCTGATTAGAGAAATGAAGATTTTCTCGGAGAACTTGCGCAGTTGGGCACCGTGGAACTGACTTTGGCTGGTTTTAGAGACCGACACCCACGGAGCATGTCGACTGGTAGAAAGGTAGGTGGGGATGTTGGTGAGGATGTGTTTGTGTCTGCATGAACGGTCTCCGTAATCGGTGGATAAATTAGCGACCTCGGCTGCTCCATCTCATATTCTGCTGTTATCACAAATGTCGTTGTCCGTGTTTCTTCTCCATTCTCGACACTCCAAACCACTACGTCCCCGGAGCTCGGCGTAGAGTCACAGCCATCTCAAGGAGAACACAAAGACACGAATGATAGGTAGGACAAGAGCCTGAATCATCCATCTCTAGTCCATCCGCCCCAGGACACCAAGAAACCGCTTGACCACTGGTACGAGCTTGATGTCGAACGGTTCCTCGATCTCCGCCGAGCATGTGTCCAAGATCCCATCACCTGTGACTGAGGACCGGCCTGCGATTGAGAAGAACCACGATCGCTCTCCCGATTCACAAACAAATGGTCGGTTAAGAGGCCCTGATACTGCTCCATCATCCGCACCCACCAAAACTCCCCTTCAGAGGATACCGACCGCCCATGATGGGGCAACTCCCGATATTCAAGTCCAGCGGACTGCGACCAACGTTTCAGTGGGGGGGCAAATACATTCGGTCTTTACCACAAATCAAAAGAGATTCATCGTCTTCATGGCTTCATGGGCAGGATTCTTCTCTCCTGTCTCGGGCAATATTTATTTCCCCGCTTTGAATCCGTTGGCCCAAGACTTAAATGTGTCGAGTTCACTGATCAACTTGACCTTGACGTCGTATATGGTATTCCGCCTCAATCAATCGAGCGTCCTAGAACTTTGTCTTTGACGGGCATTCAGATCTTCCAAGGACTGGCTCCGACTTTTGTGGGCGATTTCGCCGATGCTGCTGGCCGGCGTCCTGCATATGCTGGTATGTGCCATCTGAGACACCGGAGTTTCGATTGTCCTCACGTGTCTGCAGTCTGCTTCACTGTCTATATCCTCGCAAATATTGGTCTTGCATTGCAAAACAGCTACGCCGCTCTCTTCGTGCTCCGATGCTTCCAAAGTACCGGGAGCAGCGCCACGATTGCCATGTGTAGTGCCGTTGTGTCGGATGTCGCTACCGCAGCGGAACGAGGCAAGTATATGGGACTAACGCTCGCGGGATCTTTGCTGGGACCGGCCATTGGTCCCGTCATTGGCGGCGTTCTGGCTGAATCTCTTGGATGGAGGGCCATTTTCTGGTTTTTGATGGCTCTCGGTTCTGCCTTTATGGCTGTGTTTGCGATTTTCTTCCCCGAAACAGGTCCATGAAATCCCACCCAAGCATGCAACCGCGGGACGGCTGGCTAATGGTGTGACAGCCCGAAATCAAGTCGGAAACGGATCGGTCCCTCCCAAGGGATGGAACATGTCTCTCATGAACTACCTCGCTATTCGAAAAGCTCGAAATCTCCCGTCCAAGAACACGCTTTCCGAGGCCAGAAATCATCCCAAGAAATTCCGCTTTCCAAATCCTCTACGATCTCTGCAACTGGTGCTGGATAAAGAAAACGCTCTGTTGCTGTTCTACAATGCGTTCCTCTTCGCGGCCTTCTACGACATCACCGCCTCTATCCCCTCCCAATTTGAGAAGATTTTCCATTACAACGAGCTTCAGATCGGTCTGTGCTATATTCCTTTCGGCCTCGGTTCCATGTTCGCAGCTCTAACGAATGGACCACTGCTAGACCGCAACTTTGCACGTTGGTGCAAGAAATTGGGTTTGCGGATCAGAAAGGGCAGGAATCAGGATCTGAGCAATTTCCCGATTGAGAAGGCGAGGCTCCAGGTCGCCATTCCCGTCGCCTATCTGACCGCGACATTCGTTTGTGTATTTGGTTGGGTCTTGGACGTCGAAGGACCACTGGCAGCGTTGCTCGTGATCCTCTTTTTCACCAGTTTCAGCATGTCGGTCGCTTTCAACGTAACCAGCACGCTCCTGATCGACTTCTATCCTACGGCGCCGGCCACGGCTACGGCGGCCAACAACGTCGTTCGATGCGTCTTGGGCGCCGGTGCTACTGCTGTAATCATACCGATGATCAATGCCATGGGACGAGGGTGGACGTTTACTTTCTTGGCCCTGTTTCTCTTCGCGACGTCTCCAATGCTATGGCTCATTTACTTCCGCGGCATGAAGTGGCGGACTGAGCGACGGCGAAAGGAGGAAACCATGGCGAAATTGAAACAGGGGAGAATGGACCAAGACAGTGCCGGCGAGAATGGTGATGCGGAGGTGTGCCCCGGCAATGGTGAGAAGCCGCCGATGGAAGCCCGTGTACCCGAAATGGCTGGCGTCCTCGAAGAGATGGATTCCGCCCTCGAGCTTTCACGGACGTCGAACTACGATGCGAATCATAGAAGTGATGATCGAGGAAATGTGAAAACGTGGCGTGGGTAACGCCGCCCCGAATGTAGCACTAGGTAGGACGTTTTCATGTGATTCCGGATTCTAATCTGATGACGCACGCCGCGTCAACCTATCTTTTTATATTCAGGCAACCGTGAAAACAAGCAAAATCATTGGTTCCCATGAAGCTCGATCTAGATCTGCTCTACGTTGGAGTCTAAAACAAGAGATCCCGAGGAGAGGGCCTAGGTAAACCTTTGAGTGGAATCATCATTGAGTGGACACGTGAATTGTATAACAATCACGGCGTTGACGGAGATTTATCATGTCCTCGGGTGCGGGTCGTGGTTACCTGATAAAAGCTGGATTCATCCTCGTCGACTGTTTCTGGTCTTCAATCACTCGCTGCACACAGAATCATGGTTTCTTTCAACCCGAAAAGGGACATCCCGGCCCTCGATGGAAAGGTCATCCTGGTGACAGGCGGAAACATCGGCCTCGGGAAACAGTCCGTACTCGAATTCTCACGCCACGGTCCCGAACAGGTCTGGCTGGCAGCTCGTAATCTCGATAAAGCCAAAGCGGCGGCCGATGAGATCAAGCAGCAAGTTCCAGATGCGCCGATCAAGCTTCTGGAGTTGGACCTCAGTTCGTTTGAGTCGGTGAAGAGAGCAGCCCAAACATTTTCGGCAGGATCGGATCGTCTGGATATTCTCATGCTCAATGCCGGCATCATGGCTGCGCCGCCAGGGCTCAGCAAGGACGGCTATGAGATTCAATTCGGAACCAATCATATGGGCCATGCGCTCTTGACCAAGCTATTGCTGCCTATATTGGAACGGACCGCGAGGAGTGGCCCCGACGCCGATGTGCGAATCGTGTCACTCTCATCGCGTGGACATATGTTGGCGCCCAAGGGTGGCATCCAGTTCGACTCGCTCAAGACACGTGCCGACAGTCTTGGGGCGTATGGACGGTATGGCCAGAGCAAACTGTCCAATATCCTCTTCGCACGGCAGCTGGCCCAGTTGTATCCGCAATTCACTGTCTCCGCCATCCACCCGGGCATGGTGAGGACGAATCTCCTGTCGGGTGCGACAGGTTCACCATTGATGCAGATGGTCTTTAACCTTTCGCGCGCATTGAGGGTCGCTTCTCCCGTTGAAAAGGGAGCTCTCAACCAGCTTTGGGCGTCCGTCTCCAAGGACGTCAAGAGTGGTGAATATTACGAGCCGGTGGGCGTTGGTGGTTCGGCGACGGTACATGGCAAAGACGATGATCTGGCGCAGAAACTTTGGGATTGGACTGAAAAAGAGTTGGCAGAACATGCTGCTTGATTGAATTCAAGTGTGGAGTTGGATCGCGTCGCTTTGGTTGCTCTCTATCGAATTCCAATTTTAGATCCAAATGGTCGCTTCGGTAAAACAGGCGGACTCCAAGATTGCGTTGCGACGCTCAACCCGTGCCATCGTTTCTCATACAGTCGTAACCGGTCTTTAGCAATCCTGTAGGTTTCACCAAAGAGAGAAGAGACGTGGGCGATCTCATTGGGTCGCTGCATGGCTTTCTATCTGGCGCCGGAACTGCCGCGCTCTTCCCGTGAAAGGTAAATATCAAGCATTTGGCAGTGGATAATGGACCATGAAGATAAAAAAGGTCAGCTTCTCCCTCAGCATCAGCTGGAGCAGGAGGCGTTGACTCCGATCGTGCAAGATCAGATTCCATCGCCGCCGGGATGACACACATCATTCTTTTGGCGTCAACCAATCCTGGTGTCCTAGATCAGATGCCCAAAGAGGCCGACGAGGGCTGATGCCAGTGAGTTTCTGTCGACTCCTCCCAGTTCGACGGGATCGGTCAGTACGTCCTATAACATCGAGGTCATCTGCAAAGAAATTCTACCGATCTCTCCTATCGTGGGAGGCCCCCTTGTTCAGAGTAAGCTTCCAAGGACGGTACCCATCTCGTGGGCTTTCTTCCTTCCAAGAGGATGTGAGTTGAATGCTCTGTCTATCTGGTATATATGCACATTTGGTTAACCTCTTTCTTCTCCTATTCCTACCTCTATATCCTACATAGGAGTGATAACCCCTTTTCCAATAAAGGGGCCACTGGCTCCCGTTCAACCGTCCACCAGCTTCGCACCAAGTACTGGCGATGGAAACTATAAGACTATCTCCTTTTGTTGGACCGCAACCGTACCCGGCCTCTGGTCACCAGGAACTCTTCGTTTTCCTCTAGCATTCCAATCAGGTTGCACTTGACTGTGTACGTGTCGGGGTGGTCGAAGTCCACCGATCTTAGATGCCGCTCCAACTGCTGCCGGTAGATTTCCTTGCCTTCCGCACTCTTGCCTTGCAAAAGCATGCATGCTGCGAGATTGCTCATGATTGCCAGTGTGTGAGAGTGTTCGGGTCCCCGTCTATGGTCACTCACCGCGAGTGCTAGCCAAAACAGCCTCTCGGCAGCCGCTACATTCCCCTCGAGCCGGAGCACCCTGGCAAGGTTACACATGGTCATCAGGGTGTCAAGGTGACAAGGACCCAACGTTTCCTTTCTCCGCTCTAGAAGGAACCAGAGTACCTCCTTGGCTTCGCTGAATCGTTCTTGATTTTCTAGATTCTTAGCTTTGTGATCCGTGCTCCCCGAAACCACTGCATCGCTCCGACCGATCTCTGGGATATCTGGGCGGTCCAATTCCAGGAATGTTTCGAGTGGCTCAAGCTTCCAACGCTGATAAGAGGTGGCCAGCTTTCGCTTCTGCGCCACCATCGCCAGGCTCTCACGACTCTCCAAGGTGACGCTGTCGTTTGGTCCGTATTCTTTCTCTGCAGTCGTTACTTTCCGGCGACACAGTTCCTCAGCCTCTTCATACCGTCCCTGATTCTCTAAATTCTCCGCCAAGAATGAGAGACTAACTAAAATGTCGGCGACGTTCTCCTTGTCCGCCAATGCCTTCCGATGCAGCACCTCCGCGATCTTGTACTCTCCTTCGCGGTCGTATTCCCTGCCGATTTCTTCACATCCTCGGTCGTCCGGCGCGTTTTTCGCCCGCTCTAGCGCTTTTGGCAGCTGGTCCTCGTGGTACGAGTCGGCTTCTATATAGACATGCGTATCAGAGCCTGTTGCCTCGAAAGGCACAGGAGTAAACTCGTATGTCCCCTCATTCATGGTTATCGTGCCTTTTTCTTTGTCGACCGTGATCCCCGATTCTTGATGATGACATGTTCGTACCATCGAATTGTCGACCGCGTTGAGGATAGCTCGTCGTGTGCGTATGCTCGGGACCATCCTGGAGAGGATGAGGAGGAGTTCCAACCACCCGATGACTAGTTCACGGTCGCTTTGATTCGTGCATCTGTATCCATGCCTATTGAGGACATATCTCACACCGTATCCCTTCATCTCCCGGAGGTGATCCATGAATGGTTCCATATCAGCGAGTGGAACGGGCCGAGATCGGTTACGAGTGAATTCCGCTGCTTCAAAAAGCACCCAAAGGCGAGGCTGAAAGTCCGGGAAATGCCACGTAAAGGCACAATCTCGCACTAGCATGGGAATACTCTTGAGAGCTCTTGTAAAGTACTGTTCTTGTGGTTCGGTGCGCTTCCACTGCGGCATACACGAGAAGTCGACCCAGAAATAGGCGGCCCGGGGCCAAAATCCATCGCGAAGTCGCCGTTGTAAGGGTCGCAAATCCTCGCCTTGGAGATCAGGATTTCCACATGCACGCCAATAGTGGCTAATAAAGATACAGTCCGTCTCATTCACAAACCTGTCTTCCACCGGGAGGAGAATGTAGTCATCTAAGCGGTCTGGATCCCATTTCTGGAAGGCGTTTTGACGCATGAATGACTCGCGAAGCTGGAAAAACCAGTACTGATGATCCCTAAAACTGAGGAAGTCATCTAGGGAGTCAAGATTCCTTAGGACCTGAGAGTGTTTTTGGATTGCTTGTGTCATTCCTCGCCTGTGGCGAACGCGCTTCCATGCCTCGATGCTACGTTCGACGAGAGAGCCGAAGGGTTGAGAACTCGCAAATGCTGCTTTCATCGAAATGGTTAGTACACCCTTATTCTGGTCTCCCATTGCGCCAGGTACGTACCTGGGCCAAGATTGGAATGGGTTGCCGTTGATAATCCTGGCAGGCTAAGACGGGTCAGTGCTTTGTCTGGCTCGTGTCGGGCGACAAATATGACACTCCGAATGCTTACATTGCTGTTTCTCTAGTATGATTTGGAGATTCAGGCCCGCCAGTGCTTTCGTCCTCACTCTTCTCAACCTCATTGTCATAATAAGAAGGTATAGTCACAGCAGGTTGTGGGGGACACTCAATGGCCTCAGAGAGTCTCAAGGCCGTTGCATTGGTCACTTCGGGACCACCGCTCACCAAGCCATTCACGCTCTGATACCTGCCAAGCAGTTGTGATACGCTCATCGTTTTGATGCCAGCGAGTGGATCTCCTGGTATAGGCAAGCCATGTTTGGCGGCAAGTGCTTGTCTTAGTGCTAGGGAGTCTGGCAGCCCTCGAACCTCGCTCAGATCGCCCCGGATGCCCGAGGTGGTCGAGTGCTCTGGGCCGAATAGTCTCTCGCTTAGTTCCAACGCCCTAAGTAACACTGAAGAGGCGAGGTGAGGATCGCCTTGCATCCTGTACACGTGGCCCATGTTCCTGAGCGTTTTAATCGTGAGCTCATGCTCTGGGCCAAACGCCCTCTCACACCGCCGCAACTCCTCATCGAGTATCTTCATGGATTCCTCGTACTTGCGCAGGTTGCAAAGACTCTCACAGATCGCATCAAGGGCCGCGATCGTGTCACGGTGGTCCGGCCCCAGCACTTTTTCCCTCAGCGGAAACAACTGCCGGGAGTTTTGTTCGGCTTCCTCCAATTTGCCATCAGCGTGGAGTACCGCCCCAAAATAGTACATTGTTGATAAAGTGTCGGGATGCTCCGGTCCTAACGCGGACCTGCTCTTTTCCAACAATTGTCGGCCCACTTCCGTCGCTTCTGCATATTTATGTTGTCTCATCAGTATTCCGATGCGTCGGTCCATCTTTTCCATATCCTTCCTTGCTCGCTATTTTGAAGAGGAAGATCCCATTGTTATAGACCGGTGCGTGCCCTGCAATTTTAGCGCATGAAAAAGGCCGGATAGTACGTGTCAGACGGCTAGTGCCTAGTGCCAAGAGCCCCTATTCTGGCCTATATAGGGGGCCTCCCTCCCCCCAAATCCATAGTTGCAATCTACACACGAGTTTTCACCCCTTCTATCCGCATCTCGCTCTGTTCGACAGTACGTTTGGACCTCGAGGCTCTAGAGTAGACCAATTCAATATATAGAACGAGAAGTCGGCCAAGTATTCATATCTATTCACTGGCACTACAATGCTGCTAGGCGTTGGCGAAGGAGGTTCTATAAGCGTTGAGAACTAGAGGAGACTACGAAGTTCGCGATGCCTCGGAGTGATCACGTTGTAAGGGCCGCGGACAGGATATTCCGCGAGGGGTGAAAGCGTAACTTTTGTCTTTTGGGGGCAAGCCCCCAAACCCCCGGCCACGCTGCGCTCGAGAGATCACGTGATTGAGCCGGCCACCGTGGTCTTGGCAACTCTTGGCGGCGCACACATGCGTGATTGCGACTGCTCAGGATCCGGAAAATCTATAATCCGACGACCCTGGCGCCCATCGGATCCAGTCCACGGGCCAACTCCCGGGCCCTCGTGTCACGTGATTAGCCAAGCCTCCGGAAAATCTATAATACGAGTATTACGTAATCCCGTGGTTGACCCCATCGGATCCAATTCACGGCCCACCCAAGGAGAGTGCGCCGGAGCCTGGAAAATCTATAATCCGAAACCTAGTCGCGTGCTCTAATTCCATCGGATCCAGTCCACGGCCCATCCAGGAATGGGTAGAGCGCGGCCGTAGCCCGGAAAATCTATAATCCGACACCCAATCACGTGCTCTAATTGGCTGACCCCATCGGATCCAATCCACGGCTCACTCAGGAATGGGTAGAATGCCGCCTGTCTGCCAGACCTCCCTGATCGGATCCAGTCTATGGATCAGGTGTGGACGATGTTGATCACGGTGTCCTGTGCCCGTACGATATCCCTCGTCGGATCCAGTCCATGGCCCATGAAGTAGACGACGGTATACCCAATTAGGAGAGCCAACAACGATATCCGCGATATATCTAGCAAATATCGATACATGGGGGTTAGATATCGACGATGAGATCGGCGTCTGCTAAACTGATTCGTTCTCCATATGTAGTCTAAGTCCCGGTCTTGGGACATAACAGTATTTGCCCTCTTGAAGTGATCCAAGTCAAAAGGCCCCTCAAACAACAACCCGTCTAAGGTCTTCACCCGTGATACCGCTACATACGACAGGCCCAGGCAGTGCTCTGTTTGACTGAAATCTAGAACTACCCTCGGTAGGGTTAGGCCCTGGCTTTTATGAACCGTCACCGCATAGGATAACCGGACGGGAAGCTGAATACGGGAGCATGGTATCCCTTGGAAATCAAACTGACGATCAATAGGAAAGATCGGGACGACTCCTGGGTCACATTGGGGGAAATTGGGGCCGGTATAACTGTCAAACTTGACAAGAATGGGATCGAAGAAAGATCCTGGCCTTCCTGCCAGGCAATACCTTGGATTCAACCCATCGATCCATTTACCAGCTCTAATTCGGTCCAGAGATTTGTCGTGAGCATCACGCGGGCCTGAATACAGACCTGGAGTTCCGGGCAGTGGTTGTCAGCCTCCGCCGATGCCTTGGCCGCATTTCAGCCCTTATGCCAGGTTAGAACCTTCTTCACGGGCTGACCAACACCGGACAGCGTCTTACCATTCATCTCCTTCACCTCCGAATTGGTAAAGTATAGGCGTAAAGCCGAGTCAAAGGTGGCCACCACCGTGGGGGACAGGTCTTCCTTCTCGCACTATCTCTAGTGCGGCATTTAATACAGGTCGAAAGAGTTCTGCTCGTTAGATGAGAGGGAAGGAAGACAGAGGAAATGTATGAGCGCACCTCGAGCAACATTTCGAGGCCATTGGAGGTGCCGGGTGCGAATGAGGAGAGAAACATTGTTTTTCGAGACCATTCTCGGTCAAAACAACGCGCGCGGCGGGCCGCAACGCCAACGCGTCGTCCGAGGATCTACCGCAAAAAACACGTGAGGAGGACATTTTCAGGCACGTGATTTTTTTTTCGCCCATGGTAGAGTCACTTGCAAGGGGGTCGGGATTTAAAAGAAAGCTACGCTTTCAAAAAGATCCGATTCCTGACAAAGCTTTTCTTCTCTCCACACCCTGAAGTCGTGACTCTAATATCGTCCATTTGTTGGTCGTTGAACCTTTTGTCTCTCTGCCTCCACTCCTACTCCTCGTTTCGCTCTGCTTGATACGCCTACGTCCCGCCGTCCTATTAACCGCCATGGACGATCCCAAGCAAGCCGGTCACAGCAAGCTCGCAATCGACGAGATAAACGAATGGGATGCGGACGACCTACTCAAATGGATCGAACAAGAGCGACGAGGATTGCTAGAAGGCGAAGATCTTGAGAGATTTAAAACCGCAAAGATCAACAAGAATATCCTTGTGAATCATGCTGGCGACACGAGGTTCTTCAGAAATGAATGCGAGCTGCCAGTTGGGATTAGCAAGAGTCTCGCGATGCTGGCGAGCGAGGTCGCGAAAGGGAAGACCGCTGGTACGCCCACTGACCACGCTTCTTTACCGTTCTCTTCACACTAATCCAGCTCCCATCTCATTGCAGGCCTCGAGACGAGGAAGAGAAAGCATGCGCCCGAGATGGCTCCTTCACCAAAGAGAACCCGAGTTGACAATGGTGGCCTGATAATCAACGGCGAACTGGAGTACTTCCGATCCGGAGCGATGGATTTTCCCGATCTTCTACAGAGAGAGGGTCAGGCCTACTTCGATCGTACCGGCTACATCTCCAAGTTGGACGAACTCGACGAGTTCATGCTTTTCTGCCGCCCATGTCGGTTCGGCAAAACACTAACAATAAGGATGCTGAATCATTTCCACGGCCTTCAGTATGCAGATGAACATCGATGGCTGTATAAGGTACGCAACTGTATCCTTAATGTGAGAACTTACATCTTTTTCAATCATTCTAGGGTCTCGATGTGCAAAAAGATATCGATGAAAGAAAAGTGAACCCCGGAAAGTACTTCGTCTTGACATTCGACTTTTCCGAAGTCAACGCCAGCCCAGACCTTACGGAGGCGAATAAAGCACTCATGACGTCCTTAAACGGGGCCATTAAGGACTTCTATAACCAATATGCTGTATACTTGGGCGGAAACTTTACTGATCTGTGTCAACATATTGACAGCGAAAACCCTAACTCCAGTCTCAAGAATTGTGCCATGGTAGTTCGAAATGCGATTGAGCAGGACGACCGACTTGCCGGTATTGAGAGGATCTACGTGCTCGTTGATGAGTACGATGCTTTTCCCAACAACTACCTCAAACCACCCAAGACCGTCGAAGAACCCGGGGTCGATTGGGATAATACAAAAGTCGGACATACTTTCAAATCTTTCTGGTCTACGATGAAGTCATTGTGCGCAGAGGGGGACATCCGAAGGATTTTCATCACAGGGATCTCACCGCTCTCCTTATCCAGTCTGGGCAGTGCGTTCAATGTGACAGAAAATGTGTCATTCGAAAAGAACCTAGCCGGGCTTTGTGGTTTAACATCTTCGGACTTGGAAGACGCACTAGGGGAAATCTACAAAGACCGTGAAGATCACAGCGGCTTTCTTTCAGAAATGACCGAATTTTTCAACGGATATCATTTCTGTCAGGATAAAGAGGTCGAAACCGTTTACAACACGGAGACGTGTTTGTCATATCTTCAGAGTCGTATCGAAGGAAAGACACCCAGAACTCGAGACCCGGAAAACTCCGAAGTATCTGAACAGTTTCTTAGGTTATCTACTGGCGCAGCGCCAGTGATAAGAGACTTGCAAAACGCACTGGAATGTGACGAAAAAGGGAACTTTGCGCCTCTCGAATACTTCAATTTCAAATTCGAATTCACGCTTCGAGACTTGGTAAGCCAATATCTTAGCCAAGTTCTTTCTCCCTTATGCTAACTTACGTCTCTTCTAGAGTGAGGTTGGAGATGGTTTTTCGTGGCGTTCACTACTCGTCTATTTCGGCGGCCTTACGTTTCACCCTGAAAAGCCGACAACGCAGCTCAAGATAACGAATAGAGTTGCGGCGGATCGTATCGCTCTCGCGATTCTCAAAAAGTATAATCTGCACAACTCTCTCGAAGAAGCACTGCTATACCTCGTTGAATACGGAGAACTTGAACCAACGTTGGGTTGTTATCGAGAGTTGATGGTGCAACGGGACATCACCGCCGAAGATCTTACCAAAAAGAGTGAAGAACATCATCGGGATAGTATCTATTTCTGCCTCCTAAGAAACCGTTTTGCTTCATGGCCAGAGTTTAAAGTGACAAAGGTAAATCCATTGCTTCACGACTGGCTAGATAATATCTAACGTCTCGTGTAGCAAGACAGAACAAACGGTCGTATCGATCTTCTCGTCCGGGTTCCCGGACGACTGATAGTTACCGAATGGAATTTCTATCGAATCGACTACCTGAATATAAAAGCTAGCGACAGCATCGCTAAAGCGCACGAGCTTCATCAGTACAGGCTCAACGGAATCCTTACGCTTGAATTCGCGCCTTGGGACAACCACCACCACGGAACGATTAAGTCTCAGGTTATGGAAAAGGATGGCCCGCAGCTAAGGGATTATATCAGGAGCGCCGATGTGCGGCAACGTGCGAAGGAAGAAAGCCTTGAGTTGCAGGCACACCTTGTCATCGTTGTCGGGTCACGTCATATCTTGTTGTGGGATATGGACGAGGATGGAAACTTGGCTGCCGAGCCTCGTCTCGTATAATATGCCTGACAGATCGAAAGTGTAGGATGGTCGAGGGTATTGTCATGGAAAGGTGTCGTCTCCAACGTAGAATGGCAGGAAAGGCGA